CCTAACCCTAACCCTAACCCTAACCCTAACCCTAACCCTAACCCTAACCCTAACCCTAACCCTAACCCTAACCCTAACCCTAACCCTAACCCTAACCCTAACCCTAACCCTAACCCTAACCCTAACCCACATTTTTGTACTGGCCGTTTTCAGGTCCGTTTTCATATTCGCCGCGCGCGCGGGCAGGGCTAAATTACCGGATTGGGCACCAAAAGAACGTCAAAATGGGGGTGCATTTTGGTAAGGAGCCCTGGCGGCCGGAGGAGTGATGTACTTTCGATAAATGGGATTGTCCCTGTCCAGGTTTAGCACAAGATCGGAAGCTGAGAAGTTCACCAACCAATCCGGAATAACATCAGACACGCCATTCCCTTGCTTCGCAACCTGGCAGGCATCACCATTATGGTTACACCGCATACAAGCTCCGGCATGGGGGTGACACTTCTTAGTTGTCGGATCAATGCCTGGCACATGGGCATAAATAACACAGGGTAACCCGTGGTGGGTGTCCGTACAGTCGTCGCAAGTGGTCAGGCTGACTCTCCCATACTTCTGGTAATAGGGTCGTTTGATCTCGCGGTTGTGGAGCTTCTTGACGGTCGACATCGAACGAGGGTCCGACAATACGGATAACCGACGTGCAATCCGATGGCGAAGGGGACTAACTGGACTGGATTGTTGTCTGCTGGTTCGGACGCCGGTGATGGTGAGTTTCGCATTCTCCGTAGTCACATGACTTAGTCCAAGAACGGATGGGAGGGGGGAGTAATGTAGAGTGTGTCGCACTCCTTTGTATTAACTATATACAAATATGGGACTTACTCCCATCCATAATCATGAGGAAGATACTACTCTTATTCTGGTATGACACTCGCTACACTACCCCCACCTAGAGTTAGTCATGTTCTTTTTTAATAACTATACAGGAATATTGGACGAACTCCCATCTAGATTCATCATCAATATACTACGCTTATTCTGGTGTGACACTCGCTATACCAGCGGAGGAAGGAGTAATTACAAAGTATAGATCACAATAAAGGGCCCAACTGCGATAATGCGGATTCGTAACATCCTCTGTTATCGATCCTCCTCTATCCTTCGACATCCTAACAATACCGCCTCCATCGAACGGCAACACTAATACCGCAAGCTGGATCTCTGATACTCATACTCCCTCATACCCTCCCGTCGCCGTCCGTCTTCCCTTAATCACGTCCAAACAAGCCCTTCCGAAATCCTTCAACAACCACGGCAAATCCCTCAACGACTCCGCATGCGGCAACAAATCACTCCAATTCGTCGCTCCATATCTGTTGTAATTCAAGAAAGACCCAACGATGATATAGGCTGCAATGACGAGGAAGACGACGATGATGAGCCACGTGAAGAATCCCCATGATCTCGAGCGGTCACCGTCGTGAGGCGGTGGTGGGTGCTCGCCGTGCTTTCCGTCCTTCTCGGGTGGTGGAAGGTTCTTCGGGACATCAAGACATGCAAACCGGGTGTGCCATTCAAGGTGAACCACAGTGGTGTCACCACCGAAGTCAATTGACTTGTACGTCAACCCCTCCTTCGCTGCATCCTTCTCGCAGATGAACTCAGTCCGTGCGCTTTGCGCTCTGCTTGTAACGGAATTCTTGCCGTTATGGAATGCAAGTGCGAAACCTTCCCGGTTATCGGAAAGCCCCGCCAATGATGGCTCAACAGGGTCACGAGCGATGGAAATAACGCGGGAGATGAGAGATTGGTCACCTCGTTGAATTCGGGTCACGGAGCAAACTATCAATGAAGGTTAGCCTACATCGCTCCGTACAGGGGCTGCCTCCACAAGGATGGACCTCTTGTCTCCTCATCACAGAAATCATCACTGCTCATTCCGTCCGCCTTCCTAAGCCTTCCACACACATCAATTGTATACGTCGTATTCGTAACCGAAGGCGGCGTATCCCAAATGGAGCTCACGGAATGCGGACCCGCGAGCGGGGCGAGGTCGTACGTGTGGTCATTGACGGTGTACTTGCAGTCGCCTGCGACGTAGGCAGCCAGCAATGGTAGTAGCAGTAATGGTGCAAACATTCCCAAAGGCGAACGCTGGTAATGCTGGAACCTTTTTCTTGGTCGTGACGAAATCTGTCACCGGCTGCCATGCGCTGCAGGTGGCTGGTTGTACGGCGCAGGTCAAATGTCCGACAGCCGAGTGAAGCTGAGATAGAGACTGGATGCTAAGAAGTTTTATTTTTATTTTCGAGATTCTTTCCTGTCGCTCGCTAGGTTCTCATGTGTTTCCTTTTCCTGCTCCTACACCTCCCTGTATCGCAATTGTATAGCTTCCCATGCTGTCCACGTCAGCTCTCACGGAGCATATGTCTTTTCTTCGATCTGTGATGGCTCTTCCACATTCATGCCGGCTCGGAATTCTCTCAATCTGTTTGCGGGATGTTTCGTATTCACAGCCCGCTGTCGCAACTTTACTCATTCCTCACTGCTCCTCCTCATCTTGTTCTTCCTCATCCGCCGGTTCCACGGGCAACTCCGCAGTAAACCGATCATCCCCAACAGCGTACCCAACAACACACATATCTCTCAACCCCTCCACCGCATCCAGCTTCATCGAGTCCTTCTCCGTGATCTCATTCCAACTCGTACATCTATCATCCTTTGGTAGCGCGAGCTTCACGCTGTTTTCATCGACGGCCTGGGAGGTCTGAGCGAGAGCGACGGCAAGCTCGGCTTTGAGCTTCTTGAGCGTTGTTGAAGGTGCGACGGAGATAAAGAGGGTCTTGCGGGAGGACTTAAGGCGGAGTGTCCAGTTCTGCTGGGACTTTGGGGGCTAAAAAGATTCTCGTTAGCTTTCTTTCAAGTACTAATGCCCGGATACCTCACCATGGTGATGCTATAGTCTTATGAAAGTCGGGATCTTCTCGAGGCGAAAGGATTCGGCGGCGAAACTTGTTACGGCGTAGTGCGGCCCAGGTAAAGAAGGATCACCTTGGATAACGAGTTCTTCGTACGGTCACCTCAGTGTTTGCCAATATTGATCTCGAGAAGCAGACACCAAATGTCGAAGGACAGCAACGCGTTGAACGATCTGGGGAACGCGTCCTTGCGCAGGCTCGGCGCAGCCCGCCGTTCGGTGACGTCTGTATTAGCAGGGAGACTGACATACAAATACTGTCTCCATTACTATCGTATCACTGAAACTAATCATACTATGGCATCCTCAATGCTATCAACACTCCTCGTGCTTCCTCCCATTTCCTATCGTGCTTCATCATTCAAACAGTATCGGCGCGGGTGCGCGCGCCTCCTCCTTCTCACGCCTCCGTATCTTTAGTTTTCGTCCCGATGACCAATAACTTCGTCTCCGTCTCTTCAACAACCTTCTCTTCGTCATCTTTCCCTTCCGTCCTATCGGTCCTGTCTTGAGCTCCCTCTTCCTTACGCTTCCTCTCTGGCGACTTGTGCAGAACCGTCACGGCATGATACTCCGGCGCCTTCACCAACGCCAACTTCTTCTCAATGTTATGCAACTTTTCCATCTTCGTAAAAATCTTCTCCTCAGCCGTCACGTTGGTATCAATATCAATACTCTCTAAACCCCCACCACTCTCAAACTTGGCAACAAACGTGAACGCCTCCGTCTTCGCACCCGCCTCGCCAAACTTCGGAATATTTTCCCGAAGCTGCTTTCCCTAAGGCACCTCCCACATGCTTCGCTTCCCCGTCTTTGACCTTAGTTCCTTCCTGCTCCTGTTCGGTTATCCAGCTCTGTTGGCGGAGCGGGAGAGGGGCTTCGTCGACCATGGCCCTGGAGACCGGGACTCCCTGCACCCTGGGCGGTTGCTGCCACGAGGGCATAAAAGCAGCCATCGTGAATGCCATACAACCTCGTCAAGGCCTCCGCCTCCTCCTTCAACTTCCTCGTAGGCGGAAGATTCAACTTCTTATCCCATGCCTTCTTGTGGGGTATGAAATCCAACATAGACAATTTCGCCGCACCCTTTGATTTCCAATCCTGCCGCAGTGGAGAAGTGCATGCATTTGCCATCCGAGCTTGAGATTCGGAGGGGCAGTCCCTCTGCTGCCAAACACCAGAACTACTGATTCCATGATCGGGACCGTACAAACATCTACCGGTACGGTGGAACTATTTACGAATGACCCCGTTGTTCGCCAGCGAAAATATGATATATATTGGGTATTCATGCATGCTTATGCCTCTCAAACAATGCTTATCGTATCAATCCGGTTATCGAGGCTCCTCTCTCTTCTGCCCTCCTTCATTATCTCATGCATCAGGTCCACGACAATTGTACCTTGCAGTCAATGCATCATTTTCTTCGTCATCCCACTTAAGCCGACTGCGTCCTCGTCTTTTCTCCCTCCCCCCTCATAATCTCTTCCTTCAACCCAAACATCGGGAAAATCTGACTAACAGGCCTACTCCCCACCGCACCCGCCAAACGTCCCAACTGGACTTTTGTCTTCGGTAATGTACCAGTCGCTGCACCCTCAAGCACGACATCATCCAACGTCGGGTTACGCGTCGACACCACGACCTGCGAGAAATTCCTCGAGCCAACGGAGTGGTTCTTGTGAAGACAGTACGCCCCCACCGCAACACACAGCGACGCAAAGAAGAGACCGAGACCATACGACATCCAGAAGATACCGCGGTTGTGTGGGCTGTAGGAGTACACTGTCCGGACATCACGACTCGTGATCGTAGTCTGCTGCATCACGGGGTCCGAGCCATCCTGCGCAGGCATAGCCAACGTGCTCACGGTAATGTTCTGCATCAACTGCTCCAGCCCCGTCATAAACGCATTCACATCGCCGGGAAAGGTGAGATAGTTATGTCCACCAATCACGGCCAGAGTCGCCAAGTTCGTATTCGCGATCGCAGTGTTATTAACCGTGGTCGTCGACCCATTCGTCGGCACAATGGAACCAGAGAGAGCGTTAACGAACGTATCCTTGATCCCGATAGTGTTGAAGAACGACCACAAAGTTGAATTGATACCTTGAAGGAACTCAACCTCACTCGTACGCTTTGCCAACAGGCCACGACGGAAGTTCTGGATCTCGAGATGACGCTTCTTCCGCGCCGCAGCAACGGCGCTGGTAGTGGCCGTGGTAGTCACAGCTGTCGTAACAGCGACCGCGGGAGTTGTTACGGCAGCGACGACGGTGTCCGAAGTGATAGCAGCGGCAGCCGTAGTCGCCGGAGTGGTGGTGGCCACCACCGCAGCCGTGGTCGTCGCAACGCTATCCGTCGACGTCGGAGTCGTCACCGCAACAGCCGCACTACTACTTCCCGTATCCGTAGTCGTTGTCCCCAGCGACGTCGTAGCCGTATCAGTCACCGCCGTAGTACCGGTATCACTTGGACTGGTTACCGTACCCGTATCCGTAATCGTTCCCGTACCCGTCGTATCCGTCCCCGTCGTAGTCTGCGTCGCAGTCCCAGAAGTCCCAGACGCCGCAGCAGACGCGGAAGCAGAAGCAGCAGACTCAGTACCACTTGCACTGTTGGCAGCACTCGTCGCACTCGCCTCACTCGCACTCCCCGACGCCGTAACACTCCCCACACTCGCACTCGCACTCGCACTGGCACTGGCACTTCCACTCCCCACCGACTCCGAAGCCGAAGCCGACCCCGACGCAACACTTCCCCGTCTAGTACTACTCCCACTCCTTACCCCACTCCCGCTACTCCCCAAAAACGCACTCGTGGGCACAACAAACGTGGGCGTCGCATAAGTAACATCCGCACTCATCGCACTACTCGCCACAACCCTAACATACTCCTCCTCCAACCTCGCATCGAGGGCTCCTTGTCCTTCTTGCTCCGTACTCAAGAACGTGGAGATGGTGACGTTTGGTACGCCGTCTGTGTAGATGTAGGAGATGTTGTAGGTTGTGTTGTACAACACGCACTGAACGCAGAAGTTGTACGAGGTGGATTGGACCCAAAACTCGTAAACACCCGTATCCGTGCTTTCCTCCGCCCAGTAATCCGCATCTTGCGTATCCTCAGAGAGACTCCGACACGCAGTCGCCTCCGCACACTGATACCCCGGCCCCCAAAACCCAAGTTCATACGAGCAATTCCCCGTACACCCCCCAACCGTCTCAGGCGGAACCACCGAACCCCCGACCATGGCGCGCATAGCATACCGCGCCAATACCCCAGACGGCTGCTTTTCTAACCAATTCTCCGAGAAATCGACATAACCTTGCGAGCCGTTAAGCGACAACGTCCGGAGATCCGCGATTGATGTCGACGGGTCAAATGTTGTGCGGAGGGTTAGTGCACCACCATTGAAAATCGCACTCAACGGCAACATCCACGAAACAACCGCCAGCACCGCCGCCAATTTCCCACTCAATAAGGTGCGGAAATGAAATAAATAAACCGGGTTGGAGGTCAAGTTCCACAACGCATCAATCTCCCCAATCGAAATCGCGGTAGAGCGGACGGTATACCAAAACACCTGATCAAACGCCAACGCAATACTCGCCACGAGTAACGTCTTGTACAGGAAGATAAACAACTGACTCGTCCTATTGATCCAAATCTGCGGCAAGCTCGCAGGATTCAACACCGTACTCATCGTCGACGTATCCGAGGTGGAGGAAGAGATAACGTCATGCCCATCCAAATACTGATAAAACAAATCTTGTCCAATCGCGGTAATCAACCCCGCCATAAGTAGCACGAGCATAAGAAACAACGTCGCCGTCATCGGTGTCACGGACCATAAGTTCCACCAGGGACGAGGACCAGTGGGGTGGTCGTGTGCGATATCCCGACTTCGGGGGGGGAGGTTCGGATCGTGGTGGTGGTGGTGGTGGTGGCCGAAACCGTGAGTGTGGCGATCAGAATCTTGAATGCTCTGACCTTCCCCAGTGACGTTGATCGGTGAGGTAAGTTGTTCTTTCGTCCCATGCACAGGCTCCGGATCATACGCCGTCCCATCATAACTATGACTGGAATACGTCTGAGCCTGCTCGTACGCATCCCCATGCCCATGTCCATGCCCAGGACCAAGCCCAATATCGACCTGACTCAACTGACTCGGCTGACTCACATAACTCGGTCTCTGCTCAAACCCAATCCCTCCACGAGACCCAGACGCCCTGATAGGATACTCCGTAAACTCATACGCCTCACCCTGACCTCCTAGCACCGGGTGGGGGTTGAGAGGAGCATGGGCTGCCACATCGTCGTCATCGTCTTGCTCGCTGAACCGGGAGCCGGAAGCTGTACGGCCGCGAGGGTGAATGGGACGGCCGGGGGAGTAGTGGGTTGGGGTCTGTGATTTCGTTTGTGTTAGCACACAGCTGTACATGACTGAATGTCGAGAAGAAGTCACCATTGTATCACCCGATCAAAACTTGACTGACTGACTGCAGAACCAGCTGCTACTTCGTACAAGGCAGTCAACCCTTTTGTATGACGCTCGCTCTATAGCACGGCACACCGCCTCAACAGATGCATCATCCTTTGCAACGTTGGTGTCTCGGTGGGGGTTATTCTAGTATAGATGACATGCATGAGAAATGAGACCTAGGAGTCACAATCAGGTTTTCTATTTTTAGAAGTCATCCCAACATCATTGCCAATTGGAAGAGGAGAAGGGAAGGACGGAGATTATTCGGCGGGTGGAGATTGTCTGATGTCGGCTGAACCTCGCAGCCTCGGGTTTTTGCAGGGGATCAAGGGAGTGGGCCGAGCCGCCGCTGTCTGTTTCATTGAGTGCCGGTCGGATCCCGCGAGTGACAGCTTGGCAACTGAAGCCTGCCGATGCCTTTTTTCAACGGCAAGCTCGAGCTCATTCGATTCTTCGTATCAACAGACAGCGGCATCCAAGAATGTTAGGTGAATATGACACCAATGCACCGTGTGTCTCAGGCAACGATCCCCTTCTGCTGTTCTTGACGTTGAACCAGATCTTCTTTTACTTCAAAATATTTGGTCATGAACTCTCTTTATTCCATCTTCATCCCGCATTAGGCATATCCACGTTACACCCCGAGGCCTCCTCGACCCCTACACAAACCCCCACCACTACTGTCCAAACCGATCCGCCCAACCACCACCCGCACACGCTCTTTCACCATGCCCTTCAAAGCCCTCCTCCTCGACATCGAAGGCACAACAACCCCAATCTCCTTCGTCCGCGACACCCTCTTCCCCTACTCCCTCTCCGCCCTCCCCGCAATCCTCCACCACGAATGGTCCTCGCCAGCCTTCACCCCCTACCTCTCCGCCTTTCCCGCCTCCAAACGCGAATCGCCCGAAACACTGGTGGAATACGTAACAGAGTTGACAGCGAGAGCCGCAAAAGACCCCGCGTTGAAGAATTTACAAGGGTATATTTGGTCTCGTGGGTATTTGACAGGCGAGATCCTGGCACCGGTATATGATGACATACCCCGTATCATGTCCGCTCTCGCCGCTCGCGGAATAAAGACCTACATTTACTCCTCCGGCTCCATCCCAGCCCAAAAACTCCTCTTCGGACACTCGACCCAAGGGGACATGACATCCCAAATCAGCGGCTGGTTCGATCTCTCCTCAGGTCTCAAAATTGCATCCGAATCCTACACCAAAATCGTCGCGGAAATCGGAGTGGAGGCGGGGGATGTTTTGTTCCTCTCTGATATCGTTAAAGAATTGGAAGCGGCGCAGAGGGCTGGGGTACAGGTGGGTCTGAGTGTGAGGGAGGGGAATGAGGAGGTGACCGAGGAGGTTAAGAAGAAGTACAGGGTGTTGGAGAATGGTTTTGATCCCATTTTGGAGTGGTAGTGCAAGGAGAGGGGTGTGAGTGAAGCGATATGAACGTCGCCATTTCTAAGATAAAAGAATAACAAAATGCAAGAATAGAAACCGTTTGCTCACGTCCCGTAAGCCAAATGCGTATCCGTCCTCTCACTTCCCCTTTACTACGAAGCACTCCTCCGTTACGTGCACGCTTACACATAAGTCTCCACCAAAGCATTCCTCATACCACCAACAATAGCATTCGGCTGCGCATCCTGGATCCTGAAAATACTCTCCACAACACTCAACTCCGTCGCAGTCGTATCCAACCCCGCAAACGCACACCAATCATTCACAACCAACCCCGCCCCAATAACATCACTTCCCCGATTCACCGTTCCCGCAACCAACGGGATCTGCAACAACGAGGACAACTCATCCTGATCCTGGACCGAAGTTTTCGGGTGCACGAGACCACCTTGGTTGGAGAGGGCGCAGTACGAACCGGTGAGGACGTTGCCTGCGACGGTTTGTCGGAAGACTTCGACGCCGAGGACGTCGGCGATGATTTCCTCCGTCTCGCGCTCGATATCGGGATGTACCAATGCCACGTAATCATTACACGCGATCACGTTGCCCAATGCACTCAACCTCTCCTCGACCCTCTGCAACTGTACCGAATCCGGCAACGAGTTCCTCAGGTGCTGGAGTTCTTGGTCGGTTGTCGAGGTGGGGACGAGGAGGCCTTTGCGGTTACCGGCGCAGAGACGACCGATGATGCGGGAGCCACCGATGGAGGTGTGGATTACGGGGAGGACATCGGCGAGTTCGCCTTCGAAGACGGAGTAGAAGTTTTCGGAGCCGCCAATTGCGACGAGGGCGTAGGAGTTTGTGAGGGTGGAGAAGACTCCGATTCTGTCATCCTGTTAGTATACGATTCACCGACCGTCCACGCTCTATTGCAAGGAGGCGGACCAAGGAGGCGACAAACTCACTCATTAGAGTTCTCGAACTGAGCACGAGTAACAGACATGATGAATAACTAATACTAATTCCTTTTCCTTTGAACTTGTCAAACTGATCGGGTGAATGAAATCCAATGAACGATAGAGGGCGATGGTGTTGAGTTTTCTTATTCCCAAACAGCTTACGTTTGCGCACACCAAACTTTTCGCCGCTTGACGCAAGGTACCGTAATACTGCAGTTGCTGCCAGATAATAGGATAGGGAAGCAATTGGGTAACAAAACAAAACCGATAACATATATCCGGCCCACGATTACACCCCTCTCTTTGCACGTCCGTCTCCGAATTCATATACCCCTTTACCCCTACTCCATAAAGTCCTCCTGATTCTCAAACAAATAATTTGCCGTAACCTCCTCATCCTTATCACAAGCAAAATACGCCTGCACAACAACATCCCTCTCGAACCCCAACCCAACCAACCTCTCAATCGCATCCCGCTCCGCCTCCGTGACTTCGACTCTCATCATGCCATCTCCTCCACCTTCGAAATCCTCGTCCCCTTCGTCATCGAGACCGGGCATTCCTTCGGCAAGGAGTGCGAGGAATGCTTCGGTATTGGCGTTGATGAGGGCTGCGAGGCCGGGGTTGCCTTGTGCGACTTGTTGGAGGATCGGCTCGAGCATTGCGGGGTTTTGGTGCACAACCTGACGCAATTGCTGAAATTGGGGGTTGTTCCGCAAGAAATCCAGGTTTGACGCCGCGGCGGCCGCAGCCCCTCCAGGAGCAGCACCAGCAGGTGGGTTCTGTGCCGCAGCAGCAGCAGCCTCGAACATATTCCCACTTCGCCCCGCAGCCTGAGGAGCAGCAGGTGTCTCCGCAACACCCCCAGTCTGCGCAGCAGGCGTAGCGGGAACCGCACCACCTTGGGCTTGTGCCGGTGCCGGTGCCGGTGCCGGTGCCTGCTCACGCAACAAATGCTCGGGAATCCCGGTCAAGAGATACTCGACCGCACGATCGGGGTTATTGAATGCGGCGCGCATGGCACGCTCGACCTCAGCCCTTTCGTATCCCATCTCGAGCATATTTGCGATTGCTTGTTCGCGGGCGCCGCCCATTGCTAGGGCGGAGGGGTCGTTGAAGGCGGGAGGGGCGGTGGAGGCGGGAGCTGGGGTTGCGGGTTCAGCGGGGGCAGCGGCGGATGCGGCGGATGCAGATTCGGCTGCGGGTGCGGATGATGGTGCTGATGCTGGCTCGGGAGCTGGGGCGGCGGCGGGGGTGGTGTTGGTTTGGGCTGCGGGTGCGGGGGTTGCTGGCTCTGCGGGCTTAGGTGCGGCCTTGGGCTGTGATGACGGAGGTTAGCTGCTGTTTGTGCAATTCTTGCGAGCGAGTACGGAGGGATGGTGGACCGAGCATACACCCCGGAGATACCATTGATCCCGGGATGTATGCTATGCTTCTCCACTCCCAATTGCCACACCCCAAGCATCAAGGCTCAAACAACTCACCTTGCTAACCATACACACAACAAAATCCTTCTCCTTCACACCAACCTCCTCAACAGTCTTCTCATCCCCCAAAATCTTCCCCGAGAAAATCAGTTTCTGGTTCTTGGCTTCATACCCCTTCTCTTCCTCGATCTTGGCCTTGATTTGTGCGACGGTGTCGGAGGGCTCGACGTCGATGGTGAACTTTTGTTGCTGGAGGTTCTTGAGGGTGAGCTTCATCTTGACGGGAATGGCTCTGAAGTGGGAATTTTAAGGGTTGATAGGGGTCAATTGGGATGTATGCGCATACCTTTTGGAGTTCTGGTGATGAGTGCGGCGGTACTGCGTGCGTAATCACCAGCCGCAATCCAGGGACCGTCCCCCGCGTAACCCGTGGGATAGTACAACAAAAATGAATGACATTAATTGAACTTGTATTTCTACCATAAGGGCAGAAACAATTAACGAGTTCCGGTTTACGTTATGCTATAGTACACTACCTAGTTCCTCCCAAACCCCTACACCCTACACCCTACAGCTGCAAAGCATCCTTCAACAAGTTCTGCTCCTCCTGCTTGTGCTGCAACTTGTTTCCAGTAGCAACGGAAGCACTTGGTGCACGACCGGCGTACCTGGCCACCAAATCCTTCTTACCCATCTCCTGCATCAAGGTGTGCAAACGAGGCTGCACGAAAGACCATGCACCAGCGTTGAGAGGCTCCTCTTGACACCAGACGAGATCCTGCAAGTTGGTGTATTTTTCGAGGATGTCCTTCAAGACGGCGAAGGGGAAGGGGTGCAACTGCTCGACACGGACAATAGCGACGTCATCCAACTTGCCAGTCTCGCGAGCCTTGTGGAGGGCAGCGAAGACCTGACCAGAACAGAGAACGACACGCTTGCACTCGGATTCGGGCTTGAGGGTACCGTCCTTGTGTCCAGGATCAGGCAAGACGCGCTGGAAGTGCGACTCACCAGTGAACTCCTCCAAGTCAGACCTGGCGAGAGGATGTCTCAACAAGGCCTTAGAAAAGAACAAGATCAAAGGCTTGCGGAATTCGCGGTGAATCTGGCGACGGAGGGTGTGGAACATGTTGGCCGGAGTGGTAGGGTAGACGATCTGCATGTTGCAGTCCTGGTGCTGACGCTGCAACTTTTCGGGGGAGGGGTAGACACGGGGGTCCTCGTTACACAACTGCAAGTAACGCTCCATACGTCCGGAAGAGTGCTCAGGACCCTGACCATCGTATCCGTGGGGAAGGGACATAATCAAACCAGAACGCTGGAGCCACTTAGTTTCAGCGGAAGCGATGAACTGATCGATAATGACCTGAGCAGTGTTGGCGAAGTCACCGAACTGAGCCTCCCACATGACCAAAGCATGGGGAGATGTCAAGGAGTAACCGTACTCGAAACCGAGGACACCGTACTCGGACAAGTGAGAGTTAGAGATGACGAACGAAGCCTGCTCCGCGTCCAAAGCCTGCAGAGGAACGTGAGTACCCTCGTTCTGCTGGTCGTGAAGAACGGCGTGACGCTGAGAGAACGTACCACGCTCGACATCCTGTCCGGAAACACGGACGTGGGTACCCTCCTTCAACAACGAACCGAAAGCCAAAGCCTCACCGGTAGCCATGTCGATACCCTTACCATCCTCGACGGACTTTCCACGCTGCTTCAAGATACGGGCCAAGTTCTTGTGGAGGGTGAATCCCTCAGGCACGGAAGAAACGACACGACCAATCTCCTTCAACACCTTCTCGTCAACAGCAGTAGGCAAGTGAGGCAAGATCTCGGTAGCCAAAGTCTTGGGGGAGGCAAAGCCATTCCATGCAGCAGTCAACCACTCACGGGCAGTAGGTTCGTATTCTGGTGCCTTCTTGAAGCTCTCCTCGAGGGTGTTCCAGACCCACTGCTTGTGCTCATCGATATCCTGCTGGGTGAAGCTACCCTCCTCGATCAACTTAGCGGTGTAGATCTCCAACGCGGTCTTCTTCTTGGCGATGGTGTTGTACATGCGAGGCTGAGTGAACATAGGCTGGTCAGTCTCGTTGTGACCGTGCTTACGGTAACAGACGAGGTCGATGACGACGTCGGTCTTGAAGGTCTGACGCCACTCAGCGGCGAGGTTGTGGATGTAGGTAACGGCCTCGACATCGTCTCCGTTAACGTGGAAGACGGGGGCGTCGATAGCCTTGGCGATGTCGGAACAGTAGGGGGTGGAACGCGAGAAACGGGGGTCAGTAGTGAAACCAATCTGGTTGTTCACGACAATATGGATGGTACCACCGGTAGAGTATCCGGGCAAGTTAGCCATACCCATGGTCTCGTAGACGACACCCTGTCCAGAGAAAGCAGCATCACCGTGCAACAAGACACCCATAGACTTGTGGTGGTCCTTCTCGTCGTTGGAGAAGTGCTGGATGGCACGGGTCTTACCCAAGACGACGGGGTCCTCCGCCTCCAAGTGGGAGGGGTTAGCGACCAAGGAGAGGGAGACACGCTTTCCGGAGGGAGTGGGGCGCTCGTAGTTCATACCCAAGTGGTACTTGACGTCACCAGATCCCTCGTCAGAAGGCTCCTGGGTACCGGCAAACTCAGAGAAGATGGACTCGTTGGGCTTACGGACGACGTTGGAGAGGACGTTCAAGCGACCACGGTGAGGCATACCGATGACAATGGAACGGATACCCTGGTCGACAGAAGTGTCGATCAACGCCTTCATACCGGGGATAAGGGTCTCACCACCCTCCAAACCGAAACGCTTGTCGTTAGGGTACTTGGAGGCCAAGAACCTCTCGAAAGAGTCAGACCAGATCAAACGGTCCAAGATACGTCTCTTCTCATCCTTGGAAAACTGGTAGGGTTTGGGGACCTCGACGCGCTCGCGGATCCAGTCGCAGCGGGTACGGTCGGGGATGTGGACGTATTCGATACCGTAGGCACCAGAGTAGATCTTCTCGCAAGCGGCGATAATCTCCTTCAACTTCATCTTCTCCTTTCCGCCGTCACGCGCGAAACGAGGCAAGATACCCGGGCCAAGGGTGAACTCCTTCTCGAGGTCCTTCTCGGTCCATCCATAGTGCTCCAACTTCAACTCGACGGGGGTGCCGGCAGCGAGGTCAGCGGTGTCCTTGATACCGAGGGGGTCGATCTTTGCCTTGTGGTGACCGCGAACCTGGTAAGCACGGACGAGGAGCTGCACCTTCAAGTGGTCAGTAACCTCGGAGCTGGCACCGGTAATACCGGCGCCGGGGACGATGCTGGGAACACCACCAGCAGGTGTAGGCACGTTTCCTGGCACGATAGTAGGTGGTGCCTGGAATGCCTGTGCGGGATCAACGCCCTCGGTCTCCATGTTCTTGAAGTACACTTGCCACGAAATGTGGACGGAAGAAGGGTCCTTGCGCCATGCCATGTACATCTCATCGACATAGTTGGCGGAGTTACCCTGGAGGAAAGCATCGCTGCCGGAAGCGTAGGAGCGAGAGGAGATGATGGAGGGAGCGGCCGAGCGGCGGGAGGCGAGGGAGTATGTGTTGAGGCCTTGGCGAGCGACGGCCTGGCCGGACCGTGCTCGCAGTCTCGATGATTGTGAGAGGATGTTCCTCAGCATTATGAGGGTATTTGGTATAGAGGGATCGTATCAACCCTTTTCGGGGGCGAGTGGTGGGTTGTTCGGAAACAATTGCAGGTCCTCGATTGGCGATGAGGTCGGTCCTCCGAGACGGCAGCTGCACGGGTGAGTGGAACATTTTACGCGGGATATCTACAAGCCGTAAAAGTGCTGGGATTATTATAACAGTAAATGAGGAAGAATGAATGCATGCCGAGCAGGATTCATGTTTTTGGATGTCGCCCGGCGGTGGTGCCCCTCTGGAGATATCCCGACCAACTCCGGGATTGAGGTTCTCTGAGGCTCTTAAACAGGCGTCACAGTCGCCTTGAATAACAGTGTGGTGGTTGTGCTCCCTTGCTACGGTGTTCGTAAGACCAGCCAGAACCGTCGCAATCCACGTCAGCTGCGCGTTCTCGTACCGGGATTTGAAAACAAACTCCAATCAATGGCCTAAAACAAAGCACAAAGCTAACTCCGTATACCTACCGGATGCAGAACCCGTCTCACATAATATCGTACACCTTTACTTCCATTGCCCGTAATCAAACATGATTCCTTTCCCTTCCCTGACCGTCTCCCTGCAATGCTCTTCATCGAAACTCAACCTTCCCCTCCGACTTCCTCCCCCTCGTCCCCCAAAACCCAACATACTCCAAATCCACATTCCCCTCCAAATCCTCATCATCCCCGAAAATCTTCAACACGACGTATCGCGCACTAATCGGTGGATTAAACGTTATCACCGCTTCCGCGCCACCGGTGGGAGTGGGGTAGTAGGCGTTTGTGCCCAGGGAAGAGCCAGGTGGGGTTGTCGAGGTCGTGGGTTCCGGTGGACGGAGGATAAACGATGCAACGGGCGTTGTCTGGTCATTTCCGTTCGTAGAGGGTTTAGGACTATACCCTCCCTGCGACGGCGACCCCGGACTCGCGCTTCCAGGCCTGTAACTGAAGTACATCTCTTCCCCCACAGCCCTAAACTCCCTCTCCCAATCAGACCCTTCCTCAGAATGCGCCGAGTGTGTCCCATGATCACCCTTCACACCTGGCCGATTCCACCCCTCAATCCTTTCGAACCCAATATCCTCCATTCCAACAAACACCAATCCTCCCAACGGCGGACTCGTATACCTCTGTGGATCAGCCCCTCTCACGACGATCTTCGACAACGAAAAAGGCTCGAGATAGGATGATTGCGGGAGGTGGAGTGCGAATTTCAGGTTGATGTTGTCGTTGTTGGAAGTGCAATATACACTCGTTGGGTCGGGGTGTAACATCCCCTCAGGCGGATACTGAATGGGATCATAACACCCTCCATCCTCGAGCACCAACCTCAACGGCAGCTGATCCTGTTCCAACTCCGGCCTGGGTTTCTGCACCGACATCTTCGGCGGGGGGCGCGCATACGGGGAAGCACGGATAAGTCTTCTCGCACTCCTCATGACCCCCGACGTGTCCAACCTCTCACTGGAACGCTCTAGTGCGCGGAGATTGGGGGCATATCCGAATAAACGCCCATACGTATACGGCGGTGGTCCCCTGCCTACACCCTCCATATGGTCTCGGCGGTCTCTTCGGTCGTTGTATGCGGACATTGTGGTGTAGAAATCGCGACCGGTATCGCCACCGCCGCCGTACGCGCCGTTTCCGTATCCGTGACCCCCGGCCCCATACGTAGATCTATACGGATGTTCATGCCCAGGGTGAGGGAGGGCGCGTCTCTCATCCTCCTCGGACTCATAATCGATGAGGTCCTCCGGGTCATGGGACTCCACATATGGTTGACGTGGTGTCAGTGGCATCTCTGTCTAAGGATGTTTTGGATGGGAGGAGGCGGTGGGTGTAGGTGTTGGGGTTAGGTGAACCATACGTCAGACTTTCCCCGGATTTGGGATGGTGCATGTAACGTGGACACCTCCCGACGTCTTCGCCTCCCCCCCCCCCCCCCCCCCCCCCTGCCAACCCAGAACAATCACAATGGACGAGGCAATCAGCGCAGACGAAATCGCCCTCTACGACCGCCAAATCCGCCTCTGGGGCCTCCAAGCCCAACAACGCCTGCGAAACGCTAATATCCTCCTCATCTCCCTCCACGCCCTCTCAGCCGAAACCGCCAAAAACCTCGTCCTCGCCGGAATCGGGCGTTTAACACTCCTAGATCCCTGCCGCGTCTCCCCCTCCGATCTCGGTGCGAACTTTTTCCTGGAAGAAGGCGATGTGGGAAAGGGGAGAGCGGAGGCAGTGGTGGAGAGGGTGAAGAGGTTGAATCCGAGGGTTGAGGTTGTTGTTGATAGGGGGTTGGTCGGGGAGAGGGATGAAGGATTTTTTGGGGGGTTTGATTTGGTTGTTGCGACGGAGATGGGGTTTGATGAGCTCGTACGTCGTGTCCCCCTCACCTTCCTTTCGGTGTGCTGATTGGTTTGGTGTGTAGGTCAAGATCAACAACCACTGCCGGAATACGAATACCCCATTCTACGCAGCAGCCACCCACGGCCTCTACGGCTACATCTTCGCCGATCTAGGGTCGCACACCTATACCCTCTCCTCACCCGACCCAAAAGCAAAAGTGGTACCCAGGCAAACACCACCAATGATCACGACCCCACACACAAAAACCTGGGACCCCCTCTCCACAGTCCTAGGCGAAGAGCGAAAAGAGGCATTTGGGACGGGAATGAGGCCGAAACTTAGGAAGAGGGTGAGTCCCGTCTTACCGGCTCTATTAGCGACATGGGATATCTATCCCCACATTCACCCCGCCCACCCCGAACCCATCGACCCAGACCCCATCACGATCGCAGATTTCTCCGCAGCAACACACTCCGCCGCCCGCTCTCTCGGCCTGGACGCAGACCTCCTCATCACGGAATCCTTCGTAGAGAGCTGGGTAAGCGGGTTCGGGACGGAATTGAGTCCGGTTGCGGCGGTGGTGGGGGGTGTGTTGGCGCAGGATGTGTTGAATGTGTTGAGTGGGCGGGAGGAGCCGATTAGGAATTTGTTTGTGTTTGATGGGGAGCAGGGAGGGGCTGGGCCGATTTATTCGATTTAAGTATAATTCACACGGTACTGTAAGGTTGCGTTCTAAAGTCATGCGAATCACGTGTAGCGCGCATAAAATCCTCGATGTCTCGATTGCGCTCCGCTGAAAACTTCGAGCAATTGAAGGAAACCGTTGCAGACCTTCAAGCAGCATGGGGCAGGTACGGGGAAGAAGTGGGCTGTTCATATTACGCTCAAGACTGATTTCAGACCTGCCGACGGCACCAGCGGTGAATCCGACGGTGAACTACCCAATGCTGCTAGGACGAATATGGGTGGACGCAAGGACAAAGGCGAAAAGAAGTACGGTAACAACCCTACGAAGCGCATGCTGAAGGATATTGAGAAGGCAAACGACAACAACCAATTCAAACAGTCGGTTTTGCGAAATGTCGAATCCCTTCCAGATCAGTGGATCTGCACCGAGCATGAAGGTAGCCCATGCTACATCAATCCCTTCACCAGCGCTCATCAACGGCTCAGCTCTCACCATATTACCCACTGGGCAGAAGCCATGACAATACCTCGGCTTGACAAATCTACCAAAGACCCCAGCCTTCGTTAAGTTCAACAAGCCTACACTATCACAATCAGACATCTACGGGACACCATGTCCTGCTTCTCTTCCGACTCCAGCAACCTCCATGGCGCACCTAACCGCCGTCGGTGCTTCGACCAGAAGTTTTCCCACGCCTAATGAACCTCCCTCAAGCCCATTGAAAGCTGCAGACGCCACTGATCTGCCCGGTTTCATGAACTTTGTCAACAGGCTTACACCCTCTTATGCTGGTTTTGAACCCTTCGTTGCTGAAGAGGCGCTGAAGTACAATGGTATGGTATTGGGTAATTTGCCGAATCTGCCACCAGGGCAAGAGATTCCAGGAGTGAAGCTGGGCCATCTTATGGCAATGAAACATCACTGGCCAGCGTTTAAGCACAGTAAGAAGGCTTGTCGTAAGTTGGCGGATGAGTTACATGAGATGGATCAGGAGGTCTTCAAGCCCGCTGTCTCGGAGACCTTCCACCACCTTGAGGATGACGGAGAGCTGTAAAAGGGATCGAGATAATGCTCGTGGCAATTGACTTTGAGAGGTAGCGGTTGGCAGGGTCTCGTATTTTTGTAATCCGCAAAAATCGACGAGTGGATACAAATTGACTAGTAGCAGATATTTTTTGACAGGACGGCCGCTGCCTTGTAGATTGGAATGCTGCCTTCCAGTAGAACTAGTTTTTGACGTTTTTTACTTTTGTAATAAGGTTCTTGGTGGATTATGCATGGTCCTCGGGTGTTCTGACGTCCAGAACTGCGCTTGTGTCTGGTTCATCCAGGAGTCTCCAATTAGATAGTGAATGCCGAAAATGGTATGGGTTAACGAGCAAGAACTATCGTGAGAAAGCAGCTGCGCGAAGGTCTATAAAGTGTATGTTTGGCTAGATGTACTATGCTATGTCATAGCGAGCAGACCTGGAGTCTCGTCTTACGTTTCATTTACGCCAATATTACCCCATGTACTCGCCTCAGTTTGAGCCAAGCCGTACCCGCATTCACGCATCAAATTGCAACGCTTTTCAGGATAGGCATTGATCGACAAGTCCAACTCTTTACTCAAGAAGTATCCCGGCTGCTCCATAGCCCACGGGTGCTCACGGTTGCGCTTGATCCAAGACTTGAGCATCGAAAAGGGAATCTCTATGGGGTTGAGATCCGGCGAATACGGTGGTAGGTACTCGATTCGACATCCATGATCGATGATCAGCTCCCGCACCCTGGGATCATGATGAGTGCCACATTTATCCATGACAACCACACTATGCTTTGCTGGGAAGGGTTTCAGTACGTTCAGCAGCTTATCGGCCACAAAATCCACGAACCGGTTCGCATCAAAGCTCCCTTGGTAGACCGAATGGCAGATCATCCCTTCTTGGGAAAACGCAGGCAGTAATGACCATCTCAGACCTCTTCGACGGCCTCGATCTTCACACGCGGGTGAACCATGTGGAGCATACCCAAACTTGCGGTAAGCAGACCTATTATCGACGGCCGTTTCGTCAAGGAAAACGAGTTGATCGATGGTGTAGTCAGCGAACTGGATGCTATGGTGGCTTCGAAGGGTAGAATTGCGCTGGGCAGCTCTGACTGAGAGCCTTTTCCGGGTCCACCCGATTTTGCGCAGGTATCTAAAGACATCGAGTTGGTTGAGGTCGGTAGCTAGCAATTCATTGATGCAATCAGCTGCTTCATCGTGATATAGCGTAGGAGTATTGCTGTAGAGAATCTGAATGTGCTACAAGCTTTTCAGTCAAGTCATGGAATGCCCGCGGGAGAGAGCATACCATCCCAATGCCATCTTCAATCTTCCCTGGGCGGCCTAGGTTTGAGTGTTTAGGAGCAGAGGAATAACCAGACGCGTCATACTGGTTCTTAATTCTGTAAACGGTGGACTTATGCTTTCCGGTCCATTCAGCAATGTCACTCACAGGCTGACCACGGAGCGAATCGCGAATAACTAGAGCGCGCACCGCATCACGAACTCGTTTACCTACCATATGATGACGCGTCCTGGTCTCCTAGGCCCTTGGTTGTCGAGTACGAAGGGTTTTTTGTCTCGACGTTTTTTACTGTTGTAATAAGGTAGCCACACGTGATTCGCATGACACGGGGTTGCTTGATGCAGGGTTCTTGTAGGTTGAGTTGGCACGCATGCGGCACGTCACCATTAAGGAGGCTAGGGGCCACCCTGACTGATACTTGGCACGTTGCCGTTCCGCGGTGAGTGTTAACAGTCCTTACCATTGGGAAATTGGCAGCATTCACTCCCGGAGTCTCTCTCCAGTCTCTTTTCCTGCACGGCAGTTTGGGGTACCGCATATATTCCAGCCGTTCTCTCGCTCTTGAAGTTCGCCATCAGTCACTCTCCAACAGCAGCTACAACGTCCAAGCCAACACTCACCATGCCCAACCTCAAAATCTCCAAGCTCCGCCAATTCCTAGGCGAAAAACTCGGCCAAGAAGAAAAAAAGACAATCCAAACCGACGTCTTCCAAGCCCTCGAAGCCGAAATGGTACTTCGTCGCGAAGGGACAGAGACGCTGCTCAAACACACCGAGCTCTACCTCCGTAACATCTCCAAAACAAAAGTCGGTGAGGGAGAGGGAGGGAATAAGGAGAAGGAGAAAGCTATGCCGGTTGAGTTGCTGGGAAAGGCGTTCGTCGGGCATGCGGGGATGTTTGAGGAAGGATCCGCGTACGGTACCGCCCTCTCTCTCCTCGGCCCGGCATTGATCAATATCGCTGCGCATCAAAGCTACCTCTGTGCCTCCACCGACACCCTCCAAAAGTCCTTCCAGGGACATCTAGACCTCCACGCCACCCTCCACAAACTCCAATCAAAACTCGAAGGCCGTCGACTCGCCTACGACGCCGCCAAATCCCGCGCCTACAAAGCCCGCAAAGAAGACGCGCGAATCGAGGAAGAAGTCATCGCCGCTGAATCCAAGTGGACGGAGACATCCGATGCTGTCGAGGAGTGTATGGAGCGGATTAGGGAGGGGGAGGGTGAAATGTTGAGAGCTCTGACTGGGTTCTTGGAGAGTGGGAGGGAGTTTTATGGGAGGTGTTTGGGGGAGGTGGAGGGGGTTAGGGGGAAGTGGGTTTGTGAGGTTGATGAGAACTTACCAACACCGAATTTGAGTAACGGGAGTGTGAAGGAAACGAAGGAGAAGGAGAAGGAGAGGCCGAAGATCGTTAGTCGGATTACCACCGGTACCATGGGCGGCAACGAGAAGCAGACGAATGGGTACGGCACACTCTCATCCTCCCCCCCCTCGATGTCAATGCTCTCGACACCCACCACATCCACACACACCAACCCCCGCCCGTCCCCAATGCAAAGATCCAAAACCGCACCGCTTCCACCACCTGCCCCACCATCCTCCTCCGCCCCACCCATCCTCCGCTGCAAATTCTCCCACGAACCACAAGACGCCGAAGAACTCGAACTTCACGAAGGCGATTTAGTCGTGTTGGTGAAGGAAGTCAGTCAATCCTGGGCTGTCGGGTATCTCTTGGATACGGATGGAGGAGGAAGGGGAAGGGAGGGATGGTTCCCGAGGGAGTTTTGTGAGCTTGTTGAGGACGGTAGTACTTCTGTCGGGGGAGGGGGGAGGGAGAGGAGTGGAACTGTTTCGAGTCAGAGGTCGACGAGGGAGGCTGAAGTCGATGGGAGGAGTAGGAGTGGGACGGTGTCCAGTCGGAGATCGAACCATGTCGACAACGAACCTGAGACGCGCTCGAGACGGGGAACGGTAACGAGTGTCCACTCCTCCCGCCTTTCAGCAACCGCCTACGTGGAAGAGCCAGAAGAAGCCGACGAGGAAGACGTCTTTGCCGACGTCAAGTTCGGGGGCGACAGAGAGGGAGAGAGCGGGAGTCCGTTCACGGATACCACCCCAACGGGTACAATCGGACGTTCAGTAGCGAAGAAGAGCCCGCCACCGCCACCGCCGAGTCGGAGTACGAAGCCCGGGATGGCCATGAGGAGACAGGAGAGTGTTGACGCATTCTATGCTACACCGTCTGCGTCCACTCACTCCCTCAACGACTCCTCATCCACCACACCCACCGCTACCGCGAACGGTAACGGCCGCTCCCGCAAGAGCAGTCTCAGCGACGTATTAACCCGATCGCGTAAAGCGAGCACAGCCAGCATCAAGCAATTGCAAGTTCAGGAAGAGAAAGTGGGGTTACTGGTCGCGGAGTGTGGGGAGTGTGGGTGTGATGAGTTTCAGGCGAATGTGTTTAAGAAGGGACAGTGTAATAACTGTTTTCATGCTCATTAGGGGGGCGCGGGGGTGAGCTGGTCTCACGATGCGTCCTTGAGCTTTCTGGGATGAAGAGTACGAGTAGAGATGGATAAGATGGTGAGGGGTGTATGAGCATGAATTGGGTGGAAATGGAGTTTTAGGATGTTTGCTAGGATGTTTGGACATGCTTGTTTTTTTTTCATTACTCTTTTGGGTGAGCCCGTATGCATATCCTGCATTGCCCTTTGTAACGTCGACATTCGCGATCCGCAATTGACGCACAGACCTACACTACCCACCACCAGGAAAACACAACACAACGGCAGACGCAGACGTCGTAGCACAGTTCAACAAAGACATCAAGACTCTTCTCAAGCAGATCGATGCATCCTCACTCACCGGAACCCCCTCGCAAATCACCCATGTCTTCCGCTCAGTCCTCTCCCCATCATCGCCCTCCACACCTGCGCAGACATCCGCCTTGCTAGTTGCGATGAGGTTGCGCGAACGAAGTTGATAGACGCGCGGATGTCTCACAAGGCTCCTTCCAGCCTTGTGAGGCAGCAAAACCTGAGGACACTATCGTACATTTAGAACGAATGATATCAACATGAACAACGTTTCTCCGTCCAAATGAGAGTGGGTCACCGCCATAAAGACCTTGTACATGTGCGCGATCGGTCTGTATTTTGCCAGCTGCTGACCGGGGTATGCTTGCAGATTTCCAGTCCGGCTAGGGAACCGTGAGAAAGAACCTCATTGTCTACACTTAGATTGTCTCTGCGTATGATTGAAATCCTCAAATATAACTTGCATCTATCAAAGACCAACTATTGTCTCTTTGTCGCCGGACGAAGCCAATCCACCAATTCATGCTCAATCCAAAGCACAGTGCGATTTCAGCATGGACCAGCCACGTCGGTCGCGATGGTTGAAGGGCAGCGGAGTGTCCCATTGTCACGGCCAAGATCTCATTTCAGCCATTTATCTACCTTCAGGATCTGGATTCTCTTCACCCTGGATATTGGTATAGAGTCTTGAAGTCAGCACAATTTAGCGTGAGAATGCGAACGAAGGCAACGAAACTGCGGATTCTAACTTCAGAGTGGTTTTAAACGCAAGTTCAGAGAAGCTAGGAAAAAGTAGAGTAAGGGTTGAATCTTTTATTCACCATGCAACATACAAAACCCCGTGTTGAACACACCCGTCTACCACATTATGTCTATCGTACTCATCCAAATGTAAATCAAACCATTTTTCGCTCTTCCAAGCTTTCCCAAGTCTCCTCTACCCAATCAGAAACTCCCCCCCATGCACACATCCACTTTAGTACAACAAACTCGTCCTGATGTTGTACTCCAAACCCTCAAGTCTGTCATTCAAGGTCTTAACAGCATCAGTTCCAACATCCGCCACATCAGCAATCAGATACGCAATGTCACCCCTAGAGTCCGAGAACTGCTTCTCGACGTTATACGATCCCAAGATGTCGTTAACGGTACGCAACACACCAGGGATATTCCTGTGCACGAAACAGACACGGACGGAGTGGGCGTCGTGGGAGGAAATGGAGCGGAGAGCGACTTCGGGGAAGTTGACGGCACCGATGGTGGAACCCTCGTTGATGTACTTGGTCAAGGCCTCGGCGACCTCGACACCGATCATGGATTGTGCCTCCTCGGTGGATCCACCGATGTGAGGAGTAAGGATCAAGTTAGGAAGAGCACACAGCTCGGCGGCCCATTCGTTGAGGTCGCTGGTGAAGAACTCTCCGTTCTTAGCGGGCTCATTGGGGAAGACGTCGATGGCGGCACCGGCGAGCTTTCCGGACTTCATGGCGGAGATAAGGGCGGGGATGTCGACGACGGTTCCTCGTGCGTTGTTGAGGAGGTAAGAGCCCTGCTTCATAGCAGCAAGCTCAGGCGCAGAGATAAGGTTCTTGGTCTCAGGCAACTCAGGAACGTGAAGAGAAACGAAATCAGAAGCACCCAACAACTCGTGCAAGCTGGCGATCTGGTTGGCGTTACCGATAGCCATGAGGGGAACGACATCGTAGTAGATGACCCTCAAACCCATAGCCTCGGCTAAGACGGAGAGCTGAGAACCGATGTGTCCGTAACCGACAATACCGAGAGTCTTTCCACGCACCTCCCAGCATCCAGCAGATACCTTGTTCCACACACCCTTGTGCATCTCGTTGCTTCTGTCACACATCTGACGTGCCAAAGCGATGATTTCTGAGATGACCAACTCGGCAACGGACCTAGAGTTAGAGAAAGGAGAGTTGAAGACGGCGACACCACGGTTAGCAGCGGCCTCCAGGTCGACCTGGTTGGTTCCGATACAGAAACATCCGATGACGGTCAAGTTCTTAGCGGCCTCAAGGACACGCTTGGTAATCTTGGTCTTGGAACGGATACCGATGGCGTGGACGTCCTTGATCTTCTCGATCAACTCATCCTCACCCAAGGAGGTCTTGTGGAACTCGACCTGGTAACCCTGCTTGGTCAACATGTCGATAGCGGTAGCGTTGACGTTCTCGAGCAAGAGGATCTTGACTTCCTCGTGAGAAAAGGGCTTCAACTGCTTGGGTTGAGGACCCTTGAAGGAGGAACGGCGATCCCGCGGGAAAGAGGCAGCGCTCGGCGGGGAGCCGGCGTGGAAGGAGGACTGGACCGGTGGTGAGGTGGACAAAGCCATAGACTTGATCTGGTTTGCGATATTGCTGATGGACTGAGGAGCTGACATCCTGGACGATACGGGAGATCTGATTGATCTTTGGAGGTTAAGCACGTCCTCGAGGCACCTCCCGTATTTTAGGACTATTTTTGGGCTGGGGCGTGACTCCTTAGTGAGCACGACATCTTGCAGCGAGCCGATTTATACCGTATATAATTATTAATTCAGAACGAAGACAGACGCGAAGAGACCAAACGAGTAATAAAAGTAAGAGAGAAAAAGAGACGACGAGGAGATCCAACACGCTTACGCTACTTCACGACTTGCGTTTTATTGACTTCCACCCAAGAATTCATGATTACGACATGAACGCACCAGCAACTTACGACTGCTTGCACTCAGCCTGGTCTTTCTTTCCAGCGCCGACCTCCTCATCGTCCTCGTCGTCGTCCTCATCTTCCTCCTCACTGTCATCGTCCTCAAAATCATCCTCGTCATCGAACTCGTCACCCTCGAGGTCGTCCTCACCCTCGAAAGCGAGAGCTTCACCAGTGAACCAATCAACGGCGCGGGGGATCAACTTCTCCTTGATGTCCTCACCAATCTGGTAGTCGAGCTCGAGACGCTCGTCAATGTCGGAAGCGGCATCGGCGGCCTCGTCGTCCTCGTAGTCGGGAACGGTGGGGGGAGAGAAGAAGGAGAAGAAGGAGTCCTGAGGAACAGTCTTCTTGACGATTCTGGTCTGGTTGGTGTTCTTGTTCCTCTGCTTCTTGGTCTCGACACGGACAGTCAAGTCCTTGTCCTCCTTCCACTCGATCTTGTCACCCTCCGCCCGGTCGTAGATGAAGTCACCTCCGTAGCCGGCCTCCTCCTGGTAGTAGTAGGTCTTGGTCAAGACCTTGTTGGTGAAGAACTCGTTCTCCTCAAACTCGAACTCGAGCTTGAATCCGGGGGTGTCGAGATATGACATGCGGATGTCGACGAGGTGACCGAGGGCGGCCTCATCGGCGGGGGTGATGATCTCAGCGAGGGAGAGGACGTTGCGCATGGCAGTAAGCCAAAACTCAGGGATACCCTTAACTTTGGCGGCCTCAGTTTGCTCCTCCTCCTCCTCCTCCTCTTCCTCTTCCTCATCATCCTCAGTAACCTCCTTGCCGACTGCGACATCCTCATCAGTAGCCTCCTCCTTACCAGCAACAACCTTCGCACGGGTCTCGTACAAAGGCTTGTACTTCTCCAAGAACTTCTTCTCAAGCTCCAAGATCTCAGCCTGGAACTCAGCCTCGAGCTTGGCGTGCTTCTCCTGGATACCCTTCAAGCCAAGGATCCTGCGGCGAACGGCGGGAGGGAGAGACTCGACGTAGCCGGAAGAACGGCCGACGAGGGAACCGAGCTTACCCTGGATCATGGAGACTAGAGCGGGGTTACCGGCGAACGCGGAGGTAAGATCGTCGGCGGACGGACCTTGTGCTTCTTCAGAGATGGTGGGAACGCCGGGCGCCTTGGACAAGGATCCGATGGGAGCCGAGACGGAAGCCGGGGTGTTCTGTGGGGTAGGAGCTGTAGAATAAAGAGGTCAGATTCATTGTTCGTTTTCGGTCATGGATCAAAACAAGGCGTCGTCATCGCCTCCCAAACACGTCAACGCAACGATTTGCGGCGGGAAGAGGGTGACGAGACGAGCACCAAGGGGAAGAACGTACCGGCAATATCGTCCAAACGTTTGTTTCTGATGTTCTGAGCCATTATGGATTACTCGATGATGGGACTGCGAATTTGTCTTGACTCGAGGAGGTTGAGGCAAGTTTTAGTATGCGGCGGTTTTTGGGACCTGGCGCGGCTCGTGGGGGGGGGACAACGGGGACCTAACGAGTTTGGTTGTTGGGGAGAACGAGAAGTAATTATTGCTTGATTTGTTGAGTGGATGCTTCTACTTTATATCCCTTCATCCTGTTGCCAAGAACAGCAGCACGGGGGCTGCCTGATGACGATGCCCAGAACGCGTCTGCGTGGGGACGTACGGTCAGACATCATCCGAGGCTTAGCAAAGCAAAGAACGTCAGCCCTGAGAAGCTCCAATTGCAATTCTATACCTACGCAAACTAGAGATGCATTGCCAAAGAAAACAAACGAGCACATTCATAATCCACAATCGCAAGCCCGCGGGCCATGCCCAATAAACTCCCGTATTCCCTTCCCAAAGCGTATCATGTAGAATAAAGCCATCACTCAAACGTCGGGTATCACTCACTCATCTCATCTAATTCTAAGCACTCAAGCTCAAGCACTGGCGACACCCTCCCTTCCAGCCAACTCCGCCAACCTTCTAAGGTTATCCACCTGCAACCAACTGGGCACGTACGTCTCCAAGTGTTTCACAGAACGGGCCTCCGGGATCTCGTACGTAGCCTGATCCAAGTGCTGCGTGTCCAACAAAAGTACTTCGTGCCTGTCATCGGCCTTGACTCTGCTCGCGACCGCCTTCAAGATCTCGGGAGAGATGGGGTGCTCGTAATCAGCAACATAGTATGCCGAGATGAGCTTCTGAACCTGCGTAGGCGTCAAGCACCAACAGATATCAAAGATGAGGTCGATATCGGTAAGCGTGGCTTTCTTGAGCTGCAATAGCTTCGTCGCCTGCTGGAGGTGCTCAAGCTGAAGGACTCCCTCGGGCATGTCATGAGACTTGCACCATTCCTCCAATCGGGTCACGTTGTAAGCCATCTGCAATCCACGCTTCCACGACAAGAAGTTGCGACGCATCAACAAATCGTTAAACGCGGTAACACCGATCAACTTCAATAACTCGATGACGACCTGCTGCACAATCGAGTTCTCCAGGTAGTAACTCCTCATCGCCTTGTAGACCTTGTTCAACAAGTTCAACAAGTCGTCCATAGAGTATTGCGGCGCAGAGTTTGTCTGCAACAACTTGTTGAAGAAGCGACCATTGTCGTTGGTGATGAATCCAGGCAAAGACTGACTCTCGATGAGAGCAGGGATAATCATCTTGTGCAACCTGAGCTTAATCTGCTTCATCCAGGTGTGGTAGATGTTGAACTCCAAGCTCTCGAGATCGTGCTTCACGATGGACAGGAGGCGGTCATACTCCTGCCACTCGGCATCATCCATATCCGCGCTCGCACCACCATGAAGAATATCTCTCTCGGTCGCGACCACAAAGGACAACATCTCGTGAACATTGGACAACCAGAACGCACCAGGAATAATAGCATCTTCAAGCTCGTGAGTCATCACCTGCTCCTGCACAGTCTGCATGACATTCGCAAGGAACCGCTCAGACTCCTTGATGAACCCATACTTCCACATCTCGGAGGTAACGAGGTTAATAAGGTGAGCCGGGAAGAGGATTTCCCTCTCGCTCGGCGGCGTCTGCAAGCTAGGCTGAGGAATCTTCAAACTCTGGATCAGACCGAGCATGACCTCCTCGTTCACCATATCATCCTCTTCCAAGATACGCATGATCTCGTCGTTGACATCTTCCTCGATGGCGGGGAACTCCAAGTTAGCACGGAGCTGCTGAAGCTGACCCTGGTTGGTGATAGCGACAGAGGCAGGACGAGCAGCATACGCCGCCTGAGACCCAAACCTCGACAAGTCACCGTTAAGACCATCCTCGCCAGTACCAAGGGGCATGTAACTATGCCTCTTCGCACCACGAGCCGCACGCATCTTAACCATAGGACTCTCGCCTCTAGGCGGACTCTGTCCCACGGAAGCCTTGCCGTTGAGAGAGTCGAGGGCAGACAACCGACTGACCTCCTTCTTCAAGCTCTCAACCTCCTGCAAGAGACCATCCCTGGTCCCCTCCTCCTCCTGGGATGCAGAAATAGAAGCCTCGAGCTCAGCAGCCTTCATATCAAGACTCTGCTTCAACTCCTTGCTTTCCTGCTCGATACGGTCGAGGTTAGCATGAGACTCATCCAACTGCGCCTGAAGCGTCTGCATCTCCTTCTCCAACGCAGCAGCCTTCGCCAACGCCTCCGTCGCGCGGCCAGCCTCAGTCTTGAGCGTCTCGTTCTCGGCAACAATGGAAGCGTGCTTCTCCTGCCAGCCACTAATCTGCGCCTCAAGCTGCGCGAGCTGAGCCTTGAGGTCCTTGTTGTTCTGCGTCTTCTCCATGAGGTTCTGCTGCAACTCAACGACCTTGTTCTCGAGACGATATGAGACTTCCTTGAAGTGACTCACGCTCTTGGCCTCGACCTTGAGTTTCTGCAACTCATCCCTCGCCATCTTCCGGCGCCAGCAAGACTGGAGGTGAACAACCTTCCTACGGGTCTCCTTGTACTCACCCCTGGCTTTGCTACCCCTCCACGCAGTCTGGATCCTCGTAGCCGCAAGATCCTTCTTCGCACCACTCGCCTTCTTGCGGACAAGGTACCCCTTGAACAGAGCCTGTACCTTAACAACCCCCTCGCGGGTCTTAACATACCTCTTCCTCTCGCTCTGTCCCCTCCAGACCTTCTGAATCGTGACAGCAGCCTTCTCCTCCTTCATCTCCTGTACCCGCTTCCTAACCGCATATCCCCTAAACAGAGCCTGCGCCTTCAACACACTCTTCCTGATTCTCAAATACTTCTTCCGCTGCATATTCCTCAACATATTCTTCTGAATGAACGTCGCGGCGGCATTGAGACGGTCGCTTCGGAGTTTCTCCATAAACGCCAACAACCCCGCGCGGAAAAAGATCTTGGTAAGTCCGAGCTGGAACTTCTCCTCTTCCTGAATCGTCGCCTTCAGAATCTTCTCCGAGAATGACCGGGGCTGCTCAGGCTGCCACTCATCACTCTTCACCAACATATAATACCGCGCACAGAACTCCTCATACGTCCACCGAGACGGGAACCCCGCACAAGAGATCCTGATGGTCTCGAGGACACCACAAGCACGAAGCTGGCTAAGCACCATCTGCGGCTCAAACTCCCAAGCAGCCTTCTTCTCATTGGGTTTGATACAGCGGATGTAGTGTACGTTGGTAGAGTTGATAGTATTCATCAAATCAATCAACGACATCTTAAACAACCCACCAAGCGTCGGCTTCTTACTCCCCGCCCCAGCCCTCTTCATCGGTCCCAGTTTCGGCTTCACCACCTCTGCCCCATCAGCTGCCCGATCGACAGGAGCAGCAGCAGGCGCAGGCGACGAAGCAGGCCCCTCCTTCGCCGCAGCAGCAGCCTTGAGCACCTCAGCCAGAAACACATTCTCACTCTTCATCAACACCTCCAACGTCTCCTCGGGCACACTATCCCGATTCTTCTCAATGAACCCTTCACTCTCATACTCAACATCCAACGCATAATGACACACCGTAAACGCACTCGTCCCGAACCTGGGTTTGCGGAAGACATTCTCATATTTGTCCTTATTCCCGGGCGGCGCAAAGTTATCGTATAACTTGCGAACCCAACCTTCGTCCGATCCAGCCGGAAGCCTCGATTCCTCATCAAGGAGGGAGAGAATACCCAACTTTGCCTCAATGAGATCAATACAAGGCTGATTATCCGCGTAATCAATGAACGTCCACGGAATTTCTTCCCTAACATACTCCTCCTGTTCCAACTTGAACACATGCTGATTGAACTCCTGTTGCAACTTCTCATTCGCATAATTAATGCAAAACTGCTCAAAAGAATTCTTCGCGAAATGCTCGAATCCGTAGATATCGAGGACACCGATGAAGTTTTTGACGTTGCCGATGACTTCGGGGGAGGCGAGGGAGGTGTTGATGTTTGCGACGAGCCAGTCGAAGAGGGAGGCGTAGATGTACTTGGCGACGGAGTCACGCACGACGAGGGCTTGTTTCTGGTTCAGGTTGGTCTGGATCTTCTCGCTCCTGGTCGTAATCTGCTTTTTGACCATCCACTTTGCCAACCCAGCAGCATCAACCCCCAAGAGTTTACACGCCGTAACCAAATTCTCCTCCGTACTCGCAAGCACAGCATCCGTCCTCGTCGCGCCAATCTGTACATTTCCAAGATGCAACAAAGCCGCCAACACCTTGAAAATATCATGCTGCACCTCGGCATCGACACCAATCGTCACAAGCGCTTCCCGGGTAGCCACGAACTCCGCGGCGTCATCGACACCACTAATCACCGGATCCCCACCCTGATTCAAATACTCAAACTCCTCAACCGATTTCAAACTCCACTCCTCCCTCTCCTTCTCCGTCGCACCCGCAACCAACTGGTAAAAAATGTGATAATTCCTCTCGGTAGCAGGCTGAAACACCAACCTACTCCGCTCCAACAAATACGTCCGGATACGCGCCCCGACAATATCCGCCCCCTCATCAAACATAATCTCGATATACTTCCCAAACCGCGAAGAATTATCATTCCTCGTCGTCTTCGCATTCCCAAACGCCTCCATAATCGGATTCGTCGCCAATATCGCAGTCTCAGTACTCGACATCTCACCCGCAACCCTCTTGCCCGTCGCAGGTTTGTCGGGATCCTCGACCGTAGCGAAATACCTCATGATGTACTTTGCACTCACGGTTTTTCCAGCACCAGACTCACCACTCACCACGACCGTTTGATTCGTCTCGTCACGGAGCATACACCGATACGCATCCTCCGCAATCGCAAACAAATGCGGTTCCAGTTCGCCCCGTCTCCGCCCGGCATACATCTGCACGATTTCCTGTCCATACAACGAGACGGGCGCAAATGGGTTCGCGGCAATCAGCACGATCCCAGAATACGTATAAATCGACAACTGCGAATACCTCGTCTTAATCGTATGCAACACAGCCGGTTCATTCAGATACGACAAATTCGTCAAATCTTCCGTCGCTTCCAGAATCGGCGGGTTACGCAATGGCGGTAACCCATGATCCTCGGGCGAGTCTTTGTCGAGTTGGTCGAGTGTTGTCTCGACCGTTTTCGTCTCGCCATTATCCAGCGCGAACTCCAACGTGACCTTCTCGCCGTCGATATATCTGTTTGTTACCGAGGCGTTTATCCACCCCTCGTTATCATCCGGGAACCAACATCGGCTATATCCAGATGTGAGTCTCCTGAAATGCAACACAGCACACGTAAAGCGAGGAAACGGGGGGTAACGTACGTCCCGATGTCGAACGCAATGGTTGCCATATTATTCGAACGATTCTACCTGAGCAATTATGTGGTATTTCAAGGAGTGTATGCTAGTATCGTTGTCGTTGTCGTCGTTGGTTGTCACTGATTGTCGTCGGTGGTTGCTTGGGTTACTGCAGTCCTTGCAAGCGGTGTGGTGTTTACATGGAACCGAACTCGAGTCCTCGTACGCAGGGCCGCTCCTCGTAAGCAGCCCCCCCCCCCCCCCATTCATCTCACAAATCCCCATAACCAAATAGACAAACAATCCCCTCCTAACCTCCCGAATAAACCCTTCCCCATCAATCCCTCTTCTCCCCACACCCACTCCTCTTCCCTCCGTGCGCTCCCCGCTCCTCATTCGTGCACGTTCGGCACCTGCACCGAAACCACGCCGCTAACTTCCGAACGCGATTCCAACAAGCATCATCACCGAAGAATCTCCTTTCACCCCTATACCAACAACACGGTTCAGGATGTTCTCTAGATCTGTTGCTAAGCAGGCTCGTGGGTTTGCTACGTCCTCTGTTAAGAGGGGGTATGAGGATACGCTCAAGGTGAGTTGTTTTTGCACAATTGTGCCATTCATCCGCGCATGTCCTCGAAGAGGGGGTGTCAATTGGGTGTAGGGGATCAATCGCGTTGCGCGGACGGGTATGGGTTCGAGGAATGGAGGTGCTGACGATGTTTTTGTGAACAGAACTTGAAGATCAACGCCGAGACCAAGGTCATCTTCCAGGGTTTCACCGGAAAGCAGGTTCGTCCCCCCCTCTTCCCCTCTCCCTCGCTCTCCTAACATCTCGCTCGCACAAGGGAACCTTCCACGCCCAACAAGCCATCAACTACGGCACCAAAGTCGTCGGCGGCGTCAACGCCAAAAAGGCCGGCACAGAACACCTCGGCCTCCCAGTCTTCTCCTCCGTCCGCGAAGCCCGCGACCAGACCAACGCCGACGCATCCGCCGTCTTCGTCCCCCCTCCCTTCGCAGCCGAAGCAATCACCCAAGCAATCGAAGCCGAGATCCCCCTCGTCGTAGCCATCACGGAAGGAATCCCTCAACACGACATGGTCCGCGTCGCCCAAATCCTCAAAACCCAATCCAAGACGCGTCTCGTCGGTCCCAACTGTCCGGGGATTATTGCGCCGGGGCAGTGTAAGATTGGGATCATGCCCTCGCATATTCATCAACGTGGACGTGTGGGTATTATTTCGCGTTCGGGGACGTTGACGTATGAAGCCGTTAACCAAACCACCAACGTCGGACTCGGACAATCCCTCGTGATCGGGATGGGCGGGGATCCCTTCCCCGGAACCAACTTTATCGACGGACTTAAAGTCTTTCTCGAGGATCCTGAGACGGAGGGTATCATCCTCATCGGTGAGATCGGTGGATCGGCTGAGGAGGACGCGGCGGAGTATCTGAAGCAGTTCAACCTCTCCCGTGAATCGCCCAAGCCTGTCGTTTCCTTCATTGCGGGAGTCACTGCACCCCCCGGAAGGCGTATGGGACATGCCGGAGCTATTGTTGCTGGTGGAAAGGGAACTGCGAAGGCGAAGATCGAGGCGTTGGAGGCCGCTGGAGTTGTTGTCGAGAGGAGTCCGGCGAGGTTGGGACAGTCGTTGTATGACCAGTTCGTTAAGAGGGATCTTCTTTGAGAAAGAGTAGCGAGTAGCATTGCAGTTGCTGTGAATATAGTATATCTGATCGTCCAAGTCTCGTGACCCCTGACCAGCCAACCCCGACACTCTTACGCAACCCGACTCGGTCACCCCCTCAACCAACCAACCACCAATAATAACAAACAACAATGTCCGCTGAAGCCAAGCCGCAAGTCAAGTTGTCCACTTCCGACAACGAGGAGTTCATTGTTGGTGAGTCCCGCATCCACCTCTTTCCCTCTCAACCACCATTTAACCCCCGCTTCAACAGACCGCGACATCGCCGAACGCTCCGTCCTCATCAAGAATATGCTCGAAGACGTCGGCGACGCAACAGAAATTCCCATCCCCCTCCCCAACGTCTCCGCCAACGTCCTCAAAAAGGTCCTCGAATACTCCACCCACCACCGGAACGACCCCATTCCCGACCCCTCCACCTCCTCCTCCAACGACCCCTCCGACGAAATAATGTCGTCCCGCAAAAAATCAACCGATATCGACGAATGGGACGTCAAGTTCATGCAAGTCGATCAAGAAATGTTGTTTGAGATTATTCTTGCGGCGAATTATTTGGATATTAAGGGGTTGTTGGATGTTGGGTGTAAAACTGTGGCGAATATGATCAAGGGGAAGAGTCCGGAGGAGATTAGGAAGACGTTTAATATTGTGAATGATTTTACGCCGGAGGAGGAGGCGCAGATCAAGAAGGAGAATGAGTGGGCGGAGGATCGTTGAACTGTGTTAGTCCACCTATAGGCGCGTGCGTACGTGAGAGGTTATGCGAAATATATATTCCCTCCTCAAACGAGATGCATCGCCGTTCGACACCCCTCTATAGCACGACAAACCCCATTCCACGGTAGTACGCTTCCTTCACCCTACATCACCCGTTAAGCGGTAGTAACGTCGACCGCCGCTGCAGGAGGAGCAACAACGGCCGGTGTTTCCTCTTGTGCTTTCTGCTCTCCCGTTGACATTCCTTCACCCATGATCACATCATCCCCCGTGACATCCACCTCCACCTCCCCCTCTTCCGCATCCGCATCCCGTGGCATCAAAACATCCGTTCTCTCCTCCACCTTCGCCTCATCTCGACATTGACCCTCGCCTTCAGCCCCGTTCACACCAGGCGTCTTCTCCTTCTCATACAAAATCGCCTCGGGATCATCCCTCTTCTGCGCTTGTAGTGCCTCGTACTCCTCCACGCTGATTCCCATCCTCGCCGCCGCGCGTTCGGCTCTGCTGGGTGGTTTGATTTCGTCCACAACCGGTCCCTCCACCTTCGCTCCTCCCTCGGCCTCGGTCTCGGTCTCGGCCTCGGCCTCGGCCTCGGGTTCTTTATGTGTTTTGTCATCTTTTTCGTCATCGGAGTCTTTATCCAACTCGGCATAATTGATCCGTCGACCGCGTGTACGGGTGGAGTATGCGCTCCCACCCCCACCCATGAAATTCTCCAACATCTTCCTCTGTCTCTCGACCTTCTCCGTGCGTTTCTGGTCTCTAGCTCTCCTCGCCTCCCGTTCCTCTTCGACTTTTTCATATACGCCCACCACTGCCTCCAGATTCCTCACGAGGGTGGAAGTGCCGGAAAGGAAGTTCGCGCGTAGAGAGCCGGAGTTGACGGTGGAGATGAGGGTACGGAGGGTGGAGAGGGATGAGGCGCCGGGGGTCCAGGAAGATGTTGTGGAGGATGTTGGGTGTTCGAGGTAGATCCGGAAAGGAGTGTATGGCGTCGTTCCCGCAACGAGCCAATACCTCGTCTTACTCGTGTCCTTCCCCAGATCGCGTACCCCCCCATCACCGAAATCCTCTTTCTCTTTCGGAGCTTTTTGTGTGGTACGGATCGAGTTCCGGGGTCCGCCTGATTTGAGCTCGAGTTCGATTGCCGCACGGACATCTTTTGAGATTTGGAGTGCGGCGTCCATACACCCCTTGATAATCTCCACCCGACTCTCGAGTGGCCAATCGCCCCAACTCGTCTCGTGATCCCTCGTTGTTGAAACATTGGGGAGTCCGGGCATGATATACCGTTCCCGCACCAACAACTGAATCAAATCACACAAAGCCCTCTTATGCTTCCCCGGCTCAATCAGGATCTTGCGATTCAAGACAAGCGCAGCCAAGCGTAAAAAGAAGTCGAAAACAGCGACATAGCCAGCCTCGCCCTCCGCGACCATCAACCCTCTCTCCAGATCTTGTGGACCCATGTCTGTGGCGCCGTGCATCAACTCTAACTCTGCGAATCTGATTCGGAAAGCGATGAGTGCGGCGATTGTGGGAGCGTGGTCGTGGAGGAGGGAGGGTTCGGTGAGATCGAGGTCTTCGGGGGGTGGGGAGAGGGAGGAGGCATGGGACGTGAGGGAGGCGCGGCGGTCCGGTGTTTGGGAGAGGGGGGTTGCTGAGGTTGTTTCTGCCATTGCGGTATCGGGATAACAAACAAATTGGTTTGAAGTCCCCGAAAGTTGTACGTGACGTCCGTTGAGCGCGTGGAGGGAGACGCGACCCTTGATGAGATTTCTGAAGACGTGATTGCGAGAAGGTAGGAAAATGCAGTTACATATTGCACACAAGGGTGAAGCTTTCATGTATTCTGTCCCGATAATCACGAGATTATGTGTGGACCCTCGGCACTCATACCCACAATTGCCGTCCAACGACACCCCGCACCCTTCACCACCATCAATCCAACTTCAACCATGCCCGACTGACCACTCCCAAACACCTTCATCGCCATATTTGCTCCAGCACTATGCCAACGGCCCACCTCCCATCCGGAATCCACCTCACCTACCGCGACTCCGGTTCCCCACCATCCTCCACACCAGGCTCCTACACCACCCTCCTCTGCCTCCACGGCGTAGCCTTCTCCGCCTCGATCTTCACTCTTGCGGCTCAAATTGCACCCTCGAAAAATATTCGTCTAATCACGTACTCGCAGCGGGGGTATACTGGCTCCACCCCACTCACTTCCGAGGAAGCCGCGTTAGCGGCGGACCCGGTCGCATGCGCGAGGGATTACGTGGAGGATTTGGTAGAGTTTTTGGAGTACCTGGCGAGGGAGGAGGAAGGGATCGAGAAAGTGGTGTTAGTGGGGTGGAGTAAAGGCACGAATCTCTGCGTTGGTTTACTCTCCCCGCTGTTCACGTCCATCTCCTCCGATATCCGCGCCCGGGGCCTCAAGCACGTGAAGTCTGTGGTGTTGTACGAGCCACCGGGGAATTTGATGGGGTTACCGTTGACGGAGGACTACAAAGCTGCTATGCTAGCTCCGATCCCTGAGGGGTTGGGGAAGGAGGAGAGGGATGGGATTGTCGCTAGGCGATTTGGGGATTGGATTGGGGGGTATTATGATCATCCGGATGTGAGTAGTGAGGAGTATGCAACGAATCCGACGGGGCATTTCACATTCGCTGCAGACCAGGATTGGGCGAGACAAGCGCATGAACCGGGGATGGTGCCGCATGGGTTTCATTGGCGACTCGCCTCATTCTCTAGCGAAATAGCAGCTATCTCGATATCTGCCGCGACATCCTCCTCTATCCCTATCACGTTGTTGTATAATCGGAGATCGGCGGCGTATCTGATTGAAGCCGCGAGGTGTTGGAAGGACTGGGGTGGTAACGTAAAGGAAATTGGCGGGGGGAAGGGGAACCATTTTTGGTTTGTCGAGGATGCCGAAGGATGGCTTGAAGCGGTTACCAAGGCTATTGGAGAGCTCGAGGGGATGGAGAGTAGCTAGGGAGGTAGCTGTCGTGATAATTACACAAATGCCATGCTCTGTCGCAATGAAACTGATCTCCCGAAGGACCCCAAGCAACCGATGATATACTGTAACCACTTAAGAATCCTTCCAGAGTTTGCTCCGTAAGGTCTCAACACCTTGATATACCCGGCTAAGCTTTCCCACGAAATTGTCGGGGTACGTCGGTCCCTGCAAGGTGCTGCAACCCGGCGCGATCCCGAAAACACAACACCAAAAGGTCAGCATTTATCCACGAGGTCCAGTCGCAGAAAGACAATACCTCCAGCAGCATCCCTCACTTTCTACATCAATTGCCTTCATCAGTCAGCACCAGCAAGTGTTCCAGCGTACCACTACGGCGTCACATCACTGAACCGAAGGAACAGGCGACATGATCTCGGTAGTTCCTAGGTATACGTTCGTGATTGCGTTCACTGACGGGCGAATTACAGGCTATTTTTCTATACAACCATAAGGGCGAAGTCCTGATATCGCGGTTATACCGGCAGGACCTAAAGTGAGCTCACCCTACCACGTCTCTTACGAACTTCACTGACACGAATTCTGCACAGACGCTCCGTCGCGGACCTCTTCCGTGTCCAAGTAATCTCCAACGCAGACGTCCGCTCTCCCGTAACAACAATTGGCTCAACTACCTTCTTCCACGTCAAACACGAAAACGTCTACCTCGCAGCCGTAACTCGGACAAACGTCAACGCGGCCCTCGTGTTTGAGTTTTTGTATCGGGTCGTCGGGTTGGGAAAGGACTATTTTGGAAAGTTTGATGAGGAGAGTGTCAAGAGTAATTTTGTGTTGATTTATGAGTTATTGGATGGTATGACCCCCGATATTTCATAATGAGAGATAGAGGATAGGGCTAATGGGTGTGACACAGAGATCCTCGACTTCGGATACCCCCAAAACTCAGAATCAGACACCCTCAAAATGTTCATCACAACCGAAGGCGTAAAATCCGAACGCGCCCTCGCCGCCGACTCCTCCAAAATCACAATCCAAGCAACTGGCGCAATGTCCTGGCGCCGCTCCGACATCAAATACCGCAAGAACGAAGCATTTATCGACGTCATCGAGAATGTGAATGTGTTGATCTCGAATACGGGGGCGGTGTTGAGAGCGGATGTCTCGGCACAGGTTATGATGAGGGCGTACTTGAGTGGGATGCCGGAGTGTAAGTTTGGTTTGAACGATAAGCTGTTGTTGGATGAGAGTGCGTTTCAATCAGGGTGAGTTGGCAAAACGACTTTTATCATCGCAAAGGCTAATATTTATTCGAACTCCCAGCTCCAGCTCAACAACCCGAACAAAAGCCGCAAAAGCAGCAGCAGGCTCTGTGACGCTGGAAGATTGCCAATTCCACCAATGCGTAAAACTCGGTAAATTCGACACAGACCGAACAATCTCCTTCACCCCTCCCGACGGCTCCTTCGAACTCATGCGATACCGCGCAACCGAGAACATCAACCTCCCCTTCCGCATCCATCCCATCGTCAAAGAAATCGGCACCAGAAAAGTCGAATACCAAATCGCCGTCAAAGCAAACTTTGGCTCAAAACTCTATGCCTCGAACGTCGTGATCAAAATCCCCACACCCCTGAATGCGGTGAATGTCGACACCCGCGTTTCCCAAGGAAAAGCCAAATACGACGCTTCCTGCAACTCCATCATCTGGAAGATCTCCCGATTCACCGGACAATCAGAATACGTTCTTAGTGCCGAAGCTGACCTCGCGTCCATGACACACCAGAAAGCGTGGTCACGCCCACCGATTAGTATGGATTTTGGGATCTTGATGTTTACGAGTTCGGGGCTTTTGGTTAGGTATTTGAAGGTTTTTGAGAAGAGTAATTATCAGAGTGTCAAGTGGGTGAGGTATTTGACGAAGGCGGGGAGTTATGAGGTGAGGTTCTAAGGAAAAGTGGAGAATGATGGGGTTGGGAAAGAGCGAGCATCATCTATACAGGAGGTCTGTGGATCTGAAGGACATTTACTATTATACCTAGGAGGATACCAAAATGGCATACTGTTTCACTGAAGGTCAATGTTCCCTCCAGTATACTTACAATACGTCACATTATGTTATGTACGGAGCATGTCGTTGCAAAGGGACAACTGCACACAGAAGTAGGAGTTAAAAAAGCATCAATGATCAATTCCAATCTAAGCATAGAAGATATGTACCCAACACACCCGAGTCAACCCCGGACCAAAAGCCGAAGATTGCTCATATACGTCACATTGTGAGGCAGTAGGTGCGCATGAGGCCTCATTCCCTTTGTAGGAAAAGAGGGGCCCTCACTCTCCCGTCGTTGTCCACACCTTATCTCCTGTATGGAACTGTCGAGATAAAGCTCTAGCAAATTGACAACGGGATACGTATACTAACGTAATTCGAACGCGAGTGCGGATGGCAGAGAATGGGAGCGATACCGCGAGGTGGATTGGCTTCTGATCCGTCAGGACGTGGATGTAGACGGAGGAGACGACATTCCAGAAGGCGTTATTCGATCGTTGTCCATTCTCTGCGTTTTGCGCAGTCGCGTTGAGTTTCGTACGTTCAAGGCGAACAAGGCCGACTTTTTGTAGTGGCGGGCGCAGGCGTGGCTGGTGCCCCAGCGTGCGAAAAAGGGCAAGTCCAACGTTCACTGCAGTGCATCGAAAGATAATTATGATTAAGTTATACTGGTATCTCTTGCAACTGGAAAAATCCGTACCCGTCCCTCCGTTGACCACTTTCTTTCAGTTTCCTCTCTCGTCATCTTTCCACCACACCCTCAGCTTTCATACTTCGGACTATCCATCCCAAGCATCCCCTCCTCTCCAACAACATCTCTCATATTCCTCCACCAAATCGCATATTGCGCCTCCATCTGCCTCACCTTCGCCTCCAACTCCTTCTTTTGTTTATGCATAGCGTAAATCTGGGCGTCTCTTCGCCCGACACGGGCGCGCTCTTCGGCAAGGGCTGTGCGGAGTTCGGTAATCGCGGTCTCGGCCTGAGTGCGGAGGGTGTCGAGGGCGGTTGTGTCGACAGTGGGTGCGGGCGCGGGTGCGGGTGTGGAAGCGATCTGGTGTTGGAGGGCCTGGATTTCGGCGGTCTTTTGGGCGAGGGCGGATTCCCATCGCTCATTCTCGCGACCCCATGCTGATCGTGCTCGCTCAAACTCCTCCTGCGCCTTGCCAACCCGTGCCCGCAAATCCTCGCCCACGAACTTCGACTCGAGATCCAAGAATTTGACCAAATCCTGCAACCTCTCTACTTGCCCATCCTTGAAATCCAAATCAATTTCCAAATCTCTAATTTCAGGTACAGGACTCGCCGGCGGTGATAGCAACGACGGGTCAGCCGTAGCGACGGTAACGATCGTCTGCAACTTTCCGTTTTCCGCCTCCAACTTTGCAATCCTAGCCTCCTGTTCTTCAAGCTTCCCCCTCATCTTCTTCTCAAGAAGATCTGCTCCACCGAGATCTCCACCGGCTGTGTTTAGTCTTCGCGGGGTGTTCTCCATGTTGACCTTTCTCTGCAACGGTCTCCGAGGCGTCGTAGCCGGTGGTCCCATACGCGTCTTGGGCGCAGGACTTGAGCCTGTCGCAACTGCAAGATCAGTACGAAGTGCGGTGGTCCGTGATCGCTGAGACGCAAGTTCGGATTCGAGTGCGGTAAGCTTTGAGTTCAATGCCGCATTCTCAAGCTGAAGCGCTTTGAATTTGTCCCCCAAATCAAGCTCCACCAGATCCTCTTCCATCAACTTAATCGTCTGGTCGCCCACCTCCCCACCTCCAACTGCCTGCTCTCCCTCATCCTCGTAATCTTGCAAGTAATCATCCTCAACAGGCTGCTGCATCTCCATGGCCTGCTCCAATAACTCCTCCACCGCAAACTCCTGCGGCGTGCTCTTCTCCACCTCCCTCATCTCAACCCCAAACACATTATCCGCATATGTTGTCCGTCTCCTAACTTCCGGCGTGTTCCCCACCAAAAAGGTCTGCACGGGCCCTCTTCGCGCTCGCGGAGTCTCCGCCATATGCGCCATGGCCTCGAAGCTCACACCCCGCCCTTCTTCCGGCAGTTGCGTCGTGGGCGGATCGTATATGACGGTCTCATCTCCAAGCATGTCCTCATCCGAATCGAGCATCTCTTCGTCATCGTCGTAGTATGTGTCCGCCTCGCTTTGTGCGTAGTCGCCCTCGAAGAAGGAGTCGTCGCCGACCTCGGCAGGGCCTATTGAGTCGAGTGTTGGGAAGAAGGATTCGCGTCGTGACATTACAATGGCGATAGCGATTGTTTGAATGTCTTATGATTGCTTTCTGGGGTTGCGGTCTGGGTGTATGCTGATTGTTTTGATCCGCGGCGCAGTGCAGGTCGTGTAAACAATCTCTGGTTACCGCAATTGGACGTGTGGGGAAAAATCTGCCTGACACAGCTCAACACCAAGGGCATGCCCAAAGAGCCTCGATCAGTCATGTTCGATGGCAATTGCACGAGACTGGACGATGAACAACACAAAAACATAAACATAATCAAATGGCAAGTGCTAGCTATATGGCCTACAACCAAGAACAAAACCCCCGAAACTCCGGAAAGGACCAAAAAGGAAATCCTAATCGTACGCTTCTTTTCCCTATCGTCCGTGTAGCTCAACTCCTTCCCCAAAGCATTGATGCACAGGGTATCTTACGTCCTCTGATCTCTCTCATCTCGTAGCCTACACTCGCAGGCTCCGGCTCTCGGCTTGCAGCAAGCTCCTCGTTGCTTAGAAAGCAGCCTCCTTGGCCTCACGCGCCTCTCTCATGTCCTTGAACTTCTCAATAACCGCAGAGTACACAACCAACAACACACCACCACCAGGACCCAACCTCAACACCTTCGGCACGAAACCCTTGTACAAAGCTCCGAAACCCTCCTCACGTGCAACAACCAACAACGAAGGCCAAGACCAGTTGTACTTGGCAACGATACCGGGAGCACGGACGGTGTTCTGGACACGAGACTTGACGACATCGAAGGGGGTGTTGAGAATCGTACCGACGGTACCACCGATCGCACCGGCGATGAAGGAGTTGAAGGTCTCGCCGGACTTGGACTCAGCCTTGGGAAGTGCGGAACGGACGGCCTGGATGACACCAAAGTATCCCGCATTCCACCAGATATGCCTCCAAAGCGTAGCCTCCAATCCATTGTAAAGCGCCAGCGGTCCCTCATTCTTCACGATCTTTCCTAAACAGTCCATGGTAGAGGTATATGTGCTCTTAGGGTCCTGCAAGCGGATCTTGACGAGCTCGAAGGGAACGACGACGAAAGCCTCGGTCGCACCTGCTGTTGCTCCGGTGAGAATGGAGAGAGATTGTGACATTTTTGCGACGCCGAAGAAGTTGCGGTAGAACTCCCCCCATGAATCGTTTGCTGCGAACTTGGTGGCACGCTTGGGGGCCTCCATGAGGATGGGGGGGATGATACCGCGGTACAAGCGAGAGAATCTAGATCATACCCTTCGTTAACAAATTCAATTGATCCCGAAGTGGAGGAGCGACATACCCCTCAGTCTTGACAATGTGAGTAAGAGTACCAACGGTACCCATCTGCTGTCCACCACCAACAGACAACTGCGCACGGGTTTTGACGACGTCCAAAGGGTACATGGCCAAGATCTCCGTCACACCAGCGATTGCACCAGCTGCGAACTGGTACACGAAAGGCAAAGGCCTATCACGGCCATTGGACTTGAGATCGGAGGAGGCCATTGTGAATGAGGGAGGAATTGGTGGAAGGGGAGTTGTACTGGACGGAGGAGACCCTGATGGAGTGATAGTAGATCTCGCGCGCTTGGAGTTTGAGCACGAGCATCTGCGGGGTCGGAGAATCACGGATGACCAGAAGGTGTGATTGGTCCTGGACAATTGAGGGGCCGTGAAGAGGGGAGATCAGTCAAGTTATTTTCGAAAGTTTGAAGAGGGCGATGGATCAATCCGGATCCATGGGGGATTTGTCCGAAGATTAAGGTTGATCACCTGCATCTACCATAGGCAGCCGATCTGCAGCTGTACGACGCCGTGCAATGTAACGTAGACAACCGCCTCAACGACTGTTGATTGCCTTAGGTGAGGTTGATCATCGTGATCTGGCAATTCTTGAAGTCTTCCCGGGTTGTTATTCCTCACCTTCTCCTGAGGTATCGCTGGGCGACCTCTGATCTACGGCAATCGATATGTCTTCACACCCACCTACCGACATCTCCCGCACCAACTCCACGGCGCTCACCACTCAAAGCAACCAATCTACCCTCACCGCCCCAAAACCTCGCATAATAACCCTTTCCTCCGGTGAGATCATCCCCCTTCCCCCGAAACTCGCCCGGCCACCTGTCCCTCTCGAAGAAGATGAATACACCGAAGCCCTCTCCACAATCATCAAACGGGACTTCTTCCCCGACATCGACAAGTTTAAAGCTCAACATGAACTTATGGATGCTATGGAATCAAAAGATAGGGGGTGGATTGAGGGTGCGGAGAAGAGAGTTTTGGCTATGGAGGCTGGGAGGGCGGCGACGCCGAGGGGAAAGAGAGCGAGGGTTGATACGCCTGGTGCTACGCCAATGACCGTAATAGGAGGACAGGAGGAAGAGAAACCTGCAGCGTACGATACTTCAGTATCACTCGACAAATTCCAGCAAAAATATACATCAGAAGACAACGCCGACTTCGCCGACCTCGTCGACCGCGAAAACGTAACCCGCCGCATCGCCCACTCCTGGGCCTTCACCGGCCGGAACAAACTCATTACCGCGGGGCAAGCTGCACAAAACGCCGAACGCAAAGCCATCGAAGCAAATATCGACAGCGTCGACGTCGGGACACTAAAAGCAATCGGTTGGAACGAAGGCGGGAAACCCATCGAGACGTGGAAGAATGAACAACCGCTCAGTACGCTGATGTACCCACCATCAACCTCCCACCCCAAACCAGAAACTGGCGTCCAAGCCCGTGCGGCACCAAAAGTAATATCCCATGCTGCGACGCGACTCCCCGAATCCTCCACTGAGGACACTCTATCAGCATCAGTGGTCCCATCACCCTCGTACTCCACTGTCGGCCGCGCAATTCGGGGAGAACACGTCGATACCCCAAAAGTCAACGGCTGGGGCTTCGTTGATGCCTATACACCAACACCCGGTCCCCCCTCACGCGCTCAGACGCCTATGGCGGGTCCAACACCCGGGACGTTCAAAATACCACCAACACCCCGGCGTGACGGACTCGCTCACGCACTCGCAGACAAACACTCCAAACGAAAAGCCGTTCCAGGACGTGGAGATTCCCTGGCGAGAGTGATGAAACAGGTTCCGAAGTTTAAGAGTGGGCCAGATATGAGACAGGCGATGTTGAGTCCGGCTGGGCAGAGACTGTTGGGGGTCACGAAGACTGTGAGGCCTGGCAGTACTCTGAGGGATTCGTTGAGGACGCCCAGAGGGTCTGAAAATGGGAGTGGAATGGGTGGTAGGCCAAGGTGGGAGGCGACGCCGAGGATGGACGATGTGCAGAAAGGGAAGTGAGATAGGTGGGTTTTATGTTGGATTGGATTGTTTTTGGCGTTTATTGATACTTTGAGTTAAGCAAGACATATACCAACGAAATAAATGGATGATTTTGAGAAACCTATACGTGTCACATATATCTTCCCACGCTCGTAAGATGGTCACCATATGCTACCGCTATGTAGTTAGATATTGACCATAGCGAACTTATAAGGGATGAAGGAATAGGCCATCTAGGTGATAATTGTATTATGTGAAACCTAATCATAGCAAAGCCCATTCCTATCGATATTGCAGACACAAACGTCCAGATAAAGTCCAATCCACACTAACAAATACTCAGCATATAAAGATAGATAAGGCAATTTCGTCTTTATCCCTTGTGCATGTGCACGACAAGGGATGTATTAGGGTATAAGGTGAAAAACGCAAAACAAACGACCAAATCCATAGTCCCATCCACGAAACGCCAAAGGAAACAAACACAACTGTGAGCCACAAAGGTTAGCGAGAACATCGTCGCCTTATCCTGAGGACTCACCTGAAAACACGACCAAACTCCACAAACACAGTACAAAGACGGAAAAGCTTAACGCATACCCCTCATGACACTTCCTCCGACCTTCCTCGCGGCCAACGCGGGCCTCGCACCGAGCAGCGACGAAGGCAATCTGGGCTCCATTCCCGGTAGTGCACTCCTCTCCTTCCTCCCTGCGAGTTCGTTGACGCGGTGTGGACGCGAGGGGTTATTCACGAGATAAGACTTTACGAACCATCATTAGCATCCACATCCCCAGCGACAAGTAAGCATTATTGAGGCATACCTCTATCTCGATCATCCTCCCCGGACTACTCCTCGCCTCAACCTCCTGCAACGACAACTCCCCAAGCGGCATCCTCTTCTTCACCCCCAACCCACCCAACTTTTTCTGGTACGGCGCCGTCTTGTGTTGAAGGGAATTCTTCACCGAGACAGCGGCCGCGGAGTGCGCAGAGATGTCGTTTTCGGTGTCGAGGTAGATTGATAACCGCGTTCTCGCGGCAGAGGAGAGTGCGTGAGCGTGGTGGGAGGGGAGGTGCGGGATGTTCTCCTTATCCGTAATCGCGATGGTTGTTGTGGTTGTAGTAGTAGCCATTGTGTCCATAACGATACCCAAGGCTTATAGAGAATATATAGGATGAACAAGTAGATACGTAGTCGATACTCAAACGCGTCTGTTTCGCAATCGAGGACGGGAGATTCGTTCTCGTCCTTATATGCTTTCCTCGAAGGGTCAGGTGAGTTAACTTCGGTGTTTGCTCGTCGTGATCGCCCGGAAAAGCGATGTATTCGTATCGTGGCAAGGCGTATTATCTTATAGAAACAACCCGATCGATGGCTGATGATTTGGCTTCGCGTTACAGGTATGGTCTCGTTGCGGTTGGGCCTCGTTGAGGTTCCGAAGTTCAGAGTTTTTGAATTTCAAGTTGCTGCTGCGCGAAGTTAATTGAGGATGAACGGCTTCGCGACGCGTTTTAATTACGATTTGTTCGCGATTGAATGCAAGGAAAAGGTAAGGGATGATAAATGAGAAGAACGTCCATTTGGAAGGTCAATTGGGGTCGCTTGACTATGTTGGATCACCGTCTCCTGTCACGGCTTCGATCACGAGGTCTATCCCTACTTGACTCCCTCCGTCGTTCGCGACTCCTTTCCCGCCGACGGTCCTTGTCATCATCCCGGTGATCGCGACTTCTGTCTCTGTCCCTCTTATCATCTCTACTTCTCCTGTCCCGACTCCGACTGCGCTCCCTGCGACTCTCCCTGTCTCTGTCTCTCCTATCAGGACTTCTTTCTCTGCCCCTACGACTATCGCGTCTATCCCGACTCGCGCTTTCTCGTCGCTTTTCTCTGTCATCCCGCTCCTCTCGTCTAGAGCTCGAATGAGCCGTAGACCCCCTCCTCTCATCCTCATACCTTCGGTTATCATGTCCTCTCCGATCATCAGAACCCCGTCTATCCCCACCATATCCCCCTCCAAATCCACCCCTAAACCCTCCCCTCCCTCCCCTCCCACCCCGCCTGCCACCATTATCCTGCGCCCGAAACTTCGCATCCCCCCCAATATCCCCCATCCCTGGATTCCCCTCCCTCCCATACCAAGCACCCCAATCAACCCCCCGTCCCCCATTGAGACTCTGCCCAAAATCAACATGAATTCGCCGATCATCAATCAACACCCCCTGCATCTTAAAATACGCCCTCTCACACTCCTCCCTCTTCTCAAACTCAATAAATCCATATCCCAACGACGCACCAGTGTGTGGATCAGTGATGATTCGGCAAGAGATGATTTGTCCGAAACGGGAGAAGATGAGGGAGAGGTCCGGGGAGGAGGTTAGCGGGTTTAGTTTACAGACGAAGAGGACGTTTTCGGGGGGGGCGAGGTCGGCTGAGGGGAGGTCGCCGAGCATTTCGAGGGTTAGGGCTTGGGCTTTTGCTTCGCGTTCTCTCTTTCGTGCCGAGAGTTCGGATTCGGTGAGGGCTTCGTCGGTGGTGTTGTTTAGTTCGTCTTCGCTGATTCGGACGGTTGCTAGTTGGGCTTTGCTGGGGGGTGGTGATGCGGTGGGCTCGGTGAGTCCTTCTGGGTCTGGGAAGGGGTCGTCGAGGATGATCGTGTGTAGGATTCTCGTGTCCTTGTATGGCCGTCCATCATGATCAAGATACAATCCCACAATTTTCTCTAACGTGTCAAACCCCTCCGCAACCCTTCCAAACGGAACCGCGCTCGCATCCAGATAATCCAAATTATCCGCAAGCGTGACGATGAATTGACTCCCCGCCAACTCGTGCTCGGTGGTTTTGTCTTTAGAGATGGTCATGGATACGGTCCCGCGCTCGACGTGTTTCAACTTCGGATTCCGATCGGCTTTAAAATACCGCCGACTCGGGCCTTGTAGAAGACCGTAGATCGAGGTACCGCCATCACCGTCCGGTGGGCCGATTGGGTCTCCGGATTGGAAGAATGCGGTGGGGTTAATATTAAACAGTGGTGAGAAATTGTAGTATTTGACCTGTGCACCCTCGTTAGCTATGACTCGGTGTGAGAAGGAGATGTCGACAGTGACACACCTTACATAACTTCAAGAAGTTCTCGCAGACTTTCGGGACGTAGTCGACATGGAGGTCGATCACGATGTCTCCTTCGGTTGTTTCGAGGAGGACACTGTAGGATGATGAGAAGTCAGCGAATCGGATTGCGAACAGTCCTTTGTCTGGATCCTACCTCATGACAACGTCTTTTGAACCTTTCACAATACGTGACGTATTTGCGACTCGAGGACGACGTGCATGAACTTGCATGAACATGAGTGATAAGATGCTCAGGGTTGTAAGAGAAGCTTGGTATTGCTCTAGATGACTGTTCCCTCTACTTGCCTCCTGGCGACATCTCCAACCTTTAGTCACACTCACTGCTCCATCACATCCTCCTGCACAAAACTCTTCCCCTCCGCCACCCGTCGCTTAACAACCTCCTTCACCAACCCCATAACCAACGGCAAGAAACTGTGCTGTCTCAACTCCTGCTCCCGTGCCCATCTCTTCCTCTTCTCTTCCTCCTCCATCCTAGTTTCCTCCGTCGCGAAAGGGCTCAGTCTCAAGTCCTTCGTCAAAGCCAACAACGAAAACTCGATACTGGTGCTCGCGAATGTACTGATTCGTCGTTCCAGCACAGGAATAAGTGCATCAGCGAACTCCGCAGACGACGACCCGGCGACCGGTCCATGATTAACCGGCGCAGGCTTCAACCCATCAAGCTCAAACAACGTCCCATCAACCGGAACATACGCAATAAAATGATACGGCGCCTCCCCCTCCTCCCCCTCCTTCGGCTTCCTCTCCTCCTCCTCCCACGGCTCAACCCTCGCAAAAGAATTATGCACTCTAGCAAAAACCTCCGAATTCGTCAACGCATCCCCCCTAATCTCCGGCGGGAACTCCCGCGTGAAATCCTTGAACCCATCTAACTTCTCACCCAACTCGATTCCGGGATTATTCAGGAGGATGGATAGGATGGCTTGTGTGCCACACGCGTTTTGGATGGTTTGGTGTGCGAACCAGAGGGAGGTGCTGGCGTTTTCGTCGAGTGTGCCGCCTTGGGCTGATTGCTCGCCGTGTTCTTTACCCCATTTGAAGAGGAAGATGACGCCGTATATTGGGTCGTATTGGCTTATGAGGTCTTTGTCGATTGCGTAGAGTTCCTCGACTTGGATGTCTTTTGCGCCGAGGTCGGAGATGAGTTGGGTGAAGACTCCGGGACTGTATGCCATTGTTAGAGCTAAAAGGGACTTTCATTCCCATGCCCAGCTTCGACATACTCTGATTCAATTGTTTGCCAGGTCATCGCGAGTGTATGCTGTTGGGTGTACCGGCCGGTGTATGTTACTCTCCGGTTGCCTTCTTCTACAGCTGTGTGTACGTATTACGCGTTTACGCCGGAGCATCATATCCCAGGGGCACGCACTCCCCGTGACCTACTCTCACGAACAAGAGATACAAAATGGACAATCTACGAGAATGAACAGATGAAGGAGTGAGGTGCAACGATCAGTGACGGGGCTGTTGATCCGATACGCATGCCATTTTTCCGTGTACGCCAAAAATAGGACAAACAAGACAATGACCTTCTCCTCCAACCCCGGATGGACATCCAACCCACTCAATCCACCCCGATCCATCCTTTGCATCAAACTTTACTCAAATAATAACACTCGCGTATCATAATTTAAGCGGAAGCAGGCTTCCTGGACTCCAACAACCTCTTGCGACCCAACTGCCTCGCGTTCAACCTAACGACACCAGTCTCCTTGGCCTTCTCAACAGCCTCGTCCTCCTCGGCAACGATGATCTCGATGTGGCAGGGGGAAGACATGTAGGGGTTGATACGACCGTGGGCACGGTAAGTGCGGCGGCGCTGCTTGGGGGCTTGGTTGACTTGGATGTGGGCGATCTTGAGGGCGGCGGTGTCGAGACCCTTGACGTCGGCGTTGGCCTCAGCGTTCTTGAGGAGACCGAGGAGGAACTCGGCGGACTTGACGGGCCAGCGGGCTAGAAATGAGTAGGTTAGTATATTTGATCCCGAGTTTGTGTGGTTTTGTTGTTGTTGGCAGCAATTCTCCTCCTGGGCCCATTTCTCGCTCTCTCCACCACATTTCATCCCCATTCATCCCGAATTACTGCCATCCACAACAAATTGACAAAAACTCACCCATAGTAGCACCGAAAGGCTTGGCCTGAGCAGTGCGACCAATACCACCGTTGAACCTGCGGAAAGGAATGGCCTGCTTGTGCTCCTTGACATCACCAAGGTACTTGATAGCCTTCTGGAGGTTCATGCCAGAGATGGCCTGGGCGGCCTCGCGGGTGTTCTTGAAGTGAACACGGAGGTAGTCACCGCGGGTCTTTGCCGACTTGGCGGAGGGGGCGGGTTCGGCGGCGTACCTATACGAACGGGATCAACATACGCTCGTAGAAGGATTGGTGAAGGGATTGACATACCTGACCATTTTTTGCTGGTTTGATGGGGTGGTAAAGACGAAGGGCGGAACGGCAGCACGATGAACCGAGGACCTGAAGAATTTCGCGGGCCCGCGTTGATGCGTGTGGCTCGATGGGGAATAGCGTGGAGGTTGTGCGGGCGGTGCAAGTGGCGGTGCTCCATTGCTCTGTTCAATTGAGGGCACAGGTGACTGTAGCCCTAACTGAAAGAATTCGAATAGGGGACAAGTCATACATGGATGAATGGTTAAGGATAAAGATTACTTCTCTATTCATTTCTAAGGAAGAACAACAGTCCTGTATCCAGTCTCAGTTATTCCCTCCTTGACCTTCCCAGCGCAATCAGCACGTGCACGTCTAGCTCCTGCATCCCAAAAAAATCCCCCCAAGTCAGTACTCGCCCTCGAAGCGCTCAAAGGACAACCTACACCCAACACCTTTCAACAACTCAAATAATAATGGCTTTCACTCCTGGAGGACGTGGTGGATTCGGTGGTGGAGGACGCGGTGGAACTCCCCGTGGCGGAGGACGTGGTGGATTCGGTGGTGGTGACCGTGGTGGCCGTGGTGGTGGTCGCGGTGGATTCGGTGGCCGCGGTGGAGGCCGTGGTGGATTCGGTGGTGACCGTGGTGGTCGTGGTGGTGGCCGCGGTGGAGGACGTGGTGGATTCGGTGGCGACCGTGGTGGTCGTGGTGGTGGTCGCGGCGGGTATGTCTCTTTCCTTCCCAGATCAACCAGATCAACGTGCTGACTTCTGTGCGTTCTAGACGTGGTGGTGCTGCCGGAGCCAAGGGTGGAGCCAGAGTCGTGATCGAGCCTCACAGACATGCCGGTACATAAAAATCCGAACCCATGAAAGTAATCCGAGCATGGTAACTAAGAGTTTTATGTCACTATAGGTGTTTTCGTCGCCCGCGGAAAAGAAGATCTCCTCGTCACCAAGAACATCGCCCCCGGAGAGTCCGTCTACGGTGAGAAGCGTATCTCCGTCGAAGGACCCGATAACACCAAGGTCGAGTACCGTGTCTGGAATCCTTTCCGTTCGAAGTTGGCTGCGGGTATTTTGGGCGGTTTGGATGAGATCTACATTGCGCCTGGTAAGAAGGTGTTGTACCTTGGTGCTGCCTCTGGTACCTCTGTTTCTCACGTTGCCGATTTGGTTGGACCTGAGGGTATGGTCTATGCTGTCGAGTTCTCCCACCGTTCCGGTCGTGACTTGATCAACATGGCCAAGAAGCGCACCAACGTCATCCCCATCGTCGAGGACGCCCGTCACCCCCAGCGTTACCGCATGCTCGTCGGCATGGTCGACGTTGTCTTCGCTGACGTCGCTCAGCCCGATCAAGCCCGTTTGGTCGGTCTTAACTGCCACATGTTCTTGAAGCACGGTGGTGGTGTCTTGATTTCTGTCAAGGCTTCTTGTATTGATTCTACTGCTGACCCTACTGCTGTTTTCGCGCGTGAGGTTAAGAAGATGCAGGAGGAGAAGATGAAGCCTCAGGAGCAGTTGACCCTTGAGCCTTATGAGAGGGATCACGCCATGGTTGTTGCCAAGTACATGGGATAAATTGATCGCAAGGGTTAAGACGCGAGCGTGGGAGTTTGTAAGAGTTTAAAATTTGTTTTTGGGTTAATCGGTTACGGTTCTTTTTCTTGCATGGGTTATTGGTCCCCGGTTTAAAGGTCATATAAATGTTCATCATTCCACCGTATCTACCTTATTTTTGTTCGTTCTTCGTGTGAGTGTAGGTTCCCTGGCCCTCCCGGCAACGACCCCTCACTCGGCACCGCGCGCGCACCAGCCCCTTAACCTTCCCTCCCCTTCTGGCCAGCACAGCCGATCTCCTCTCCCCTCTACGCCCCCCGGCAGGGACACAAACATACCAGTCCGGTTACATGTACTCAGAGTGCCCTGATATCACAACGGGCCGGTAGGTAACTCAGGGTGGCCGACCCAACCGGTTATCAGGGTCTATCTCGTACATCTGCACCTTTGCCCTCCGCCATTTGGGATTCTCAATCGATGGGTCAAGGGGTGTTGGTCACGCGACATCTTTTCGTCATAGGGGTCCTTGACCATGAACAGGGATGCGGTTTGCGCGAGATATGACTGTACTACGTGTGAGGTCCCCACTGGAGGGGTGCTTGCGTGGTTTTCGCCGGTTCGAGAGAGTTCGCTGTGTAGCCAGCTCAGCCCTTCAACTCAGCTTGAATACTGCTGTGAGGTACGCAGCTGTGTATCCCGTGAATTGTATCGTAACATTCCCCGAATAAATGCTCCCGGTAATTCGAATTGTTCCTTCCCTTTCCAGCAACATTCGGCATTGCGTGCCCGTACGGAGTTCTTTTAGTGCCGGGCGCTGCACCTTAGGGACATGCGCCTCCCTCCGACTCACATCCAACCCAACTGCCCATCGAAGCGTCCACCTCTACGACTCAACACCCAAAGGAATCAACCTCTGACTGAAGAACATCCTCGCTGTTCAATACGCGATCTTCGCAAATCCCTTTCGTCTTTCCAGTTCAACTCTTCATCGGTTCGATTTCCAGCGAGTGGCTACGGGTCTTGTCTCCCTCCCCTTTCTTCCGACCGGCCGACCTTCCCTTACCCTTCGTCTCACACGCCAGCACCGGCACTCTTGGGTTCGAAGCTCAGCTATAGGCAATCCAGAAACCTTCTCTCAAACAAGCTAGTTATTTACGATTGCTCTCGTTCGATGAGTGCATAGCTTTCTCGACAAACCTACCACAAAACACCAACGAATACGAACTTTCAAGACGCATTCAATCTTACGGATTCTGATTCCTGCTTGTGATACGACATTCAAAACAAAAAGAAATCCTATAGAAGGGGTTTTATACGATAACGATATTATCATACTCGAAAACATGTCCAACAACATTACGGAAATTGATCCTGCGATCAAGTCGGGGACGGTATTGAAGGATGGGTATGTTTCTCCCTTTACTCCGAGTACCGATGAGTCAGGCGATGGTGCTATGGTGTCATTGCTTGACGACACCGAGCCGGTGATCTTCGAAGATATGTGCTAACGTACGTGTTTACAGTCGTTATATCATCAAATCAACCCTCAACCGCGGCTCTTACGGTACTGTCGTCCTTGCCCGGGACAGAACCCTTCCAGCCCCCAACAATCTTGTCGCGATTAAATGCCTCGTCAAAGACCTCGCAAACCTCTCCCAAGCCGAGCGCGACAGCGCCCTCGACGACGACGAACTCTACATCCACCGCATTCTCGAACGCGACCCAAACGAATCCCCACACATCGTCAAACTCCTCGATACCTTCAACACCGAGACACACCTCTTCCTCGTCGTGGAGTTTTGCCCCTTGGGTGATTTGTATGAGAATATCACGAGTGGGAGGTGTCCCAAAGATACAGAGTCCGTGAGGGATTTGTTGTTGCAGTTGGTTGATGCTGTTGCGTATTCGCATGCACATGGAGTTTACCACCGCGATGTCAAGCCTGAGAATATCTTGTTGATGCCCTCGTCCGAGTCGGCGAGTGGTGTTACCCTCAAGCTTGGTGATTGGGGTCTTGCTACGCAGGAAACTACCAGTGCGGATACGGGAACGGGAAGCGATCGTTATATGGCGCCTGAGCAGTTTGATCCCGCTGTTACCGAGGTTGAGCCTCGTGCTTGTGATGTTTGGGCCGTGGGTGTGTGTGCGCTCAATATCTTGTTCTCGCGTAACCCGTTCAAGGAACCGACTTCGCGTGATCCGGTTTTCAGGGATTGGTGCTGTGACGGAATGAGCTTGTTTGATGTCTTCCCGACGATGAGTGAAGACACCTACCGAGTTCTTTCTCACTCCCTTTGCCTGGATCCGAAGAAGCGTGATTTGGAGAAGGTTCGGGAAGCGATTGAGAGTGTTGTTGCGTGGACGAATGATGACGAGGTCGCGGAGGTTGAGGAGACGAGTTGGGAGGAGGTTGGGGTCAATGGACCTACTGCGAACCGTGCTCCGCTTAGGACTCCGTCTTTGGCCCAGACCATCGCGGCGAGTCAGCAGACTTCGTTCCCCTGGGCCAAGGCATTGGAGGCGAGTGCGGCGCCGGCTCCGGCGCTGACTACTACGACTACTGTACACCATGGTTTCTACTCTTCTTCGCCGAGCTCGAAGGTTGCTGGTGGGTTGATTAACACTGTTGTCGAGGAGTCTCCTGAGGAGGAGCAGCTCGAGACGGATGAGGCATCTTCTCGTTCCACGAGTGGGGAGACCTCGACTACCAACACCACCGCTTCTTTCGATTTGTGTCTTTCGCCCGAAAAAGGTCGTCTTGCTCAAATGAGGTCCAAGGAGCGGAAGAATGCGAAGGGGCGGGCTGTTGGTGGTGGACTCGCTTCCGTCGATTCTGGATTTGGTGGATCGTTTGCGGGACTTGGTGCGGGCTTGTCGAGTATCAACATTAAGCCTAAACCGTCTCGTATTCAGCAACTCAGAGAACAGGCGCCTCACAACCTGGGACCTCGCTCTGGCCAACCTCCCGCCGGCGCGAACGGCAACGGCCTCGGTACTGATTCTCGCTCGTCGTCGCGTTCTTCGTCTCGTACGGCGAAGGACAATAAGCTCGTTGCTGGATGCTCTGTCCCCACTTTCGTCAAAGGCTCCAAAGACCACCTCAAGTTCGGTAAGAGCTGGAGTGATTGGGTCATGGAGGACGAAGAGGAGGAGGTGTCTGGCACGAGTGGAACGGGTGCTACGCCGAGGAAGAGTATGCAGAGTGGGAGTGGGAGGAGGTGGTCTAGTGCTGGGAGTGACGGTGGGTTGAGGTTTGATGATGAGGATGATGATGAGTACTTTTTGATTGCGCCGACGTGGGATGATTGAGCCAACGAGGGCGGCAATCGTGATCGTTGGTGATGGTTTTGTTTGTTTGGAGACACCCCTATACCCCCAGGCTGTTGGAAATGTGTGTTGAGATGAGATGAAAGAAAGTTGGTCAAAAGGAAAAAAAAGGGCCCGGATCGAACCATCTCTCATTTGTCGTTTTCCTCTATGTCTTATCGTTTGTCATACCGCGGCGCGGCCGGGACCTTTTTTTCGTCTTCTGTATCAGTTATCGTCGCAAGTTTGTTCGATTGTTGTTGTTTTTGTTTTTGTCCGGGTGTATTGGGTGTTGTGTTCTTTCGCTTTACTCTGTCTTTTTTTTTTTTTGTGGTTGATTTTTTACTCTGGATATTGCAGTATGGACAGTGGGATTATATGAGTGATGCTCGTGATGAGCGAGAGCGAGGCTGGAGGATGAGACATGAAGCATTATCTTGGAGGAGGTGCCTCAACGGCATCTTTGAAGGAGCTATGGAGGATGTTTTCCTTTTGGTGATGATGTTTGTCTTGGTCGATGTGCCGGGATGACAGCTCCTGTCAGAGGGAGGATTAGGTAGAAAATACAACAAAATCATACTCTTCTCATCCTTATCTCAAAATCGTCAAACATCCGAATTCGATGTTCTCGGAGGTTAGGTTTGCTGCGCGATGCGTTCATCGTAGGTTCGGCTGCCCAGTACCGTATTGTATTCACGATGCACCGTCGATATACGGTACATGCAACAGCTGGAATCATGAGGGGCTCGAGAGTCGAGAGAGAGAAGGCTTGAGTGTAACTCCGTGAATATCCGGGAATTACTTCCACACATGATGGAGTTCCTCTTTACTGGTGTGAGGAATACTGGAATTGATGTGAATGCTGCAGTTGATGTCTTTGACAAGCTTCTTCGACAGCCTTTACATGTTCCAAGAGAACAAGTTCTCATAGCTTTGTTCAATAGGGCTCTTCTGCTGAATCGCCATGTTGGAGGCTTTTACGCCAATCACCTTGCTGATGAGAAAGACGAACTGTTGCATCACACGCTTAAGACAAGCTTCTTTGATCCATTTACTGTTCTTGACTCTACTGGAGGATCTCAGGCAGATTGGCTTGTGCAAAAAGCATGGTGGCGCTTACAGGCTTGGGTGTTTGGTCGGCGTAAAGAGCAGCAGTGTGACTGTATAACTCATCTTTTCATGATCTTTATTCATGGAGGTTAAACGTGTTAGAAGAGGAGTTGCCTGATGCCATCTACTATCTGGCTCGCTATCTCAGCATCACCCGGCCTAATGTCCTAATCACCTATTCGAATTTGGTGACCTTGATCGTACTGGCAAACTTCCATCCAGCAGCCAAGCAAGTGCCGTCCTAATGTTTACCAGCAGCAAATTGATGTTCCACAGATTGCTTTCTACGGTGAAAACAACGTGTAATCTGAGGTAGCTGATCATGACTTTGGCCAGTTGCCATAACGACCACTTCCCACTCCACAATGGACGGACCCAAACAAATGCGCGTGTTCCCGGTGCCGACTCTTGCGCACGCACGGACCCCGAGGAACCCTCACGCTCGGAAGCAGGTCAAAGTCGGTCGATCTGTTGGTGATTACGCTGTGGATTATTTGAGACGGATCAGAGTTGTACGACACATCAGCGGCCTTTCATCCAAGCACATTACAGCACAGCGTCGGCATCTCTAAAGCGCTCAAGAACATTTTGTTTTCTTTGGCTGATCTGTGCGGTATACGGATTATTTCGCCCGCTTGAAGTCATAAACAACAGTCAGCAGGAGTTGAACGACAACGGCAATAGCTGCTACAGTACAGGATACGGCTGCAATGACGCTACGGGCTCTGCCCAGGCTCAATCCGAGGGTTGTATCAATACTTGCTACAGTACGGTTCTTCTGTCGTCTTCTCATTTGACCCATGCTGACTGGGGTTGATTAGATACTCAATGCATCATCAATACCTTTATATGTGTTGCTGGCAATATGGACAACAGCGCTTGTCCCACGAATCCTCGCTTTCGTCGCAGCGAGCGCAAGCGGTCTCGTCACTATCAATGACGGTTCACTAGCAATACGGCCGATGGAGGGAAAGGCGCCATGGATATGGTTGATCCTACACATCATCTTTTCGGTGGTTGCGATTGGGGCAGGAGGTGTATCGTTGCTGTGGATGTTGTTCCGAGGTTTAGGGGTCAGAGTTGGAGGGCAGGCATTGTTGGGTGCTGGTGTTGGTGTTTGGTTTGTTGGGTCGGCGATGCAGACTGCACATCTTACGACACTTCTATCGCCTTCGATTGTTCAGCAGCAGGAGACGCTGCCGTTCTCGACAGTGGCGCCACAGCCCTCGATGACCAACATGGCTCTTCTCGCAGCACCACAAAGCGATCCTATGCCATCGATAGAGTCGTTCCCTGACCCGCGGACAGCACTGACGGGCTTGCACGAATTGACGGGAAGCTCGTACAGTGTCAACACCACCGGCTTCGTCTTCGGCGCTGACGATCATGATGCGCGAACTGTACGTTCCTTCGCGACTTCACACGCACCAGAACGAAGGGGCCGGGAGGACAGCGTGCCGACGATTCCTGATACCCCGGCTCTTACCGCCGACAGCCCTGCCTTGACGATGAAGAGCACAATGGAGCCAATTCGACCGATACTTACGATGCCACCACCGATGCTCCCACCACCATCACCACGGAAATCAATCAAACTGTTGGGCGGCCACCAGTCGAATGGCAGCACCTCTTCCATTGTCCCGCATTTCTCGTTTCATGGTCGTGGACTCTCGTTATCGAGATCGAGAACACATTCCCGCTCTCCAACTCGTCGAGCATTCTCCCAACTCGCACACCGCTCCCCAACCCGTCTCTCCTTCCACAAAAGCGGCACTCAACCACCCTCATTCCCGCCTCCTGGCCCTCCGACCACAGAAGAAGTCGGTCCAGGTTGGGATTCCTGGGATACGACAGATGTCCGAGGTGCGATGTGGACGAAGAACATGGTGGCAGTGAGAGGAGAGAGAAGTGCTAGTGCAGGGACGGTGATGACGTTGGGGATGTTGAGCATGAGTGGAAAGAGTGAGGGTGGTGGGGATAGTCGGCCGGTTAGTGGGCAGAGTTGGGAGTTTGAAAAGATGGTTGAGGGGTTGGAAGTGGGAGGGGGGATTGCGTACTAATAGCGTGAAAGGACATGACGGTAATGGGTATGTGTTTGGTATTTGGGCATTTTCTGGCGTTTTTGCATCTTGTTTTAGGCGGTTTGGCATGAATTGCCGGCCGATATTCTTAGCATCTAATGTATTTTAATGTGGTAGAGGACCACAGGTTAGAGCGGTGAATGAAAAACGATCTGATTTTATTTTCTGGATAAGTCTCACCAGGACACGTAATCAATTGACTGAGAGCCCGCACCGCCTTTTCGACGACATCGTGGGAATCTGCACGTCGGCCTAGCCCAAGCACCGACGGCCGCTTGCACTGGGCCGCGCCGATACATTCAATAGTCTGTATAAGAGTAATGCCACCATGTCCAAGAGAGTGAGACCATGAGAGATCCGATTCAACCTGAGAAACAATGTTTTCAGCTGATGAAGACCCTGTTCCCTTTCTCGCCTGTGTGAAGAAGACCGAGCTCGTCATGCGGATTATCATGAGTCCAACATTCCCAAGAGACCGCTACGACTTCGTACACCTCTGTGTTGGCATCGATGCCTTCAGGGAGGAGTTTCCTAAGATCATGGAAGGGACGAACTACAGTGCTGCCAGTGGCCTGGGTTCCAATGTCAATTCAGGTGAGTGGTTTCATTGTCCGTACCTTCACTGGTGGGAAAAAGCTCACACCAGTCAGAGCATCCCCAAAAGCCGAAGATTGTTATCGCCGGCAGCGGCTTCAGTGATGATGAGGTCGATGAACTCGAGAGGGTGAAATACGCCGACAGCGTAACTTGGTACCGTGCTCCGACAACGAACAAAGATATATTCGGGCCGGACACCGACCTGACAGGAATAGGGAAGAATGCCTAGGAGCCTTGCATATTTCTTTGAACTAACACAGGCTTGTGCAGAGGTACTCCTCATCATCTGCGTGATATTTCTGGCATTCGGCGGGTTGAAGAGCTGACGAGGTCGAGCAATTGGCAGTCCTCTGCCCAATTGCATATCGAAATTGTGGAGCTTGCTACTATACATTTATGTCAAAGACTATAGGATACTCTCGTATTGATACACATCGTCTATTCATGTTGCTGTGCAATCAGTGTAGGATTACAAGCACAACCGTAGCGTTACAAAAAAGAGTTATCATACAAAACCAAAACGTACACGGACTCCACAACCACTGACTCCGAGAACATCATCGAGTTTAGAGCATCCCACCATTCCACTCAGAAAATATCAGGGCTGAATCCCTGCCAAGCCCTCTTCTCCCTAACATCCCAATATCCACCACCAACTTCTGCATCAGTCCTGTACTCCCAGAAGGTCTCACCAGTGACCTTATCGACGGACTGCTTGAACCATCTGGGTTCCCAGTGCTGACCACGAGCTTCGAGATCACGTCTTGCTGCACGTTGTTTCTCTTCGACACGGTTCTTCTCGGTTGCCGCGGCATCGTACTGACCCTCCTCCATTGCGCGCTGGTCGGGACGCAAGCGGGTATCAGTCGGTGGCAACCAAGGAACAAGTGACTTCTGAGGCGCATTGAGCGTGATAGCAAAAGGCGTCAAGTTGAACGGCGCAGGTGGGCGAGGGTGTGCCTGCCAGATTAGGAATGTGCTGGCATTGCCAGCCTCGGGTAAAATAGATGCCTTTCCATCAAGCTTCCTTGCATAGATCTTATCGTTCCAGTGGCCAGCAACAGACCATCTTGGGGAACCTTGAGCATCGGCAACAGTTCCCTTCACCTCGTACGCACCTCCACCCCTCCATCCCCTCTGCTTGAAGTCGAGCGTACACACGTCTCCCGTAGTGTGGTTTTTGACAATCATCTCACCGTAGTTGTCGACAGTAGGCGATCCAGTAATGATGCCAACGACGGAGGTATTCACCTTCTTCCATGTGTACAACTCATCTTTGCCACTAGGCGCACGGATACGACAGAACCAAGTACCAAGCGGGTTGATGTCGAAAGACTTTCCGGTGAACTTCGATTTCACCGCTGACTCACCCCAGTAATCCCATTTCGGCGACTGAGCGATCGCAGCACCGACAGGTGGGTGATGACTAACCTGCTCAACGACAAAGCGGTACTGCTTATCGGGACGAACATACTCGTAAGTCTCACCCAACAACGGGTTGAATGGCTTAGCGATACGGTTCGTGGTAGAGCAGTACTCACTAGCAGCAAAGGCTGCGACATACAACAAACGCTCAGTAGACTCCGTACGCGTGGCAGCAGTATCCAAGAGATCAGCATACTCCATATCCTCAGCAACACGCTGCAACAACGACGTCGGCTCATTGAAAGAAACAGGCAAGGTCATCTTGGTCATATCCTTTCCAATCATACTCTTGAGAATACCCCAAAGCGAGATTTTTGGACGGTTATCGTCGTCCATCGCCAGTTTCTGTCGGGTGCCCTCTTCGTATCCGTGGTAGGACTTCGTGAGCGCATCAGGCTCGTCCTCCTCGACAGGAGCATGAACCTGTTTCTCAACAGCGGGAACGACAGGCGCAGCAGCAGCAATAGCGCTCACCTGTATCTGCGGGGGAGCAGCTACTTGAGTTGCCTGATAGGTCGACGGAGCACGATAGACCTCCTGCTGTACAGGCTGCTGTACGACAGGCGGAAGCGGCTCAGCCTGTATCTCACCGCCAGCGATAGCATCGAAGAACTCATCCTCATCATCGTCCTCGTCGGCCGGGATCGTGGGGATACGCGCCATTGACTGCACCACACTCTGATCCCTGTCAGTAATTTCAACCCCTCCAAACGACTCCGCAAACGTGGTCTCCTCCGCCGACGGCGACGAGATAGACAGCTGCGCATGTGCCTCCCTCAGCGCCTTCTTCGTCTTCCTCCTCTCCACATTGACGTTATGGAACTCCTCCTGCAACTGTTCCTGCTCCACCGCCAACGCACGCATGTTCTCTTCCCAAAGACGCATGATATCATTCTCGCGGGCGAGTTTGTAGCGCCAGAATTGGTCGCGTTCAGCGCTCATGTTAAGGACTTCTTCGACGGTGCGTTGGACGCCGGCGAGGGCGTCGCGGAAGCTTTGGAGGGCGTTGGACATCTGCGGGGAGGGCGGGGCTTGAGTTCCCTGTTGGACCCGGAGTTCGCGCTCATGCATCAAGCTGTCAGCGACTTGACCAAGAACAGAGAGCTGCGCGCGAGCGTAGTTCGCTGTCGTGCCGAACGTGTCTTTGTACGGCTCAATGACAGACTCAGGCTCAGATCCCGCAAGCGAATCCGCCTCCGAGAGCGCCATAGACGTCAAACTCGCCGTACGACGCAAATCACCCGACGAAGCATCATTGATCTCCGATTGAATCAATCCCGGGAGAGGCGACGGTGGTGCATCACCAGCACCACCCCCAGCCCTCCGACTACTATCCTTCGCATGCTGAATCGCCGCAGTCAACGCCCAAGCCCACCGATTGGCCTCAACCGGATGATTCGCCCTTAAGTGATACCTCACACTACCCTTCCCCGTAATCTCAAAACGTTGCTTATCCTGCTTATCCAGATTCAAGCTCGCGTACTTCATATGGATCGAACCCCTACACGATCGCTGCGCGTCGTCTTGGTTCTTGTAGTAGGATAGTACGTCGTTTTCGAGGACAAACCAGCGGAGTTTATAACCTGTCGTGTAGTTTGTCCATTTCTTCAGGTAGCCGGCCATTTTTATGGGTTCGCCGGGGGTTGTGGTCACGACGCTTTGGGCGGCTGGGGAGCGCTTTAGAACGTGCTTGATTTTGTCGTCTTTTGTGACTTCCCATGGGAGTTTGCCTTTCTTGTCACGACGGAAGGGGTCTGCGCCGCGGTCCAGGAGGAACTGAACGAGCTCCAGGTTTTTGGCCTTGGCGGCATCGTGAAGAAGGGTTGATCCAGTTTCAGGATCTTGACGACTGACTTCGCATAGACTCACTGCGCGAGGGTTTGTGAACAATTGCTCCACACCTTGAAGATCACCGGCCTGGACCAACTGCTTGAAGCGGTTGCTGACGAAGTCGGTGTACTGAGCACGCGACAACTGCATCGTATCCGCCAATTCAGGCGTAGTAGCAACCTGGAATGGCTGCTTGCCATCATTGTTCGGGATCGTGTCATTGACATTACTCTGCTGCATCAAAAGCTGAACCACGTCATCACGAGCCAACGCCGCCGCAAGGTGAAGCGCTGTATTCCCATCCTTGTCCTGCGTGTTAATGTCGACGATGTTCTTTAAGATAATGTGTTCAACGACTTGGTGAGACGCACATTGTACAGCAAGGTGAAGAGGCGTAGAGATATCCGAGCTCGTCCGCGATCCAGTGGATGCTCGTGGCCCGTCATTGCTCTGAGCCGTGTCTGCCAAGTATTGTTGCAGCGCACGATCAATTGCCTGTGCATCACCTGAGCGCAAAGCCTCCAGCGTCCTATACGTCTTTAACGATTCCTCTACACCCGCGGATTTGGATAGTCGGATCGTGTTGGCACTCAAGGCGTTTGCGGAGTTCATCCTTGCATGCCTAGACGCACAATGTTAGCTACAACGCGATCCACAGAGCCTGGTAAGAGAGAAAAACATACGCCATGCTTCGTTTTCGTTGGTGGTTGTTGGATCTGCCCAGGTTATCCATGGTGATTGAATCCCTGGGGTCGGGCCGTCTCCGTAGCTTGACTTTGGGCGTATAGAGTTTCCGCGCATGCACGTACGCCCATGACGCTGTGCAGCAGATCCCCAAGTTACCAGGGTTTCGGGTAAATAATGTATTCAACGAAAAACGCCTGATCTCTCCTATGATATCAAGGTATCTTTATGCTAGAATGCTCCATTCATCATCTTAGTTCATCGTCCTCCTCGTCGACACCATTCTCCTCCCCTTCATCCGAAAGCTTCTCGATCACGGGTTTCTCGTCCGTCTGCACTCTCATCAAGAGAGCATTGATTTTGTGATTCTCTCCCCTTGATAAGCTCTTCATCATCTGTACTTCCCGCTTTTCCTGGACTAGCCTTCTCAGAGACTTGGTCAGAAACCCTGCCAGCATGTCAACTGCCCACGAGTCAGGCACCTTCCGAAGGACGTCAGCAACATCAAAATAAGCACAGTACTTCTCCAATAGGTCAGATGTCTGTGTCATTTGCTCATCTCTGTTCTCCAATGCTAGGAGCTCCGAAAGCAGCATAGTGAAGAGCTCGCGCCGAACCTTTGCAGCCTCCGCTCCACGTACTGGTCGCTTCAGCTCAGACATGGAGAGGCCACCATGCAAACAGTAAATCTCAGCACCCTGGAAGTCCTTCAGGTCATGACACAGCAGTCGTAGTGCATCTACGTGCCGCCCAAACTTGCCGTACAAAATCACCAACTCCGCTGGCAACAAACTCTCACGCTGCTGCACGCTCTCAAAGAAGTCTTGAGCTTCGTAGTGAACATCCGCCTGCAAAAAATCTAGCAGCTTCAACCTGGTCTGCACGAATTTCTTGTAATCTTGGTCTCCAATTGACGAGACTGTTTCCTGCAAGAAGCCAATGAATGACGGCTTCGGCCTGGACGCTGCCCGAAACTGCGATACCGAATATTCCACCTGTGTCCGAATGTCCTCATTCTCCAGCCTCGTCAAAATATCCTCAGCATACAACGCAACCAGATCATTCTGATACACCGGATTCTTCACGCCCTGCTCAAACATCAGATGCTCGAGATAGACCTTCAGCCCCGCCCGACTTTCCCGTCTCAGCTTCTCAATGACTACATCCACCTCAACCACGAATTTCTTCTTCGGATCAGGGGCCAAAAGTACCTGTACACCTAGTTCCGGATTCCGTTTTACGAGCCACATGGCGTACTCCCACCATAACTCACCATTCCGGACTTGGTTGATGAGGTATTCCTTCAGCCGTCTTTCGCCATCTTTGAATTCGTCGTCTGCCCATTCTCCTTCCAGCATCTTCCTCCACGTCTCGAGAACCTGCGCAACCATTTTTCGACTCTGGTATAGTCTACTCAATGCATAGTACTTCTTACCCTGTTGTAGCAGACTCACGGCCTCATCGAGGTCATCGACACCAGAATCGACAAAGTCGTAAAGTGCAACCCTGTCCTGCTGAACATTCGGGTCAAGCTCGAGTAAGAGATGTAGAAGAACCCGATCGACCATTGCGAATGCTTTTCGTGCTTCGTCCCCTGAGCCAACACTCCCGAACCCCTTCTTCTCACGGAACTTCTGGAGATATTTCCGCAACATTTCGCGTGCGTTGAACCTCAGCGTCTGCTTCAATCGTTCATTGTTCTCCTCCTCTTTGCCCATATGTGCCCTGATAATATCATCAATCGTTCCCAAATCCTCAACAACACTTCGTACACCCTGATAAACCCACACACTCCCCTTTTCAACCCCAAACTCGGGCCACAACGCCCCAACCAACCTCGGATCCACACTCCCTTTCTCCAACAACGCCAACGCATGCTCGAACAACGTCTCCTCAATATACAAAAACGCAGCTTTCTGATGCACGAACGTCATCTCATGATACAATCTCTCCGGATTCATATCTTCGGGTCGCATGTTGAATATTGCGTCTTCGGCCATGACTAAGGCTTCTTCGATACGTTTTTGGTCGAGGAGTGCGTTGACGTGGAGGAAGAGGGGGGCGCTAAGGAGGGTCGAGATGGAAGTTTGGGTGGTGATGAAGAGGGAGGTTGTGGTTAAGGATATCCGGCGGACGGCTTCAATCTCTTCCCATATTCTTGCGCTGAGCTTTTCGTCTAGTTCGTCTTCTGGTTGGACGTAGCGGACTTGTGCGAGTTTGTCAGCTAGGGCTTGTGAGAGGATCTTGTATCCACCCGCAATATGTCGAACGCTGGTTGCGTTGTCCAATTGCGGTGCCTTCACGGTTTGCACAAGTTCCTGTGTGTTTATGCTGTGTACTTGTAACGACCCATCCTTAAATAGCGCCACAACATGTGGATCCTCAAAAGTAATGTCAATAGGATACTCGTCCCACATCAATGTCCCACGGGTGACCTCGCCGTCCAGATTGACGAGAAGTCCAATTGCAGGACCCATGCCCTCTGGACTCGCGCTCGTCACCAAGAACTCATCAGCGCCGATACCGACCACCATTGGCTTGACTACCGTTGTGCCCGTCATTTGTGCCAGGAGGGTCGCTGCGCCCGGTGATGAGGCAAGATCATCGCCCTGGACGACAGGGAACAGAGGGATCTTTCCCAGATTATCCAGATCAATGAGATCGTAGCTTCGTGCATTTGCCACACATGCAATGCTTCCTCTCTGAGCAGCCACCAATGCGTTCGGGTAATCGACGTCATGAACCAATTGCACGTCTTCCTGCGACAATCTGATAACGCGCAACAGCTTCCGCGTCAGAACGGTGAGCGTCACCGAGGATGTATCGTTGGTATTTGCGTTGAGGTCAAGGCATACGCCGTTGACACCTTTGATACGTGTTTCGGTTGCCGGCGTCAACTCTGGTAGAACGTGGAAGCTGAGGGTTGTGTTGCATAGGATGACAGCGCGCGATATTTGTGGCAGTAAAAGCATAGATGTAATTGGCTTTCCGGAGATGACTGTCTGCTGTGATGCAACCAGATAGGACGGCATGACCTGAACAGTCCGATCAATCAAGCTCATCGGCAGACATAGGGGAGTCAATTGCATACCTTGTCCGTCGAAACGCCGGGATCCTCGACATAATGTATGATCTGACCATCACTTGTGCCGACATACAGGTTTTCCTCTATGCTCCCGATTAGTCTCGGAGTGAACCAAGGCAGACACTTGTATAACATACCCCATGCCTCCACGCACGTAATCCGCTGATGCCGCCCTTGTGCATCTTCCAGGATTGTTTGGAGCGTGTAGGGCTCCATTGCTGTCGCTGTCTTGGCCGAGCGTGTTGGGTATACGGTACGCGCTTAGGTATCGATAAAGGCCTGCAACGTCACACCAACATGGCCGACACGGAACAGACGACCTTCAATGCTGCTCTGTCGATATGGCGAGGTTTGTTTCTCAATCATTTCGCTTGGATCGAGGCTGATTGCTCCTAGATATCGCCCTGTCGTCGTTGCAGAAGACGCTTGATGAGCAAGGGCTGGAGATCATCGAGGCACAGAAAGAATCCGTAGCTAGCCGGAAGGAGATTGCTACAAAGACGAAAGGTAGGCATAGAGCGTCAGTACCTGTTACTGAAGTGACCCCGACTTATTCCGTGTCCTACAGAGTTCCGGAAACTTCCTGATGACGAAAAGTTGCTCGAGGTCAAGGGCCTCCTCAAACTCTATCAGACGGAGATCGACAGCCTCACGAAGCGAGCAAAGAACGCCGAATCTCATTTTTTGTCGCTCTACAAAGTTGTGGGAGAGGCTCCTGATCCGTATCCGTTGCTCGAGGCTACTCTCGACCAGGCGGTGAACTCGGCTGAATTCGACAAGCTGAAGGAAGAAAACGCGTCTCTGAAGGCAAAGTTTACCAGCCAGGAGGACATTGATGACCTGAAGGCCAAGCTAGCAAAGGCCGAATCCCAAATCGAGACCACCGCGAAGGAGAGGGAGGATGCCAAGGAACAGGAGCTGAAGGCTCTGATCCAAGAAAAGGAGAGGAATTGGGCGGAGAAGGAAGCTTCACTGACTGCTCAGGCGCAAGGATCACGGGAACAGGTAAAGGAGCTTAAGGCCGAGAAGGAGATTGCACAGGCCCGTGCCGCTGTTCATGACGCCAAATTCGATGAGGGAGTTGCTGGTCGCTTGGCGGAGCTTGACATCGTCATCGGCGACCTTGAACGCGCAAACCTCCGTGTTACGGAAGTTTCCAAGAGGAATGAGGAGCTCGCGTCCGAAGTTGCGGCACTGAAGTCAGGTCGTGGTACGGCTTCCGAAGAACGTGCTCAACAACTCGATGCACGTGTGAAGGAGCTTGAGGAGGACTTGGAGAAGGTTTCGAAGACGCTGCAAAAGGCGAAGGAGGACAGAGAGATGACTGAAGGTGACTTGAAGAAGAAGATTGCTGCGTTGGAGAAGGATCTGGAGAGGAAGGGTGAGGAGGCTGAGAGTTTGCGGAAGAAGTTGAGGGAGTTCGATGATTATGATGAGATTAAGAGGGAACTCGAGATGTTCAAGGCGGTCGAATTCAACACGGGTGATTCTGACGATGAAGAAGAGGAACCTAAGCCTTACAACACCCAAGGATCGGCAGGAGCTGCAGACTCCGGCAATCAGTCCTCCTTGGAAAAGGCTCTTCATGCACGGAACAAGAAGCTGACATCGGAGCTCACTGTCCTTCGTGTTTCCCAAAACGACCTTCAGTCGCAGCTTGCCTCCCTCGAAACTGAACTTGCCCGTCTCACGCACGACCTTGACGAGCAGCGCGCTCTGAACTCCAAGCTGGAGAACGACTTGCTCCAAGTCAACGACGCTAAGACTCCAGGTGGTGGAGGAAGTGTTGCTGGACGTACTAACGCAGGATGGACCGTCTCTGGTTGGACAACCGCAGGTAGGACGGAACGTGCTGGTGGCGGTCGAGTCAGTCCTACATCGTCGATCATCGGCTTGCGCGACGATGCACCTCTCTCCTCCCTTAAAATCCCAGGGTCCGATGGCGGAAACGCTGGAATCCTTCCTATTGTAACGCAACAGCGTGATCGCTTCCGTGCCCGTGCTGCCCAATTGGAGGAAGACCTTCGGAAACAAAATGCGACCATTGCACAGTTGAGGAGTGAAGTCGAGGGATTGCAGAAGGACAACGTGCAACTCTACGAGAAGACGAGGTACCTCTCGCAATACCGTGAGACCAGCGGCGGTGTGCGACGGACGAGGGCAGAGGAGTTGGCTTTGGACGATCTGGAGGGTGGGAACAAGTACGGAAAGGCTTACGAACAAAGCGTTAACCCATTCGAAGCATTCCGCGGCAAGGTTTGTACCGGATGTACACTTCTCTGTTTGAGACGTGGCTAACTGCTACAAACAGGAATCCGCACGTGCACTCTCCTCACTTAACGGTTTCGACAAGATCGTTTACTCTATGTCACGGATGGTACTTGCGAACAAGGTCACTAGGAACCTGTTTGTAGGTTACTCGGTCTTCCTGCACTTATTGGTGATGATGTGTTTGTATCGCTTAACGTTGATGGAGACAGAAACAGCCACAGGAGCAGGAGGAGCGTGGATGGTGCAAGATGAGAATGGTGCAATGTAGGAATTGATAGTGGAATATATCGGACATACAGGATCGTCTGGGAAAGTCACAACCTCCGTTGTTTACAATAGGCCTAGGATGTTGACGTAGTTCGGTCCAGAACATATCATAATCATCTACAGGTTGCAAGGTCGTACATGAGCTACGTCTTTAGGGCACTCTAAGCACTGAGCATGCTAGAAGACCGAACGCAAGCGTTTGTGTAGCACCGGCGTATCTCGATAACATATGAGGGCAAGCATCGTGGATGAATTCGTTGACCTCGAGTTCTCATGCCTTGGTTGACTGTGTGTGAAGATCAATAATCGAGCAAGTGCCGCGCAAAGAGATCGATGAGGTCCGTCGAATAGCAGCATGCTGGCAATCGGGCGGGTGTATCGTCGCGGGCGCATGTCGTACCCTTTGTCGCAAGTCGAAAAACCGCACATTCACACAAATCCTCAAACATCGAACATTGACACGGAACGGAACATTTTCACACTGAACCAACAAGAAAGTTTCGTATTCCATAACCGTCAGAATTGGATGCCCCCAAAAAACGCCCCGAAACAAAGATCAGATCGAAAATCCGAGAACGAAAGGCGAAAACTCCTCGCTTGTCCAGTCCACGCACATGTAATAGTCGAACAACTCCAAGAGCCCGTAAGGCGCTTAGATGTTCAACTTGGTGCGGCGCCAGTGTCTATGAATCAAAAATCAGTAACTGAGGTGGTGGAGGGGTAAGGAAGAGGTGCACGAACCTGCGCTTGGCGTTGTACTGGATCTTGTTGTCAGTCCTCAAGCGGATCCACTGGGGGATGGGGCGGTTCTGCTTAGCAGCCTTGGCGAGCTTCTGCTTGGTACGGAAAGTCTTGTTGGAAGGCTATGATGGAGGTCAGCAAACGCGTTCAAGTATGTAAATGATTCTGCTGTGTAGATGCTGTCCAGCTCAGGAGAGAGAACGAGAAACGAGTAAGTCGATGGTTGAGGTATCGCAGGTGGTCGAGCGCCGTTCTTCAGTAATTGTCGAAGAAAGATGTTGCGCAGTTGTTTCCGAGCCGATCCCCCATCAAATTCCTCCGTTCTTTCAGCACACAGCATCACTCCCGGCAATCATTCGCCTGGTGTCGTCCCCACCCCTCCCCCGACCGTCCTCGACCACGCACACCGTCCACACATCCATCCCCCTCCGCACCCCAAACCCACCCCAAACCGACACGAATCGACTCGTCTCGTTGTTCTCTCTCTCATTCTGGCAGCATCACAGCAGCAAAAGGACAATACGGACCATTCTGACTGATTTTTGGTGGACTTGTCGACGAACGGATTCAGCCACACTCTGTGAAGCAAACTTTGGTGGTAAGGGACGCTTGTGCAGGTGAAGTGTGGCTGGGAGCGCTGGTAAACAGAGAGGAAAGCGGAGCAGAAATTCGATCATTCAGGTTAGAAAAGGGTTGGAAAACTTCAAGCCAGCTCTCTAAGGGCCGCGATAGCCGCGATAGCCGCGCGCCTACTCTCAGGAATCGTTGAGGACACTTGGCTGCGTGGACAACCGTGGGAAAGTTGCATCGCATACGTACAGCCTCTTTCCCTCCTGCGATATGGTAAAGTCCAAACTCCAGATGACCGGGCTTTACCGTCTCATTTTTACCACAGCAACCGCAGTATCTTCCCATGGACCCTGCTTTGCAAGCGAATATCAACGCCCCCATTCACCTTCAAGGATGCCGAATAGTCCGTACACCCAAGATGCGGGCCTCCCACTAGACCCAACCTACACCTCATGCGCGCCGCTGATTGGCCGCGCTGCATCCCGTTCTCTCGCCTGGTCAACAGCTCAGCAAAGACTCAGATGCCGTCAGATGTTCAAGTTTATTGTTGGGAAGGGGTAGCAAGGGTTTTGGAGGTGTGGAGGGTCGACATGAGCGCAGAGGGACCTTGTGATCTCGCCGAGAATCATGTCGCGTTTGGCCGCATGGACTGAGACAGAGCACCCTTTTGACCTGGCAAGGTCATTGAAGGCGATTAGGTATCACATTCCAACATTTAAGAAGAGCTACCCATACATATTTTCCTGTAAAAGGCGGTGGTGTCACGACCTTCTCACGATTTTCGCCTGTTCATACGACCGTATGCAGGTTTTAGGCCGCGGGTGCGAGTCTACTCGTCGACCGCATCCCTCAAACATCCAAAGTTTCACGCTCACCGACAAATCAACAATCTGTCGCCCGACCTCAGAAGCATTTTATCCAGATAGAGCGATATTTTCCGAGTCGGATCATATCGGCAAGTACGCCCTACACCCTCTCCGGCGTCGCGGATAATCGGACAAAGTCGTACAAACAGCTCCTGAGGACACGACGTGATATCCGGCCTTACACATTTTTGCCCACGTGAACGGGGATGACGGACGGTTCTGGGACCTCATCAGCTTCGGTTGTGTCGTATCGGGGGAATCCTCGTGGGCGGCCAAGGGGATCTGTGCTGGGGAGAGGAGGGCGTCCTCGTGGGCGTGGGTCAACAGTCGCGACTGTTAGCAGAACATCAACACCAAGATCTAACGCCGGGAGCGAGGCATCGGCAGATTCGAATGATGAGGACGCTAGAAATTCTGGTCTGAGAACGAGTACGCGGGTTCGGAGGACGAGGATGGCGTTGGATGAGAGTGATGATGATTTCGGATCAGCGGCTGAACCGCGTAAACGGAGACGAATACAGCGCGAAGGTAAGCTAAAAGTGCATTATAATAACCAAAAAATAGTTCCAGGTAGTCCTTGTCATTGGATATGATGATCTGGACTAGTTGGGGCTGAGGCGATCTTGGAGGGGATGTGGTCCGGGATCAACAAACAATAATACAACGAGCATAATTCAAAGGACAAAGCTAACTATCGCTGACATAGGGTCCTTCGACGATGCTGTAAGCAATGCACCGAAAGTGAAGAAGTTCACCACCACGCCGGACGTGCCCAAATTCGGTGCCGTTGCCCAATTGCAGCATGTCATGCAAGTGAAGAGAGCGCGAATGAAAACTTTGTCAGGCCGATTTGAGAAGCTTGTGAGGGCTTTACTCTTGCATACTGATGCTGCACTTACCGAGGAGATCAACGCGCTGGAACAGGGTGAAACTACTAAAAATGTCGAGGCGGCGGTTGTTGAGTTGGAGAGGGAACAGGAACGGAAGTTGGAGTTTGCGAGAAGACGATACGAAATGCAAAAAATGGAGTTGCATCGACGGCATAAGGGTGAGAATCGATTTGCTTGGGGTGATTTCTTGGTGAGTACCGTCCTGACGTGACGCGAATAAATCCAGTGCTAACATACCTCATAAAGAACAAGAGATCGCAATTGAGAAAAGCCATGATGGAACATCTAACTCGAAAAATCTCACGGCTGAGAATTGAGAGGAAAGCGGCTGATCTCGAAGTTGAGCTGGACTTGCGACGAGATACGTTCAGGAACAAGCTGCTGGAACAAGATGATCACCGGAAACTCAGTTCTGCTTTCTTCGGAGCACGCGATGAGCCGCTTGGTGCTACGGCCAAGGAGGCAGAAGAGGACTTGGAGGCGATGAATGAGGGATGGGAACGGTCACCCACGCCGATGTCCATGGATAGTGAGGGCAATATCGACGAGTTGGAAGAGGAGTACGATGAGTTGGAAGCTCTACTCGGGATTTTCCGGAGAGCTGCATGGGAGAAGGGCGAGGAGTATTGTCATGGATTGGATTTATTGTTGGCAGGAATGAAGGCGGACGAGCAGCTACAGCGGCAACTGAGCGCAGCACCGGCGTTGCCGCAAGTACCGCATATTCCACCCGGAGGGTTCCTCATCGCACATCCTCCGGGTCGTCCTCCGACGCTTCCTCCCGGCGCACGGATCCAGTACGTCATTTCGGGTCCTCCGCCGCCTGGGCAGGTCATCATGAACGCCTACCCCGGTTCTGCACAACAATATGCCCCTCCGACACCCAAGTACCCGCCTCTTCCGGATTACTCCAATCGATTCCCCCCCAACCAGTCGGCCAACACTGTGCCTACCAACGCGTTCTTTCCGTCCGGTTCTCCTTACCCACAGGGCTTCCCCAGCACACCACCGCAAAATGTTAGACCGTCATACTCCCCTATGCCTTTCCCGACCACTACTCCAGACAGAGACATCCAAAATTCCGCCTTGGCTCAGTTGTCTGAGTTTGCTTCGAAGATCCCTCCACGGCCTACGAACCCATTCGAGGCACTGGCGCAAGTCGCAGATGTCGCGGCAAAGACCTCCGTCGTTGCTGCACCAGAGATGGACCCAAAGTCGTGGGCTGAAGGTTTGTTCGCTGCTATGGGTACACAATCTGCGCAGAAGACGGCAACGCCGAATCAACCTCGACCAACCTACACGGTGCGCATCACTCCGGCCGGTTCGACACCTGGACGTCCAACCCCGCCTCCTGCTCGATTTGATGCGCCCAGGGCTCCACCACCTGTGATGACGTTGGGTTCGTCTCCGGCTGCGCAGCCAGCGCCTGAGGTAGCTCCGCCAGTATCTCCATCACCGACTCCCATTCCACCGGCCCTCGCTGATCGACGGGAATCTTTGGAATCTCGGCGCACAGAGGACAGACGGATGAGCGAAGCCCTCTCAATCGGAGAAGCACCGGTTGTAGCACCGATAACGTCACCTCCTGTGTTCCCTCCAGCGATACAACCATCTGCCTTCTCTGGGTGGACAAGGCCGAAGTCAGCAACACCGACTGAGAGGACGGGTATTCCTCCGCCGACCAGCAATGACGGCAGTCGCAGCACATCTCAAAGGGTCTCTCCAGAGAAAGCCCCGGAAAGCCCCGCTGTGGAATTTGCGCAGGTTGTCCGTAGTCCGGCACGCTCGGACGACTTAGACCACCACGATTTCCAAGCGATCGAAGCATTTGATGAGAAAATGGAGGACGCTGACCCGGCTCCCGAGCCCGTCGAAGATTTTGACCAGCCTATGGAGGAAGCGGCCGAACCTGCGGAAAGTCCTAAAGGTCCCGCGATGGGTGAGTTTACCACTGCCATGACGGCACAACCACAGAATTTAGCAACAGCAGATGCTGATGCGCAAATCAACCAGTTTTTCGATATTCCGCGGACCCCGAGTGAGCAACAACATGTGACCGAGGGAATAGGTGAGAAGGAACAGGAGGCAGAAGAAGGTGAAACGGCGCGAGTGGGGAGTCCTGCAGGGTCTGATCGCACCATCGTCGAAGACTCACCCGAACCCCAACCCGAACAAGAACCCGAACCAGAACTGCTGGAGCAAGAGGACGAACACAGAGACGACGTACTCGCCCACCGCATCTCCCGCGAACGCGCAAGCTGGCTCGCCCGCCGCAACCGCCAACCCTTCTATCTCCCCCCACCCGAATCCGACTCCGAAGACGACGAGCCCCTCCCACCAACTGCACTCCTCATAACTACCTCATCCGGATGGCAAATTCCCGCCGCAGCACGACTAGGCGCTGGATCCCATCCAATGGCATGGATGTCGAATATGCCTTCAGGCACTGTCCCGCCGCCTCCGCCGCATTTGCAGCAGAGACCGGTTACGATGCCAAGGGGGATTATGCCGAGGAATATGTTGGGCGGGATAAATTGGCCGGTATCGAATCAGGCGCAGATTGACGCGCAGCTTAATGCTGCTTTTGCGCCGCAATCGGCTCAACCACCTCCGCCTCCTGCTCCGCCTGTGGAGGAGAGTGGCCGGGATGGGCCGGGGAGTCCTGCCGCGATTAGGGCACCGGAGCCGCCGCAACCGCCGAGAGGTATGAAACCGGGTGAGAGGCCAGTGACGTTACCGAGTTCAAACGCGACTGCGATACCGACATTTGGGCAGAGAGCACAACCGGCACTCGCGAATGCGCTACGTCCACCCGCGTTTTTGAACGTCACTCCCGCTGCGGCGATGTTGATGCAGGCCGAGGCTGTGCCCACACCTACGAAGTTACCTGTGTCGGGATCAGGATCCGGTGCGGAGGGTGGTGCAAGTGGTACTGGGGGATTCGGTGGGGACAATGATGGGTTAATGGATGATTTGGCACTTATGGCGATGGTTGCTGGTGTTGCGGCTGGCAGTAGTGATCCGTTGGAGCCATCCGAGGGTGATGGGGATGGGGATATCGGGGATTTGATGAATTTGGATGGGTACAGGAAGCATGGCGAAAGGTGAAGAATTGTACGATATGGGAAATGTTTGAGACATGGAGTACGGGATATGGAGCGTTTTGAGTTTTGAGTCTTGGTATGGCGCGCATGGTATATTCATTGCATGGAGCTCGTGTATGAGCCTGGGGAGATGAGGATAGAGCTAGCAGATTGTGGATTGTACGTAATCATTGGCATCTCATAGCGATATCGAAAAGAACTTTCTGAGCATGTCCTGGTACTGAGCACCATACCTATATAAACCCCATAGCAGACAACCTTGGAGCAAAGAAGCGTGAGGTGGCTCGTGTGGCAGTGCACGTCAACCCGCAGTAGCGTCATACACCGGTCTCCCGCCATAAACTCCGCAACGCGCATACACGCAGCTGCCCCAGACCGTTGCTCTCAACAAGACACCATGTCAGGACTTCAAAAGGTAAGCCGTTTTCAGCATACTTCCGAGTGAGTAGTCGCTGACGAACGCTTACAGGACGCCCTTCGGGCAAAGAACGCCGCACTTGAAGCACGATTAGCCGAGTTGAAGAAACGACACGCAAAAATCCTGTCAACACTGGCGTAGGTCCCTCTTCTCCCTCCCCCCTTTCCTCGTGCGTGGATATACTGACACTCACCGTCCAGCGACCCAGAAAACCCAGAGAAGACGGTAGCAAGACATATCAAACTCCTCCACGACTACAACGAGATCAGAGATGCAGCGATGGGCTTGATTGGGAAGATTGCGGATCATGAGCAGGTTCGGGTTAAGGATGTCATGGGGCGGTTTGGGATTGGGGAAGGGGATGAATGAGGATACGTGCTGGAATTGGGTGGTGCGGGGGCGTTTTGTTTGGGATTGGGATACCCGGTGTTTGGGCGACGACGATACAAAGGTTGTGGTCCCTCATCTTACGCAGGTAGACGGACTGTTGACATCAAACATGCATTCGCCGTATTCGCGACTTCAAGGTTCTCACGCTGCCCAGCCCCACGTTCCTGTTCCTGTTCCTGTTCCTGTTCCCTGCATCCCTCGCTTAAGTTTGCACTTATGCACCACACGGTCGGCATCTTCCGCGCCGGCAATACGCTACTGCCGGGAATACGAGTCGCACGTCCTGCACAAAAACACAAAAACACAACGCCGTCCACGCCGTCCACTCCTGAGCATACATCCAGGAGACTCAAGATGGACATAGCCAAACGAGACAGCGACATACAGGACGACGTGTTTGAGCAGGTCGAGTTAGGGCCTCTGCAAGCCGCGACACAGGCTGTGGCGACCGTGACGCCGGCACCACAGAGTGCGCTGATTCCTCCCCTCTCCGTGGAAAACGATGTCCCGAGGTTGGGGAGGGCGGATCATGCGCCTCCGTCAACGTCGAGTACGACGAGGAGAAGAAAAGGGGATGGACATGTCATGGTTGATACGGCTTCTCTGCCTAGCTCGGGTGCGAAGAGCGAGAATGGTGGGGGGGTGGTTGATCCGTTGGAGAGGTTACCGCCGGAACAGAGGGAGGCGGTGTTGGCGCAATCGCGGTTACCGGAAGTCACGGTGAACTACAAAAAACTCTACTCGCTCGCCACGCCGTTCGATTGGCTCCTCCTCGTAGTCGGGACGTTGTGTGCGATTGCAGCTGGTGCTGCGTTACCGTTGATGACCATCGTCTTCGGTGGCCTCACGAACTCTTTCTCGAATTATTTCGTGCCTGGGGCCGATACGAGTGGGTTTCAAGGAACGGTGAATCATTATTCGCTTTACTTTCTCTATATCGCCATCGGGGTGTTTTTCACGACATACATCTACACATGCTCCTTCCTCATCACCGGCGAGAACATCACTCGCCGTATCCGCGAGAAATATTTACAGTCGATCTTGAGGCAAAACGTCGCTTATTTCGATGTGCTGGGAGCGGGTGAGGTTACGACCCGGATTACCTCGGATATGAATTTGATCCAAGACGGTATATCCGAGAAAGTCGGCGTGTCGATTTCGGCCGTCGCGACATTCTTCTCGGCATTCGTTATCGCATTCATCAAATCCTGGAAACTCACTCTCATTCTCTTTTGTATCATCCCCTCGATCCTGTTCATTATCGGGTCTATGTCGAAACTCGCAGCAAAGTTCACGACTCAGGCGTTGAACGCGTACTCACAAGGCGGAACACTGGCAGAGGAAGCCATCTCCTCCATCCGCGCCGCACAAGCCTTTGGTATCCAAGATCGTCTGGCAAACCTCTACGCCTCGCACCTCTCCCTCGCCGAAGGATTCGGGATGAAGAAAGCTGCGGCGAATGGTGCGATGTATGGTGGTATGTTTTTCATTATCTACTCTGCCTACGGTCTCGCGTTCTGGGAGGGATCGAGGTTGTTGGTGCGCGGAGAGGTTGATACGGGTATCGTCGTCAATGTGTTTTTCTCGGTGTTGATTGGGGCGTTCAGTCTTGGTAATCTCGCGCCGAATTTACAGGCGTTTAGTTATGCCGTTGGAGCTGGAAAAAAGATTTTCGAAGCTATCGAGCGTGTGCCGTCGATTGATTCTTTGAGTGATGAGGGTGTTATTCCGCAGGGTGAGGTGAGGGGTGATATTGATTTGGAGGGTGTGACGTTCGTGTATCCCGCTAGGCCAGAGGTGACGGTCATGGAGGATTACTCACTCCACATCCCGAGTGGGAGAACGACTGCACTCGTTGGATCTTCGGGATCGGGGAAGAGCACCATCGTCGGTCTCATCGAACGCTTTTATGATCCGTGTGCGGGGAGGGTGTTGATCGATGGACATGATATCAAGACCCTCAATGTGAAGTGGTTGAGGACGCATTTGTCGTTGGTGAGTCAGGAGCCGACGTTGTTTGCTACGTCAATTTATGAGAATGTGGCGTATGGACTCATTGGGACCAAGTATGAAGATGCGGAGGAGGTGGTGAAGAGGGAGATGGTCGTTAAAGCATGTATCCTCGCCAATGCGGATGGATTTGTCAGGCAGTTGACGGAGGGGTATGATACCATGGTCGGCGAACGCGCAATGCTCCTCTCCGGTGGACAGAAACAGCGAATCGCGATCGCCCGCGCAGTAGTGTCCGATCCGAAAGTCTTATTGTTGGACGAGGCGACGAGCGCGTTGGATGCGAGTAGTGAGGGGATTGTTCAGGATGCGTTGGATAAAGCTAGTGTTGGAAGGACCACGGTGGTAATCGCGCATCGCCTCGCTACGATTCGGAAGGCGGATAATATCGTCGTTATGGCGCAGGGAAAGATCTTGGAGCAAGGTACGCATGATTCGTTGTTGGAGATGGGGGGGACGTATGCCCGTCTCGTCGATGCGCAGAGGTTGGGGACGGAGGAGAAGGAGAGGGGGGAGGAGGATGTGGAGCAGGATGAGGTTGAGGAGAGGATTGAGGAGGGGTTGGGGTTGGTGAAGACAAGGACGCACCAGAGTGTTGCGTCGCAGGTCCTCGCGAACAAGAAGGGTGAGGAAGGGAGACATTATGGGACGTGGGAATTGATAAAGAGGATTGGTGCGTTTAATAAGAGGGAGGCGCCTATTATGTTTTTGGGGTTGGTTGCGAGTGTGGTTGGTGGTGGTGCTTATCCAGCACAAGCCATCATCTTTGCGCATTTGATTGAGGTGTTGTCGTATCAGGATTACAACCGCCTCCGCAACCGCGCCGATTTCTTCTCGTTGTGGTGGTTGATCATCGCCATCATCGAGTTGTTTGCGTATGCGCTCATGTCTTCCATGTTTGGGTATTGTTCGGAGAAGATGGTGAGGAGGGTCAGGGATCAGAGTTTTAGGGCGATGTTGAGGCAGGATATCTCGTTTTTCGATAAAGAAGAGAATTCGACGGGTGGGTTGACGTCGATGTTGTCGACGGATGCCACGAAGCTCGCCGGGTTGTCGGGGACGACGTTGGGTACGTTGCTCATTATCGCGACGAATTTGATTTCGGGGTGTATCCTTGCCCTCGTCGTTGGATGGAAATTGGCGTTGGTGGCGATTGCGACGTTGCCGCTCCTTGTTGGATCTGGGTTCTTGAGGATGAACATGTTGGCCAAGTTCCAGGATAAGATGAAGGGTGCCTACAACAAAGCTGCGCAGACTGCTTGCGAGGCGACGAGTGCGATTAGGACTGTTGCGTCGTTGACGAGGGAGCAGCATGTTTGGGATATGTACCATGATTCGCTGGAGGGACCTGCTCAAGCGGCGTTGATATCGACGTTAAAGAGTACGGTATGGTTCGCTGCGTCGAGTGCTATCACTTTCTGCTGTAACGGCCTTGCGTTCTGGTATGGAGCTACGCTCATCAGGACCGAAGGCTACAGTTTGATTACGTTTTTTATTTGTTTCACGGCCATCACCTTCGGTTCGCAGTCTGCTGGGCAGGCGTTCACTTTTGCACCGGATATGACGAAGGCTAAGGCTGCTGGTGCGAGTGTCATGGGTCTTCTTGACCGCACGCCTGAGACTGATACGTGGTCGGATGAGGGCAAGAGGGTTGACCAGATCGAGGCGGGTTACATCGACTTCAAGAACGTGCATTTCAGGTATCCTACGAGACCTGAGGTTCCTGTGTTGCGTGGATTGAACTTGAAGGTGAAGCCTGGTCAGTTCATTGCTTTGGTCGGTCCGTCTGGATGTGGTAAGTCCACTACCATCGGATTGATCGAGAGGTTTTATGAGCCACTTGCTGGTCATGTCCAGGTAGATGGTATTGACATCTCGACATACAACGTCAACGACTACCGTCGCAGCTTGGCGCTCGTGTCTCAGGAGCCTACCCTGTACGCTGGTTCTGTCAAGTTTAACGTCACCCTTGGTGCTATTCATGATGTCACGGACGAGGAGATTCAGCAAGCTTGTCGTGATGCCAACATCCATGACTTTATCATGTCTCTGCCGAATGGCTACGATACACTCGTTGGAAACAAGGGATCTTCCATGTCTGGCGGTCAGAAGCAGCGTATCGCTATCGCTCGTGCCCTCATCCGAAACCCGAAGATCCTTCTCCTTGACGAAGCCACTTCAGCTTTGGATTCGGAGTCCGAGAAGGTTGTCCAGGCTGCCTTGGACAAGGCTGCTAAGGGACGCACAACCATTGCTATTGCTCACCGCTTGGCCACCATTCAGAAGGCCGACATGATCTACGTCATCTTCGAAGGTCGGGTAACTGAGAAGGGGACGCACGAGGAGCTGCTTGGATTGCACGGCCGTTACTATGAGATGGCTATGCAGCAACAGTTGGAGAAGTTGGGTGCTTCGGGATTGTAATAACTGGGCGTTCATCATCTCTCCTCTTTGGACTTTTTCCATAATATAGGTCGATATATTTCTTTTATTTAGTGTAGCAGCGATATTTCTGCCATATACCAAACTACATTCTGCTTGTCATTTTCTCACGAGCATGTGTAAAGTAGCTATTGTAACGGATGGAGTAGTAAGAAGTGATTGTTATTCGAATGTAGAAATAAAGCTACCAAAACCTCCCCTTTATATAGCAAAGTTCTGTACCGGCTTCTAGGAAGCCGGTACTCACCGAAGCCGGTACTCACCGAAGACCGGAACAATAGAATTAAAACCAGGTACGACGTACCTGTAGAATCCGTAGTGTGGTTCGACACACTACGGCTATTCCACACCACGTGCACAATTGCAGTCAACAGCTGGGACATTCGGAAGAGCTCGAGGAGCAATATCGTTATGAGATGCTTGTAAAATACGATGTATCATTCCATGTTATAGCTATGAGTAAAAGTCATAAACTCCGAATACGCCAAAATATCATATCCCAGAATGCCTTAGTCTACTAATACTGTCAGACCGTCAACCTTTTCGCCTCCTCTAACTCTGCCTTCGCTGCTGCCATAATCTTCTGCAGCTTCTGGAGGGCACTGGGCATGTAGGGCGCCGCATTTGCTTTCTCGTCTTTGAAATTTCTGGGAATCGCAGCCGGCGGCGTGCGTACTGCGGCCGCCGTCTTCGGTTCCGAACGCGGCTTTTTAGCACCGTTCGTCATCTTCTCGGCTTCAGCTGCCACCGTCTCCGGACTCGGTTCTCTCTTCTTTCGCTTCCGTTCTTCCAGAAGTCGCTTGATGTGGGATGGACTGTGCCGTGCAGAAACGCTTGCGGCCAAACTCTGCAACCCCGGAGTAATGTCTGCTTCGCCAGTAGTACTAATATTGAGGACGAACAGGCCTGACACCGCCGGACCCATTTCAGCACACAGTGCCGAGAGGTGAAGTCTAGCGTCAAGGTCCGCATGTGACATCTCACGAGTCACCCAGTTGATAACGAGTACGGGAAACGCAAAACGAGATTCCTCGGCGATGTACCGAACAAGGTCATGGAATGAAGTTCGTTCTTCGGTCCACTTGGCCGGCGAGTCTTCGATCCCGGCGTTGCACTCGTACATCAACGAGCCCACATGCGTAACATCTCCGATGCTCGCAAACGGTCTCATGTCCACACCAACCTGGACACCTTTCCGGGTCTGCTGCCATGCGTACCCTTCCTGACTTTGCTTTAAACCAAGCTTCTCTTGCAACCAGTAAGCTGTGGCACTGTTAACGTTTTCAACAGCCACCAGTCCTCTCCAGACATTCTCAGCCGAGTCTGCCCTGAAGAATGCATGTTCCACAGCTGCTCCAAGCGCTTCACCAAGATTCACGGGTCTCCATAACTCCTCGGCTTTTCGCGCCGCCTCTTGAAGGGCCTTGATCGCGTCGTCGTCTTGTCCCATATCCATGCTTGACAAGGATTTTCGAATTTTCCTGCGCTTAACGCTGTCGGTTTCTCCGTGGAGCTCTTGTAGTGCGCTTCGGAACGCCTGACGTTTCTTTCTCTCCTCCTCTGTCTTCCGCGCAAGTTCTTTCTTGCGCGACAAGGCCTGATGGGCTCTCCTTTGAAACTCGCGTACCACGCGCAGTTCGTCCTTCCGGCGGCGAAAAGCCTCAGCTCTTCCTTCGTCTGCCACGTCCTGTGCAGCTCCTCTCAACAGCGACTCCAGCATCTCCGACGTAAGCCCATCAATGAACGCCTTGCGGGTTTTCGTCCCCTCCTCGAGCTCCTGAACGGCAGCCATAGCATACTCACGTGCTTGTTTGGAGACAACTGAGCGCGTGATTTCATTGAGGATACCCTGCAACTCCGCCTCCGAAATCTTGGGCTTCGCAGGTTTCTGTGCCACAGGCGGCATCTGCACAACTGACGACCTGCGAGCCCTCGGCTCTGGTGCGGGTACAGGAGCAGGAGCAGCAGTGGGAGCCATCTGCGTAGCCGCGCCAAAAGCGCTACCGTTTCGCACAGCCGGAACCGGAGCCGGAATTCCAGGAGGTCGTGTCTGAACGGGTGAACTCTCAGGCGTAAGGCCGACAGAAAACCCAAGACCAACATTTGCTTTGGTTGGCTCTGGCGCCTTCGGCGGAGCAGCGGGAGCACCAAACGAAAAGCCCGAAGCGGGAGCGGGAGTGACCTGCTTTGCCTCCGCCAATTTCGCCGGTGCAAAACCGGTCAAGACACCTGGCGTGGCACCAAAGGCAGATCCAACTGGTTTCGGCGCATCAGTCGCAGATCCAGCAGCCTTACCAAACGAAAATCCACCCGTCTGTGCAGCTGGTGCTGGTGCCGCCGGTGCACTTCCAAAAGCGCCAACCCCCGATCCCCCGCCTCCAAACGCATCCGCACCAGCCTGCGAACCGGACATCTTTGTGCGTGCAAACGGATCCGGATTCGGTGCACCAAAAGCACTTCCTGTAACTGCTGCCGTCGCTGCTTTTGCTAAAGTGCTCCCAAACGCACCGAAGGCACCAAACCCAGTCGCTGGCGCCGCTGCTGGTGCGGCAGCCTTAGCCGCAGCACCCCCAAAGGCACCACCACCACCCATCACATTCCCAACCCCTCCCGGCCTGAAGGGTTCAACAAGCGGATTCATCCTCGCCCCGAACCCCGCCGCTCCATTCCCACTGCCTGTTCTCGCCCCACCCCAGGGCAGATTGATGACATCTGCAATGCCTAACCCACCTCTTTTCGCCTCCACAACTCCCCGATTAAACGCCTGCCTCGGATCACTCCTCCCATCCTCACTCCACCCCCCTCCCTTTGACAACTTTGCCGCGACCACCTCTCCCGTATTCTCGTCCCGCACGACTTCCACACCCCAATGTTCGCAATCCGCCGCTGCCTCTTCTGGGGATTCGTACCCGAGCATGGCGACGAGTGTGTCGATTGCGATGGGCGGTTTGCCGGCGAGGGAGCCGCGGAGGGCCTTGAGTGCGCCTTTGCGGATGGAGGAGAAATGTTGTTCGAGGAGACATACAGTTAGATACCCTACCCGCTCACTCCTCACAAGCTTGAAAAACCGTGTGAACTGATGCAAACTAGCCTCCGCGTTCGGGAAAGTAAACCTGTTCGCAACGTTATTGCTGCGTTGTGCCATTGAGGCCAACTTGAGGGCTAGTTGAATCTGCGGGTTATTGAAGAGTTCGGGTGGGTAGTCTTGGGCTTCGTGCGGGAGTTCGGCGTTGCGGATATGGTAAAGGATCATGTATGATTTGAATTCAGCTTCATTGGGGCATATTTCGCCACGTTCGTGTGCGTCGTCGTAGAACTGGGAGAGGGTCTGGAGGACTGTAAGTCAAAATTAGCATCGGTTTCACGGAGACTTTGTTTGACGTACCTTTCCACAATTGCTCCGCTTCTTGCTGAGCTTGGAACTCGGGGACTTCACACATGAAGTGCGAACTCAGGATATGAAATCTTGCGATGCGCTCATGGCATTCAATCGCAATAGGATCCGAAACTCCCTGCACGGTAAAGTCCTGTCTGATACCTCGCGTTCGACCACGAACGAACGAGTGAACAGAAGCATACTCATGCGGCCCACACAGAATCTTATCAACAAGATAATCCAACGTTTTCTTCATACAAAACGGTCAGCATACATCCCCTCATCCAATACTCTCCTAAACAAGCACCATACCTTCAACACAAGCGGCGGCCTAACATCACTCGGCAACGGCGGCGGATCCCCCGCCGCCGGCCGATGAAAGATCTTGACCGCGCGCTCTCTACTAACCCGACCAGTCTCCGGATCACACTCCAACCGATCAACGTTATTTTGCCTCTCACGCTGGACTCGCTCGAATTCAGGACACATCTCCACACACGTCCCCACGAACTTGATCGCCTCATCCAATGGCCTAGGGTTCTCCGGATCCTGTAGTAACCCTTTCCGGATCGCATCCGCACGCTCGAGTTCTCGCCGTCGTTGGAGGTCGCGGAAGTGTGCGATGTCGGGTTCATCGAAGCGGCCGGCGCGGTTCTGGTTGTTGGGGTTCGGGCTGGCATCTTCCAAGTTGGAGTTAAGATCTTCGATGATGGTTTCGTCACTAGGAGTATTCCGTCCTGAGCCAGGCCTGGAACCTCGGGCACGGCCGCGGCCTCGTCCTCGTCCCCGGCCGGGTTCGAAGGCTGGGAGGGCCCTGTCCATTCAGAGCATCCGCTGGTGAATATCCGCTGACCGAGCTGGTTGCGTAATTGCGTACAATGGGTGCGAGCGTACACGGATGGGTGGCTGACCAGGGGCAGAAGCAGGTCCACCAACAAACCCCCAAAGGGTCACACACGCCAAACTCGACGGGGATGCCACGCTTCATTGAAGTCAAATCCCCCGTGTTGGGGGTTAAGTGTGAGGTACAGCGGTGGCCGTTGGAGAAGGCGGAGGAGGCATATAGGGAAATGGGGAAGGCGAAGTTTAGGCATGTTATTGATATGTCTATGTAGAGCAAAACGTATTCCCACGGGCGCGCAGCGTCCAAGGTGGACTATAGGGGGGTCGGACCGTCTGAGACACGGAAGAGAGCCGTAGACGAAGGTTAATGAAATGTTATTTAGAACAGGGTAAGATCGAGGCAAAATCCCATCGGAAAAGGCGGAACCGCAGTTGCCGCGGGCCGCGGCCCACGGCGAGGACCGGGACCGATATGTACGGATCGCGACAGCGGCGCCGAATTATCGAAGGTGTCATGATTCTGTTAATTGCGCCCGACCTACCCGAGACAAGCGACGGGAGATCATCGATCTTGAATGCAGGAAGAGCTCGAGCTGAGAGTAGGCTACAGAACCCGTTCAAATCCGTACTCCCTCCTTCCTCTGTGATTAGCATTTGACGTTAAACCTGCCAGCTTATAGTCAAACCCTTCCCTTCCTCATTCTCCGTAACTTTTTCATTCTCCGCGCGCATTATCGATTACGGTATCGCGATCGCCTATCACATGAAATTCGTCATTCGCCCTCGAAGCACTGAGACCCCCCGACTCAGCAAAAGAGTGATGGGGTGGTATAAAGGCCCTTCACCTCCTAGCATGTAGACAGGGTAGACCAGCACTTGAGCATACAGTCCGGTAAAGGCTGAAGAACAGCAAGGAGAGACGGTGAAACAGCTGAGCCCACTCGGTCCACCATCGGCACGCCTCGGATTACATAACCGCATACACTCCGAGGAACTCAAAACTTTTCACGAAAACAAAGACTGTCCATCCTTGACAGCATACACCTCCGACGCCCTCTTCGTTCCGAGGTTATAGCCTTTCAAGAGCGCATACACCCCAAACAACCACCAGCAACATCCACCATGTCCTACCTTTACCTCCACAGGACCCTTACGCGGCTTTCTCCGCTGCCTACAAACGTTTCAGCAGTCCAAGTTCACATCGCGGAACGCTCCCTAGCTTGGGACTACAACCTCCAGTACCCTCCCATGCCTACCGAAAACGATGACTACGGCGTCCCCGCGACACAACCCTCCTCCCTCATCACGGGCACAGACGCTAAAGCCGCTGTCCTAGCCTGGTCCCAGACTCTCGAAAAGGTTCTATATTTCGAAGCACACAGCAGTGCGAAACCACCGAATACGCCTGGGACGTATTCAGTCCTGGGACACACAGAGTGGTTCGTCTTCCGCCCCAGCACCCCCACCTCCTACGACATGGTCTTCTTCCAAACCCCCCTCGACCTCATCATCGCTGAATCCAAGAAAGGCGGTTATACAATGCTCCTCGGTTCCCAACTCATCAAGAAAAAGTACGAGAGGGGGGAGTGGCCTTACCGCCTCCGTATCTCCCACGCCCCGACGATCGCGCAACTTCTCCACCAGTTTTGGGATTTGGGGGAGAGTGCGCGGCCATATTCTCTTGCGCCTGTGGATGAGACGTATTACTCCTTTCCCACGACGCATACAGAATTCCTTGATCGTCGTCTATACTCCACATTCCTCATCTCCTCGCCGGCGGTGCTACAGCAGGAGCTGGAGAGGGATTCGGCGGCGTTGAGGATTCAGAAGGGGTGTCATAGTTGGTTGTATGCCCCCGTTTGCAAGGATGGAGAGCATTCCATCATGGTTCGCGAGGGATTGAGGGAGTTAAAGGCCTTGGCCAACATGGTCCAGTTTTTCGTGGATGAGGCGGAGGCGCCGCGTGTGAAAGAGGTGAGGGCTTGATCATGATGCTATAGAATAGAATGACAAGAGCAAGACAAGATGATACATTTAGAGTACAGCTACAACTACAGCTACAGTTTGAGGTTTTTCGGTTACTTACAGGGATGCATGGGTTTGGCTTACAGGATTAGATATACGGCGTGCACTTGCTTTTTCAGATACAGCTCTCTTCTCACTTGGTATCATTACAATAATGCAACAAATATAAACAAAATCCATTCCTTTCCAAAAACGGTCTCCTCGCTTCGCGTACTCAATAGTCCATCAAATGCAACTTTTTCCAGCTCTCCATCTCCTATCATTCCAACTCAAACACATATCACTATCGTTCAACAGCTTATCCCAAAAGGTCACCCATACCCGCCAACTGCGAGTTACCCTCCTTCATCGCAATCTCAAAGTACGAATAAATAATCGTCACAGCCAACAAAATACTCGTTCCACTTCCCAGCGCACCCAAAAGGTCGGAAGCGACCGCAAGAGCACCAATACAGGCTCCACCGAACGCAGCAGCGGTAGGGATGACGCGACGGAGTTCCTTGTACATAGACTGCTCGCGGTGGCCGGCGATGACCATTTGCTGGTCCTTGAGCTGCTTGGCGACATCGCGGGGGGAGGAACCGGAGACCTCAATCCAGGTCTTGGAGAAGAGGGCGCAGGCGAAGAGCATGAAGGAAATGTAGAGGGCAGTGTGGACGGGGTCCAAGAGAGCCTCCTTGAGAGAGAGGGGAGGGGACATGTAGTACGCCAATCCGGAGACAGCGCGTAGCTGAGCGGTACCCTCACGCGCATCCCAAGCACCGAGAAGACGGACGAGGATGTTGTCGGGGAAGCGGTTCCACAACATCTGGGAGACGAGAAAGATGTTGGAGGTCAACGCAGATTGGAGCATGAGGGGCATGTTGGAGGTGTAGAACAACTTGACGGGGTAAGTACCACGCTGTCCACGGAAACGGTTGGACTTGACGGGGATCTCGACACGGAATCCCTGGAGGTAGATAACGACCGCGAAGACAAGGACGGTGGCGAGGAGGTTCATCACGTTAGGCAAGTTCTGGCGGTAGAAAGCCTCCTTGAGCGCATGGGTCTTGTCGGAGCGGGTGAGGAGGAGGTGGAAGAGCGCGACGATCGCACCCTCGAACTGGGCACCACGACCGGTGTTGACGGTGGTGGGGGAGAATGCCTTCCAGACGATGGTCTCGCAGACGTTGGTGGCGATGAAGAGGGAGATACCGGAGCCGAGACCGTAGCCCTTCTGGAGGAGCTCGTCGAGGAGGATGACGATGAGACCAGCAGCGACAAGCTGGAGGATCAACAAAAGACATACACCGGCACCAAGGTCCTTGGGCTGGCCGTAGAGACCGGTAAGAACGTAAACAGTAGCCTGACCGAAAGAGATGATGATAGCGAACACTGGATATCATGAATTAGACCATGCGCAGTGGAGTATCGGAGATTGATAGCAACATACACTTCTGAGCAGTCTGGTAAAGCTCACGGTCACTCTTCAAATCCAAGTTGACATCAATCATATGAGATCCCGCCAAAAGCTGAATCACCATTCCAGAGGTAACAATGGGAGAAATACCCAACTCCATAAGCGTACCGCGGTTGGACGCGAGGATCATTCGCATCCAGAAAAGCGGATCAGACGCATCGGAGGAGACGATACCATAAAGAGGAACCTGGGAGAGGACGAGGAAGATAAGGAGAGTGACGGCGGTCCAGAGAACGCGCTGGTTGAAGGGGACCTTACGGTCAGGCGCTTGGATTTCGGGAAGGACTTGCTGGAAGGGCTTGACCAGGTCCAAGAATCGGACTGTGTAGATATACGTGTTAGAAGATGAATTGGAAGGGATGAATGAGGGATCGCACCTCCGGACATGGTTGCTGATTCGAATTGGTCGAGGGGTGGTGGTTGAGACTCGAGACGCTGCGCTGTCCTGAGGTCGCTCCGTAGCGTCGACGTGTTCAGGCTGGTGCACGGGGCTGGGTACAAGTCAGGCGACAGAACCTTAAAGAAGCTGATAAGGATGAAGCTGAGATCGAAGTGACAAATGGTCAAGATTATGAATAGTTTCAGCTCGAGGTGTCTGACCTTCAACAGGCGAGACTGACATTCGAAATCCTGCAATCATTAACGCAAAACACAACGCTCAATGCCCAAAGAAAGTCCGTCCAAGATGACTGCTCTACCTTCCATATATCGTCTCCAATCTACCTATATCTCCTGCAGTTCATCTTTCCCCATCGCATCGAATTAGAGAGCCATAACGGCACCAACACCGGCCAAGACGACACAAGCAGCCAACATCACACGGTTCTCAGATCCCTGACCCATTGCACCACTGTTCGCAGCAACAACACTCGACGCCACCGCAGTAGCCGTGGACCTCGATCCACTCAACACCATATTGCTAACGCTGCTCGCCCTGCTAGACGCACTGGCAGCAGCACTCGCACTCCCACTTCCACTTGCAGCAGACGCGGCAGATGCAGCAGCACCGGAGGGAGCAGGAAGTGCAGTAGCAAAAGTCACACCGTCGAAGGTTGCGGGGAGGGTGACAGAGCCGGTGGAGACGCCAAGGGAGGAGAGAGCGGCGGAGGGAGCGGGGAGTTCGACGGAGACGGCTTCGCAGGCTTGGTAGGCGAGTTCGAGGGCGGTGTTTACGTCGGACTGGGGGCAGGAGGAAATAACACAGGCTGCGATGTCAGACTGTATGCTATTTAGCACTGATTACCCGGGGTGAATGCGCGGCTACGGCTCCGGACCGTGAGCGTAGCCCGTGGATGAAGGAGAACGCACCATGTAGCTGTCAGTGGTACAGTAACACGAGATATCGAACGCGGCGCAAGACCCGGAGGTCACGCTCGAAGCACAAGTGTTAGCACAAGCCGGGACCTCGGCGGATAGGGCGGAGACGGAGGCAGCGAAGGCCAGGACGACGGGAACGATGGACGCCAACATACTGATAGAGTCGCGGTAAACGGAGGAAGAGATGGCACGGAGGATGTCTAGGGGAAAAGAGAAGAGTGGATGACGAGCGGGGTAGATGACCAATTTATGTGATGATATTGGCGGCTGGGTTCTCCGTCTCAAGTGGGGCGGAAGCATGCATTTGGCACGCGTTGCCTTCCCTTGCTTGGCGACTGAGGCGGTGCACTGTGCGAAGGTGACATACCAGGAAGCGAGTGCGTTGATACTGTAAGAAGAAAGGCAGACGGAAATAGTAGAACTTGTGTTTCACAGCAAGCGGGCTGTCTTGGGCACCTGGCGCGGTCATCCTGGCAACGTTACAGGGGCAGATGCGATCCGATCCGTCAACAATTCATCTCCAAAGTAAATGAAACGATCTCTGAGTGAAGACGAGTCCTCGGAAGCGTCTGATACGGAGAATATCCATGACACAGGCGATGCCTCCAAGGCCCAGCGGGTCGATGGTGATGTTGATCAGGACAGGTTCGTGCATATCAAATTCTCTCTAATCCTTGATACAGGCAGCTAACAAGTCCACGCAGAACCTCCCAGTATCAATCTGTAACCTGCTATCACCCACCCGCCTGCAACTTGTGTCCTAAGACCTTCCCAAACATCACGGCCTACGAATCCCACTTCCACACATACCACTCAAACGTCTGCTTCACCTGCCGCACCAACCTTCCCTCACCACGTCTCCTCGAACTCCACCTTGCAGAAAACCACGATCCATTTTGGTCAGCACGGAAAGCAAAGGGAGAGTCAGTGTATGGATGCTTCGTGGAGGGGTGTCCGAAGATGTACAAGAGCTGGAAGAAGCGGATTGAGCATCTCGTTGGGAAACATGAGTTTTTGAGGGAGTATAACTTCAACTTGGTCAATTTCGGGCTTTCCAAATCGACAAACTTGTTGACTACTCCGAATGCGAGGAAAGCGGACGGCCCATGGCGGCGGCAGCATGCACAGCCAAAACATGGCGGAAGCGAGTCACCAAGGACAGCGAGGAATACCAAGTCGACGGAAGGCTCAACGGAGATCGACAAACCGACAGAGGCAGCCCCAATGGCTGCATCCATTAGCCAAGAAGAAAACATGGCCATTTTCAGACACCAAAAGCAAACAATCGAGCAGCCACGTGCTCTGCGAGAGGGTAAGTCTAGGAAACAGGAAGTCCTTCCACCAGGAGCACCAGAGAAAGCTGCAGTCAGTCAGCCTACACCAGTAGCGAACAAGAACACCGGAAATGATGACCTCGCTGGACTGACGAAGGCCATGTCAACCGTAAGCCTCATACCCCGGAGTGTCAGACCGGGGAAGGGGAGATGATTCAGAGGAAGGAAACAGCGTGTCCGATGAAGCACAGAATTATACCCAGAATATCCGTTAGTGAATGACACAGAGTCACTCGCACAGTAACTGATTATTGTTACAAAATACCACGTGGCACAAAATTCTTCAAAAACCCTAAGCGAGCGTGCAGAATATCCATTCCACTCCCTTGACATTGCAAGCTTAACGACCGTGTCCGCCGCCATTGACGCCATTGTATCCACCATTCTTCCCATTCGAGGGAGCCCCATTACGCCCAGTGACAGTAGTCTTCTTCGCCGTAGTGGTAGCCTTCTTCGATGTTGTGGTAATCTGCTTAGGCGATGTCGTAGCTGCTTTGGCAGTAGTGGTCGTCTTGACAGTAGTAGTCGTCGTCTTGGACGTGGTAGCAGTTGCTTTAGGCGTGGTGGTGGTCGTCTTGGACGTCGCAGTTGCAGTTTTGACAGTCGAAGCGCTGGGAGTGGCAGAAGCGGGCGAAGACGAGCGATACCAGTTCGCCTCCGGATCTCCAAGACACTCCCCAACAGTAATGAACTCCAACCCCATCGTCTTGCAAAGCTCCAAGACGTACGTTGTCAAGTTGTACGAAGTCTGGTAATGAATGTCGTGCATGATGACGAGGCGGTTGTCAGAATTCGCGTCGGTTAGGTTGCCCTTGACCCAGTTCTTCGAGTTCTGAATGAGGTTGGGAGCATCCTGATTATAGTCATCCGAATCGACGTCGAAGTAGATAACGTGGTATCCCATCCCGTTCATGGTATCTTCACAACCAGACTCAGCCGTGCAAGAAGAGTACGGCGGGCGCATATAAGTGGGAAAGAACCCAAGGATATTGCGCAACGCCATCTCGTTGAGTTCCATTTCGTACTTTTGCTCAGCGACGGAAAGGGTAGAGAGGTCTGGGTGAGTCCAGGTATGACTGGCAATTTGGTTTCCATTGGCGTACGCCTCTTGGATCATGGAGGCCCATGGAAGACTGGTGTTGTCGATGGGACCCTTCCCGAGGTTGTTACCAGTAATGAAGAACGTAGCGACAGCACTGTGATTCTTGAGCAGCTCAAGGATATTAGTGGTGTACAGGTAGGGACCATCGTCAAAGGTAAGCTGAGCAACAACTAATCAGCAAGAGAACAAATATTGGCTCGCATAAGAATACGCACCGCGACCTGAGTCTCGCTGACACAATCATAGATACCAGCTCCCCCATACTGGACACTTCCCAACTGAGGCCTCGCAACGGTCGAAGTGTTCGAGCCAGCAGGAACGTAAACGGGATCGCAGTACCCATAAGCAGGCTGACAGTTGGACGAATCGCACCACGCCTCACCGGTTCCGCAATATCCAGCATCAGAACAACATTGACTATCTGGGCATTTGAGGCCCTGCGTACCACCGCAAGTACCGTCAGTCGAGACGCCGGACGAAGCAGCGGATGAGGTGGATGTTGCGCACGACGTGCCCGTACCACAAAAGGCAGCTTGACAATTGGTGATGTAATCGCTAGTATTACCGCAGTAGCCAGACTGAGAACAGTACAACCCGGCCCCGCAGACGTAGCCATTTGTCCCTCCGCACGTGTTGTCAGGAGAGGGTGACCCGTAAGCGACCGTGGAAGGACAAGTCGTGCCAGACCCCCCGTAGGCTGCCTGGCAGTTGTCCTGATAAGCCGTACCAGTACCGCACCATCCGGACGCCGAGCACCATTCGCCGGCCGCACAGAAGTAACCATTGGTGGCTCCACAGGTTTGGTCAGGAGTGATAGTTGCGCGTTTACCGAGAGCTTGATGGCGAGATATCCAACCACGAGCATGATGCTGATGACCCGGATGGGCGATGGCGGAGAGGACGAAGCCGGAGGCAGCGGCGAAAGCCGCGAAGAGTGACAGACGGGGCATGGTCGGTTTAGTCTCGCGAGACAGAAGAACCGGAGATGGCGAACAGCTCCCTTTTATGCTATCCGCAGGTCGTACGCCAAGATGCTGATTTAACACAGGACGGATACAAGCGAGGCCGAGCCCCGTCGTACGTAAAGATCATGGGGCAGTGCCGGCTGTTCCGATCGAAAGATCGTCCTTCGCATGGTTTTGATACCTCCTTTTCGAAGAAATCGTTCCAGGCATTGCATCATCACTGAAGGGAGCATGGGGGTGCACGGACGACTTTCTCATTAGCACCGAGACGCGTGTGAAACGATACAACCGCCTAAACAGCCCCCGACGGAGATCACTACGGTCGAGGTCGACCCCTTTGAAAAGCTTCATGTCTTTTATGACGAAACATCGATCGCTATACGGCGCGGTCCCGGATAGAGTGATTGTTCATTTCGGCGGTGCAGCGTTTCACGGACGAACGATCAATGGCCGATGCAAATTAAGGAGCACAGACTGGCAAGCTCGGAACGAAGCGTCCTCTCCTTCGATCGACATCGTCACGGTAATCAAATTTGAGAATAGGGGGGTTACTAGCTGGTATATCGTACGGTCGTATATTTGCAAGGGCTCGAGGTGGCTGGGGGTGGCACCGATACGAACTGTATTCTACGTTACACCTCCCTCCTCGGATCAATCCTTCCCTCGATCTCCGTACGAATCCTCAATCACAATGCCCAAGTCAAAGAAGTCAAAGAAGGGTCTCGCAGCCCTCCTCACCACCCACAAGGCCGAGAAAAAGTACAACGCAGACCAAGCAAAGAAAGTCGCAAACAACCCTTACGCCAAAACTGCTCCCACCAAGAAAAAGATTGAACGATCCCTCATCGGGGAGAAAGTCACCGTTAAATCTACGTCCGCCGATGCACCCTCTGCCGCGACCGACGCCGACGCGAAGAAGAAACCTCAAAAGCCACGGAAACAATTCATCCCATTCAAGAAGGAAGACACGATCTTGGTTGTCGGCGATGGCAACCTCTCCTTCTCCGCCTCCGTCGCCGAACACCACTTGGAATTCGCTACCCAACTAACAGCAACAACCCACGACTCCCTCACCCTCCTCACCCAAAAATACCCCGACGCACCCATCCACATCCAAACCCTCAAAGACCTAGGCTCAATCGTCCTCCACGAACTCGACGCGACAAAGTTGGATAAGAACAAGACCCTGAAAGGGTTGGGAAAGAAATATGATTGTATCGTGTTCAATTTCCCGCATGTTGGGGCGGGGATTAAGGATCAGGATCGGAATGTTGCGGTTAACCAGAAACTCTTGCTCGGGTTTTTCGAGTCGGCACAACCAATCCTCAGCCGCACCGGGACAATCGTCGTCTCCCTCGCCGACTCTTCTCCTTACACACTCTGGCGCATCCGCGATCTCGCGAAAGAACAGGGCCTCCGCGTCCGGCAATCAGGAGATTTCGTGGGTGAAGCCTTCCCGGGATACGGTCATCGACGAACAATCGGATGGCAGGATGGGGTCAGCGAAAAGGGATGGAAGGGTGAGGAAAGGAGAGCGAGGATCTGGGTTTTCGAGAGGGATGAGGGTGAGAGACATGATGCCGCGAAGAACAAGAAGAAGAAGAAGAAGGGGGCGCCGGCCGATAGTGATGATGAAGAATAGTCAATTCATCCTCTACCCTTATAATCAAAATCAACGAAAGCAAACGCCATACCTAACCAAAACCCAGAAACATAAGGAAGACATAGACGGACTACATGACGAAAACCTTCCTAACGTCATCCTCCGGAAACTCCTCCCCACTCCTCGGATCCCTAACAACCCCCCTACCCCCGTCCTCCTCCCCCCTCAACCCTATATTCTCATTCCAAATCCTCAAACTTCGCCGTCCATATACCCTTCCGTTCGGCAGCACAACCGGTTCGTTCTCGCCTTCCATCCGCGCAGTTGCACCTCCTCCTGCGGCTCCTGGACATTCCGAGGACGAGAGAGTGGGCGCGAGGGTATCGACGAGGGTTGAGTGGATGTGGTGTGCGAAGGGGACGTTCTCGGCTAAACCGGCCATTTCGGGGGAACAGATTGGGCAGTTGGTGCTCGTGTTCGTTCCTGCCGCTGCCATCGCTGCAGCGGAGGTATTCGAATCAGAGGAACAAGCGCAAGATGGAGTTTTGAGAGCCGAGAGGCCCGCTGATAGGGCGACGTGCAGAAGTGGCGGGTTAGGGAGTGCGTACAGCGCATGATGCGCTTTGACGAATAAGTCTGCTAGGGTATCCCATCGTGCATCGGAATAGAGGTCTGCATATGGTTGGACGGTCGTGGAGGGCGGGTATGCCAGTAGTGCCGCGGCTTGTTGGATACGTGGCATATGTGTTGCGGCGTGTGGGGTGAGATGTTTCCGGTAGTAGGCGATTGCCTCGAGTTTCTTGTCGGCGCGGACGAGTTCGATGAACTCCTGCAACCTCAGCTCGAATTCAAGATCACTCTGTCACAACATGTCAGCCTTCAACTCATGCGAAGGATAGGAGGTAGGTCTGACCCCAATCCCATTCTTCACCAACACCTTCCGATTCTCCCCACACCACCCCAATGCCTCGCCCACCCCTCTCTCAGCCCTCAAACTCCTCTCCACACCCCTCGCCTTCACAAAAACCTCCACATCCACAAGTTCTTCAATTCCGCGATTCTGTGCGAGGGAGGCGGCGGAGGATGTGAGGCCTTGACGGAGCATGTAGTCGATGATGAGGCGGTCGAGGCGGGTTTGATTCCAGCGGTCGTAGGTTGGGGAAGTGGTGGTTGTCATTGTGGAGAGTTCAGAGAGATAAGAGAGGCGGGACTTGGTTGAGGTTAGGATTGTTTGCTCTTCGATCTGGAGTTTCCCGAGCTATTCACATTGGTCAGCATACACCCCGGCGGACATCATGCCAGGAGTAAAGAGACATACCTTCCTCTTCAATCCCTGCATCCGCCCAATCATCCCCTCAATCCCCTTCAGCGCATTTTCCACTCCGCCCTCCTTCCCTACCTCCTTCTCCACCACAGCGATTGATTTCGTCAAGTTTGTCGTTTCTCGGTCGATCGCGACGCGGGAAGCGCGGAATACTGATTCGTGAAGTGCATGGGGGAGTTTTAGGAGGGGTTGTTCGAGGATGAGGTGGTTGTCCGGGTTGAACTTCTCAGAGGACATCGTCTTCCACAGGTGAATGGTGGGGCGGAGGAGGAGGGGAGGGGGTTACGTCGGCCTCGAGGGGTGCAGTGAGGATGCGAGTTACTGCAACCTTATGAGCTGACAGGCCGAAGAAAGTGAATGCTAATGGTCTGAATTTAGTACTTCGAACGATCAATATTCATGCCTATAATGCGTACTTTCCAACGGGGTGTCGGTTGGTGCGTCATCGCGGGACCAGCCGATAAGCGCAACAGAACACCAACACACACAACACAACACACACAACACAACACACACAACCCTTCACGTTTTACAGCAATGCTTTCCATGAGACGTGCTCCTTCCCTCTTCCAGGGTGCCATCAGACAGGTATGGTCACTCTTCCTCCCTATTGCTGGCCACAACTGACAAGCCTATTCACCCACAGTTCAGGACAACTGCCTACCTGAGAGATCTCAACCCAGGAGACAAAGTCACCCTGAAGCTTGGCAAAAACATTATCCCCGTCACCGTCCAGAAAAGGGCCGACCCTACTCCGAAATCCAAGTACCCCAACGAGCCTTGCTATCTCGTTAAGTTCAATAGCGGGAAGGAGACCATTCGGCGTGAGGCCACCTTGACCAAGGCATGAGGCTGGAATTGGAGACGACTGAATTGGTCAGAGAACGAAAGATACGAGAGCGATTGTATATATATCCAAAGTATACCCTGAATACCGCAGATAACACCAGCTTCCCCTTCCTTTCCGCGCGGGCGCGCCGCCGCGTGCACCCAGTAATACAAAAACGACAAAAAATCTAAGAAAACATTCATATCCCAAAAACATGCAATCCAAAAAACGAGCCCATCTACCACCCATACTCCTCCTCCTCCGCCTCCTTCCTCGCCCTCTCCTCCTCTTCCTCCTCCTTCTCACGCTCAATATCACTCAGCGTCAACACCACCTCCTCACTCTCAATCTCCACCTTTTTCTTACCCCTACCCTTCTTCCCACCCTCCGCAGCCTTTGCATTGGCTTCCTGTACAGCCCTCTGCGCTTCCGCTCGGGCTCGGGTCTCTTCTGCTTGTCGTAGACGGGCCTCTTCCATCTCGCGTGTGAATTGTTCGAGTTCTTGGTTGATCTCTTCGACGGGACGGAAGGTTTGTCCGCTTGCGAGTGCGTAGGCCTCCATATCCACCTCTTTCCGATTCTTCGGATCAAGAGCCTGTGTAACCCGACCAGAATTTTTCTTCTCTTCACACCGAAACTTATTAACAACCTGCCGTCTCGTAAATCCATACGTACTACCCCACATCCCTGTAATCATCTCAAAATCCGTTCCCCAACACCTCAATGCCTCGTAAAACTCTTCCGTCATGTCCTTCGTCCACCGTGTCGCCATCGTACGCTTCGAATAGGTGAGAGATGTGATACGACGATTCGTGTCGTCTTCGGTGATGATTTCGAGGTTTTGGGTGGAGGCATCGGTGTGCGGGGCTGCGCGGTCGATGGTGAGGGATTGTTCGTCGAGGACGATTGCGCCGTTTACGATTCGGACGCGGGGGGCAGCGCGGGATTGGGTGGGGCCGGAGGCGCGGAGTTTTGCGCGGTTTGCGGCGGCGAGGCGGGCGATGCGTTCTTCAGGTGTTTCGTTCTTGTGGTCTTCGTCGTTGTCTTCTTCCTCTTCCTCTTCCTCGCCGTCATCGTGCTTTGCGACTTCTTCTTCGTCGCTGCGGTCGATGTAGCCCACGATCTCCTCTTCATCATCATCCTCCGCCGCCGGCGTGCCCTCCTCCTCCTTCTTTTCACCTTCCTCTCCTTCCCCTTGCTCTCCCTCGGCTTCCTGCCCTTCTTCATTCCCGTTCGTAACCCCTCTCGTCGCCGCCTCCGCCTCCTCAACCGTCATCCTCCCCCTCCTAACCAGATACCTAACCTTCCGCTTCCTACTCTCCTCCTCAACAACCTTCTTTAGCTCATCATACCTCGAACTCTTCTTCCCGATCTTGATGTCCCTGGTCAAATCAGCCATCGAGAGGGTCGTTGGGTCGATTCTTAGGTCTTCGGCGTTTTCGGGGGTGGGTGAGCGAGCTTGGCGGCGGGAGGAGGTACGGCGGGGGGCACGGGCACGGGCACGGGAGGTTGTGGTTGTGTTGGTTGCGGCGGAGGTTGTTGAGGTGACGCTGGAGCGACGGCGGCGTTTGGGGAGGGGTGCGGTGCTATCGGTGGGTTCCACTTCATCATGCGTCGTCGAGGCTCGCTTCTCCAAAAGACTCACAGCAGCAGCTGCTGCTTCACCCACATTCATCTCCCGCAGCTGCGGATCAATATTGCTCTCCCCCGGTCTTCCAAAACTCATAGGAGCGCCAAAGCTTGTAGATGCACCAAAAGTCGTCGGTGCCTTCGACTTCGCCTGTTCAGTCGCAGGCGCCGCCCTCGTGGGCTCAGTGGCCGGCGGAGTAGGTACCGGCGCATCATCAACTGTAGTTGTAGATTCACGTCTACTGGAAACGGCTGGCGCCCCGAAACTTGTAGGAGCACCAAACGACGTCGCTGATGCTTGTGGCCTGCCAAATCCTGCTGGTCGGCCAAAAGAGCTTGATCCCGCGCCTGATCCAGGCGTAGTCTTGGGTGGTCCAAACGATGTCGGCGCACCAAAGGACGTTGGTCTAGTGGGTCGACCAAAGGAGGTAGAGGAGGATGGCGATGGACGGGAACGCGCAGGTTGTGTCGAGGCGGGCGTTAGAGGAGTACGGATGGAAGAGACGTTCGGTGCCGGCCGCTGAGGAGGCGCGAAGTTGGTTCCGTCGGACATGGCAATGGAGGAGTCGTTAGGGGATGGATCAGAGGGGATGGATCAGGGTGTTGTTATTTGTATGGTCCGTGAAAGCGGGTCGTTATCGATTGTCTTGGGAGCGTACCGTTGCCAAAAGCTCGACCCCCGGATACTGAACAAGGAGGAAACTCTGGATTATTTTAATAGGAATCTGGGTGAGATCGAAAAATACGAGACACGTTCAGTCGACCTCCTTCGTTATGCTGCACGCAACCCTGGCCTCAATTACCCGGCGCTGCACTCGCGATGCAATACCAGCCCAGCTAAAGGTACACCACCCAGCGCAATTCCCTTCCATTCCCTGTCCATGGAGGAGCGTAAACGATCCCTTGCGGATGACGGCTCAACCTCGGGTCCTTCCCTGAAGCGGGAAAAGCTCGACCACGAGCTCCCTCCAGATGTCGCGGAAGAAATCGAAGTATGTGGTAGTTTTGGAGGTGAATGCTGATCAATGCATGCTTACGACGGACGTTCTATAGACTTTCCAGAAGGAGGCGATATGGCGCCAGATGAAGGAGTATCAGCGCTTGAATGAGCGTGCTGAGGCTCAGGTTGCTCGCCTGAAGGAGAGGTCCACATACCATGAAGATCACCTTCGGGTTGTTGACGCGTGGTGGGCGCAGCTTCTGGATGAGATGCGCATTGTTGCTGGCGAAGCCGTAAGTAATCCTTCAGAAGATATTCTGGCAAGTGTGCTGTTCAGCGACAGCGAGACCTTTGCAGCGCACCTCGAGAAACAGAAGAGCAGGATTGTAGAGACTGCAAAGGCATTACTAAAATACAGTGGCGACGACCCACAAAGCAAACTAAAAGCCGATTGCTCTCGTCTGTCGTCGGAGGTCAGGGCGCTGAGGGTGGATCTAGAGTCCGCACAGTCGGAAAAGCTTGTTGCGGAGGAGCAATTGGACGACGTGAAGGAGAAACTACGTGCTCTGGAAAAGAAATGGGACCGCTCACGCAGCAAGACTATCGCCAAGCTCGAGGGCCGTGACACTGACGCCAACGTGAAGGAAGAGGAAGCAGGAAAGGCTACCCCAAAACGTGACGATATACATGCAGACTTGAAGGATAACTCGGAGGCGGCGCAGAAGTTGGAGGAGGCGAATGCAGTGCTGAAGAAGATCCGAGAACAGATGTCTGAATTGCAGAAGGCGAATGAGGCGGTCGTTGCGGAGAACACGAAGCTGAAGGTTGAATTGGCGAGTCCGGTATCTGACGAAGTCGTCACGTCTTTGCCAGCCTACGTCTCTTTGAAAACCAACTTCGACTCGATCTCGGCCCGTATCGAGGTACTGGATTTTCTGAACGAAACTCTACGACAGGAAAACACCACTCTCAACGCCGAGCGCGACACCTTCCGTACCGAACTCGATGAAGAGCAGACAGCGGCATTGACTGAGAGCACAGCGCACACAGCAAGACTAGATCAAGACCTGACCCGTGTCCGTTCTCAGCGTGATGAGTTACAAGCAAACCTATCCGTGCTCAAGGAAACCACCAAGAAAGAATCCGCATCCATCCGCGAAATCGGCACCCTTGCGGATACTCGACTTGCACGGATCCACGCCCTCGAGGCCGAAGTGGCAAGGCTGCGTACGGACGGCACCGGGATCGTGGGTGAAGTTGAGGGGAAAACGGAGCAGGAGTTGAAGGAGATGGTAACAATGTTGACCAAGCAGAACGAGAGCTTGAAGGCGGAGTTGCCTGCGTTGGAAGCCGCATTCGAGAAGGCGATGAGGCAGAGTCAGAGCAAAGTCGAGGAAATTGTGGAGAAGGAAGAGGTGTTCAAGAGGCTTCAGGCAGAGGTACAATTTGTCTGTTCTGATATATTCCACATACTAATGATGTGCCGTACAGAAAGCTAAAGCGGACCAGAAGTACTTCGCAGCAATGAAATCCAAGGACACACTCTCGGCGGAAATGAAGGCGCTCAAGCACCAGGCAGCAAAGTCAACTGAAGTAATCGAGTCGTTGAAAGAGGCCGAAGCAAGTGTTTCAGCCAAGCTGGGCAACCTCCAGAAACAACTTGCGAAGATGCAGGAGAGTCACGAGGGGTATGAGAAGCGGTATCGGGAGTACGTTAGATTGGAGGGCGAGAGCAAACTCAGGGTCGCGGAGTTGGACGAGAAGATCAAGAAGCTTGCCGCAGAGCTCTCTGCTAAGGATGCTCAGTTATCATCCGAGTCCGCCTCCAGGCGTGCCGCTGAAGAAACCGTCGCGGAACTTCGCGTGCAAGTCAAGCGCTCCAAGGCTTCGGCCGTCACGGTTTCTAATGGCGAAGACCCGCTCACGGTCTACCGCGGTATGGTGAAATGCTCCGTGTGCCAAAGCAGATGGAAGGAGGTTGCGTTGGCACAGTGCGGACATGTGTTTTGCAAACAGTGTATCGATGACCGGGTTAGTACGCGCCAGAGGAGGTGCCCAAACTGTAACTTGGGATTCTCGACTGGTGATATTTTGACGGTGCATCTCTGAAAAGACTTATGAATGGTGTTGCTGTGCTTTGTTCATTAAAAGGGGAGAGGCCGAGGAGGTGATATGATGGCGTTCTGGGTTTTGATTTTGGGAGAACACCTACGTACCTGTAGCATTGGAATATCCACTTGTAATGTTAGCGATCTGAATATCAGTCATTCACACTCATCAACTGAGCCGCTGGATAAGGTTCAGGTCATACCCATGGTTCACACTGCATTTGACCTAGTGCTCTTGTAACGTTGACAAACCCCAGGGGCTTACACGTGACCCAAACAGCCCAACGTCACCGCCAACAGAACGCGTAAGGGAAGGGTATGAGATGTCGCGATTGAACGGTGATGGTATGGGCTCGTCGGATAGTCTAGAGCAGTCGTTCGAGACTGCGAGGCCGTATGGCTCTTCAGATCCGCCGTCAGAACGATACGATTATGACGACTATTACGACTCGCGACGCAGGAGTATGGCGAGGGAGAGGATCAATGGAAATGGAGACGATGCCGGCTTGGATGGGGTGCTGAGGGATATTGACCGCACATGGCCGCTCATGAGTTCGGAGAATTGCAACCCCGTCTCTGTTGCTTTACAACTTCTCGATTCCCAATCGTCACTGGGCCGCGGTCGCAACCTCAATTCCTTCCAGGACACGACACAAAAGCTTGACGAATCACTTCAGGAAATCGTGAACGAGCATTATCTTGGATTCAACGACGCTGTCGGCAAGTATGGTCAAATCATGCAGGCTATCTCGGCCAGTCAGAAGAATGTGCGACAGATGAAGGAGGGGCTGCTTCAAGCACGGGAGGAGTTGAGTGCGCAGAGATCGGATCTGCTACCGTCGAGTGAGCGCAGTCAGCAGTACAAAGAGCTGCTGCGACTCATCGGACGAATCCAGACATTACACTCCATCCCCGACCGTCTGGACGAGCTCATCGCGAGCAAGAACTTTTTGGCAGCGGTATCTCTACTGAAAAGCGGTCTAAAGCAGATATCGCGGCGGGAGATGGAGGGAGTTGGTGCCTTAGTCGATATACGCGCGTATCTTAAACAGCAAGAAGCCGGTTTGTTTGAGGTACTTGTGGAGGAACTCCATAACCACGTTTACCTCAAGAGTCCGTACACAGAAGGTATGTGGGAAGCATGGAAGACTGGCCAGAAAGACTTGCCGGCTGTCAGTCGGCCTTCCTCTGCTGGTAATAGCCAAAGTACGGGCGCGCTTCAGTTTACGCGTCAGAACCGCAAACTGGGATTACAGAACACCTCGAAATCTGGAGTTGTGCTCTTTACTGATGCTGAGCTCTCACAGCCTCCATCAGAAACGCAAACTGGGAACCCGGAAACTGACTCCCTTCAGTACATCCGCCTCCTTGTCGAATCTCTGGCTGCTTTGGAACGGCTGCCAAAGGCGTTCGAGGTGTTGAGTCAACGGTTGCCGGTAGAGCTTTACCAGCTTGTCGACAAGACGATCGAGGAAGTCGATAGACGGCACCTTGGACGCGGTTTACGGGTTGGTCGACGTCAGGAGCCAAAGAACGGCGTTAAGCGGTTACAGTCGAAGACTGTGCTACCCATATCGATCGCCCGTGTCATTTCTCCAACGAATAGGGATGTGTTAGAGGATTTGCTCTGGACGTTATACTCGAAGTTTAGCGCAACGTTGACTGGACATCGCACCATCCATGACGTGGTCCATATTATCGCGACACGGCCTGAGAATGCGCAACGCGAAGATTTGGCGGGAATCGCGGAGGATCTGTCGTTTGGGTTCTTGGAGGTATGGAAAAGTTATCAGAGTGAGGTAAAAGGCTTGTTGCACGACTACATCACCGATGACAACCTACCTATCAAAAAGGTTGGAGCAGCTCAGGGCGTTAAAGAACAGCAAGCAAAGAGCTTGGACAGTCTGTTCACGGGGTCGAGCAGAGACCGTGGGGCGAGAATCTGGAAGTTGGGGAACGCGGAGAAAATTGCAGACCATGAACAGGATTTGATTGGGATTCTGCACAAGAGTGTTCCAGGACTTGTTGCGGAGAACGGAGTTGCGGCTAGTACGGCAAGTACGAGTACTGTGACGAATGGGATGACGAATGCTGGGCATAGGGTGTTGATCCCGCCGTCGGTGTTCAATATTCGGACGCTTATGGATCCTACGACGGCGCTCTTGCGACGGATATCGGCCCTAATCCCACCGAACTCCAAATTTCGCCCGTCGACATTTACTGGCTTCTTTGACGATTTCCTGGTGAACGGGTTCCTGCCTCAACTAGAAGACACAGTCGGAGAGATGTTCGCCTCAGCAATCGGCGGCGAAGACAGTTTCCATATCGACGAGGCATGGATGACCGTCTCCATCTACCCAATCGGCAAGTCCGCTGTCGCTTTGAGTGAGTTGATTGATAACTTGTGTCGAATGCTGGGGAGCATGAGCCATTATCGGGATGAGTACAGTTTATTGGTGATTGACATGCTGGGCAAGTACTACAAGAAGTGTTATGATCGGTTCAGGGAGTTGGTGGGGATGAAAGGAGCGACGCAGGATATGAAAACGAGCGCGAGGTGGTCTAACTTGGAGGAGATGAGGGCACTTGTGGGACCGATCTTGGGGAAGCGGGAGGAGGGTGAAAATGTCAGCGTCGAGGAATGGGAAGAGTTCGTGAGGAAGGAGACTGGCGTTCAGTTAAAACTCAAAGGCAGCCAGCCTTTGGGTGCTGGTGCCATCATTCAGGACGTGAGCCTTATTACCCGGATGGTGACACTCTACAACAGTGTCAAGTGGTTGTCGGCCCGAGTTATGCCGATGGCACACATCGAGGACAAGAATGGCATGTCGATAAGGATGAACGGGGCGAGTACAGAACGGGCTACAGAGGATCGACCACGTCTACCATTGACCAAGGAGCTCGCGAGTCGCTTTGATGCGTTGTTGGCGACGTACGACCAACTCGCCGAGTCTGTCTTACTTACTCTCCGGATTGAGATGAGGTTACACGTCACATATCACCTCGAACTCGCACTAACTGATGGAAACTACTCGCTGGACGAGAAAACCGTAGAGCCAGACCCGCACGTGAGCAACCTCAACACAGACCTAGTACTCCTCGACGAACGTCTCTCGGGCGCTCTACCAAATTGGGAATACCGTTTCGTCACCAAAGGGATGGCTGTTCTGATTGACGAGTTACTCGTTACGCTGGCGGGAGAGTCGATTAGGTTGATCAATAAGGTGGGTGTGTTGAAGATGATGCACAATATCCTTGCTCTGCAGCAGAATTTGAAGAATTTCGTGAGTGGGCCGTCGGATGCGCAGTTGGAGAGGTCGACGGAGTACTGGAGGTTGTACGAGCTTGGACCGGCGGTACGCTTTCCCCTAATCATTGTTTTTGCTGTTACTAACATTATGGTATAGCGACTCCTCGAAGTTATCAAAACCCACCAGCCCCCACACTTCACCTTCGATCAACTCAAGAACATGCTACGACTACAATACTCCGATAACCTCGCACGAGCTACGAACGAGAACAGGAGAGATTCGGCATTGCAGGCGCGGAGGGGGTTCAATGAGAGGTGTATTGCGTTGGGGGAGTATTTCCATCAGATAGAGAGCCAGGAGGAGGAGAGGGAGGAGGAGGAGGAGGCTCAGGCGCCGGCGCCGGTAGCATGAGTAAAACGAATGAGGAGTCTGATTTTCACAGGCAGGATGAAAGACATTTGGTATCAAGATATCCTGAAGCTACGAAAAACGATAAGTTTTGGTAGCGGTATCATGCAACGCCATTGGCAGTCCTCTTGTGTCTCTCCTCTTCATCTCCCTCGTCATCATCATCATGTAGCAGAGCCCCGAGCTCATACTCCTCCGCCTCCCTCGCTCTCCGCTCCGCCTCCACATCCCTTACATGCCCATTTCCAGCGACCCCATTCCCGTTCGCCTTCTTCGCCGCCTCCGCGTTCCGGCCAGAGGTGGACCAGAGGTTGATGAGGCAGATGATGAACGAGAAAATGAGGAACGCGGCGGAGTATAGAACGAGGGTGTATGACGTTGCTTCGATCCCCACGGCGTTGAGGTATGCCATTTGTTCCTCGTTTGCGCCCATAAAGAGAATTCCGCTTGCGACCAGCAAAAAAGGTGGCAAATATTGAAAGCTGTTAACCTCACCCTCAAGTACTGTGGACTCGTCTCTGAGGAGGAATGCGACCTCGATAATACGGGCGAGTCCGGCAGCCATGAGGGTGTACCCGAACGTGGCGTGGAGTTTTGAGGAGACTTCGAGGTGTTGGACGTGTGAGGACATCGCCCAGCCGGTGAGGAAGATGACGAGGCCCGGAATGATATTCCGCGTGGGTTTTCCACCGCGGCGGGAGAGTAGAACGCCGAGGATTCCTGCACACCACCATATGATACCCATACTCGTATGTTGGTAGTCACCATGATTCCACTCTTGTCCCCACCTGTGCTCAGTGAAGGTGTTGACACAGCCCCACGCTCCAATGACTGCGGAATCGAAGAATTCTTGGGAGCGGTTGGTGCGGGCGAGGAGGGGTTGCCCGACGAGGAGCATGATGGACATGACGGCGCCGTAGGCGATGAAGGAGGAGCCCATGATGCCGTGTGCGAGACATTGTCCCAGATGATCTTCGCGGCAGAATCCGAGACCTGCGAGTGCGCCGAAGCCGATTTGGATCCAGGAGATGATGGGGAAGATTTTGCCGATGAGGCCGTGGATGAAGACGATGGAGGTGCGGAGACGGTCGTGGAGGGTGGAACGTTTTTCGAGGTGGAGTTTGAGGTAAATGCCTATGACGACTTGTCCGAGCAGGAAGAACATGACGAACGGCGCGAATTTTGCGTGGATGTTTGATTTGAATTCACGGCCTTTGTGGTGGTGTGCTAAGAAGTATCCTACCACGGCGAGTACTGCGCCGAGGGATTGTAGTGGGACGTGCCAGCGGGAGCGGGTGAGGCCGAGGACCATTCCTGTTGGGAAGAAGATGCCGAAGGCGAGTGTCATGCAGGCGATGTGGAGCCATAGGATTGTGTCGATGGGGTCGTTGGAGACGTAGGCGTTTTCTGGGATGGCTTCTGTGTGGTGTTCGTGGGCTACGGCGAGGGGAGCGAAGCCCAGCAAGACTACAGCAGCCGTGCTGGTTGATAATAAAGTCCTTAACATCGTTTAAAGAACTCCCTAACTCCCTTTCTTTTGTCAAGACTCGGAATTTGGTGGAGTATTTTGTTCTGAGAGGTCCAGCGAGGGACGACGCTAGTCGTATACCAGTCGGCCCGAGCACCCCCAAGAATTCGACAGGCCGTCAACTGCCCTCGACGAAATATCCAGGACAGCATGTCCGGTCAAACCCACAAGACAATCAACATCAAGGATCGACCAACTGCAAGGGAATCCAATGCCTCTTCCCCGAGCTCAAGCTCCGTGTTGGCTGCTACGGCACAAGGCGCAAAGTACCTCATCTTCCTCCAATTCTTCTCGCGCATCCTCACGTTCGGGATGAATCAATTGGTGCTGAGATATACCTCTCCGGAAGTGTTTGGCTTTGCGACGGTACAGTTGGAGTTATTGATGATCACCATTCTCTTTCTCTCTCGCGAGGGATTTCGGAATGCGTTACAGCGTGCCGGCGGCTCTCTAGCTAAACCTGCGAAAAGCGGAAGCGGACAAGTCCAAGATGGTACTCCAGAGGGTGATGTTCAAAGGGTGATTAACCTCGCCTACCTACCCCTCCCCCTTGGCTCCTCTCTCGCATTCCTCGCCGCGTGTCTCTACCCCCGCCCTTCCGGGGTTGCACCACCATATTTCACCCTCTCCGTCTCCCTCTACTGTATCTCAACAGTCATCGAGCTCCTTTCCGAACCATGCTTTGCATTGGCGCAATACCGCACCCAGTTCTCTATTCGCGCGAAGAGTGAAGCAGCGGCGGTGCTGGGACGGTGTTTAGCGACGTTGGGCGTCACGCTGATGGCCACCAAACTCAACCACCCGGTCGGCGCACTCCCATTCGCGGTGGGTCAACTGACCTACGCTGTCCTCCTCCTCACTACCTACCTTCTCAGTACCTCCCTCCCCCCCTCCGCCCTCCTCCTCCGTTCCATCAGTCGCCCCGGAGGCGGATATTTCTTTTATCGTCCGGCATTGAATTTAGCAGCTACGATGACAGCTCAAGGCGTCTTTAAACATGTCTTGACCGAGGGTGATAGGATGCTCATTGCGTGGCTGAGCACGGAGTATGATCAGGGTGTTTATGCGTTGGCCGTCAATTACGGCTCACTATTCGCCCGCATCCTATTCCAACCAATCGAAGAATCGAGCCGGAATCTGTTCGGGCATTTACTCGGTATCTCTAAGACAACTGACGACGATGACAAGAAGAAGGAGACGGGCGCAGTAGCGGCCAGGGATCAGGCAAAGTCGATGCTCCTTACAACCCTCCGGCTCTACTCCCTCCTCTCCGTCCTCCTCCTCTCCCTCGGCTCGTCCTACGCCCCCATCGCTCTCCGGCTCCTCATCGGGCGACGTTGGTCATCCTCCTCTTCTTCGGCGGGCGACGTATTGGCTGCGTATTGCTACTACCTCCCCCTGATGTCCACCAACGGAATTTTCGAGGCATTCGTCGCATCCACAGCGACACCGGGACAATTGAGAACACACAGTATGTGGATGGTGTTGTTCTCTGCCCTCTTTGTGGGCAGTGGTTGGGTGTTTATGAGGACGCTCGATATGGGCGCAGAAGGACTAGTGTGGGCGAATTGCGTCAATCTCTTCGCAAGAATAATCTGGGCATTCCGATACATCAACATATACTTTAGCAAAGACGGGGTAGATTGGAGGGAGGGCGTGCCGAGCAAGGGATTGTTGACGGCAGGTGTTGTCGTTGCGGCTATGGCGAGGGAGAGTGCGAGGAGGTGGGTGTGTGGGGAGTTTGGGGATTTAAAGCATTTGGGTGTTGGGGTGGTGTTGGGGGTTGGATCGCTCGTGTGCATGGTCGTCTATGAGAGGGGGTTTTTGAGGCAGGTTGGGAGTACGATTAGGAGGAGGTAGGCATGACATCAAGTTGTTAAATTTAGAACTGTGTCTACCTACGCTTGATGTGCGTACATTTCCGTCTATCTGATTCTCTCGATATCGAGGGTATACCTATCACTCCCGTACCACAAGCCATGCAGCATGCTCAACATGTATTCACCGTTAAATCGCCCAAGAAGCAACCTCCTCTGCGTCCCCACCAAACCCCTCATCAATTTTCCTAACCACAGCATCACCACAAAGCACACACTCTCCCGCAACAATCTCGTCCAACTCATCCTTTGCTTTCCTCACATCACCCCCAGTAGAAGCGGCATTCTGGATCTCAGCCTGTAACTCCGTGATCCGTCTTTGTTGCCAACGACGGAGACCTGATGACTGTACAACCCGTGTCGTGAGACAATCCCCGTGGAAACAGTGGGAGCAGGGGAAGATGTAGAATTGTCGGGTAAGTAGCGGGTATTGACAGATATAACATCTCTCGCCGGGTTGGATGACGGCGTATCTCTTCTGGAGTGACGCGATATCCTGCCTGATTGTCTCCGCAGACCGGGTGGAAGTATCCATATCCTTACTCAACCGATCAATCTGCCTGGAGTAATCCTCCAACGCATTGCATATCTCCTCTTTGAAATCATCGATGAGGACGAAATCAGGAAGGTACGGCATCAACTCCTCCACCTTCAACAAATCACACTTCTTCAAAATCCCCATCGCGGTCTTGATTCCGCCGTCTCTCTTAACGACGTGTTTCGCGACTGTTAACCAGAGATTCTTGCGCAGTGTGTCATCATCCGTCGGACCATCCGCAATGGAGATAGCGAGTTCCACATCATTGTGCTTGAGCGCAAGTTCAACAGCCTGCACATACCGTCCCAGCGATGAATAGATATGCACACAACTCGCAACACGGCCATACTGCAAACACAGCCTCAACCCCAAATCCAAATCATAGTACGGGCCATTTGCCATCGTCTTGTCTCCATCCTGCCGTCTCAGATAATGCGACAACGCCGTCTCATCCGCCGATGCAGCAACCAAGATCCCGAGAAGCGTATTGTGGACAGCAGCATCGGTGTTCCCCAGCGTGGTCGTGACGTAGGTCAAATACCTCACTGCCTCATTCCTCGTACTCCTTCCCCCGATCTTCGCATTATACGCCAACAACCCGGGAACCAAACCCCGAGGATTCAGGTTCGCGTTTCGCATCCAGATATCGACTGTTTCGGACGGAACGTGGGTCATGAGGACCGTCGCATATTTATAAAAGACCTCTGGCTCGGTTTGTTTCGAGAGCATCTGTAGTGCCTTTGACCATTCCGATCGCTCGACCCAGTATTTGAGGATAAACGACCAATCCTCAACCGCCGTCGCGAACGACAAAAGCTCCTCATTCCGACCATGTGAAGTCGTGAGGTCATAAACCGTCTTCCGATCCAAATCACCCTTGTATCTGTTAATAAAATCTTTCCACTCGTTCTTGATAGACTCAACCTCCTCAGCGGACGACGAGGACGTATCTTCGAGCGCGTTGAGTTTCGCCATATACACCTCAACCAACCACGTGCCCACCATACACCTGCCCATCATCTCCGGCCCACTCCTCTTTTTGACAACTCCGAACGTGTCCATCTTTGCCCGCAGATACAGCCGTAAAGCATCGAGTTGTTCCCCCGCATCAATGAGAGCAAGACAAACTTCGTCAAAATCTTTACTCGTCGCGGCATAGACCTCAGCGGCTGCGTTGTATTCTCCTTGAGTCAGGAGGTCGTCGGCGAGGGCGATGTTGACTACATCACGTTGAGCGGGGGTCGATGCGTAGATCTTTGCGGGCTCGAAGCGCTTTTGTGTGAGGAGGGTGGCGGAGACATCTCGAGTCTCATCCGTAATCACGATCTCATAAATACTCGTCGTGGTATACAACCACAACGTCTGCGCAACCGGATCCGCGACAACCCCAAGAATACTCTCCTTCACGCTAGAAATGGGAACGGTGGTGGTCCAGACTAGGCGGCCATCGAGGCGGGATATGGCTTTGACGGTCATGTCTGAGAGAATGATGAAATGGAATCGGGAGACGAGGATATGTGCGTTTTTCTGGCCTTCGGGGGCGTGCCAGGCGGAGGGTGGAATGAGAGCATGCTCGGCGAATGGCTCGGCGGCCCCCAAAGTAAGAGGACCATGAAAGAGCCCTGATGCAGTAAGCCACGTGATATGTGGAGTTTCCAGAGTCGCATCATAGCCTTCCCCGTCTTCGGAGGGTTTTGGGGTGGTGTAGGCTGATGGACTAATCTGCAACCCAGTCGGTGATGGTGGGAACTCCTGGTAGGACGGCGCTTTGGCATCGAAGAATTCTGTCCCGAATGATGGAATACCACCATCTGATGTTCTGGTGATCTTACCAGCGAAGTAGAACATCTTCCCGGAGGCTGTGGTGAGGGTAACCACGCGCTCCTCGTCCTTCTGAGCCGGTGTACGGCCTCGTGTGGTGGCGAGAGAGGCGTTGGTGTTGGTGTAGAAGATCCCAGTGATGGAAGATTCGTCGTTGGGTGTCCGCCAAACCTGTTTCACATACCCGCCTCCATCCTTTTTCTCGGGTTGAACGGAGAGTTCGTAGATCGTTCCGGTTGAGGTGCCCACAAGTAAAGGGCCGGTGGTGCTCGAGGTGGGTGTGGTTGAAAGAGGCCAGGCGACGGACGTTATGGTGAGCCCCTTGAGTTTGGGGAGGTGTCGAGGGCGTACTGGGGTTGGTGATCGTGCAGGAAGGTAGTATATTTCTCCATTCATGGTTGCTACGAGGAGATGTGTCCCACTCGGATCAACCCACATATCTCTAACCTCACCCACTCCCCTCCCCTTGTCTTTCGCGCCCTGCACAATCTCAATATCATCAACGCGCTCCGGATTCCCCAAATCAATCCTCAACAACTTATTCCCTCCTGCCAGTGCCATGAGCAACAAATTCGACGCGATCCGGAGATGGGTTATTTGGACTGGGAATTGGAGAGCGACGCGCAGGAGCTGGAAGAGCGGGGTCATCTCAGAGTGGGCGACGGCGAGGCCCGTTGAGGTGAATGCGGGGCCATGGCTGGCGGGGGTGCAGAAGTTTGGCGGAGAGTTGAGGTCTAGGTTTTGGATGGAGGGGAGGGAGGTGTCGCCGACATACTCGTCCAGAGACATGATCTGGTGGGGTGTATGCCGTTCAGGCTGGCGCGCGGTTGACCTCTAGGGAGTGTACAGCTACTGCTGTGTGCACAATTCTTGACGCGCATTTTGCACGAGACCCCTGTAAGCGTAAGAGGCAACACCTCCAAACAGCTCGAAAAAAGGTCTAGGAAACTCAGGAAGGGCTCAAAATGTTGGGAAGATATGTGTCAATGTCGACCGCAACAAGGTAATCCACCAATATGCTTCTGGGAAGGATGTCTACGATATTGCAACCAACACCGTGAGGTCTCCTCGCACAGTTTACTGCATTGTGAAGAGATTCGAGGAGACAGGGCTTACTGAGCTTAAGGGCAACTCAACCTGCGGGCGCAAATCGGCTATTGACGAGTTCCTGGGCTTGGTAAGTAGACTACTACTGCTTACGGGTACCACCAAGGGCATCACTAAATGACCGCGGCAAATCAAGTACTTGTACGGCAAATACCCTACCCTCTATCAAGACAACTGTGCTGAGTTTCTCAACGATCAATTCGCTACATCTCTATCGCGCTACCATGTCACCCGCTACCTGCAAAAGATTGGATGTACCCGTAAGGTCTTAACCTTACGGGCAGCCCAGCGCAACCCCATCTTACATGCAAACCATGCCATTGAAATGGCTGACGATACCCAAGAGCAGCTGGCATTTTTCGACGAATCAGCCGTGGATGAGGGCACGGGTTCACGAAAATTTGGATACTCACCGCGCCCTCCAGGAGAGGGTCTTTGGACATTCAACACGTTGGAGTGTGCTGCCGGCATTGACCACTGAAGGTTTGAAGGTGCTGCGGATCTTTCAGGAGTCCTTCAATGCTGACCGATTCGTCGAATTCATCGAAGAGGACCTGCTACCAATCATTGGTCCATTCCCTGGTCCAAACAGTGTCATTGTGCTTGATAATTGTCGAATTCATCATGATCCAAGGGTTGCTGAACTCTTAGTGAACCAACATGGGTGCCGCATTTGTTTTCTTACCACCATACTCGCCTGACCTTAACCCAATCGAGCTCTGTTTCAGCATGATGAAGGCCTGGATGAAGCGCAATAGCAACGATCCTGACGCTTGTCTCGACCCTGCCTCTTTGATCCGCAAAGCGATCGACATCTCAACACAGATCTCAAAAAGATCCGCAATTTGTACACGGGCTGTGGTTATGCGCTGACCGGCATGGATTTGCGCCAATATGTTGATAACAACCGTCAAGTGGCCGCTCGAGCTGCTGAGCGGGTGTAGCTATCATTCAATAGTTAGTCTCAGTATTTTCATGAATCGAAGGAACATGTCGTTAATTATTCATGTACCTGTCGTTCTCACAGATCTCTTCCCTAACAAAATGGCTGGGAACTGCCCCACCTGCGTAGCATGCAAGTGTAGCTTACCACGCTCTTCTATGCTTAGCCTGCAGGGTCTGAACAGCAAGGACCCTTTTGTAGCGATGAGGATCATCCGCAAGTTCATTTGAAATGCCCTGGAGAGCACTGTTGGTAGCACTGTGCCTAGGTCAAGGGATGAGAGGCTTTCGAGCCTTGGACTGAGTCTGAGAGGCGTGCACGGGGGTTTGCTGGTCGAACTCGAGTTGACAAGCAGCCCTAAGCAGCCCTTGTAGGGTCGTGGTGTGTATTGATCAGGATAAAGCTGACCATTCGACCTTGGGTGTGTTGCGCTTAAGGTGGACGGCATCAATGAAGGCTTCCAAGTCGTCCTCCGTTCGTAGTCTACACCATGGCACATCCCAGCTCCTCCCACGGCAGACTTTCCTATTGATGTTGGGCTTCAGGGAGTATTTGTTGACGCCTTCGACGACCATATGATCATGACGGAGCTCCTGGAGGGCCAGATCGATCAAAAGCTGCTCTTAGTCAGCCCAAGACCTGACTGAATTGACCGTCCAGGGTGCTTGAGGATACTTGTGGTTCTCTGCCCTAGTTACGAGAATGAGGCCTTTTTTTTCCTCTGGACTGTATTTGTAGGGCAAGAATTCTGCACTTGGCAGCAGGAGCCCTCCGTCACCGCGCTCCAGCCACGACGCGCTCGATTCACCGCACCACCCATTGCCAGCATGGACTGGCCGTATCAACATGATGTACTCGCCAGCGCTGCATATACCCCCTCCATCACACACTGGCCCCTTCAGACCGGGCTTCTCGTTGGGCCCGCCAACTCATGGGAGTACCGGTGGACAGAGCCAGCGAGAGTCGGTGGTGCCGAGTCCGACGAGTTCCGTGTTTGAGGAGCATAACGCAGCTGCGGCGTTGCTGGATGAAGTCACGTCGTGGAATGAGGCGCATGTTGGAGAGTGGTTGGAGTCGGTCAAGGCTGGAGCGTACGCGAAGGTGTTCATCGGTGGGTCGGAATGTCTCTGAATCGTTTGCTTCGATTACTGACCTCAACCTACAGAAAACGACATCACCGGCGAAACCCTCCTCGAAATCGACCAAGAAGCCCTCAAAGAACTAGGCATACCCAAAGTCGGGGACCGCATCCGGATCCTCGTCGCCGTCAAATCCCTCCGACAGCGGTGCTTCACCCACATCACCCGTCCACGCCCCCACCACCGTCCTTCCTCCGTGCATTCACCCGTCGCGATGGAACCGAGCAGTAGTGGTATGAGCTATAGTGGTATGAGTCTCAACAACAGCAATGGGCGACCAACGAGTATGGTGAGTATGGCCACGACGGCATACTCCCACATCGAACCTTTCGGACCCGGGAGTGGGAGCAGCCCGAGCACGAGTACGGTTAACCCACACTCGCCATACCCGCCTCCAACACCTGGGATGCTATCCTCCGGCTCATCCTTCCACAACATGGACTACCCGTCTCGTCCCCTCTCCCCCGGCTCTTTGCCCTCAAACCCCCGCGCACCATCTCACTCGGTGAAGGCCGAGCCAAGACAGGAGACGCATATCATGTCAATCAACGACGTCAAGGAATCCTGCGTCAAATTCATCTACCTCCAAGGCCAAACCCGCATCGTCAATATCTCCTCCTGCCCCGACACCCCCTCCATCCTCGCAAAAGCACTCAAGAAGTTTGCAATTTCCGCAACCGACCAGCCACTCAACCCCGCGCAGTGGTGCGTCTACACCGTTACCACCCCCTCTGACATCGATCCCGCAGCTTCATCCTACCCAGTGCGACTCCTCCCCGCCGTCGAGGTTGTCGCAATATGCAAAGACCCGACACGACCAGAGCGCGAAAGACTCATTCTCTGTAGGAGGGGCGAGGAACCTGGACAGGAGGAAATTAAACGCGCAAAGGGGATTGCGAGGGAGCAGAGTGAGCAGAGAGAGAAAGCTGCTATTTCCGCGAATTATGCAGCCAAGATGAGGAAGTTGGAGGGGTTTTTCGGGGAGAGGCCGGTTTCATCAATCCCCTCAACTACGCCTACGACTGATTCTGCACCCATCCTCGCACCCCCACCGACGGGGCAGGGGAAGCAAAATGGGGAGAGGAGTGCAGGGGGTGCGACGAAGCGCCTTCGAATGCTCTTTGGACAGCGTCCACCAAGCGAGTTGATTTCGAGTAACTTGCAGGAATACTTCCCGGGACACTCCCAAAACGTACTCGAACAAACCGTCCGGAACTCAATTCGGCACTCACAACGCATGTCCTCGATTTCCTCTTTCCAAACCCCCTATGGTCATGGGAGGAGGTTCAGTACGTCGAGTGGGATGTCGGGGATGAGTGGGATGAGTGGGATGTCGGGGAGGAGTGGGGGTTGGAAACCGGGTGTGGCGAGTATTGGGGAGGCGTGGATTTCTCAAGGATTGAAACCGCCGCCGCGGCCGAAGAGGCCCGTTAGTTTGAGGAGGGTTGTTGTGCCGACGAGTGTGCCCGTCAATGGGGGTGTAAGTAGTTCGCTTTATAAGCATCGGTTGGAGAGTGGAGTTTCGTTGGCGACGTATGCGGAGGCCCACGAGGAGGAAGAACTGGAGCAGGTGGGACAGGGACAGGGACAAAGACAGGGTGTACAGGTGGAGGATGATGATAGGGACAGTGACGTGAAGAGTCTCGCGCAGAGTATGAGGAGTTTGAAAGCGCCGTCACTCATGGTCACCTCCGAAGAAGACGAAGTCGAAGAGGAGGACGAGGATGAAGAAGGCACCTTGCGCGCGATGAGGTATTCGGAGGGATATCAACTCGGAACGGTGGGTGAGGTCGTGCCGGGGGATGAGGCTACGGCTGAGGAAGTGTTTGATGCGGAGAAGGGGAATGGGAAGATCGATGGTGAGGAGTCGGGTTACGAGGAGGAGGATGGCGCGGTCACGGAGGACGAGGATGGGGAGACTGCGGCTGAGGGGTTGGGTGAGGTTGAGATTGAGGTTGCGGATGACCATGGACCAAGGAAGTGGATGAAGGGTGCGCTCATCGGCAAGGGATCGTTCGGATCGGTGTATCTGGGTTTGAACGCGTTGAGTGGAGAGTTGATGGCAGTGAAACAGGTTGAGTTGCCGAAGGGTGATGTGCAGGGTGAAGCACGGAAACGGAGTATGATCGATGCGCTCCAACGAGAGATGTCCCTCCTCCGCGATTTGGAACACGAGAATATTGTGAGGTACTTGGGTTCGTCCTCGGATGATACCCACCTCAATATCTTCTTGGAGTATGTTCCTGGAGGGAGTATCGCGGAGTTGCTCAACAAGTATGGCGCGTTTGAGGAGCCGTTGATCAGGAATTTTGTGAGGCAGATTTTGCAGGGGTTGAATTATTTGCACGAGAAGGATATTATTCATCGGGATATCAAGGGTGCGAATGTGTTGGTTGACAACAAGGGCGGGATCAAGATCTCGGACTTTGGTATCTCGAAGAAGGTCGAGGCGAACCTCTTGTCCTCCGCGCCTGGCATGGCACACGGCCATCGACCTTCTCTGCAAGGAAGTGTATTCTGGATGGCACCCGAAGTCGTCAAACAGACTTCCTACACCCGCAAAGCCGACATCTGGTCCCTCGGCTGCCTCATCCTCGAGATGATCACCGCAAGTCATCCCTACCCCACCTTCTCCCAGATGCAAGCAATCTTCAAAATCGGATCGAGTTGTGCCCCGGATATCCCGGAAGAGATTTCGGCTGAGGCAAAAGATTTCTTGGGAAAGACGTTTGAGTTGGATCATACGAAGCGGCCGTCGGCTGAGGAGTTGTTGCATCATCCATTTTTGGCTACGGCTATGTGAGAGGAGTGATATATAACTAGGAGGAATAGGGGAAAGGGGATAGGAGGACTACTTTGCACTGTGCTTTGGAGTTTCGTTTTTGCATGGATAGATTTTGCTATATTATACCAATATTACCTAATACATACCCTAAGCATATGTACGGCGTGTCAACGGGATGAGTATGTATGACTTTCATATTATGTATCGTACTGTTCCTCAACGCCAACAAACTCCCTGTAATGCAATTTTGGTTGCTCCTCTTTCACAACTTTCTCTCCATCCATTCTCCAACGCCTCCGAAACTCCATCTCCATGTCCATCTCATCACCCACTCTATGTGGTCTTCTTAGGCTCCTTACCCGTGAAAGGTACTCCCAACGCAGCCAATAACGTCCTCGCCTCGTTATCACTGTGAGTGTTTGTCTGGCAAATCACATCGAAACCATGCATCCTCGGGTACTGGTCGAACGTCGATTCGATTTCAGGGAAGAGGGTCAATGCGCTATCTGCGAAACCAAACGCGATGTTTCCGGTCTGATCACCAGATCTACGGGAAATACCGTTGAAATCTCTCATACGCGGCCACACAACCTCAACAAGGGTGGTGAGGAAGCGGTACATCTGCGGCCCCTTGAGCTCCACTTGGACTGCGATTGGCATACCCACACGGAGCTTCCAAGGAGAGACACCGGTCTTCGCGTTCAAGATCTTTGGCTTTTGGCCGGTGATGGATTGGATCGCCATCGCTGCCGATGGCAGTACGTCCTTCTTGAGGGTAGCTTCCTTGACGAAAGCGTGCACGATGATCTTTTCCAACTTGGGGATGTTCCTGTGATTTCTCGCCTCGGGGATTGGGAGTATGGTCTTGTTTCCTCTCTGTGGTCTTGTGGGACGGTTCTTGTGGTAGGGGGATGATCCATCCCATGTTCGTAAGACGTTCTTCTGTGACAGATGTTCCGGGACACCGCGGTGGTCATAGGTCATGACCAGCAGATCGGGAGCGATGGTAGCATTGTAGTGTTGTTGCAGACGGTCATTCTCGAAGGGTCCGGCCTGGAATTTGACGGATTCTGGCGAAGTGACAGGAGCTTCGATCTTGTTGGTGACAATGGGCTTCCTGGAGATGAAGCGCCGCGCTGAAGGACAGGCGGCGGCGCGGAAGGCAGTCCGTAGTGGAGCAGTGTTCATTACGGTTATGGTTATGGGTTGGCGGACGAACGGACTGACGGACGAACTGACGGACTCTGGGATTCTTCGCTGTGAACGGACTTAGAAGAATCGTCGAGGACTTGAGCGTTGTTGGCCTCGGGCTGGAAATTGTGAGTCGCCCTGGCTAGCCGTATGGGGGTGCAACCAAGCACGCTCAACTCTTCGTCCAGCAGTGAACGATGATCAATGACCACCGGTTGAATGCTCTTGTCCAAGGCATACATGCTCTGAAATGGTCAGTAGATGGCCGGATAGCACTCGCACGCGAAGACATCGTCCAGATCCTATCACCAACCCCGCTCAGTCCACCTAACGTCCTCACGCAAACGTTCACCGCGGCTGACTGTATCTTGCCATGGGAGGGACTGGAGCCAATGTGGTTTGACGAGGTACCGTTTGAAGGAGATGCGCCGGTGCCTCCTGCGGAAGAGACGTTCACAATCGGTGAGACAAGCAAGAGTATAGAACCTCAGACCGTTCAGGCGCGAAGACGACCCACGCGTATGGACTGGAGTCCCTTGATGCAAGGATCTGGGAGCTGTATGCTAGCGATTGCATCATCTGAGCATCGAGTATACATCTATGACTTTACTGGGAAGTTGTTATGGAATCTGTCGGAGGTAGCTTTGAAAGCGGCCGGACATACCCCATATGAGTGGCACGTCGAGGATAAAAACGAGTTGCGACGGATGAGATATCATGGTCTGAGTTGGTCGAAACAATGCTTCTTACCTGGGCGGAGGTGGGGTACGGTGTTTCTGGCACTCGGCAACGAGATAGGAGGAATCTCAGTGTGGTCCATCACAGAGAACGTGCCACATGTTCTGATGACGGTGACCTTACCTCAAAACGAGAAGGTGGGTCCGTGGGATCAGGGCCAGCCAGGGCCGACGTGGGTCAACAGTATTGCATGGGGCCCGTGGGTGCCAACGTCGAAAGACACGTTCACCTCACTTGTTGCAGCATTGACAGACAATGGCGGCGTGTACCTGATCACCATGGAGGTATCCCGCGATGGAAAGTTAACGCAAGATCCAAATATCGTCACTGCTTCCCCACCTAACCCTCGAAAACCGACGCAAATCACCTGGTGGCACGCGGATGAATGCGCGGATACCGGCATGTGTGTTCTTGCATCAACCAGTGTCGGCAAGATCACGGTGTACTTTTGCAATGTCTTGGAGGGAACTATATCTGTGGTTGAACACCTGTGGGAGGGCTATGCACTGGCGACCGACATGTGCTTCACGCCTGATGCCAGCCCTCTTCTTCATGTGATGACCAGTCTCGGCAATGCGATTGTACTCAAGATCTTGCCTGGTACTCAGTCAGTTGATGTTTCTCATTCTCTTACATCTCGCCTCAAGGCTCACTTGGAGGCGCGTCGGAAAGCATTCGCCGTGGGGGATGATCAGATCAACGCGGACATTCGCATCTGGGGTGCGACATTGAGTCCTGGTGGAGGGTGTCTAGCCTATGCATACGAGAACGTTGCAAGCAAGACCATCCGGTACGTCACGAACGTGGAGGCAGCAATGCGTATAGGCTTCTTCCCCACCCAGGAGGGCGCAGAATATATGGCAGGGATGAAAGCATTGGCATTGAATGGATTGAGATCTGCGGTTATGAACGTCTATCGACAGTCGCTGCGGGGTATGCTGTGGGATCCAACAATCATCTATGCATCTATATTAAAGACCAACGGATCGGATGCGGCAGACGAGTTTCTGGAACAAGCGTGGCATGCAATCGATGCTGCATCAGCTTTTGACAGCGATGCTGATGTCACCGGTCATGCAATTGACCATCAGCTGGCCATTTCGTTGTTCCAACCAAAGTTCAACGCGATGCGGCTCGTGTATGCGTGGTGGCAGGGTCTGCAAGGATTCAAGAACATCAAACACCGCGTTTTTGCATCGGATCTGTCAAGCGTAATGGCTGATCTCGGAGGACATCTAGCAGTAACAGCATTGCATATCTTCACGACAACGTGCCCAGCAATGATTGCTCCACCAGCAGAAGGCAGCCTATCCTACCAAATACTAACACTTTACGCCGACTTTATCAAGCAGGCGCACTCCGACGCTGCAGGCGTCCCTGAACTCGCCGCCAATGTTTACCAACTTCTCGGAGCGGACCCATCACCGGAGCATGGACGGGAATCGTGTCTGGCATGTGGCAGTGGGATAAAGTGGGAAGATCCGATGGACGCAAAGTGCGACAACAATCACACGTGGAGTGAGTTTCAAGCAGTGTGCTGTGCTGAATGAAGAGTCAAGCTTACAATGCGAGAATAGGCCGATGCGCGTTGACAATGACGACATTGCAAACACCAAGAGTGCGAACGTGCACAGGATGCAAGAAGAAGGCAATGGTGTTAGATAAATCAGCAGAGGGTGAGGAATGGGCGATTGGGATGTTTTCAGCGCTTGACATTTGCCCGTTCTGTGGAGGGACAATCTAGGATAGATACATCCTGTGTATTACGTAGAGCATGACAACAAAAGTTCGGTCCAGGGTTCAATGTGGGCGGATTGACGGACAGGCGGGCGTGGCGTTGACGGAGCTTCGTACGGTAAACGCAAACCTCCGAGATAAGCATATGGTTAGTATTACCTTTATTAGATACTAGGTACGTCACATATAATATCCCAAAGACCAATCGCAATACACAATACGCCCGCTGAAAACCATACCCATTACCCCATCCAACATACCCGGTCAGTCTTCTCATTACATCACCCCACCTCACCTCATGTAAACAGTGGACTTGTCCTCAGCAGCACCAGCACTCGTCAATGCCTTCTTCCTCCTCAACTCCGCAATCCTCGCCGCGGCGGCTGCCCTGCGACCGGGCGTCAAGTCCTTGGCCTTCGTCATCGTGAGGGTTCTGCCATTGGCAGTGGTCTTGGTAGTCGTTTGTCTGTTCGATTCCTGCAATTGTCTTGCAGGGTACGTAGAGACATCAGCGCCTGGTGAAGTGGTTGAATCCCACTCAGGCTTGACAGTAGAGGTCGATGGACGTGAGAATCGAGAACGACTAGCGGTGACAACCGAAGAGACGGCAGGGATGTTAGATCGCCTGACACTCGCTGCATATGCTGGAGAGATCCCCGAAGAGGAGGTACGACCAAGCTTGGCCCCCGGCGTGCTCGACATCCTTGGACTTTCAGTTTTGATAGCAGCCGCAGCGTTCCTCAAATCCGCGACTTCCTTCCTGAATACCTCGATCTGCGCATCGGTGGCCTCCTTTTCCTTCTCCAATGACCGAACACGACGCTGGGCAGTGGCCAGTTCCTCCGCTTGCAAGTTGTGACCATGCTTTACGCCCTCCAGCGGAACGATCTCCTCGGACTTCTTCTTCAAGTCCTGGACCTTGTTCTCAAGTTGTGCCACATTACGCTTCTGCTCGTTCAACTCCCTTAGCTGACGCGAAGCGGTCGAGCGGCTCTCCTCAAGGGCAGCACGAAGCTCGTCGCGCTCAGCACGAACCTCAGAGAAGACACGTGCAGTATTTATAGCCTCATTTCTCGCCTTATGCAGAGACTCCCTCAACTCCTTGAGCTCAGTCTCGAACTGCAGGATCCTCCTCTCTGAATCCTGCCTGGTCCTTTCAAGCTGGTTCCTCAAGTCACTCCTCTCATCCCTAACCTCATCCAACTGCCTCTGCACCACGCCAGCGGATTTGTCCAACTCTTGCTGAAGCCGCTTCAAATCTCTCTCCTGATCCCTGTACTTGTTTTCCCAAGCCCGTGCTTCCCGCCTGTGCTTCTCGATATCCGCCAAATCCATCTCATACTGTCTCTTTCCAGCTTCAGCCTCGATCTTGTACATCCTCAGCTCCTTCATGTCCTCCTTCAACTTCTTAACCTGGTTGCGAGCTTCTTTATAAAGCATCTCCAGTTGATTGTTCCTTTCCGGCGAAGCGAAAGTTGGCGCATTACGGCCTGCGTGAAGTTCTTTCTCAAGATCGCAGATGCGGCGATCAGCGATACGTTTCTCGCGTTCGTATTGGCGAAGCTCATCCTGGTGAGATGCAACAGCTTCCTGTCGTTGCTTCTCCTTGACTTCCAGCATCTCGAACGCAGTCTGGACCTGTTCGGACATTTCGGCAAGCTGTTGCTGAAGCTCCTCAACCTCAGGGTTGGGCTCTGCTGGGGTAGTCTGCTGCTCCGACTGCGGAAGGCGTACTCGGCGCAGTCTTTCCTCCAGCTCCATAACCTGTCTTTCTGCCAAATCTTTATCATGCACGATTTTCTTGATCTCATCCTTCAACCGCGTGTTCTCCGAACTGAATCCCAGAGGCAGCTGTTCCGTTGCCTGACTTTGCGTCTCCAGCTTCTTGATCACATGGTCGCACAACTCTTTCTCCTTCTGCAGCTGTGTGCGCATGCTATCCAGCAGGTCGAACTGACTCTTCCAGTATTTGCCGGATACGGACTTCGGGGAGTTCACGTCGACAGTCACGTCACCGTCAGTAGTCATTGATTTTTCGGCATAATCGTTCATAACTTCGTCTTCGTGTGCTTCCATGAGCTCTTTCAACAGTCTGTTGTTCTCCATGAGAGTCCTGAGGGCATCGGAGATATCGCTGTCTGCATCTTCTTGCTTGAATTCGACATGCGCCGATTCGTTGACCGAAGAGTTCGGTGAGAAGACAACTTCGTTTTGTAATCGAGAACTCACGGCCGGTTTCGAGGCTTGTACAATCGGGATGTTGACGGTCTTGGCTGGGGCAGGCGTGGGGAACTTTCCAGGGAAGTCACGAGGCAGTCCTGACCGCTTCGTCACCGTACCAGGGATTTTGTACTTTGATAGGGGTGAGCCCGCCTCCTGTCTTTTCTGCTTTTCGTCCTTCTCGTTATTCCAAGAGACCGTCTTCTTCGGACCGATCGTCCCAGGCGTGCGCAGGATGCCTGGTGTTCTTGCTGAGCTGCTAGTCGGTCTGGCAGGCGTCGCAGGCGCCATAAGTACATCTCCATCTGCATCAAACCTTGTTGCGGTAGAGTCGCTCCGAGTTCTCCTTGCCGGTACTGGTGTTTCTTGCACGTCGGAGTCGCCGTCTAACTGATTATTCGAAGCAGCGCCGCCAAAGAAACCTCGCCTGAATGCTTGTGTTGCCCATACATGCGCTGGAGTAGCTGAGCCGTCTATACTGCTGATTAGTATGCGAAGCCAGCCGTGAGAGGAGTGATCTACCATCTGCGACGAATGTGTCGTTCGGAGCAGCAGAGTCGCTGCTGCCCTTGATCCACTTGGACAAAGACATGATCCGTACGTTCTGAAAGCTGTGTAACGGAAGAGCTGGGATCAATGCCTTTTATGATGGTTCCTTTGAAATCGTTGGAGGTGAATGCCGTCTGTTTACATTCGCGCGCATACCACAACAACCGTCGTACGCTGGATCACGTGCCTGGCAACCGCAATTGCAACCCCCAGCGCTCGAAGCGCAATTGAGCAAGCAACCCTGGGAGAGAATTGGTAAGCGATCAAGCCGGACCAGGACCGCCAGATAGAAAATGCCAAAACTGGCAGCTTCGAACCCATTCTCAATCTATCTCTTTGCCGTCAGGGAGACCGACAGGGCCCAATTGCGGACCGGCACCGACTGCTAAACTTAAGCACCTGCGTCAGGGCGCACGGGGCTCCTCGGACTTCCCTCGATTGCGTTGATCAGACTCATATGACGCCGTAACATATCAATCGATCCAGGGTATATCCATTTCAATCTCAGCTTTACCCTCGATCAGGTAGCGATGCCTCCCGAGAAGGTTGATTATGCAGAGATTCAACAAAACGAAGTCGAGGCCCTGAGGGCCATTTACATGGATGAATATGAGGAGATACCCACGGCTTCGGCATGGAACAAAACGGCGGCGCCGGCTTTTATTCTTCATATGAAGGCGACCGAATACCCGGACCCACCGGTGTCGGTTGACCTCCAGATCCAGATGACGAGCACATACCCGAAGACGGCACCAACCATCAATCTGACCAATGCAGTAACAGTTCTCGGCTCCGCGCTTACAAAGCTGAAGACGATGTTGAACGATCATGCTAAGAGCAATCTGGGGAGCGAGATGATTTACGACTTGGCCGTCATGACGCAGGACTTCCTGAACGAATGTCAGGCAGACGCACGCAAACGAGCTGCGAGCTTGGGCGACGAACGAGCAAAGCGACTGGATGATGCCGAGAGATTGGCGGAGGAAGCAGAAGAGAAGAGACGCAAAGAACGGGAGGAGGCGCTCTTGGAGGAGAACAGGGTTCTCGAAGCACTGATTCAGGAGGAATTAAAACGCAAGAAGGAGCGTCTAAAGGAGATCTCACAAGAGCAGAAGATCAAGCAACAGAATGAAGCCGAGACGCACGTACCAGTGGTAAAGGGCATGGTGGGAGAAGTGGTTACATTCGACAGAGTGACGCAGGTCAAGCAAGGTGCACAAACTTTAACCTTCAAATCGGTAACTGGATTGGTTCTTCTGGGTCGAGGAGGCTTGGTTACGGTACGCTTGGTAAAGCCAATCGTCGAAGGATCTGGCGCAAACACGACACTGGTGCTGAAGGAAGTCGACCTCTTGACGGAGTACTGGGAATCCTTGGAAGGAAAGAAGCTAATTCAGAAGCTCGAGCGTGAGCTTGACACCATCCGGGCGCTTGACCATCCTTATATTGCGAGAGTTTACGACTTCCGTGTTTCCCGACAAACGAAAGGTTGGACAATCCAGGTTCTAGAGGAGTACTGCAATGGGGGATCTATGTACAGTCTTCTCGACACGGTTGGAACCGTCAGTCCACGGCACGCACGGCATTGGATGAGTCAGCTTCTCGAAGGTCTTTGCCATATACACAAGCATGGTTTTATCCATCGAGGTATCCGTTTGGGTTGTGTACTGTTGTCTTCAGAAGACGAGGAGAAAGTGGCAAAGTTGTCCGACGCTTGCTTCTCGCAGCGGCTGCATGAAATGAACGACACCCATCCATTCACGTCAGAAAAGCATACATACCAGGATCATCTGCCAATCTCCGAGGGGTGGTATCCCCCAGAAACAGTCCGGGGCTCCGATAAGCGGTCGTACAGCCGTAAAACAGATATCTGGAACCTCGGTATCGTATTCGTCCAGATGGTCTACGACAAGGAGGTTGTCGTACGCTACCGATCACCCAACGAGCTAATCAAGTCACGGCAGGTTGCGGCGGATCCCTTACTGCGTGACTTCCTCGCCCGTATTTTTCATGCCGATTATCGCAAGCGAGCCTCTGCGGATGAACTCCTCCATGATCAGTACTTCCGTCAGGGTATGGCTCTTGCGTCACCGGTGGAGGAAAGTCCATACACGCACTTCAACTCGCTGCTTTCGCCGGTCAAGGTTGTGGAGAGCGAACCGGAGTATCGCGGATCTCGTTCCCCTACACGACAGGTATCTTCCACCTCTTCCAGGGAGCCTGCGTTGATGTCGCGATACAAAACGGACTTCGAAGAGCTGGAATTTTTGGGTAAGGGTGGTTTCGGCGAAGTTGTCAAGGCGAGAAACCGTCTTGATGGACGGTTATACGCAATCAAGAAGGTCAAGCTCGGGAAGAACGAGAACGAGAATACGCGTATTTTGCGAGAGGTCATGACCTTGTCACGTCTTCATCACCAATATGTCGTTCGCTACTTCACGACGTGGTTGGAGAGGGCGTCACCTTCGCGTAAGAATGGGAAGAAAGGCCGGGGAACGGAGACGGAGACTGAAACCGAGACTGATCTAACTCAATCGCTGAGCTTCGGTGTTGACGAGCCATCAGAAGTGCCGATTGACTTCATGTCGTCGAGTGGATTCCGCAGTGTACGCTTTGCCGAGTCTGAGAGCGACGACAGTGATTCTGATGATTCTGTGGCTACAGCCACCGTGGATAATGACTCTGATGAGGATTCTGATTCGGAGGATGAAGGCAAGAAATCACCTGGAACTTTGTTCATCCAAATGGAGTATTGTGAGAAACAAACATTACGCGATGCCATCAGAGACGGTATCTCAAAGGATGACGCCTGGCGACTCTTCAGACAAGTTCTTGAAGGTTTGTTGCACGTTCACTCCCAGAACATGATTCATCGCGACCTGAAGCCCAACAACATTTTCTTGGACGACCAGGGAGATGTGAAGATTGGTGATTTTGGTCTTGCGACAACTAGCCATACTCCATTGGAGGATGTCGATACGCGTCTTAGTGCTTCAATGACCTTTGACGATGGTGATGACTTCACCTCAGGCCTGGGTACAGCTCTCTATATGGCACCCGAAGTTGCGTCAAAGTCAAATACAAAGTATACTTCCAAGGTCGACATATACTCTCTTGGTATTATCTTGTTCGAAATGGTTTATCCCTTGACTACGGCAATGGAGCGAGTTGATATTCTTCGTCGCCTTCGAGCACCTGAGCCAGAGTTTCCTCCGAACTTTCCGACTGACTTGGAGAATCAGAGGAAGGTCATTCAATGGTGTTTGCAGCACGTCCCCAGCGATCGGCCTTCCAGTAGTCAGCTGCTACAGAGCAATTTGCTGCCCACTAAGATCGAAGACGAGTACATTCAAGAGAGTATTCGGACATTGACGAACCCGAATACTCCACACTTTGCCAGGCTCATGGCACAATTGTTCGGACAATCGGGCGAGCGCGTCCGAGATCGCTTCAAGGATCTCACATACGATTTCGCTGTGAAGGTGGAGCCCCATCAACAGTACGAGGTCCTGTTCGCTATTCTCCGAGAGCATCTCAGCGCTGTGTTCCGTCGACACGGTGCTGTCGAGACATTGCGTAACTTGCTAATTCCTGCTAGTCCATTTTATGCGAATAGTCCTTCGGTAGTTACCTTAATGGACAGACAGGGATCACTTGTGCAGCTACCCTATGACCTCACGCTACCTTACGCCAGGTCAATTGCCCGTTCAAACAGTGGCATAAGCAAGACCTTTACTTTCGGTAGCGTGTACCGCGAGAACACCGCGGGAGGGCAGCCTCGGGCTGTTTGCGAACTTGATTTCGATATCGTTGCGCCCATGTCTGTTGAGCCCACATTGTGCGAAGCCGAGGTTCTCAAGGTGATTGACGAGGTTATCGAGAGCACGCCTTCCCTAGCCTCGCGCTCTACGACTATCCTCCTTAACCATTCCGATATCCTTGACGCCATTCTTGACTACTGTGGCATCGACGAGAAGACGAAACCTAGTATCATCCATATGCTTGGTCAAAGTGGTGGGATGCTGAGCATGGCAGAAATCAAGTTGAACCTGCGATCAACGGTATCAGGATCTATACTCGATGAGCTATCCCTATTCGATTTCAGGGACGATTTCGAGAAGGGTATTCAGCGTCTTCTACACAGTTTTGCGAGGCCGAGCAAGATTGTCACCGGCGCCGTGGAGCACCTACGGGTCGTTGCCTCGCACATGAAGCATATGAATGTCAAGCGGCCCGTTCAGTTCATGCCGTTGTGCGTGTACAACCCGAATGCATACCGCGGTGGAATCATGTTTCAGGCTGTCGTCGAGGGTAAGCGTAGAGATCTTATTGCTGCGGGCGGACGATATGATACACTGGTGGAGTACTACTCGCCTCACCGACCCATGCACCATGCAGTTGGTTGTAACATTGCCGTTGAGAAGATCCTTTCTGGGTTAGCCAATTATCAGAAGACTGCCTCTGCTGCGTTGAGGACCCGCCGATCTGATCTGGAGCCGCTCTATGGCCCATGGGTACCGCGAAGATGTGATATCCTAGTAGCAAGTTTCGGTAAAGAGCTCCTTCGTGAGCGACTTGAAATAGTGCAGGAATTGTGGAGTCATGGCATCCGTGCTGAGCTTGCCCACAATGAACTCTACAACGCCCATACTCCCGAAGATCTTGGTGCCGCGACCAGGGCCGACGGAGTCTGCTGGATCATCATCGTCAAGCAGAAGCATTCCGATCATGCTCGTCGAGAACAGCAAGCAGTGAAAGTCAAGAACTTGTTACGCCGTGATGAGGAAGAGGTGCCCAGAGCCGAACTTGTGACATACTTCCAGGGAGAGCTAGCTGAACGGACTCGCCGTGATGCTTTGGGTCAACAGGTGCCACGCCTGGCTAAGCACACTTCCAATACTGGTGATTTCTTCGTTAACGACACACCGTCAACGTCGCGTGCACCATCTTCTCGTCCGTCAATGGATGTGCGCAACTCGAAGGCGGAGATCAATGTGACCGTTCTGAGTCAAGACAAACACAGGAAAAACAAGCTCAAGGCGAAACAGGTTGTCACGAACAAGGCATATGAAAGTGTTCAAGACATCTTGTCAGACCTTAACAGCGGCGAAGTCGGTGTCATCGCCCTCGAAATAGGCGAAGACCTATTCCAGAAACTGAAAATGGTGAAACTTAACGATGATGACGCATGGAAAACCTTAATCATGGACGCACCTGCGATGGAGCGTCCATACCTTAATCAATTACGTACGGAGTTGGAGAAGTTGGCGAAGGAGGGGAAGAAGCGGATATTCCTGCATTGTTGGAAGGCGGCGCACTCTACTCATCTTTACGAGTTGTCTTAGAAAGAGACACGGTTGATGGCGTTTGCTTGATTTTTATACCATAGAGCTAGAATTACGAGGTCTTTCGCCTTGTTAACCCGACATGTTTCTGTCACCTAATCCTGGTTTGGGTGCTCTGATCTGCTCATATCGTGAAACCTTGTCACCACAGTATCTCAATCGGAGTCGTCATCACTGGCATAATCCAACATCCCAGCAAGACCTGCAGGCTTCGTCTCCTCCTTGGCTGGCGCCGGTGCAACCGTCGCGCCAGTCTTCTCCGTCAAAGTCCTCAATGCCGACAGTGTCGAGCTCGAAAAAATACTTCCATCATATTCCTTCGCAGGCGGCGCCTCTAACTGTAATTTCTGCTCGGGTGCCTCAAGTTGCGCCTGCTGCACCGCCGGATTCACCGCGTTACTCCCACGGCTATACCACACCTCATCAGGAACGTCATACCCCTTCAACCCGAAACTTCCCTCTATCTTTCGTTTCCGTTTCGCGTCTGGGTCCCGTCCTTCCAGCTCCGCCACAAACTCCGCTGGTAGTGCTCGCCTGATTGCTTCTGCTGCTTGCTCCTCCAGTCTCCTCGCATCACGTTTTTGCGCTAGGGGATTTGGGTCTTGGGTCGCCCATCTCACATTCAGAATCTCGTTATGGTCGAGTGATTGATGTGCCATCGCCTCTTTTGCGAATTGTGCGTTTGCTTGGTTGACGTAGGTGACGAATGCCACACCACGCGAGTTGAGTACACGGATTCGTTCGACCTCTCCCCATTCTGCAAAGTGCCTTGCCACGACTTCTTCGATTTCATCACTTACGTGGATTCGGCCAACGTAGATGGTGTGGTTTTGTCGCATGAAACTACCTACACCTCCCATGTCGTCGCGGTAATCCGCATGCTTGTCGCGTCCGAAACAGTCCACGTTCGGACTGAACATATCGTGCACCGTCGGCAATCGGTGCAAGAAGTTACAATCTGGTCCATTCGGACACATTCCTCGTGCGAATTGAAGACAGAAATATGCGCCGGGTACGCGATCCGCCTTGGTGTATCCAGAGTCCTTCGCGATAACACAACGGTATTCAGAATGTTGCTTGGAGATGTATGCGTCTTCCCGGTCTCCGCCTGCCCATTTTCCGTACCAGATGTTGAAGACTTGACCGGTTTGTGGAGGAACTTGTTGGTCGGCTGGTCTTGCTTCGGCTTGGATGCGAGCTGGTCTTCTTCGCTTGGCGACAGCGACCTTCTTGCCGGCGTTGCTGGCCGGAACAATCGCGGTAGTTTCATCTGCCATATCGATTGCCGAGATAAAAAAAACTATCGGTCTCTTTTTGAATGCCTTGGGAAACGCTGTCCTGTTACGTATGACTGTACGTACTGCAGCCGATGTACAATCCTGCAGCTGGGTACAGTCTCGAGCCTATGCTCCTTACTTAAGGCGGCAAGACATCTTGAATTCTGTATTTGATTCGCTGATTCAAGTCCTTTTCATACATATTCATGTATTTACCCTGGTTATCATCATAGGACCTGCAATGAACGTTACAGTGCGGCTGCCGTATACGTCGAACCTCTCCAACTTTTTGTCCTCGACCACTTCCTATCCCCAGTTATCCCTTCCACCTATCAATCGACAAAGAAAGAACAATAACCAGCCATGGGTATCCTTGAAAAGATCAAAGACATCGAGGAGGAGATGGCTCGTACCCAGAAGAACAAGGCAACAGAATACCACCTGGGTCTCCTCAAAGCCAAACTCGCAAAATACCGTGCTCAACTCCTCGAACCAACGACCAAATCCTCCAAACCCGGAGAAGGATTCGACGTGCTGAAGTCCGGAGATGCACGAGTCGTGTTTATTGGGTTTCCGTCGGTTGGTAAATCGACCCTGTTATCAAAGATTACGGAGACGAAGAGTGAGGTTGCAAGTTATGAGTTTACGACGTTGACAGCGATTCCGGGTGTAATCAACTACCACGGCGCCGAAATCCAAGCCCTCGATCTCCCCGGAATCATCCAAGGTGCCTCCCAAGGAAAAGGTCGCGGACGACAAGTCGTGGCTGTTGCGAAGACTGCGGATGTTATTTTGATGGTTTTGGACGCAACGAAGAGTAGGGAGCAAAAAGCGCAGTTGACGGCGGAGTTGGAGGCGGTTGGCATTAGGCTGAACAGACCGAAACCTGATATCGTTTTCAAAATTAAGAAGGGGGGGGGGATTACGTTCAACACGACCTGCAAATCGTTAACGTATATGGACGAGAAGATGGTGATGAATATTCTGAGAGATTACAGTATGTGATACTCTCGACGAGCATTTTCGGAAATGGAAGGGCTAACGAGAATATCACAGAAATCCATAACGCAGACGTGATGATCCGCGAAGACTGTACCGTGGATGATTTTATCGACGTCATCATCGGCACGAGAAAATACGTTAAATGTCTTTACGTCTACAACAAAATCGACGGAATCTCCATGGAAGAGCTCGAGCGTCTCGCGCGGGAACCACACACCGTCGTCATCTCCTGCGAAATGAATCTCAATCTCGAACACCTCGTCGACCGAATCTGGGAAGAACTGGGACTCCTACGAGTTTACACGAAGAGGAAGGGGAAGGCGCCGGATTTCAGTGATGCGTTGATTGTGCGGGAGGCGAGTAGTATCGAGAATGTGTGTCATTCGATTCATAGGACGTTGGCGGAGCATTTTAGGTATGCGCTTGTTTGGGGGGCGAGTGCGAAGCATAGTCCGCAGAGAGTGGGGTTGACGCATATGGTGGCAGAGGGAGATGTTGTCAGTATTGTGACAAAGTAGGACAGTTAGAGAGAATGGAGCTTTCGCATCGGAGTGGTGATGCTTTATAAAATGAGGTTCTGTAGAGCACTTCCGCGAACCTTCGTGACGTCTTCGAGTCCCTGCCTTTCTTACTGCTGCAGCTTTTTCACTGCTGCGGCCTTGTCCTCTTTCTCCCTAATAAACTCATCGCGGACTTTGTCGAGACGTTCGTGAGTAGAGCTATATGATCGTTAGTCGGTGTATCCATTGCGCGTCTTCGGACAGTAATCAGTAACTCACTGAATCTGTACACAATCCATCATCGCCTTCTTCTGATCGCTACATGCCCACAGCATGGAGATTGTCCGTCCGGCACAGCACTCCGCGAAAGCTATGATATGTACATGATCAGCGCAAATCACTTGATTCGCCAAGACGGCACAACACACCCTTCACAAGCGGAGCACACTGCTCTCGCGCCCTCTTCCTCGTCTCGTTGACAACATCGACTTCGTCTCCTGGACTCAAGAAACCTTCTAATCCCGGTGGTGGTGACATATTTGCTCTTTCTCGTTGCTCACCGGCCAGATCTGCAGACCTCGCTCGTGCAGGGAACTTACAGCTAAAGGCAAAATTCTTGACACAACTCACTGCAGGTGCGCGCAGTCTCGCATACCCTCCCGTTAAAAGGCCTCCAAACAACTCCATTGAAGGGCTCGGAAGGCCAGGATAAGGCGAAAATGCATGGGAAGATCATCGCCAACCCTGTCCAAGATCTATTTATCCACCATTACATCAAGAGAGCCGATCCCATCACACTCAGCGAAATCGCAAGTACTTCAGTCCGCGCCGTTTTCCGAATTGTTAAGAGGTATGAAGAGCAGGACACCAGTGAGCTTGCCGGTCATCGTACTTGTGGCCGCAAGCCTCAAATCGACGAATATCTAGAGGCGGTGAATAAGGTGGTGTTACTCGAGGGATTCACTGAATGGTATGCAGTATATTCAGTACTTGTACGGCCGAAACCCTCAACATGTTCAAGAACTGCGGGTATGCATTAACCCAGGTACCGCTTACAGCTTATGCCGACAGCAGTCGTGAAATGGCCTTGCTCGCAGCTGCTGAGTTGCAGGGACCTGAACCTATCCTTGCGGATGATGATGAATAGTCGAACTAAGCAATATATGTATTTTCTGACGACTTGAATTCCCACGGACGCAAAATGGCTGTACGGGGGGGGGGGTCCAAATGCAGGCACTAAGTCGGGGTTTAGTCATGCAACTAACCCCTTTGGTAGGCTATGTGCATAAATCTTGACACTACGTCAACTGTTGTATTTGAGTACGGAGACTGCGTAAGCTTAATGCTCAACAACCACGAGCTAGAATGAAGCGAAAACTTGATACAATAAAGACCTATATACGATGAGGCATCTATCAAACTTTCAGTCGTCTGCGCCCTCAAAAATTGGTGGTTCAAGCCTCCGCTTCCAAGCATGCATATTTCACTGGGCAGTCTTCCATCTAGGCCAGAATTCTTGCATTGTGATCAACCATCCCATCTTGATCATTCCAATATCCTTCCTGGGGCAGCGTTTGAGGTCCTCGAGGCGTAGGCCATTGTCAATTACGCCCTGCCGGGCAATATTGATGTCGAAGTTGGTGTAGGCAGGCAAATGCTCCCGTACAAACTCCAGGAATCCGTCCAGATCGTCTGCTGCTGGTCCCATAAGAGAGCTGGAGCCTCTCATGAGGTTGTTGGGGGCTGGGGTGCTTGACAAAATGGATGCACCGTGTCAGCAGACAGCGGAGTAGGCAGCATTGGATACCCTGCTGAGCTGAAGCTAGAATGAGGTGTGCTAGCCGGTATATCCGCTCGCTGAAATGCTTCGTAAAAGTCCTTGAAGACTGAGTCTGAAATGGGAGGCCTTTCGATGGTGACCGTAGAACTACGTTCGACAACAGCAATCGCCCAGTGGTCTTGCTGCATGTAGTTGACACGGCGATGGACTCTGCTGAGAGGGTGAATGTAGCAGATGCTTTGGTGATGCTGTGAGCACATCCAGCGGGCTTGAAGTGCATGTAGCGCAGCAAGCTTGTCGTACTTAGCTGGGTCACCCTCGAATCCAGCTTCGATATTCTGAAGATGCGCAACCGTAGCACTCTTAGGGTGTCTAGGCTGAGCAGTTTGAGACCGTTTCCTGACTTGAGAGGGGCGTAGCGGGGCCTGAGAGTGGGAGTCGTTCTCACTTTAGTAGGCCGACTTCGGAAGGGAGTAATGCGAATCAACATTGATGAAGGCCTGCCATTCAGGCTTAGGTGATAAGCGCTCGACATTGACAGCTTCGACGAAGGTTTTCCAGCCGAGTTCACGGCGTAGCCGGTTCCATGGAGCATCACGGTCTTGGCTCTTTCCACGGAGGACCTTCCATTGCATTTTTCGCGGTGAAATTGCGTAAGGTAATAACCCCCAGGCAGGTCTTGATCATCCCGTAACTCCTCGAGCACTGCCTCTGTCAACTCGACCTTTACATTCGCCTTAGTGTTTGATGGGGTCGACAATGAATGGTGCATGGGCGTATTTAACCTTTGGTTCGTGGGTGACAGTGAGCATAGCAGTGAAATCATCGATAGCGATGTCAAGGTCAACAGGGGTAGGCTCATCCGGAACTTCGATGATGTTTTTAGACCTCTGCTGGGTCCTTGGTGGTTCGGTTGCTGTTGTTTCACGGGCATCATCGACAAGGTGCGGGGCCGGTCTGGTGGTACGAGCAGATAGCCTGCGTTCCGATGAATCGTTCTGCGTTGCCTGCCTTCGTTTAGAAGGCATTTTGATGGAGTTGTTGGGTTGTTTGTGGTTTGGGCTGATTCCGCGCAGATGCACCTAAGACGCGCTGTGTCAGGAATTTTGCACCTGGCAGTATCGGCATACGGCATACGCCCCAACTAGCACGTATATATGCCCGCCGCCTCCTCCGGCAATTGCAACCTCTCTGTCTATTCCAACCCAGTGTTATTTAAAGATGAGCAGCGCAGCTCCGCTTCTTACAAAGCAGTTCAGGGATTTGACTGGGAAGAAGGGTCTTCCTGGCGTGTATGCTGAGGTACGTCATATCGTCGTGTATGCTGGGATGAATGCTAATGAATGGAGTAGTTGGTCAACGACAATATCTTTGTCTGGCAGATTGGTATTGCGCCAACTGACAAGGATAGCGTGTATTATGGTGGATACTACAAGGCTGAGATCAAGTTCCCGAGGGTACGAAGCTTTCCCGCCAGTTTATAAGTAAACGTGCTGATCAGCCTTGCACAGGATTACCCGTTCATGCCACCCTCATTCCGCTTCCTCCGACCAGTCTTCCACCCAAACATCTACAAGGACGGCAAACTCTGCATCTCCATCCTCCACCCTCCCGGTGACGACCCTCAATCCGGCGAATCCGCCGCAGAACGCTGGTCCCCCGCCCAATCCGTCGAGTCAATCATCCTCTCGATCATGTCCCTCCTCGAAGACCCCAACTGCTCTTCCCCCGCCAACGTCGACGCTGGCGTCCTCTGGCGCAAAGACCGCGACGAGTATAGGAGTATTGTGCAGAAACAGGTCGAGGAGACGAAGGCGGATATCCCGAAGGATTTCAAGATGCCGAGTACGGCGGATTTCGTGGTGAAGAAGGCTACGACGCCAGCTGTAGAGTTGGATGATGAGGGCTTTTGGTATGATAGTGGTGAGGAGGAGGATTTTGAGTATGAGGAAGCGAGTGATGTGGAGATGACCGAGGCGGAGTGTGAGGACGAGGAGGATGAAGCTGAGGTGTCTGATGCTGATTCTGGGACTATGTGAGGACGTCTCCGGTCAGTCACTTATAGAGGGAGGAGAGCGTTTGTCTCTGGGACTGTTTTTCGTCATTTCATTGGGCTATGGAGTTGTTATCGGTGGTTCTCTTTACAGCAGCGTTTCCAGCAGGACTGGACAATCTTTTATTTGGGAAGGGTTTCATTCTTTTGCTACAAATGCATTTCGTTTGCTGGTGATGCAAGTTCGTGCGCGCGACGCAACCCCCACACCGAGCGATCACAGAAAGTTCATGAACTTGCGCCTCGGCCTCGGCTCGAACACACCACCGTACAATCAATCGCAGCCGTATACATGAGCGACGTAGTATCAACCTCCTCCGAGGCCTCTCAGAGCCCCATTTCGAGCCCTACTCTCTCCGTCAGCACCGTCGCGTCCGCAGTCGAGAACATGAACCCGTCCCAAGAAGACATCGACAAAGCCGCCGAATTCAAAAATGGCGCAAACGCCCACCTCTTGAAAGCCAACTACGACGAAGCGATCAATTTGTACACCAAGGCTATCGAGCTCGATGCCACCAAGGTCGTGTACTGGGCGAATCGGGCACAGGCGTATATCAAGAGTGAGATGTATGGGTTGGCTGTTGCGGACGCAAGCAAGGCTATCGCGATTGATCCTAATTATGCCAAGAGCTATTATCGGAGGGCGGTGGCCTATGCGGCGATTGCGAAGCCGAAGGACGCGTTGAAGGATTTTAGGATGTTGGTGAAGAAAGCACCCGCGGATAAAGACGCTCGCACAAAATTGGCGGAATGCGACAAGTTGGTGCGGAAAATGGCGTTTGAGGAGGCGATTGCGGTTGCGGATCCCCCGTCTGCGTTTGAGAGTTTGGAGTTGAAGAGTATGGTTGTGGAGGAGGGGTATGATGGTGTTAGACTCGGTGAGGAGATGACGGAGGAGTTTGTGCAGGATATGGTCGAGCGGTTCAAGAATGGGAAGACGATTCCTAAGAAGTATGTTTATCAGATCTTGAAGGCTGTGAGGGATATTGTATATAATGAGCCGACGATGGTGGAGATCGACGTCAAGGAGGATCAGGTGTTGACTGTTTGTGGTGATACGCATGGCCAGTTCTTTGATGTTTTGGAGATTTTCAGGCGGAATGGAACGCCATCGCCGCAACGACCATATCTCTTCAACGGAGATTTCGTGGATAGAGGATCTTGGTCTACGGAGGTGGCGTTGATGTTTTATGCGTACAAGTGGTTGTATCCCAACCATATCTTCCTGAACAGAGGAAACCATGAAACGGACGACATGAACAAAATCTACGGTTTCGAGGGTGAGTGCAAGGCAAAGTACAACGAGCTCACCTTCAAGCTCTTCTCTGAGTCTTTCTCAGCTCTCCCACTTGCATGCCTGATCGGCGGCAAGTACTTCGTTCTCCACGGTGGATTGTTCTCAGATGACACCATCACCCTCGACGACGTCCGAAAACTCAACAGACACGCGAGACGCCAACCCGGACAAGAAGGCCTCATGATGGAAATGCTCTGGACAGATCCCCAACCCGAACCCGGTCGTGGTCCCTCAAAACGCGGTGTAGGCCTCCAATTCGGACCCGATATCACCAAACGATTCTGCGAGAACAACGGTCTCGACGCTATCATTCGATCCCACGAAGTCCGGATGGGAGGGTATGAAGTCGAGCACGATGGACGGTGTGTCACGATTTTCTCGGCACCGAATTATTGTGACCAGCAGGGGAATTTGGGGGCGTGGATTAAGATTGAGGGGAAGGACAAGGATTTGAAGATGAAGTTTGAGACGTTTACGGCGGTTGAGCATCCGAAGTTGCCGCCGATGGCTTATGCGAATCAGGTTATGAGGTAGATGACATGCAAATGAGATGATACGGTGACATGAGGTTAACGTTAGGGAAATCTCTTTAGCATAGTTAGCTTTAGGAGTAGAGGATCTGATAAATAGTTGACATTTGAGCGACATCTCTTGCGATCACTTCTGTACAGCTGCAGCAACAAGTTGAAGTTGGGTGTATTTCGAAACCGTACGCCGTAAATAGCGGTGTGAATCTGCGCTGCCCTTTAAGCATTCCAGGTTCAACGAGCATCCTCGCCAGCATGGTAGGGCCCTGGGTTCTTTTGAAAAACTGTAGGTCAATTTATCAGGATTTCGTCCTTGGTGGCTTTAATTGTCCAGAACCTAGCTGCCGGTTTAGGCCTAATAACCAGGTCAATATCCCCAAGACCTCACAATCTGCTCTCGGTGACGTTTCGCAAACAGGGATTGAAAAAGGAGATGACCATCGTCAGCTCTACTTTTTGCCCACGGTGCATGCAATCTTCTGGCAGCAGCTGGGCAGGCGAGGAAGGAAACATGTGAACAGCACAGGACGGGGCAAGGTTTCAAGACGTCATGAGAAGTCAGGGATTGGAGAAATATTTGGGACAACGTTTTTATTTGTGACGGCAAAGAAGGACGATGCACAGCTGATATATGACGGAACACGCACACACACCCGAACCCCAGCCTTTTCACCGTCACGCCCCCCAGACACCACCCGGGACCAAAAAGACAGCAGGCATTTTGACAGGTTAATGTCAAAATACTTACTCCTCCTTGCCCTTGGTACCACGGAGGAGACCAGTCCTGCGGGCAGCAATAAGACCGACCTTCTGACCAGAGACGGCGTAGCGGGAGATGGTAGAAGCCTTACCTGTAGGAAGCGAGTCAGTAAATATGATAGAGGCATGAGATAGCAATAAAACGTACCAATGTGCTGGTGGTTACCACCTCCGTGAGGGTGATCAACGGGGTTCATGGCAACACCACGAGTACGGGGCCAGCTGTTACGCTTGACCTTGTACTTGTGGAAGGCACGACCAGCCTTCAAGAGGGGCTTGTCGATACGTCCACCACCGGCAACGATACCGATCATACCACGGCACTCAGAAGAGACGATCTTCTTGGCACCGGAAGGAAGCTTAAGACGGGTCTTGCCGTCCTCACCGTGACCAACAACGATAACGTAATTACCGGAGGTACGGCCGAGAGCTCCACGGTCACCAGCCTTCTCCTCGACGTTGGAGATGATGGTACCCTCAGGCATGGCGGAGAGGGGAAGGATGTTACCGACGGTCAAAGCGGCCTTCTTACCGGTGTAGATGAACTGACCGGTGTGCATACCCTCGTTGGCGATGAAGGTCTCGGTGTGCTGCTTGTAGCGGTAAGGGTCACGGAAGACAACCTTGGCGAGGGGGGCACCTGTGGCAAGTTAGTAATCATTCCAAAGAACCTAATGCCCGATGGAGATGATTCTTCAGAGGACATGCCAAGGTTCCGTGTCCACCGATACTGACACCATGCATCGCGGGTCATCCAAGGTTAGGCAGACCAACGACGAATAACGGCAGTATATACAACACGATCCGTTACGGTTCGTGCGCACACCCCGTTCCTTGTTCCACAGCATTTTCTGAGGACGGTATCGGATCATATCCCTCACGATCACCGATAAAATCTTTCACAAAATAGAAACCATGTAATAAAGGCACCATAAGGGCCGGCTTTCAACATAAAATTGCACGCAAACGCATCCGCTTTTCGCCAGCCGGCATGCACGTCTTTGCGGCAGAACCAAGTTTTCAGAACGAAAACTGTCCCCGTCCGAATCATCTTCTCGGATAGAAGTCGACTAACCTCGTCCAGGGTCGTGGATGATCTCCCTGACGACACCACGAACGTAACCGTGACGCTCAGCGTAGTCGAGGGTACGGTGCTGGGCAGCACCCTTCCTCAAACGGGTGTGGGACTTGAAGATACCACCGGACTTCCTCTGAGCTCTGATAACGCGACCCATTTTGCTGCTGTGCTGGTTAGGTGGTGACGGACGAGTAAACCCGAATTTTACGGGAAGGTAGTTTTGCAGGGTGCGCGCACGTGAGTCCGGCGTAGGGCAAAGCAAACCCTAAGCCTGGGGAGCGCAGGAAAAGTAACGATTCAACGGAATTCAGTTCTATCATAATCATAACGAATGCTCGATTGTCTTCATCGTATCAAGTCAATGACCAACTCCAGTGGCCCACTCCACGACCTCCAAGCTCAGCGTAACCAGAATCAAAGTACTCGGCACCGTGAACCACGCATAACTGTAAAACAAAACCCGTGCCATCTCTCTTTCGTATACGCCGTTCATCTGACAGATCTGATGCAATGTGAGAGCCGTGGGCGATCCAATCAACAAAAACATAACGACAGTAAAGACGGGATCGTCAATGATTCCGTAGTCAAAGTACTTGGCGATGATGGTCATGATCGGACAGAGGAAGACCGGGATCACGAGCATCTTGCCGAAGATAGCGGCCCAAACAGTGCGGTTCTCTAAGGCGCGACGCTCAGGCGAGAGATTTGCAGGCGCCTTGATGTCCGAAGAGAGGTTCGCACCAAGAACGATCAAAATCAAAGGAACGGCCATTTGGGACATGGTCTTGATGGCAGAGGTAAAGGAGTTATTGACGAAGGTTCCGGGCTTGAAGAAGAAATCCTGCAAAGGTGGGATAGCGGCGACGAAACATGCGGTGAGCAATGCGGAGAGAGGAGGATTGAGGAAATCGAGAAGAGTGACTCCGATGCGCTTCCACAGCGGATTCTTCTCGACAGTGTGAGCGCTGCCATTGCCGTTGAGAGAAGGGAAAGAGGTAATGTGGTTGGAGCTTGGGTTGCGAGGGCTGGGGTTTGTACCCGTGTTGTGTCCGGAGTCGTGTCCGCCGACGTTCACTGGCTTTGGCCTCTTCATGACCTTCCTGGTCAAAGGAGTAGTCTCCTCGATTACGTCCTCGTCATCCTCCGGATCGCTTTCATCCAACAAATCATTCGCTTCACGTCCGATGTTCGCTCCAATGCTAGTTTCTTCATCGCCGTCAACGGGGGCAGGTGCAAGGAGGTACTTGGCACCATACGACCAACGGATCACGAGACCAAGCTGGGCGAAGATAAGCAAGTAAAGGATACCGCGCGATGCTACAGCATCCTGAGTGTCGTTTGGTAGCTGGTTCCACAGTAGACGTTCTTCGGTTCGTGCGAGGGATGTAACAAGGGCAATGGGAAGGGAATTGCTCTGATCAGATAGGTTAGCATATATGCCTCAAATACAATGGTCTTAATACATACGTTCTGGAAAACCGTACAAGCGACCACAAACAGACTTTCTCTGCCCCTCAAACCGAATATCCTTCCGCTCAAGTGTCCCACGAAGAAACTGATGCCACACAAGATCGCGAATCCCACAGGGAGAATCCACAACTTCTTCATCTCCTCCGCATTGACCGAACTCGCCAGCTTGACAAAGATAAGACAGGGCGTAAAGAGCGTCATATTCAGCGCTGCTAACTTCTTCTGCATGTCCTTGTCTATGAGCCCAGACTTTGCGAGCCACCATCCTGCGCCGGAAAGACAGACTACTTCAAGAACGGACTCGAAAGTCGGGATAAGTAACCCAAGTAGGGAGGTGCCGTGGACCATCCTTGGTGTAGAGGATGGGTTGTCGATGGGGTGTATGCTGGATCAGTCGCTTCCTTATGATCGTCTACGTCTTTTTTCTCGAAGTGTACGGAGGCGCAGCTTCTGTGCATGGATGTGCGGTGACGTTGCAAATCCACGTAAACCCAGCATACGGTAAGCATATGGTAAGCATTACACAAACAACAAAATAAAAAAGTCGTATTCAGAGTCAGAAAACAGTAAAACGCTTAGTTTTGTCTACATCAACTGGTTCATCAGCTCCGGGAACTTTTCCGGCTTCTCCCTCGGGAGAACCGGACTCGCCCATGGAGCCCCTGAATCCTCAACACATCTCCACTCCATCGGAATCGACTTCCAGACCGGCTCCAACCATTGCTCCTCTTCTCTCTACAGCTCCTGTCCTCTCTGCCAGTTCCTCTGACTTTCATGTCCAGGGTTCTGACGGCGAGCCCATTACCTCAGGGGTCGCTCCCTCCACCAGCCGTCTTGTCTCCGGTTCGTCAGAGGGCGAAACCTCCCTCCACGCAAGCCGACTTAATACAATTCTCAGCGGTACCAGACTCTAACCCGCTTATGCAACACTCTCCTGTCTCCTCTTCTACGCCCGCTCGCCCTCCTCCTTTTGGGGGGGGACCTCGGCTAGAACGAGAGGACACGCACGACAACCCATCTGACGACGAAGACCTGGGCGTCTCTCTCTTTACCAAGGATTGGAGCGCGATTGAACCGGCCGTTCTCGGATTGGTCCCAGTCGACACTCCACCATCCCTGCGTCAACTTATTACTCTCCTTGTTGGGCACTCGGCTAGTTCTGAGAAGCGTATCAAGGCACTCGAGGATCAAGTACAATCCCTTCGTACTTCCTCCAACTCCTCTCTTCTACGGGCTCAATTGCGAGACCTGGAAGGGTTCAAATCTCCCGTGGATGTCATTGAGAATTCCCTTGGCAAGGATTTCAGGACTCCCATGGAATCACCTATTCTCCCGCGGCTTACGATGGTTGAGAACGTCTGCAATACTATTCCTAAGTCGTCCACTTATACTGCGATGGGCCAGAAGATAGCGGATCTTGGCTCTGCTATGGAGAAGGTCAAGGAGTCCGTCTCTCCAGCCTCCATCTCCAAGCTTGTCGAAGATTCCGCTATCTCTGCTCTGTTGCCTTCAGGCCCACTCTCCTCGGCGGTAGAGAAGTTGGTTTCGGATGCTACCACTGGGTTGGTCTCTAGAACGGATTTGGGTGCTCTTTTCGATGAGAGAATCCTGCCGTTGAGGGACTCGATCCAAGCGGAAGCACTTCAGTCTAGTACCCAAAGGGGGATTCTAGACAACCTCGTGTAATCAGTCGACGCGCTCGCTAAAACGGTCGGGTCGATTGGGAAGAAGTCCTACTCCCAGGCCTTGGGGAAGGGAGAAAGCCGAGCTCCTGCTCCTGCCGCCCCCCCTCCCCAGGATCCTCGCCCTGTCCCCATTATCCCTCCTAGCGGGGGGACGAACATTCATACTCCTCAACAGCATCTTCCTCGCCCTCCGTCCCCTCCCGACTCAGAACCTGAGTCAGGTGACTTAGGGAAACGTCCCCTCACCGGCTTCCGCGCTACACCAGACTTGACTCCTGCGGAGATCCAAACACGTGAGAAATTGCGTGGTGAGGTTCTCTGTGGACGAAGCTCGGGTCGTGACCTGAGGCTGCGTGGAGGGTTGCGTATTGCGGAGTTTAAAGATGGACTTTTCTCGAAATGGGTGACCCCTGAACCCAATGGTTCTGCTACCGGTCCAGAGGCCGTCCCAACCAGCACCCCTCCTCCGATTGAGAGTTAGCGCCAGAAGTCCGCTATCACCATTGTTTCTTGGAACGTTGGGGGTAGTGTACCTGCTAAGCTCCGACAATCTAATGATTTTAATGATCTTCATGACCTTGCTATGTCTGATATCGATATCTTGCACTTGGGGGAGGACTGGACCTACCCCGAACTTGCTCATCTTATTGAAATCCCTGGATTTCGTCTCTTCCATTCGCCTAGAGTGGTGCGCCGTCACATGCGCAGTACTCATGGGCATGGGGGATCTGCTGTCTATGTCAGGAACTCGCTTGCCTCGGAAGTCAAGGTCCTTCGCCTCAATGGTGACTCTGACAGGGACTGGATCTGGTTGGCTGTTTGTGGAGTAAGTTGTTGCTTCGCTTACGCCCCTCCTCCCAACAGCGTTGCCATTGTGGATGAGGAAGACCCTCTCCTAACTATTTATGGGGAAGCTGCTGTGTATGCGCTTTCTGGACCCGTGGTGATTTTGGGTGACTTAAATGCGCGTACCGGCTCTCTCTCCACTGACCTCCCCTCTGTTCCTCGAGCGTCCATGGATCCCTCCGTGTCGTCCCGAGGCCGGCTCCTCTTGGACCTGTCAAAGGATGCTGACATGCTGGTTTTGAATGGATGTGATGGTTACGGGGACCCCGAGGGCCGCATCACCAATTTCCATTCTCGCGGCTCCTCGGTAGTCGACTATGTGGTGGTATCTGAGACCCTTGCGGTCCCAGGCTGCTCCATGGCGGTGCTGAACCCGCAGTTTGATTCATTCCATTGCCCTATACGCCTCACGTTATGGGGGGTGCCGGGCGCATCATTGATGCGGTCGCTTCGCTCTACTCGAACACTACTAGTGTCGTCAGTTCACGTTTTGGATACTCTCCGGCGTTTTACTTCGACCATGGCGTGGTCCAGGGAGACCCTCTCTCACCAACTCTATTCGCTATCTTCCTCGCTGATCTTTGGTTCCCGTCAGGTGCAGACTCTCCCTCCCTGATGGGCACTAAGGTCCCATGCCTTATGCTGGCTGATGACATTGCCTTATTTGCGCATTCTGAAGCCGGCTTGCAAGCTCTCTTGGACTCCCTGGTGGCATTCTGTTCCAGATGGAGGTTGCTCATCAATGGTGACAAGTCCAAGGTTCTTACCTTTCCAGGTCGACGGACTCGGTCGGCCCCTCTCCGCGTATTCACCTCCCGCGATGCTCCGCCCTTAGAGGTTGTTGAGGAATTTGAGTACGTCGGTGTTACAGTCTCGGCAACACGGGCGTGGTCCTCCAAGTCCCATTGCAGGAAAGCGATCGCGAAAGCCAGACATACCCTCTTCTCGCTGTACGCTATTCGTCATATGGTGGGTAGGGTCCCCCCTCGGACTTACGTGAGATTGTATAGAGCCCTGGTGGAGCCCTACCTCATATATGGAGTAGTTGTTACCTTCAACGGCCCATTCCATGCGGAGTATGATATGCTCCACAGGACCGCCATGCGCATCGCTACAGGAGTCTCCCCCAGGTCGATCACGGCTCCTCTGTTTTACGACCTTGCGGAACTCCCTTTCTTTGACCGCAGGACAGTCCTACTTGCGGGTTACTTCGATTATCTACGTGCTCTACCTCCCGGCCGCCTTGCCCACGAGGCTTTCCTTTCCTCCCAGCGCTTGGCTGAGCAGGGTCACAGGGGCTGGTATTCTGTCGCTCGGGATAGGTTCCAGCAACTGGGGATTGACCTTACACAGGGTGAGCAGATCGGTCCACTCTCTAAGACGCTTGCCAGGAAAGGGTGTATTCTACTTATACCGACGCTGTACAGCGTTTCAATCGCTTGTCTCATCTCCGCCCCCGCCTCCGCCCCCATCCCTCATCCGCCTCACCGGTAACATCCCTCAAACCTCACCCCTACACCTTCCTTCCCTTTGCCCGGGCGCGGGCCATGGCGAGGTTGCGGGTGGCGTCTCATAATCTGGCTATCCAGACGGGTCGTTACTCGGCGGTGCGTATTCTCCCGGAAGACCGTGCTTGTGAACCGTGCCAGCGGATCAGAGCGGAGTCTACCTCGGAAACAGAGATTCATGCGGTTTTGCTATGTCCTTCGATGGATCAGCAGAAGCTCATAGAATTTCTCTCTCAGTTAACAGAGGTGGGTCTGTCCTGGGCGGCTCTTGTTACCTCATTTCGACAGTCGCCTGTGTGGGATCACCACCCTGCAGAGGCACTGTTTGGTGCCCTTCTCGAGTCCCGCCAAGGTTGTCTCTGCCTTCTCTTCTCGAGTCCTCACTGTTTTCCGCGGTGCTGACTCTAGGATCGTGGGCAGGGTGGCCTGAGCCATATATGGTTTTTTTTCGCTTAGCTTCTTTTCGCCACTTTTGGCTTGTTGTTGTTTGTAGCCTCTTAGTTACATTGCCCTACATAGGTATCTGTAGCTAGTTCACTTGCGGAGCCTCTTTGGCGAACTGCGAATTTAGGGTCCTGATCCTGGCACACCCCATTCTCCTCGTAACACACCCCCGCGCGCGGATTCCGCGCCGCAGCTGCCAAATCGGAGAGACCAGAGCAGAGCACGACAAGATAATAGACCCTAACTCTATTAATGATATACACGGGCACTGGCATCTTGTCCTCGACAAAAACTACATTAACGGGCCTGCAACTCCTGACACCAACCGACAAGCTCGTGATCCTCAAGTCTTCAACGCTAGAGGACGCCTGAGGGGCTCTCAAAACCGCCGACCAGCCAGGCCACAAAGCTCAACTCAGCGAGATCCCAATGCTATTGAGATATTTCAGGCCCCAGCAAGGCTCTGTGGTTTATGCAGGCGCCCCAGCCATGATCGGAGGACATGTGAGCTTCGTGGAACCCAAACACCAAGCCAGACTCAGCATCCTATTGCTCCAGTGAATGGTGGGCCATCTCAACCTTGGTTTGTACCGTCCTATGATCCCCTCGAAGCTGCTCCGGTGCAATATCAGTTCTATGGCCCTCCCCCCGGGGCGCCCTGGAATTACTTTGGTGGGTATGGGCACTGAGGAGTCCGTGGGAGTGTCCTGGTTTTTTTTTGTACATACTGCTAATGTAAACAATATTATCTTGTCGTGTTCTGCTCTGATCTCTTTCATTTGGCAGCTGCGGCGCGGAATCCGCGCGCGGGGGTGTGTTACGAAGAAAATGGGGTGTGCCAGGATCAGGACCCCGAATTTATGCTTTACAAACAAACAAACACCCTGGTAAGCTTGGACAGGCATTTGAATGAACGGCGATGAAAGGGACGGTTACGACGGGACTGTAAAATAGTAGCAAAGCCTTCCATTCCCCAAAGGCGGAGCACCTCTGTAAGCTTTTCTCATCTTAATTCTGTAGCAGGCAATCCAGGTTCATGTCGAGGGTGAGTAGGCTGCGCGCCACGAACGTCAGGCTCAGTCAGCGCCGCAGAACGCCAGACCCAGCATCATCCAGACAGCACCACCACCCGTCTTTTTGTCTCGAGCATACACTCCCAAGAGCCATGGCCGATCCTTCAGAAGACTTCGCAAAGCTCGACATTAACCGTCCTCCGAAGCCTGAAGCCGCGTCGACTCCGTCCTTGGTTACCCCTGGATCGGAACAACCCCCGAGTCCGTTGGTGAATCTCTCTACATCACAGACCCAGACTCCTCTTCGTCTACCGCTTCCGGAAGCGAGATCATCGCCAGAAGTTCCAACAATCCAGACGAGAAGTCCCAATCCGCTGTCCGCTACCCACTCTGCACGCCGTCCTTCGCAGATGCCCGGAGGCGGTGTGCAAGGTGTAGTCAACGGTGTACCCGTCAGAGCCGGTGTCGGAGGTGTAGCTCCGTCTCCACCGGGATCAATGCGCGGGTTACCGGCAAATATCCAGGAGCGAATGCTCGCTTTCCAACAATCTCGCTCAGCAAAAGCAAGCGCGGCAGGAACCCCTTCAACCCCTGCTAGTCCATCCGCACAACAAAGACTACCCCCTCAACAAAGGCCACAAGCACATAACTGGGTCAGTGAGGCTGGTGTTCCGGGGGCTGCACAGTTGAAGTTGCCAGGTGTCGGACCTGTTGCCGGTGGTGGGTTGAAAATGCCTCCAGGTGGATTAGCAGCTAGGAGAAAGGGCGGATTGAAGTTGGTCGATGCTATGGGACCAGCGGCTCCTAAGAAGGAGGAGACGGCGTTTTCGAATTTCTCAAAGTACGTCAATGCCGAGAACGGCTCACTGAACTTTGCTGGCAAGGCTGTTATTTCATCGGAAGGTGTCAATTTCTCGTCTGGTGAAAGTTTCAAGATCTCAATGAACGATCTTACTCTCCTTGAGGAGCTCGGCAAGGGAAACTATGGTACCGTTCATCGTGTGCTACATAAGCCCACCAACGTCACTATGGCCCTGAAAGAGGTTCGTCTCGAGCTTGACGAGGCCAAGTTCAGTCAGATCATCATGGAGTTGGATATCTTGCACAAAGCAATATCACCACAGATCGTCGAGTTCTACGGTGCTTTCTTTGTGGAGACTTGTGTTTACATCTGCATGGAGTACATGTCCGCTGGTTCGATCGACAAGCTCTATGGTGATGGTATCCCCGAAGATGTTCTTGGCAAGATTACCCTTGCGATGGTCAAGGGTCTCAAGACTTTGAAGGACGAACACAACATCATTCATCGTGATGTTAAGCCTACCAACGTTCTCGTCAACGAGAAGGGCATTGTCAAGCTTTGCGATTTCGGTGTGTCTGGTAACTTGGTGGCGAGTATTGCAAAGACGAATATCGGATGTCAGTCATACATGGCTCCAGAGCGAATCAAGGCGGAGAATGCGGGTCAGATTACCTACACCGTCCACTCAGATATCTGGAGTCTGGGTCTGTCGATGTTGGAGATGGCGAAGGGTGGATACCCCTACGATCCTTCGACGTACAACAATATCTTTGCTCAGTTGCAGGCGATTGTCGACGGCGAGCCGCCTGAGCTTCCTGAAGACTTCTCTGAAGACGCTAAGGATTTCGTTAGGCAGTGCCTCAACAAGTCGCCGCGGAACAGACCGAATTACGCTCAGCTTTTGCGACACCCTTGGTTGCATCGCTGGGAAACCGAAGAGGTTGACATGGCCGGTTGGGTCAAGAGAGCACTTGAAGCCCGTGAGAAGGCGAAGAAGGAGGGTGTGAAGGAGGAGAAGCCAAAGCCGGCGTTGCACAAGGTTGATCTTCTGTCGACCAGAGGATGATCGAAATGGTTTGACAAAGAACGGGAAACGTTGTATGATATACCTTTTTTGGATTACGCGCATAAATAATCAAGTCATTCGGGGCTTTACGGGAGATGGCAACAGCAAGCATTCTTTTGGACCGGAAAAGGAAAAGACGGGAAGAACGGAGGATGTGGATCATGCTGGGTGTGCTTTTTTCTTTTTACTTTTTCAGCTCTTCATCTGTACGGCATGTTATGGAGCCCTTGATGGGCACTCCTTGGTTTACCTCTCTTTCTTGGGTTTGGTGATTTATTACTTGCTGGCTGCGGTTGCCTTTTTGGATACATATACGTATACTCATTATAGGAGGGATTGCATTATTATTACCCTAACTAGATTCAACGCCCGCTATATGTCCCAAGCACCCTGTCCATGATTGTCCCGTTCGTGCTGTGCTATGCTCATTGCATTGCTCGGCTTCCTCAGTTCGAGGATCTCAAAGTATCAAATACCCTTCCTTGCTCCTTGTCCGATTTGAATTGTAGCAGGTAAACGCCCACACCATGCACTCTCACCGCGATACCGAACTTTCCCATTTTCTCACAATCTCTTTCATTCACGTACGTATCAACAAGCTGCTGCTCCTTCTTGCCCTTACCCACAGTCAGAACCACCCGCTTCGATGGACCCTTGCTTCGTCCGCTATGGCTATTCATGAAGCTCGAAATGGAGTTTGTGGATACGGATTGAGTCATTCCCACACCATGGCCAAGTACGGGTGCTGCCTGCTTCGCGGACGAGATGGTTAGCTTGGCGGAACCATTCCCGATCTGCCTCCAGTTGTTGGCTTCAATTCGAGCGAACAGCTTGACCTTGGCGTCCTTGACGAGCACCTCACCGGCCTCAGGCGAAGCTGCCTCCACTGGTATAGGAGCATCGTTGGAACCTGCCTGACTGATGCTGTCGTAAACTGCGTTGTACAAGGCATCAGCCTGTTCAACCGCCTCTACCTTGAAGCGGTAATACTCCCTTTGAGTTCGATCGAGAGCAAACCCGATGATGAGGTGCTGAGGCTTCTCCTCGTTGCGCTGCAATGTCGTCTCACTGTCCACAGCAAGGGCCACGAGCTCCTCCTCGCCAAGGACCAGATCGTCCGCGGCCTGTACTGCAGGGAAGTTGATCTGGAGCAAGCAGTATCTGTCCTCCGGAAAGGTGGTGAGAATGCACTTGGCACCCTCAACGAGGTCTTGCCAATTTTCATCCTCCCAAAGATAAACATCCGCTTGGATGGCGATTTTCATGGATTGGGCATTGTATCCACCGACAATAGGAGAGCTTGACTCATGGAACACAGTGTCAAGCAGCGTCGGTGTCAGCAAGGGTTCCCCAGTACGGACACCATTGCCTGAGGTTGGTGTTGGAGTAACAGACCGTTCCGGGAAATCCTCGACACCACTCAGAGAGGGCTCAATGGCCTCTTCTTGAGGTGCCAGTTGACTCGGAACCTCGTTGTGAGATACCGGAGGCGACGGTGGTCTCCTCAAAGGTGCCATAGTCGGAGGTGGTGCTCGCAGAGGAGACGCTTCCGGCCTTGGTGGAAACGTGAACTTCACAGGCGAACCTGCCATACCGCCCATATACCCTGCCACAACCTTCGAAGGACTTTCATCCACCAACGCATCTCCAAAATTGAAGTCCGGGAGCTTTGGCGGTTCCAGAGGCGTTCTCGTCAGGTTAGCCGGTAAGATCGGACTCGATTGTGTGGTACCGAAGCTCGAGACTGGTGATGCAGACCGGAATGTCGCTGGTGACGAGACATGTGGTGAGGGGAGGGTGAGATGTGGTGCTGGAAGCGGGATTGCAGGTGTCGTAGGTAATTGCGGGGTGGACGGGCCCAGATTCGATGATGCAGCATACGGTGTTGTAGGCGTCCATGCGCCGTTGGGGGTTCCGGGACGGGGTCTCTCAGCATGTGGTGGGGGTACTGGTAATAGATGTGGCGGCGGAGGCGGTGGCACGTCCTCAGTAGCGAGAGCGTCTTTCGCCCAGGAGGAACCGGACGGAGGTGGTGTGGGTAGAGGATCATTCAATGATTTGGGTTGCACAACCGGAGTGACCGGGTCCTCCTCTTGCGGCGGTTGAAAGTGTCCCATGCTTGACAACCCAAGTGATAGGCGATGATCAAAGTCCCAGGCAAACTTATTTGGCGTAGGCGTAACATCATCATCTGACTGTGGGTTGGGCGTACCGTTCGTACCAAGACTCTCCTGTCGACGATGCATAACCGTTCTGGCCCTCCGCAGGATAGAACCAGCCCGTGGACTTCGAGTCGGCGAGTTTCTGAAGGTTCCAAACTTCGATGATGCAAGTTGAGGCGTCTTCGTCTCCTCATATACATGTTGTGTCGCCAGTTCTTCCTCTCCTAGATACACTTCGCCATGTACAGGCGGTGCTGGCGGCGGCATCGAGGGCGAACGCACACCCTCATCTTCCTCAATAATCCCAAGATCCAGACCAAGACCAACCTTTGCAGCCCCCACACTCCTCAACTCATCATCTTCATCCTCCATATCCTCCGCAACATCACTCAACTCAGCATCCTCATCCCTCCTAACCGGCGGCATCGGGAACGGCGCCAACCACGAGTCTCTGATCACACCTTTCTCATCCTCAAGCTGCGCACTCTGTGCTGGCGGTAGTGGTGGTGATCGCATTGGCGGCGGGACCAGGCGGAAAGCGTTTGTGGATCTTGCTGATGCTGGAGGTTCCCCATAGGTGGGAGTAGAGGTTGGGAAGTTCACGAAGGCAGCGCGGATTTCTTGCTCTGTAGGAGGGTTCTCAAGAGGTGTAACAACGAGCTGGGGTGGTGCACCGGTTATCCGTGGAGGTTCTGCTGCGATATGTTGTGGTTGCTCCGGTTCCCGAGTGATTGCCGATGGCGTAACGAACGTCGAAGGTTGTGCTGGACCGGTTAATGTCGCAGACACGGGCTGAAACGATAATCAGAGACGAATTCCCAACTTCACAGACAGAACTCACCGTTCCAGTCTGAGACTCATCCTCCTCAATCGGCTTCCTCGGCTTAACCACAATCGGATCAGGCTTCTTCTTTCTCTGCAAACACCTCGTTAGCCCTCATTCGTACACGTTCTAGCCATCTACACACTTGAAAGGTCTTCACAAAGGCCTTCATGATACTCCTGATCCAACAGCAATAACCCGTAATACCAAGCTTTTGCGCTTTGACCTACCGGGAGGTACTTAGCAGAATTAAGCTTTGCGGTGGAAGACGCGCCGAAACGCGCTTGAAATGCAAGGGTTCGACCAGACGCCCGTGGGATGTCGCAGCAGCAGTCAGAGTTACCGAGCGAGGACTTTCAAGGATTTCGATAATGGCAGCTAGATGATGCTAAATGGCGTGATGGATCGTTTACTCCTCCTCTTGCATCTCCACCACCAGCGTCTCAATCTCTCCCTTCGCCAATGGCACACTCAATACCTCCAGTCCACCCTGATCTTTCCGACTCACCACCATGTTATGATCATAGAACTCCCTCAACTGCGTTCTGAAAGTCAACTCATTCGACACCAAGAACTCCGTAACACAGTTGTCATACAGTGTCCGATACGGTATGCCGTCCGTATCTGATTCAGAATCGGAAGCGAGTTGTGCGAGGAGAAGTTGGAGGTAGATTCCCCGTGCATTGGAAGTAAGGGAGGAAAGCACGTATTTGATACCGCGCAAGCCACCTGCTCGTGCACCAGATCCTGCAACACCAAGTACATTCGCATCGAAAGATGTCTCGACTTTTAGTGGCTCAAATGTCGTCGCATCATGCCAGATGAACCGTAACTTTTCGCTTTTAGCTGCATCCCAGAGTAAGGGAGCGTTGACGTGATCGATTGAGGCAATGAGGTGGATTCGGGGGTGTTCGGCGAGGAGTGAGATGGCTGTTTGGACTTTGTCAGGGCGGAGGGTTTCGCCGTCGATATTGTGGATGAGAAGCACCAGGTCGTCCAGGGGTGGATCCGGAGATGAGAGAAAGCTGACAATATTTGTTAGGATGTCGGCGGGTTGGTTGCCGAAATGCAGCTTGGCATCGGGTGCTGATGCCTCGAGGGCTCCTGCGATTGACTCGAGCATCCCGCGCAGTGTCAGAGATGGAGAGAAGCCGTTTACGACCAACACTGGCCGTTCGCTGCAGTGTTCTCGGACAAATTCCGTGAGCAGGTTCCTCTTACTGCCATATCCGTATAGCAGTAGGTTGAACCCAACACTCAGTTCGAATGCCCACTGCGCGAACAATTCTTTGTGGAGAGATAACAGATTTGCGCGTTCATCTGGGTGGTCGACAGGCAGTGATGCCAATGTCTTCAGGTAAGTCGCATGCTCCATCTGTGGCATTTGCGAGAGTGTGTTATTTGACGTCGTCGTTTTCGACTGCAGCGTGCTAAAGTAGCTTTCATAGCCACTACCATGAGGTGCTGACTTGATGTTGGTGTGCTCCACAATGGCGTCGTCATCCTCTTGTTCTTCCTGTTCCAGGTCGCTCTCCTCATCTTCGTCACTTGAAGACTCTCCCTCCAGTGTTTTCTGTATGACTCTCCTCGTTCTTCTTCTTGAATGTGAGCGGTCCGCGTTCACTACATCGATCCCCTGCACCTCTCCCTTTCTCCCTTTCTTCGTCGGTGTTTTTGGTGGGTCGTCGTCCTCTGGCTCTTCCTTTCGCGCCAGATCCAGCCGGCGCTGGAAGCTCGGCGTGCTCTTCTTCGATTGAAACCCGAACAAGGCCTTTTTTGGCGTGCCCATAGCCGGTCCATCCTCCTCGTCCGAGGGATCGCTCGCCAAGTCTGCCGCCGAGATGACATTCTTCAATGGCGACTTAGAAGGAGAGACGGCAACCGACCTCATCGACCTCGGCGTACCCAGCTCAGGCTTCTTAGGAGTCCCATTGGCCGACCTCTTCATCCCTTGTAAATCCTCGGTGTTTTCTGGGTCTCTGTGTTTGGGCGAACCTTGCAGTATATATCTGGGGCACTGCAAGGGGCCATCGCGGGGTGATCTCACCAGTCATCTCGACCTCGACGAAATCAAGAAAGGTAACGTAGACATTGAGCACTTGATCCGGTATCTGAGTACTAATTATTTGCATTAGAGATGACTCGACCACAATCTCTGGCAGCTAGGGTAGCTATGGCCGTCAGGAATAGCTCCGCAGCATCTCACGCCGACCCTCATAAGGCCGCGGCATCCTCGAAAGCACGATTCGTCCCCAGCACCGGCACATACCCCCAGGGCTTCAATGTCTCCGGTATTCACTGTGGTGTGAAGAAGGATGGTAAATCCCTCGATCTCGCTGTGGTGGCCTCCGATGTGCCATGTACTGCCGCTGCCGTCTTCACCAAGAACGTCTTTCAGGCTGCTCCCGTCCAGGTGTCAAAGGAGACTTTGGTCGGTACCCACGGGCGTGATATCCGTGCCATTGTCTGTAACTCTGGCTGCGCGAATGCTGTCACTGGTCAGGGAGGTTACGAGGACGCGCAGGCTATGTCCAAGGCTGTTGATGTGCTCCTCGGCGAGACTACCTCTACCCACCGTACCTTGGTCATGTCCACCGGTGTCATTGGACAGCGTCTCCCTATCGACAAGATCGTCACTAACATTCCTAAAGCCTACAAGCACAGGGGCTCTGATCACTCGCACTGGCTCGACTGCGCCAAGGCCTTCACCACTACCGACACCTTCCCCAAGCTCGGCTCCAAGACCTTCGGTGTTGCTGGAAAGACCTACCGCATTGCCGGCATCGCCAAGGGTGCTGGTATGATTCACCCCAACATGGCCACCCTTCTCGGTTTCATGGCTACCGACGCCCCTGTCTCCGCAACCGCTCTTCAGTCCATCCTCAAGCACGCTGTCGACCGCTCTTTCAACGCTATCTCCGTCGATGGTGACATGTCCACCAATGACACCGTTGCTATCCTAGCGAACGGCGCTGCAGGCGGTCCCGTCATCGAGCAGGATGGTGAGGGCTACGATGCTCTCCGTGATGTTGTTACCGAGTTTGCTGCTGACATGGCCAAGTTGGTCGTCCGTGACGGTGAGGGTGCTACGAAGTTCGTTACCATCAAGGTTAAGGACGCACTTACCTTCGAGGACGCAAAGACTGTTGCCTCTACCATTGCTACCTCTGCGCTCGTGAAGACCGCTCTCTTTGGACAGGATGCTAACTGGGGTCGCATTCTCTGTGCTACCGGCTACGCAGGCGTCCCCGTCATTCCTACCAAGACCTCCGTCTCCTTCATCCCTACTGATGGTTCTCCGGAGTTGAAGTTGTTGGTGAACGGCGAGCCCGAGAATGTTAACGAGGAGCGTGCCTCTGAGATCTTGGCTTTGGAGGACCTTGAGATTGAGGTCAGGCTGGGAACTGGAGGTGGTCATGAGGCGACTTACTATACTTGCGACTTCTCCTACGAGTACGTCAAGATCAACGGTGACTACCGTACCTAGGTTGTGAGGAAGGAGCAACACATATAGAATGAACGTATCAGAATGTTGATCATTGCAATACGTTCACAAAGGCCAACTGTCTCACGGAAAGCCCTATCACGAGGGTTATGTATTACGTCTTGTAAGTAAATAAGTTAATCGTACCCGTAAGTCATTTCAATACTCTATGCCGCCGAATGGATATCCACCAACAATGCTTCATCAACCTGACTTTTGCGGTAAGCCTCCTCGGCCATCTCACGCAAAGCCTCAAACTCTCCAGATTGTTCACACATACTCCTAAAAATACTTCCCTCGTCCTGGATCAGTACGTGCGGGTGATCATATTCTTTCAATTCACCATGATCCAGCACCATTACTTTGTCGTAATCGATGATTGACCTGAGACGATGTGCGATGGTCAAGATCGTTGAGCCACTGAATTCGGATCTGATTGTCGTCTGGATCTTCGCGTCGGTAGCGAAGTCGATGGATGCAGTGGCTTCATCCATGAGAATCAAGCGAGGTGCTTTCAAAAGTGAGCGGGCCACACACATCAATTGCCTCTGTCCCTGTGACAGATTGCCTCCACCCTCAGAGACGGCAGATGAGAGATCTTCAAACACGTTGGCGTTGATGCCATTACCGTCAGCCTCGGTAGAATCTCCAACCAGATGCACACGGCGCAGCGCTTCAGCGACTTGCTCGTCGGAGAAGTGGTTGAAGGGGTCGAGATTTGACCTAATTGTGCCCGCGAAAAGAGTGGGATCCTGAGGAATGATGGTGAGGGCATTTCTCAGGTCAGTGAGACCGATCGTGGAAATATCCACGCCATCAATGGTGATGCTTCCTTTAGTTGGCTCAAGGAAACGAAAGAAGGCACTTGCGATAGTTGATTTTCCAGCACCTGTACGCCCACAAATACCAACCTTCGAGGCTGGAGGCACATCAAACGAAACTCCCTTGATCACAGGAGGGAGTTCCGGGGCATACTTGAGTTCCAGGTCCTTAACCATGACAGTTCCCTTTTGGGGCCAGTCAGACGGTGGCCGGTGGTTCTCGACAATCTTCGAGGCTTCCTGCTCTACATGAAGGTATTCGCGAATACGTTCCACCGAGTTGAAGTTCATCTCGTTCACCGCATACAAACGAACAACCCAAAGCATGTGCTCAGTGAACGTGATGGCATAGGTCAACGACAATCCAGCCAAACCTGCATCAAGTCTGTCAAGGTTCAAAGCGATGAGCACACCTGCAAAGAAAGCCACCAATGCTCCTGCAGCGTCGACGCGGATACTCAACCATCGGTTCGTAACCCACAAGTAGAAGAATGGACGGTTGTTGCCATCGACCTTCTTGAGGTTATCCCGAATGAACCGCCTTTCTTCTCCGTACGCACGAATTGTGGAAATTCCTGCAAGAGTCTCCCCAAAGTGCTGGTAGATAGGTGATTTGGAGATGGACTCGAGACGCTTCAATTCTCTGGACGTCCTAAGGTAAAGCACGCCGATCACAACGTACAGGATTGTGATGAACACACCAGCAATCAAGAACCCAGGAGTGATGACCGTAATCAGGATGACGACCGTCGTCACACTCAAAACGTCATTGAAAAAGGCCATGGCCATGACAGCAAGCTCCTGGTCAACCGTTTCGATGTCTTTGCTAAAACGGTTCATGATTCGACCAAGAGGGGTAGAGTCAAAGAAGCGGACTTTAGCACTCATCACAGCATGCAACATGTCGTTGTACAAACGGCCAGATGCACACCAACTCCCATAGAACACAACAGCCATCCTCATGAATGTAGCGATCATATAAGCAAATGCAAGGGCAGCGTAGACACCCAAATAGTAATTCAGGTCGATGCTCTGGGTCAAAGCTTCCACCAGCGGCGTCTCCTGATGGAAGTACGCGCCGACCGTACTGAACGAGATCTGTGTCTCGGCCCGAGCAACATGCCTGCTTGCACCGACCGGTTTAGAGGCGTAAGTGGTCTTGACTGCGGATGAGTCCGCCGTGTCATAACTTGCAGCCCACTTTCTGATCCAATAGCTCTGACTGACATTAACGAGCTGGCACAAGAGGAAGCACAGGAGGAGCAGCATCCAGTAACCCCAGCCTCCCATCGCCTTAGCGTACACGAAGTACACCTCCCGACTAACAGAGCCTTCAGTTTTTGTCTCCTCCTGAGTCAGCATTACTGGCGCTTTATGTTTGTCCTCGTCCTTCTTAGCCTCCATTGCGTCATGTCTAGCACCTTCTTGCTCCTCGATGACCTCGTTGATCTCCATGACCGAAGGCGCACGCGAAGGCAGTCTTGAAGTAGCACGCGATGGGTCGCGAGAGACGGATGCCTTCAACAACTCTTCATCGTCCGCAAGGACGCCCAAGTCGACCATCTGTTCCGGGGTTCCCTGAGCCTTCACCACTCCATTATCCATGACGACCACGTGTGACGCCCCAGGCAAACAGAGGGAGACATTATGGGTAACCAGGATTTGCGTACGGTTATCCATCAACTTTCCAAGAATGCAGTTCGCGTAAATCCACTGAGCCGTGTGGGAATCAACAGCGCTGAGACAGTCATCTAGCAAGATGTAGCGAGAGTTCGAGTACAAAGCCCTCGCAAGAGAAATACGTTGCTTCTGACCACCAGACAATGCAATACCCTTGTCACCAACTTCAGTCTGATCACCAGCATTCAAGATTTCCAAATCGCGAGTCAAGGCACAAGCACGGATAACTGCGCTGTACCTCTTCTTGTTGTATGGACTTGCGAAGAGGATGTTGTTACGAATCGTGTCATTGAGGAGCCATGCTTGCTGAGCGCAGTAGGCAACGGACTCAGTAAGTCCAGTTTGTGGGTCAATAACCATTTGTTCACGTGGTCGGCCACCACCTGGGAGGTAGACCTCACCGTCGATGGGTGTCATCTCACCTAGCAAGGCCATAAGAAGGGAACTTTTGCCACTTCCGGTAGGTCCAACGATCAAACTGAGTGCGCCCGAAGGAAAGCGAACGTTCAAATCTCGAAGTTGGAATGCAGATTTGCCAGCGACCAGAGTACCTTCTCGTTCAAGTTCCGCCTTGCTTGCCCATGTAAAGTTAGCATTCTTAAACCCAACAAATGGGCCCTGTTCGTCGTGCAGCTGTTGGCTCAGCTGCTCGTACTTCAGGGTCTCCTCCTCATCAAGAAACTTCTCCACACGATTCAACGAGACCTTGGACTGAAGAACATTGGTGAGCATATCAGCCAACTGATCGAGAGGAATGCGCAACACATTGAATAGGGACAGAGATGTAAAAGCCACCGGTGCAGTAAGCTCTTGATGAGCAATCTTTGTGTACACAAAGAAGGTTACCAAAGTGATGATAATCGGCGACGCGTAGAATACAAGTCCGGCGAAGCACCAGAACGTGAAACGTCTAGCAAGCTGCTTCAACTCAGCTCTTCTGGTCTCGTCCACAAGAGCGAAGAAGCGCTCCTCCCAAGCAAAGTACTTGATGATACGAATACTGGACATGATCTCGTTCATTGTGTTGATTCTCTTGTCCGTGACAGCCATGAGCTCTCCTTGAATCTTGCTGAAGGTGCGTGAGATGTAGTAGTTCAGCGGCATAAGCAAGAACATGCTGGCAACACCTGCAATGGCAGACCAACCGAGCACACGGTAGAGAAGGAAGATGGCGACGATGATCTGGATAGGAACACCAGCCGTCAGGTAATGCAAGTACGCGCAGATTTCAGCCACTTTGAATGCGTCAACAGCCATCAAGTTGATGATAGCACCGTGATTTGCCGGGTCAGCGGTCTCCTCCTTCTTGTCCTTATCATCCTTGCTTTTGTCTATGTCTTCGAGATCTTTAGCCTCGGCCGCAGCCGCGGCTGCTACATCTCTCCTCCTCAATGCCTTGCTGTAAACCTCTCCGATGATGATGGCACGGAGTCGAATACAGATTCTGCGACCAATGTACAAAGCTTGACCGTTACCAATACTGCAAGCGACTGTTCCCACGAACAACCCGATGATGTACAGCCACAGCAACTCACGAGACGTTCCTTCAGGTTTGTCTACCAGCTCGAGAATCTGCTTCAAGCAGAGCACAGGAGCGAAGGTAAGGAGCGAGTAGCCAAGGGCCCAGAACGTCTGTGCCCACAGATACCTGTCAAAAAACCTAATCAAAGTCCAAGCAAGGGAAGATGCTCTCTTGGTCTTGCGGAATGCATTCACAACCTGGTAAGCATGGTCATCCCTGCGGAGATCCCAAACGTCACTCATCTGTAGCGATTTGCGGAAGCCCTTGTAGATGATTGCATTGACCCAACTGAAGGTGAAGGTCGAGAAGACAGAGGCGAGAGGCTCGGTACTAGGCTCGAGGTCGCCTCCACTGTAGGACTTGACCGGCTCATTTCCGATGCGCTGCGTCAAAGCGATCACACAAAGTCCAGTGACCATAGCAAACTGATGCAAAATAAGGACGAACTTCGTTTCAGAGATCGTATGAATGACAGCCGACCTTGCTTCGAAGAACACGATAGGCAAGTGCAGGAGGTAGATCAAGAGGGTGTGGTACCACAAGCTTGGGCTCTGCTTTCTCGACCATTTAGGTGCGAATAGTCGTGTAAGGACCACCACAGCCACATATGACCATGCAATCAACCCTCCAATTGGCTTCCACCCATTCTTCTTCCACTTTCCTTCTGTGCGTAAAATGAGCTCAGCAAGGTGCACTCCCATTAATCCCAATGCCAACAACAGCTCCAGAACCACAGTGACCTGTCTTCCCCATGGCTTATCCTCTGAAGCCTCTATTTGTTCGTCTGTTTCTGGTGCAACTTCGTCAAACTCATCTTCGGATTCGGATGCGTAATCTTCTTCGTCTTCGGCGGTCGACAGTAGAGGGTGGTATCGGTGCGCCGAGAGTGATTGCCATGCTGTTCGCACAGCCCTGAGAATTAGGAGCAGTAGAGAGCATGTAATGAGCAAGAGAGGTATGAACACGTCGCCGTAGCTATGGTGGACATGGTTAGCAGACCGACGCCAAGGCATGAAGAAAGAATGCGACGTACTCCCGTCGAAAACACTTGGTAAAATCATCGCCAGACCATATACCGTCCTTGCAATGCATGAAATTTCCCATGCTCGATGGTCTTGGACGGATCGGAGAGCAGCTGGCCCTTCAGGTTGTCGTCGGGTATACTTTTGGACAAGCTGCCCGCTGCGCATAGCGAGATGACATCGAGTCGCGTATACTGCACAGACATGCACAGTAACGTCAAGAGACCGTTTTTACGAAGGTACACGCAAGCATTTACTGCGAAATATATGTGGATTATTCAGGTATACTACATCTTCCTTCTTACACGCGCTCAGCAACCTTGGGCTCCCAAGCCTCGTACTTGCGCTTCACTGTTGCGTATGGCTTGTACCTTCCCGTCGACATCGAAACGTTCGGCAAAAAGTCTTTCTCCCACTTACGGACACCGGTCTGCATCATCTTGTCCTGTGTTGGTGGTACGTCGACGATGCGGGACATCCAGGCGTGCCATCCGGGCTCAATCTGGGCGGCGTCGAAGTTTGGCGAAGCGTAATCCACCCAGCGGTCACGCACTGTAATCACATAGATATTAGAGCTCATTCTCAAGGTGCAAGAAAGCTGTACACGTACAAGGAAGCTCCTCGATGTTCTCGAAGTACTTGTTGCCGAATCTATATGCTGCGTCAACTCTATCCCATCATTCAGCGCACGGGCGCACGCAAAGGCTCACCTGTCAATCCCCACCAAAGTACCAGCCTTGGTGTCACCGATATAGTTCAGCTGATGCCAGAAGTCCTGCACAACGAAACATCAGCACGCCGTCGCCTCGTCTTGATCCGCGGATGCCCACCTTCAATCCGATCTTCCTGAGGTTTGATAGAGTACGGGTGATGCTAGACACTGCAGAGAACGGTCAGTGCATGCTCCTTCCGAACGTATCGCCTTGGTCCCGCTCACTTTTGTCTTTTGGTTATGTTCAGTGCATTCACGACCGTTGACTGGTCGACACGCACATCTGCGGCTTCCTGCAATCCATGCACGTGAAGCGTCCCCCACCCCATGAGCGCCAAATCAACAGGGCCGAGTCTGTATTGTGGAATGGCACGGAAACCCCAAGTAGGATAAGAGCAAGTCCTTTGACAGAAGATGTTTCTAATTTTATACTACCTTCACATCTTTGTCCAAATCAAAGAATGTGACTTCAGTATGTGTGCATGGAAGCTTTCGCATGTCACACCTTTCACCTCGGGCCCGGACTGTCATGCCATACCGGAGATGACCAACCCTGCAATTGCAAGGCATAACTCCTTCGTTGTGCCTCAGTGGGCTCCTGGATGGGCGTTGGAAGAAGCGAATAGCCACTTGCCGCATCAGCAGTCAACTGAACGCCTGCGTTTCCTGAGGACGGCAGAGCAGGGCTGGCAAGAGGATGCCCCACTTGACTAGGTGCATTCCATATATCACGTCCTTCCGGTTGTTGAGGTTGACTGAAAGGCGCAGCCAAAGCAGAACTTCCTCTTCCGAAACTCAACACTCGCGCTAGAAGATCAGCTGCAGTCACAGCCTCGGCCGCTTCCTTCTCTTGCTGAGTCGGTGAATGTTGCGTACGCGCCGTCACGGGCCTATTATGTCTACCACCAAAAACGATCTCCTCCTTCTCGTCAGGCGGAGGTGGTGTTTGCCCACCGCGTGATCCGACGATATTGTCAACCATAGCACCGACACTGAACGCCATTGATGATTCTGATGCCACGGAGGGGGCCCCTTGTCGGGCTTTGGGAACGGTAGGTTGGCCAGGTGGGGGCATGAGTTCTCCTGTTACGTCGTGGATGTCACTGTTGTTGATACTCGGCGTGTTTCCGTAGAACGAAGGTGTTTGAAAGTTAGGCGGCGGAGGTGTATGGTCGCCTGTAGGCGTGCTCGTGTACGGAACTCCTCCAAGGTCATTGGACGGTCGTGCTGCCGGTTGCGATGAGTCGTACTGCTGCGAGGAGGAAATTTCCTTGGCGTCCTTTAAGATATCCATGATACGGAACAGCATCTCCTCGTTCGGGTGCACGCTCCCAAAACGCTCATCGTCGTTCAAGTCCACGATGACCTTACCTTTCTGAGGTTGACTCGACGTTGCACCCAAGGGCGCAAAACCAGCAAACATGACATCCTCTCTCAATGGGATGTCGAGAACCGGCACCCGATCAGGTGGAAACCTCTTTGCAAGCAGGTTCACGCACCGGTCATACGTCTCCCAAAATCTGTCAATAGAGGCCTGTGCGTTTCGATCCGCTGAATATCGCACAAAGCTTCCATGGTTTGCGAGGAGCCACCTAGACGTCAAACGCACAGCTGGCAAAGACCGGCGCATGATTGCAGTGATGCGCTCAGCGAAGTCTGCGCCTGCGCCAATGTGACTGGGCTGTGCAGCAGCGGAATCTGCAACGATCTCAGCTATCAAAACGCTGAACAGGGTGCTGCCACAATCAAGGGCTATGCGCAGGAAGTTGAGTTCTCGGAGGTGAGAAAGAACGGGATCACTGCGGGCTGGGCCTGCTTGCGCGACGTAGAGGGCGGCAATGTTAATGGTAATCATTTTTGTGAGGAGTGGGCGTGCAAGGGATCTGTTGCGCAGGCTCTTTTCAAGCTTGTGTGTGAGCGGCTGGCAATCTGCTTGAAAGTTTGAAACACTAGAAAGCATGTCAGATAACAAGGAATGACACAGAAGCTCCATACTTACTTTGTTCCCAAGTAGCAGGCCGCGTGTAGCCCAAGGAACAGCCGTAACAGATCTTCGACCGGCAAATCCTCCTTCTTCAACCACTTTCCCACAGGCTCACCACCATCCGTCTTCTCCGTCCTCACAAACTTCTTCAACGCAAGCTCAAGGTTATCTTTCGCAACTGCAAAAGGCGAGCGGACAGCCAAAGCTCTGTAGAAGTAGTGCGCGACGGATACGACGTTCATGTCGTACGTGGCAAGGACAGCCATTTGATTGAGCGGCTGGCCATTCTCAGGACACAGTCGTTGCGCGAGGGAGTAGTAGCCGTTAGCGGGTGACCAGTCCTTGGCTTTAGTCGACTGAAGCTCGCGATAGCGCGACAAATCCCCGAGGATGATTAGGGTTCGCTGACAGGAAGCTCGAACGACCACCTTCACCTCAGGTCCGTAAGCGTTCGAGATGGGTGGATTATCCATTGACAACCCAAACTTGGTGACGATGGAACTGAGTTCATCGAGACCGAAGTGGCTGACGAGACGTTGAAAGAATGATCTGTAAAATTTCGTCGCATTCTTGATGTAATTCAGGTAATGCTGGGTCAACTTTCGCAATTCCACAGGGCGATTCTTTCCGTAAGCAGGTTGCATCTAAAGATGGGATGTTAAGCCGTTTTCTCCAAAAGAAATTGAGACGTTACCTTGCTGATCCTCTTGCGATAATCCTCGATAACACGATGATGAACCTTCAACCATAGCTTGTCTTCGACATCCTGCTCTTGAGCAAAGTTGAAGTCGAGGAACACGACGTTCTCGTATGCACTGCGAAGCTTCTGCAGTAGAAACGTAGCATCCGGGGAGAACGGCGCATGCTCCCTCAATACTGATCGCAGTTCGCGCTCGATTTCCAGGGCTTCTCTGTAGAACACGGTCAGCATTTATCCAGCACAGTACCACCTTGGCATCGCACTTGAACGCAGCCTTTGCCTGGTCATGATCGAAACCGGCGGACATAGCATACACCCTGAGCTGCTTCAGGCCTTGGTCGACTTGACTCGGCGTTGCGGTGTGGGCGCGCGCGGTTACCTGCAACCCCTGCAATTGACAAAACCTTAATTCTAATTATGACCCTTTCTTAACTTCCCTCGGAGCATTTATCGCCATGGACTATTCCCAGCTCCTGCAATCGCTCGAGTCGGTCTGTGGTGATGGTCTGCAAACTGCGAGAACCCGTACCCGTGCCGAGGAGGTGATTCAGTCCTTTAAGGGCATGCAGCATTTACTGCCGGCGTGTCGGTTTGTTTTGGAGCATACACACAGTCCTCAGCTTCAGTTTCATTCTGCGGCTGCTGTTAGGGAGGCGGTTGCGCGGGAGTTCAGCGTATACCGTGTTGAGGATATCCAAGGGTTTGAGGGCTGGTTGTTGGAGTATTGCTCGAGCCGCATTCAAGTGCCTCGATACGTCAGGGATGCTCTTATGTCCGCTGTGGCTACCATTGCGAAAAGGTTGATGCTCGAAACAGGGGAGCAGGAGGCATGGCTTCTTCTGGAGAAGCTGTGGCAGCTCCGGCAAGGCAACAAGGACCAGCAAGTTCTGTGTCTCAGCCTGGCAACGGCTCTGCTGGATGAATTCGGAACATCGAGTAAAAGCTCACCGCTCCGACTATCATTGGAGATGCACCACCAGGCAAAGAAGATTTTCATGGATGTATGCTTGATTTACGTCTGGCAAATGGTGCTCGAGACACTTCATTCCCGTATCGCCATCAACGCCGCTGCTGATGAACTAACCGAGGGCGAAGACGTCCTGCTGAACAATGCGATTACGGTGTCTGACCGAATCATCTCTTGGGACTTTCAGCATGATGAAGCCAACCCCGCTTTCGCGGGTTCAGTTCAGAAGGACGCTGATGCGGATGACCAAGATACGGATGAACTACCCCTACTCTTACCCGCTAGCTGGCAAGAAGCCGTCAACAACGACGTCATCGGCCTTCTCTTCATGGTATACCAGCGTCTTCAGGGAACCGCATCTCTTGCCTCCAATCACTGCCGTCACGTCCTCATCCGACTTGCAAATGTCACGGGACCGGTGTTTACGACTAAGGATGCGGTAGAGAATTGGTGTCGGGCATTCTTGTCTCAGATCACTCCGTACTTGAAGGCTATGGTTACAGCGGGGAATGCTGTCACCGAGATCGGACCCCATTCCCTCGGACTCGCAAAAATGGCACGGGCTATCTTGGTTCCGGGCGTTCATACTGACGCAATCCTGAACGGTGATGCGATATTATGGGAGTTCTTGGGTGCTGCAGCGGAAGCAATGATATGGCTATGCAGAGAGGCCTCACGAAACGGCGGAGACCATGAGGAGTCGTCTTGGTTATGGGAGGCATTCAACGGATTCGCGGGCGTTTGGGCGGAAATTCTGAAGAAAGTGAAGAGTCATGAGAACAATCAAGCCGTTCAGCATCTTAGGAGTGTGTGTGAGAGGGTGTCGGAGGCGTATGTTCAGTGTCGGTTGGAAAGTGCGGCGTGGAGTGTGGAGCATGAGAATGACGAGGAGCTTGATATTGATCAGGATGAGAAGGACTGGGAACAGAATGAGGAGCAGCTTACGGTTGTTGCTACATTGGCGAGGGAGTCTCCGAAGACGATGGTGACTATGCTGCAGTTGTTGACGGAACGGGTGAATGCGTACAAGATGGCTCAGGCTCAGCAGCAGTTTGGGACACATGTCTATGTTCTACACGAACACATGCATTGGTTACTTCTCGTCTCGGGTTTCGTCCTTGCTGAAGACCCTCACGGAGATCCTGAGAAACGCGTTACCTACGTCCTCCCTCACATCCCAGATATCTCGCAGATCGTACTGACGTACACCCAAATGATCGGTACAGAACAGGAAGAACTTTGGAGTCCGCAGGTTGTGGAGACGCTCTGGTGGTGGCTGGAGAGATGGACGCTATCATATCTCTATGCCGACTCCTACCCGGCGTTCAGTGGCGATGCCGGACGTGAAATTGCGTCCTTTATCATTGATCGGATGAAGGCGCATATGGAGGGATGGGCGAGCGAGGCGAGTGTTATTTTGCAGATCGCGAAGACGTTGAAGACGTTTGCTGGGCATCAGAAGTTGCGGGATGGGATGTTGCTGACCCAGACCTTCCATACGCTGGTGGAGTACCTCGTTAAGAATATTGAGAAACTTCCGGAAGCTGCGCATGGGGTTGTTGTCGAGACCGTTACAATCTTTGCGGCTGGTGCGACTCAAGCGGATGTCAGGGCTCATTATATGAGTTTGGTCATGAACAGTGTGGAGAAGGACTTCGTTTCGTTGGTTCAGCGACCTGACTTTAGCAAGATTGCACAGCAAAATGTGGTCTTCTCGAAACTTATTGACACGATGGACATGTTTCAGGGTCTCTGCCGTGGAGTTCAGCCGCAAACTGTCAACGAGATCTTTGACCTGGTCGCAAAGTACTCTCCTCATATGTTGGAGTTGCTCAAGACCTATGGAAGTGTTCCCGAAATGGTCATGTCCATTTTAAAAGTCTACGTCACTCTTGTGCAGTCCACTGAGATTGCTCAACTGGCACCCGAAGTGCAGACCGTGCTCACGCAGCATTCATTGGAGTTGATGAAGGTATATGACAGCATCACAAAGAGCCAGAAGGAGAGCCATGAGATTGCGGATGAGCCTTATGGTGACGTGATCTTGATCATGGAGTTTCTGTCAAATCTTGTGGCCTTGGATTTGCAACGCGCACGGGCCCAGTCTGTCTCTTTATCGCAGTCCCCTAATCATGAGGTCATCCTTTACGGTTGGCATATTCTTCTACCCAAGGTTACTGCGGACGCTCTCGAGATTCCGCAGGTTGCTATCAAGAACGCCAGTCTCATTCGCGACCTTGTGGAGTATTACCCGGATAAACTCACTGCTCTGCCGGACGAGGTGCTGGACACTATTCGTCGCGCTCTGTCGAGTAACTTGGGTAGCCCTGTGTATGAGGTCGTTGACTCCTTGTATCAAGGTATCTCTGCGTTCGCGTTGTTCGCCTATAGCCTCCAACGCAAGGGTGATATGGCGAGTTTGGCACGTCTTGCTGGACCTATCGATGGCCTCTTGGAGACTGCGCTGGGCAACCTCCTCTTCGGCCACGTGGTCAGTGATCTCGTCGGGCAAGCAGCCGCCGCACTCCTCCCGCTCATTTGCTGCAGTGAGCAGAAGTACGAGACGTTGGTACGCGGCCTGCTCGATCAACATGCAGCAAACCCGGATACGCATCAGAGATTGGTTAACGCGTTCACAAAGTTGACGGCTGCTATTCCGCCTGAACTGCCGGAGGGTATCACGCTGGCTAGGAGCAAGGAGTTGGGCGAGTTCAATAAACATTTGTTTGTATTTTTGAACGAAACTAGGGGCATTTTGATGCAGCGATGAAATGGCGGATAGGAAACGCGTGGGAAATGTGATGCATTCATTGCCAGGCGAAGTCCGAGAGACGGGCCCGGATGGCATCCACAAGGATATCTGTAGCGCAACTTAGAAAGAAGAGCAGCAAGACGCATAGCATTCGATCAGCCCTATGGATACTGTCCGTATCGTTATACGCAAAGTAGAGGAATTCGTCTGTGTTACCTTACACACGGATGTAGGCGCGGCTGTGCCTGTCTCCGGATCGCAATGTAGGCTTTCGAATTCTAATGGCACCACTCCGGTCCGTGTTGACCTGTGAACGGGCTCGCATCCTTTGATGATACGCGATGTTCCGGATCCATTCAAGGTCCGCAACTACTAAACGTTATCAACCACAGCAGGAACTGCTAGCTGCGGCTGAAGCGCCTCGGAACCCAACCTGTAAATGATACGGTGCGCCGAATCCTCAATTGCGTGCGTAGCAGTTCCGGCCCACCGAAAACGCTCTTATCTCCACAGCTACCCAGTTATCGGTACCCAGTTCCTCAGGTGGTGTAACATCTCGGCTGTTAATTACAGCCGCCCTGCTTTATGATGCTGGCCTTTACCCAACGAATTGGTGCCGTAGGCCGTAGGGGTGGTGTGTGCGGGCCGCGCGGGATTGTCTACACTTACGAAACTACTCCTACAATTACCGGTCCCAACAATACCGTATAACGCTGCATGTGAAAAAAGCGACCTATATAACACTATCAACCTGCTAACCCAGTTATGAGTCTGGATACACAGAGCACGGATCGTTCGTCCTCTACCATGGGCGTGGCTACCTTGATCCTGCTACCCATCATGCTTCTTTCCGCCATCACACCTGCGTCGTTTGTTTACACTGCGCTTGTTGTTCTTCATTCACTGGGATGGTCGAGTATACCGAAGATATTTGGGATCAAGACGGGTTTGCAGAGGATTCTTCTGGGTTACGCGCTCGTTGAGGTTACCTTTTACCTGTGGTATCGCCGAAGGAAGAGATGGTTGCAGCGCGTAAGTATTCCCATGGAGTATCAAAGAGGGGAGTCGCTAATCGTTCTTTTTCTTAGCCTTCTAGCAATAGCCCCCTTACAACACCGGAAGATCGCGTCTTCCTCTTTCGCCGATGCCTGGCCGACCTCACCGCGGCAATGGAGCCGGGGAAGACGGAATACCCTCTACCCAGGGAGGCGCATGAAGCAGGATACTCCGCTGCAGATTTCTTCCGTGCATGGTTTTTGAACGCAAAGCTTAGCGATATCCACCGTGGTAATATCGAGGAGTGGATGCTCTGGGCACTGTTCAATATGGATTACGTCGATGTGGAGCAGCAGGATAAGGAAATGCAGCGCGCTATCTTTGTGGAGTTGCAGAATTATTGCAATGAAATCGAGGTGCTGCTCGGTGTGGAGCTACCTGATGGATATAATCCCCGGATCAAGAGTATGCGATTGAACAAAGATGTCGTTCATATGAAACACCGGCCGGCGCTATGGTATTTGGTATGGATTTCAAAGACTTACCTCCGAGCAGTTTACTAATGCGCTGTATAGATCGTCGCAGGTCTCGATGCGTACACACAGATCCTTTTGCGCTCCCTCGGCTTCATGCATTTTGTACCCCGGAAGGATATTGTTAACTGTGTCTTCCCACCATCCTTTTCGCACTTGCGTCGTTTTACAAGGGAATCTAACTCGGCACTTTCGTACTGGTATCGCCCTCCGTTGACAGCGAGGAGTACAGCGAAACCCATTATCCTTATTCATGGTATCGGTACTGGGCTTCAGCCGTATGATGTGTTGATCAAGATGCTGTCAAAACACGATGCGCCTATCTTTCTTGTCGAGTTGATGCATGTGTCGATGAGGATGGTCAACCGTATTCCTGGAAGGAGGGAGACTATTGAGGGCATCAAGAGGATGCTGCAGAAGGAGGGATACGAGGATGGTGTCGTGGTTGGGCACAGTTTGGGAACTGTTGTTTCGACGTGGTTGATTCATGACCCGGAGCCGCCTGTATCACATGTTATCCTTGTGGATCCAGTGGTATTCTTGTTGCATCTTCCGGATGTAGCATATAACTTCGTCTACCGTTTCCCGAAACGAGCGAATGAGTGGTTATTATGGTGGTTCGCAAGTCGGGAAGCCGGAATCAGTTACTCCCTCGGCAGAAACTTCTTCTGGTTCGAAAACATCTTATTCCGGGACGAGATCGGTTGCCGGACGAAGAAGGACATGGTTTTGGTCGGGCATGATGCAGAATGGGACAGATCACAAAGTCGACACGAAGGGAGGTGGGCCAAGAAGGCCTGTGTTGTCCTTGCGGGGAAGGATCAGATCGCACCGACGAAAGCGGTTTGGAAATATCTTAACCAAGGAGAGGAGCCGAATTACATTCAGCCTGGGCCTTATCAGCTGCCGCCTGGAACGACGATGGCGCACACGCCTAATGGTCTGGACGTGGTATATTGCCCAGGACTGGATCATGCCTCGTTTCTACTGCCTCAGAACAAGGGAGTCGTGAGGTTCATCGCGGACAGAGCAGGGAAATGGGCGACGTCTTCTGATCATGAATTACTGAATTGAAACGGCGGATATAAGAAGGGATGGATGCACATTATAGATGATAATAAATCTTTATTCGAGGTATAATAGGTTGTCAGTTACCGTAATCCATGTCAAGTGTGGCGCATGCATCTTCGCCCGTCTTCAGGCAATATTTTTAGGATAAAGGTCGACTTCGACTTCGACGTCGAATCCATCCATGGCCATCAATCGCACCGCGAACCTCGACGACGATCAGCACATCGCAATTGTCAGAAGGTAGGTCGTGAAAATTTCCGTGTCATATCGTGGGTCAGCGGACTAGCAAAGGATGACAAAGTCAACAAATCATGGAGGTCACACAGTGATACCATCTTCAACTAAAAGCTTTTTAACTCTGAACGTATATCCGTTGGCCGTTGTGCGAGTCGTGGCATGGAAGAAAGTGTTTTTGAGAGCGGGATGCTAACATGTCTGATACAGAGGTTCCTCGATTGCAAACACTCCAGATCATGGTGTTTCCCTGTGCGACTAGTTTAACAGCTTAATGGATCCGTTCGAGGATGGAAAAAGGCATGTATTATTACAAACTATAACGCTCGTTTTGTCCGCGCTTTTACTCCTCCATATCCGCTTTCCATCCAGTAAATGACTCAACGTTGCGTCCCGTCAGATAAGCCCCCAATGCCTCGCCAAGACTCGCAAAGAATAGCATAGGCGGTCCATTGTTCCAAAGCGACAACGTAATGAACAGAGCGGCAGCAATGAACCTTGCCGGTACACTGTTGACCATGTACTTCTCATCACCGGACCGAATCGCCAAGATGTAGGTAACAGCAAAGCAGAAAGTTAGGGCTCCTACGGTGGCTGCCAAGGCGTCCTCGGTATAACTCAACATGTAGTCATCCCGAAAAACGGTGTTCCTGGGGAAGCAGAACGCAAGAGCACTGTTGCAAAGGATGATTTCTGGCCTGAGGATGAGGATCACGCTCATGATCAAGGCAAACACGATTTGACATTGGATGTGTAGGTATAACCTGTTGCGTACTTCGGGAGAAAAGGCCATTTCTAGACTTTGACTTTGGAGTTCTTCCAGATCTGCCGCATCCCATGGTGCAATCTGTTTCTGCTCATCGGCCGCGGCCCGACATCTCATGACCGTTGGTGAGCATATAGACAGCTGATCTAGATCTACTGAAGACACGTCTCTATAATTGCAGAATGAACAAATAACTGTATTACGCCATATTGACGGCCAAGAAGTTGTTGTGGTAACAGCATGTCTATAATCAACATCGCAAAATCATCCACCATTTATTCATCGTCTTCCTCTTTAAACACACTTAAGCCTCCTCCTCAGCACCACGAACAACAATACGCTCCCTAACACCATTCTTCTCACTCTGGTGCCCAACAATGTCGTCAAAGTTTTCCTGATTCGAAGCGATAACCGCACGAATCTTCCTCTTCTCAAGCCACTTCTCCTCGGGAATGAACCACCAACACGCAAGCGCGAAGAGGGTAACGGCACCCATGATGACAGGGGCATAGTTCAACCCAGCTCCGTCGACGGGGAAGAAGAGAGGGGAGAACATGACGCCGGACAAGAAGGTGTTCCAGAGGAATGCGATGAGGTGGAAGGGACGGGAGAGGAATCCGAGGGACCAGCGGGACTTCATGAGTTGGTGAGGCGTCAGGAAGAAACGTCCGAAAGCGATGAGACCCCAGGATGCGACAGTGGGGACACCGGATGCCGAGATCAGACTGGAGAAAGCGGTGGGAGAGGGGAGGATGGTACAGAGGACGATGGCGGAGACACCCCAAATGACCCACAATGCGTTCTTGGGCTGACCGTTGGGAGCGACCTTGGAGATCCAACCGGAGAAGGGCAAGACACCGTCACGTGCGATGGCGTAGACGAGACGGGAGGCAGCGACGATGGAGACGGAGGTGTTGAGGACGGTGGTGAAGATGATGAGAACGATCATGACGACGGAACCGGCCTTACCGAGAGCGAGACTGTAGAGCATGACGAAAGGCTGGGGAGCGGTCAAGCTGGAGAAAGTGTCCAGATCGGGCATACAGAATAAGAAGAGAATAACGTAAGGAAATCCGATGGCGACGCAAGAAACGGCAGACCACCAGATACCACGAGCAGCAACCAAAGAAGCGTTCTTGGTCTCTTCGGCAATATGTCCAGAAGCATCGAATCCGATCATGATTCCTCCGGTCGCAAAGAAAGACAACATCCAGTTCCAGGCGGGGGGAGCACCAGTCCAGTTAATCGTCTCCAAGAAGGCAAACTCGGCGGACCTAAAGCCGTAGGTCTTGCTGACACCGATGGGGACCCAGATGATATTGAGCAAAAAGTCGAGCAGGATCATGAAGACGGAAAGGCGGAAAATGTACTTGTACACCCTCGCACCTAAGAAACAAGTCGCCATAGCGATCGCGAGGAAGAGCTGGGAGCAGATCCAGGCAAGGGCACGGAATTTGATGTCCGAGGGGTCAGTGGTGAAAGATCCGCCCCAAACATTAATCTGGGAGAGCATGTAGTACGTCGCTCCCTGAGAGTTGGAGGCGACGAATGTGGTCCATGCGGTGGTTGTCCACCAAGCGACCACGAAGGCGAAGAGACGTCCGAAACGGGGTCCGGCAGCTTCAGCGGCCCAGAAATAGATGGAACCGGCGGCTGGGAGGGAAGAACAGATCTCAGCCAAGACGGCAGCGGTAACCAAGACGAAAACGGAGGAGATAAGGTAGGTGATCCTTCAATGATATTAATGCCTGTGATTGTGAAGGGAGTATAACGACTTACCAGTAAGCCTGAGGCCCACCACCGTAGATACCGATGGAAAAGGTCGCGCGAAGACCGCCGAGAGTGTAGACAGCGGCAAACGACGCCGCCCAACTCTCTAGCAGCTTGTACGAACGCACCAGAGTTTGCTTGTATCCAAGACGACGCTGTATGATGTGTAAGTGCCTGTCAGAAGGGGGAACTGGTACGAATCGAAAAGAAGAGAAACAAACGAGCCGCAGGGAAAGCGAAACGAATGATATCCTTTATTTCATTCTGTAAAATGGCAACTTTATCCTTACGCGTGTACGAACACGATCAAGTTATGACGGTCTGATCTCAGCCCGGCGACATATTGCTGCTGGTGATACTGTTTGCTCATTGCCATTTAAGACGGGGAAACAGTATCACCGCGTGGATCGCCGGGCACCCGTTTGTGCCATGTGAAGGACGAACCTGAGGATTTTATAGAGAGTAGATTTATTAGATCATCATGATTGATCTCGTTCATGAAGCGAGCGCAAGGAATGGGGTGACCATCGTAGGAATGTCAAAAAGGGCGACAATCGTCCGAAAATTGCGACCGTACGTTGTAACTGATTCTCCGAAGAGGCAGTGTATCATACCAAGAGAAGCTCGTCATCGTCCACGATGCTGGAAGCCGAAGAGACGGGAGCTGTTGGATCGACTACCTGGTCGGACATTGTCGTTGGCGTTGTGTTTTTCCAGGGTCTTTTCTCGAAACGTAAAAAATCCCGAGGGCAAGGTGTTGCATAAAGATCGGCAGTTAAACCATAATAGCCGAGCCGACCGCAACAACTTTACGTTTACCCGAAATCACCGGATCTGAACAGAGAGGGATCAAAGGAGGATTGGTTTTCTCTTCACTCCTAAAATATAGCTCTGTATGACATGCCTTGATTTTGTCCAATTGACAGCTCCATGTTTCCGCGTCGCGGCTCGAGTCCCTAGCGTTAACGTTGCCCCGCCCATATCCCCCGCGATATCGGAACCCGCCGCCAACTCGCCCAATCACCCCGGGAATAAAAGTCACCACCATTCACCATCCTCCTCCTCCTCCAGGTCAACGACAATTACAATGGCTCTCACCGGTGAGGAAGTCGCTAAGCACAACAGCAAGGATGACTGCTGGGTCATCATCCACGGAAAGGCTTATGGTAAGTCATCATTCCACTGCTTCCCGCAAGTCCGAGATGATTTACTGACCACTTTGGGTAGACGTTACCAACTTTCTCCCCGACCACCCTGGAGGTCAGGCTATTATTCTGAAGTATGCCGGGAAGGATGCTACTGGTATGTGGGGTCTCAACGCATCTCTATTATCTTCTTACTGACATGACCGCGATCCACAGCTGCCTACGATCCGATCCACCCTCCCTCAATCATCGCCGAAAACTTGAAACCCGAAAACCACAAGGGCGAGGTCGATATGGGCTCCGTCGCCGTCGAGTCTATTGAGGAATCTCCCGAGGAGAAGGAGAGACAGGCTCGTATTGCCGACATGCCTGCCCTCGAGGAGTGCTTGAATTTGACCGACTTTGAATCTGTCGCAAAATCTGTGATGAAGACGACTGCGTGGGCATACTACAGTTCTGCCGCTGACGATGAGATTACCGTGCGTGAGAACCACGCTGCGTTCCACAGGATCTGGTTTAGGCCGCGTGTGTTGGTGGATGTCGAGCATGTTGATATCTCTACGACGATGCTCGGGGCGAAGGTCGATTGTCCGTTTTACGTCACTGCTACTGCTCTTGGCAAACTCGGAAACCCGGAGGGTGAAGTCGTCTTGACTCGTGCCGCTCACCAGCACAACGTCATCCAGATGATCCCCACCCTCGCTTCCTGCTCCATGGACGAGATCATGGATGCGGCTCAGGCGGATCAGGTTCAGTGGCTGCAGCTTTACGTCAACAAGGACCGTGAGGTTACCAAGCGTATCGTTCAGCATGCCGAGAAAAGGGGGTGTAAGGGATTATTCATTACGGTCGATGCGCCGCAGTTGGGTAGACGAGAAAAGGACATGCGTGTCAAGTATGGTGAGCAGGCTGCCAATGTTCAGGGCGACGAGGACGGTGTGGACAGAAGTCAGGGTGCTGCTCGTGCTATCTCGAGCTTCATTGACCCGAGCTTGTCGTGGAAGGACATCCCCTTTTTCAAATCGATTACCAAGATGCCTATCTTGTTGAAGGGTGTGCAGTGTGCCGAGGATGCTATCATGGCTGTCGAAGCTGGTGTCGATGGTGTGGTCTTGTCTAACCACGGTGGTCGCCAGCTCGAATACGCTCGTCCTGCCATCGAGGTCTTGGTCGAGGTCAGGCAAGCTCTCCTCGAGAGAAACTGGTTGGACAAGTTGGAGATCTACATCGACGGTGGCATCCGTCGTGCTACCGATATCATGAAAGCTCTTTGCCTTGGCGCCAAGGGTGTCGGTATCGGTCGCCCGTTTTTGTACGCCATGTCTGCGTACGGCGAGAAGGGTGTTAGCAGGGCAATGCAGTTGCTCAAGGATGAGATGGTGATGAACATGCGCTTGATCGGTGCGCAGAAGATTTCTGATTTGAACCCGGCTATGGTTGATACGAGGGCTTTGTCGTTCCATGGAAGCCACCCCACCGACAACTTGTCCCTCCAGGTGTACGACACGATGAGGTTGCCCGTGGCCAAGGCCAAGCTATGAGTATGCTGTAGTTGTGGTTTTTGTGTATGAGTATTCGAGGAGACATTCTTTATGGGACGCGCATTATAGTATTATTAGGTGTTACGGAGACAAATAGGAATATACCCCCATCTGCTGCAAATTTCTTCGTCCAGTCCAGTAAATCAATGAAACAAACGCCTTTACACCGGCAATGCAGAAGTTGCTCCTACAACCCAGTTCAACGTAGGAGCGATCGCGGGATGTCTAACAACGGGACCGATGACCGGCAGCGACCGCAAGAATGAGAGAATGACCTGACCTATCGTCAGCAATTAACGCTCCCGGCAACGAAGTGGTGACATACCGGAAAGAAACTTCCAAACAGGTTCAAGAAACCAAACAATTCAACAGCCACACCGGTAATTGGCCATTTGATTAAGACCATAAAGATTCCACCGAGGAAACATGCGGTACCACGAACTTTCTCCTTCCGTGCGAAGAACGCAATCGTCTTTTGCCATCCAATAACGAGCGTAATACCGGCGAGGAACAAGAGCTATACAACGGTCAGCGGGGTGTCATTGCAAACAGAGTGGGGTTCACACGTTGCCGATTGCCAAGAGTCCTCCGTCGAAGAACATCATGATTCCAAGGAAGAAGAAGCCCGCGCCAAAGGCAGTCATAGCGACACCGACTTTCTGACTGTCTGTTAACCACATTGCTGGAATCGATTGTTATCGCGTCTCGAGGTTGACTTTCGTTGTGCCGGCGATACCTACTGTATAGTACAGTACAAGTACACGTGCACTCAAATGCAAACGCGCCCAGCTTGAGTTAAACCTTAATTGCAACCGAGGAGAGACGACAATTGAAGCAGTAAGCAATGGATGACCGCGAGTATGGAATTGGGCATCGCGCGTTCTTGCAGGCCATGATGGCTCGTCGTGCTGTACCATTGCCGGAAGCAGTGGCGGTGCTCAAGGCCATTCAAACCCAAGCTCTTGGAGGTAAGTTTGCTTCTTGCAGAGCATATCACCGTAGCTTACGTGACAAAGCAGATCATCGACCTGGGGACGAACCATATGTCGGTGAAGGTACAGTGGATGACTTTATCGCCATCATCAACGATGGAATCTCCGACCTTGAACTCGAGATCCGCAAGACCGTCCACCAGAAAGACGGCGTACCAGTATGGGCCCTCGTCAACACAACATCGGATGAAATTGCAAAGGTTGCTACAAATCACAATGCGTCAGAAATTGCATTCTTTCGACTGCTGTTGAACGACATCTTCATCCACAAGAACACACCACAAGCTGAGGTTATGGCGGTCAGTTCAATCGACGCTCTGAGACACGGAAGACATGAAGATGTGAAGTTGACGCAGCAAATGACGGAAAGAGTGTTGGAGAAGTTTGTGGAGGAGGGATGGTTGGAGTGTTCTGATGAAGCTTACTACGCGCTTTCGCCGCGTACGCTCCTCGAACTGCAGACTTACCTACAAGAAGAATACAACGGCGACGAAGATGAGGATGGAAACGCTATCGTACGGATAAAGAGCTGTCGGGCCTGCAAGGATATAATCACGGATGGTCAGCGGTGCTCGAATATGCGGTGCGAGTGCCGTTTCCATGACTTCTGTGCAACAAGGTTCTTCACTGGTTCGAGGCAAACCAAGTGCCCAATCTGCAAGACTGAGTGGACTGGTGATGCCTATGTTGGTGAACGAGCTGCTGTACGCGGCCGAGGTGACAGAGGACGGAGGAGAAGCAGGCAACACAGAGAACTAGAGGAGGAATATGAGGAGGACGAGTAAGACATGCGGAAAACGAACGTTTTCCATAGCACATCGGACGGGAAGGCGTAAGGGCGTTTATATTGGCTTCTTAGGATCATTTTATTATCAATCATATCGCACCTTTGATGCACCTAATCATCAAGAAGCGTCTTGATCCCTTTTGTTTTCAGGTTGGCCTGCGCGTTCCCTGTCGCAGCCTCCTCTGTTGCATCATACTCCGAGTAGATGACTTCATCGACGATATCCCATGTCACATCCTCCGCTATCTGCTCATCAAATCGTTCGTGTACTGCTCGAACATTGGCTTTCTTGTCCTGAAGCAGTCCGTCTTCAGGTGATGCGTCGAAATTTGGCCCAAAATTGAACTTGATCATGCCTTTCCGGAACACGCTCACGGCCGGATAATATCCAAGCATGCCATCGTCTATTGATTCTTCCTTGTTATTTTGTGTTGAATTGGGCGGCATGAAGGAATAGAGGTCTTCGAAGGCTGTGCCCATGGGTTTACCGTTCTTGTACACCTTGATGAAGGATCCCGGTAATGTCGGGGGCTCGGCCGCCTTTTTCCCATTCAGCACGGGGTCCATAAGATTGTCCATTGCTTTTGAGACGGCATAGTCCGGCAGTTCAAATGCTAGCTGACCTTTCCATCGAATGGGATATCGATCATGTCGAAAAGGATGTGGTACTTTCTTGTCAGGGTATTGTGAGGCGAGTGTTGGGAGATGGACATGAATGCCAATGACATCGCCAGTGCCGAATGACTCGCTCATGAAAGGCCGTGGTCGGGATAAGTGAACCTTCTGGCCTTCCTGGTCACGGAGACCGTACGAGTACCCATCTGATCCGACTGGACCTTCCTGCGATGCCTCTCTTCGCGCCAAGCCTACTCGTACGTGCCCACCCTGATCTCCTCCACCACGAAGCACTTTGCATTCGAAATACCAACTGCCCTCGCGCAACATCACATTTGCTCGCGCCATTCGGAACCCTCTGTCCGTCGTTACCGTTAGTCCATCTTTGTCGAATAACACTGCCGGACTCATATCGTGCCAGTTGATTCGTGGGCCGTAAGGGGGTACTTCCGTGTAACTGTAAACGATGCTTGGCATCAGAGGTGCTGGAACACATGGCATATACCAGAAGCTTCGTCGGTTCCGTAGATAGTCGGCCGAGAAACGGAACAGTTGTGTGGCCTCGGCGCTCTCGTCGATAGGGGTCATTAGAGGCGGCCCCGGCAGTTCATTGTAGTCTGTTTCTTTAACAGGTGGAGGGCGATGTCGCGGCCGCAGTGGTGGATATGTTTCAGCATTCCTTTGACCCTTCTTGTCTGTTTTTCTCGAGTCCTTCTTCTCCCGCGCCTCTCTCGCTTTCTTTGATCTCGAGGTGCTGTCTGACGGGTTGGCACGCTTGACCATCTTCGTCTTGATCCCTGAGGCCGTCACGACCGCGTCCTGCCACACCGTTGAAGCTGGACCATTGCTGACTGGCTGCTCTTCCTGGTGAAGCGACGGCGAACGGCCCGGCAGTGTATGCTCCATGGATGAATGCTGGATGTATGCTGGCTGTCTGCTGCTTGCTTGGACGCGGACGACATGCCCCCCCTGAGCCGCGCATGCGCTCCCAATATTTTTGCGAAAGTCGAATCGATCGATAACCTCCAAAGGAAAGAAGCAATTCTTTGTACCAGCGAGAAAATGCCCAAGGCAGCAAAGGTGACCAGACCACGACACGACCCGCTCCACGTCGAGCTCCAGGAGGACAATGCAGAGGCCACCGGTGCCGTCTGGGCCGGCGCACGTCCTCAGCGCAAGAAGTTTGCGGAGCGCGAGGCGAGACCGGTGAAGGAGGAGGAATACGTCGACCCGAAACTGTCGCGAAAGATCTTGCAGCTTGCTCAGGAGCAGCAGGATGAGCTTGATACGGAAAATGGCGTTGTGAAGGCCGCCCCAGCACCTCGGAAAGATGCCCTGAACCAGCCGAGATTGGAGATGGTCGACGACGAGGAGGGTGAGGAAGACGACGAGGAGTACGAAGACTTCGGCGATGATGTTGTCGAAGAGATCGAGGTTGACGAGGGCGACGAAGAGCTTTTCAAGAAGTTTCTGCCGAGCGGGCTCGGTGAGAGACAAAGTTTGGCGGACATGATCATGCAGCGAATCAAGGAGAAGGAGGCAGGTATGCCATCAGCAGCGCCGGAAGAGGACCAACAATCATCTCTCCCGCCAAAGGTCGTCGAAGTATACACCAAGGTCGGTCAACTGTTACATCGATACAAGTCCGGAAAGCTCCCCAAGGCATTCAAGATCATCCCGGGACTGAGAAATTGGGAGGAGATTCTGTGGATCACACGACCGGACGAGTGGTCGCCCAACGCATGTTACGAGGCTACGAGGGTGTTTGTTTCCAACTTGAAGGCGATTCAGACTCAGAAGTTCATGTCGAACATCCTGCTGCAGCGTGTGCGTGACGACATTTACGAGAACAAGAAGCTCAACTACCACCTTTACATGTCGCTCAAGAAGGGTCTCTACAAGCCTGCCGCATGGTTCAAGGGCTTCTTGTTCCCTCTGTGTCAGAGTGGATCCTGTACCCTGAAGGAGGCTGCTATCGTTGCTTCCGTCCTCGTCAAGGTCTCCGTTCCCGCACTTCACTCCTCCGCCGCCTTGTTGCGTTTGGCCGAGATGGACTACACCGGCCCATCCTCTCTCTTCATCCGCGTCCTCCTCGACAAGAAGTATGCCTTGCCATACAAGGTCGTCGATGCGCTCGTTTTCCACTTCCTTCGCTTGCCCGGTCAGCACGAAGATCTTCCCGTCATCTTCTGGCAGAGTTTCTTGATCTTCGCACAGAGGTACAAGAACGATGTCACACCGGAGCAGAAGGATGCGTTGTTGGATATTATAAGGTCGAGGGGACACCCGCAAATTGGTCCGGAGATCAGGAGAGAGTTGCAGGGTAGTGTTAGCAGAGGCGAGATGCTCCCGGAGCCCGACATGGACATGATGATGTAAGAAGGAGCGCGGGAACGTAGTTGAACCAATTTTGCATGCGGCACTTTTTCCGTTGCCATCCACATCAAACCTTTAAGATCTACTCTGGTGAATATACCCATCATTGGGAACTTGATCGGCTATATTGACCGTGTGTGTGTACCGCATGCGGTTAGTTCGTCCACGTTACCAAATGAAATATAGAGTGTACGTTACAAATCCGTGCGCGCGACGAGCTGGTGATTTTGACAATGTTGGCATCAGATCTTCTCGTCCCGCCGTTTCTCACCTTGATTGTGGGTCTCGGTTTGATAGCTACCTATACTGCAGGGCTCAAGACCGGATGCTGGGTTCGTTATTGCGGGATCTATTGGAAGGGAACTGTTTGGGGCTGCGCAGGTCATCATGTTGACCTTTACCATGGCCAGTCATATCTTGACTTTCGACATCTGTTTCAACGTTATTACCGGGCACGCCACCTGCACGATTGTTTGGGGCATTGTTGGCATGGTTATCTCGATCGTCTTCACGCTTCCGAGGACACTGAAGGCCCTGTCATTTCTTGCCATCTTGTCCTTCCTGAGCATCTTGTCCGCGGTCCTTCTCACTATTATTGGCGTCGCTGTCGAGTCTTACCCGGCAGGCTATAACGGTACCGCCGTGGCTTGGATGGTGGGAGCAGAGAACGTTGAGTTTTATAGAGCATTCGCTGCTGTTACCAACATCGTCTTTGCATATGCTGGGCATCTCGCATTCTTCTCCTTCATCAGATGGAGAACCCACAAGACTACCCCAAAGCTCTTTGCTTGCTGCAGTTCACCGCTACGGCATTCTACACCATTGCCGGGGCCTTGATCTACAGGCTTGCTGGCCAGTACACACAAAGCCCTGCTTTGGGAAGCACGAATGAGATAATTCGCAAGGTTGGATATGGTCTTGCCATTGTCACCATTGTCATTGCTGGTGTGATTAATGGTCAAGTTGCAACAAAGTATGTCTTCCAGGGCCTCTTCTATGGCACCAAGTACTACACATCAAGGAGATGGTTTTCAACCGTGTTGTGGGTTGGTATTGTCGTTGCGTTGTGGGTGATTGCATGGTTCATTGCGGAGTCTATGCCTGACTTCAACGATCTTCTAGGATTGATCTCGAGACTCTTCGTGTCCTGGTTCACGTACGGCATCTCGAGCATCTCCTGGTTCTACGATGAGATCAAGGAGAGGGGCTGGTCCTTTTGGCGTAGTAGTTGGAAGGGATGTGTGCTTTTCGTGATCAATGTGCTGATCATAGTCATGTCGTGTACGATCACGGGAGTTGGTCTGTACTGCAATGGGCGGACGTTGCACGAAGATCTTGACATGTACAATATCCATTTTCGTGTGCGGGTAGTTATAGAGGTGGAGAGGTCCATGATGGTAATAAATATCTGTGTATGTAGTGGTGTCGATTCCTGCCACCCAGATTAAGCTCAAGCTTGTTTCCGCCGCATCCCAGCCGCCCCCGACGAACCCGACACTGCCAACAACTACATCCGACCAGCATACATGACGACAAGATACAGAGTAGAATACGCTCTCAAGAGTCACCGCCGCGACAACTTCATCGAGTGGATCAAGGGTCTCTTGGCTGTGCCGTTCGTCCTACACTCGCAACCGCGTGTCAACCCTTCACCTGCGGAGAACGGGGTCGCTTGGAAAGCCCCATCTGCGGATACGCGATCTCGTTATGCTGAGGTGTTCCACGACATTGAGGAGTTGGTTGATGATCATATCGCGCATGCTGAGCAAGGCACTGTCGACCAATCCAAGCTGAAGCTGTTGGTACCCTCGGTCGGTACATTCTGGACAAAGCTGCCATTGGAGAGAGCATTCTTGGTATGGACGCCTTTCCACTCGGAAGCTCAGTACTGACTGTGCTCAGGCTAATGAAGAAAGACGGGCTATATCAGCACGGAGGTTCGTGGCGCCATCGTTCAACGATGTTCGATTGACCGTACGTCTACCCTACACTTTCAATCGATCAACTTCTAACCTTTGTGTTGTAGCTTAATTCGGCTCAGCTCATGGCTCTGGTGGACGACCTGAAACTGATTACCTTCGACGGAGACGTGACGTTGTACAATGACGGAGGTGCTCTATCGCCTGACAACCCAGTCATCCCTAGATTGATCGCACTGCTTCGCGCTGACATCCACGTCGGAATTCTGACAGCCGCTGGTTATGAAGAGAAGAACGGTGTCAAGTACCGTGAACGGATTTACGGCTTGCTCGACGCCGTTGCCGCATCGGACCTCACGGAGGAGCAGAAGAAACGGTTTGTCGCGACAGCGATGTGTGGCATACAGTGCTGACAGTTAAAGCAGATTAATCCTTCTTGGAGGGGAGTCGAACTACCTTTTACGATACAGTTCAGAGGCTGAGACGGGGCTTGAATGGGTTGACGAAGAGGAGTGGCAGCTTGACATTATGAAAGCGCTTAAAGACGAAGATATTCATCAGTTCTTGGACATTGCAGAGACAGTTCTTCGGGAATGCATTGACATGATGCGACTTCCTGCAACGATCTTGAGGAAAGGGAAAGCTGTGGGGATGAACCCCACTCCCGGAAAGACCCTCTCACGCGAGCAGCTCGAGGAGGTGGTGTTGGCTGTACAGCGAACACTGATGTTTGCCGAAGTTTCTCAAAGAATCCCGTTTTGTGGTAAGTGCGCACTCTGACCGTAAAGGGTTCAACGCTGACATATACGTTCTCCAGCATTCAACGGCGGTGCTGATGTTTGGGTCGACATTGGAGACAAACGACTCGGTGTCGTTAGCCTACAGACTTGGCTTGGAGGTATTCACGGGCGTTGCACATTACACGTCGGTGACCAATTTTTGTCGCTGGGGCATAACGATTTCAAAGCCCGCCTTGCCGCGACAACAGTCTGGATTGCAAGTCCTTCCGAGACAGTGGAGGCATTGGACGAATATCTAGAACTTAGACGGAGAGCGTCTAGCTGCTTGGGATTAACGTAAACAGAGATTCGAGGCGACCAGCGTGCGACTATGAAGGACATACATGTATACGTATACGCCGGGTAGAGCAGCAGTAGCCATAGCCAAGGGCGCCTGATCCCTGTTAATATGACAATGCCAAGAGGCTTTAGCATTTTGTATCGCTCTATAGCTGCTGCTGTCTATCGAACTGTAAACCCATATGTACCGAGATAAACCGGTATGTGCGCAAGACGTGTCGTTGTGCATGTCGTCGCGTCGTACGTCGTACGAATAGACAAAAGGGCTATACGGCATTTCCTGCTCCATAACCGGCGACCCATGACAAATGGAAGATGACACCAGAGACGTTGAGTTGTCTCTGACACCATTGACTTCTCTTGCGGGCGAGAAAACGCACACTGGGTATGAATCTCCATCACAGTTCACCACACAACAAGCGCTGATCCTGCTCGAACTAGGAGAGACCTCGATGACTTCCTCGTGCGGGCCCTGGCGCAGTATGGTGAAGGCTCTTTCAGGAAAGTGACGGCCGAAACGCTCGCGAAAACCGCCATCGCACCGCCCGCAGAAAGGATTGAAGATACCGATGACAAAGCAAGCGACGACCGACGTGTGGAAGCCGTGAGAGCGAATTTGATTGGCCTTATCAGTAAGGCTCAGAACGAAATGTCATTGTCGTTGGATTTCTTGTCTCTCCTGGTCTCCATGGCGAAGCCTGCTGCGGCCGGAGTTACCATGTCTCCTGTCTTAAAGGAGAGCGTCCAGCCGGGTGGACTCGGTACAGGCCGAATCCAGAAAGCAGCAAAGGGAGAGGACCTGAGTGTATGCAGAGGATGGAAGAAAAAGGCGCTCGGCGATGCTTCGGATGCACTTTTGAACGCTGCGGCTCGTTTAGAGGCAAAGTCCGACACGGAGTTCGGAGTATGGCATGACCTTTTGCAGTTAAAAGAACAGGGGTGGCCTCTTGTTAAATTACCAGGCGGAGCTACTGGAAGAAATCTTGGTCTTCGGTTCAACTATCGGGATGCTGGCTCAACGTATGGTGCGAAAGGTGTCGGCATATTTACTCGAAGTTCAAACGGAACTCTGGACTTTGAAAGCGACATCACTGTAGACGCACGACGAAATAGCCTTCGCGTTCGCGTCTTGCGTGGTAATGGAGACGTTTTGGCGAGCAGGAAATGGCAGGAAGACCGGGAAGATGAAGCACAGCGCAACGCTGTTGAGTTCAACATTCATCAAGCGAAAGACTATTTGTTCGAGGCAGAGCTGTTTTTAGAGGTGTGTATGCCCCAATCGTCTCATCCTTTCCTCCACTAACCTCCTTTAGATTCTACGAGAAGCCAAGAACCTCGCACATGCCGACATACGCGTATCAGACGATACCATCCTGATTCCTTTGAACAATAACGTTGAACTCGCTATCGACTTGGCTGCGCGGGATGTCGAAGAGGTCGCAGAAGAAGCTCGCATGAATGGCTTCACTGAATACTGTCATGCTGTTTTGGCTGCAACGCACATTCTTCTTGATCATGCACATAAGGTGCAACTTGGCAGAATGCAAGCTCCACCAACAGTACTTCAGCTACGAGCAACACCTCATCAACCTCTGGTTCTCCGTCCGCTCGTTGCACATTTGCGTCATCAAACAGCGCTGGAGGCCCTTGTTGTAGAAATAGAGACGATTGCAGCAGCTTTGCAGAAGGCTTCCTTTGATGCAAGAGCGCATGTCACGAAACGCTCGAACATTGGTGCTTTGGCTGAAGCTCAAGACACAATGCAGCTCGTGTCACAGCTCACTGGGTCCCCGGAAAGTAAGGTTCAAGTTGCTGTGGCCTCGAAAAAGTTGGTGGAGATAACACTGCGAACGCCGAATTCCGGAAGCAGTCACATGTATGCCATTGAAGCTCAGTGGCGTGACAACTCTGAATCAGTAAGGAAAGCAACGTTAGTCACATTGGCTGACGTTGGTGCATTTGCCAGAGAAGTGGCCCTCCACAATATCATTGATAATGTACTGGAAGTTGGAAACCGGCAATGGAAGAAATTTGGAGAACACGAGATAGCCGGAAGGGCGATGTCAAATGGGGAAGCGCGCCGGATACGGGTTGTGTTTGATGACGGCAACTTCGCCATTAGGTATGGCACTCAGATAATGAAGTGCTTGGAGAAGCCTTTGACAGATGTTGTACGCGAAATCTTTTCGTAAATAGGAATCGAGGTAATGAACTCATATGCGCCCTTGTAGTCTACAATTGACAACTCCTGACCAATTAAGCCAACTCGGCTTCCTTCGCTTCCCTCGCCGCCTGTGCGGCAGCCTCATCGTAACCGTAGCGCTCCTTCACGTCGACACCGTGCTGGTTGTGGTTGACAAAGTTGAACCAAGGAACCGAAGCCATCTTCCACGCGGAATATCTGCTGTTGCGAGCGGCCACGCCCTGGGAGTACTCAGACAACGTTGAAACGCCGTACAGAGGCTCGCCCTTCTCGATCTTCTCGGCCATTTCCATCCTGTCCTTCTCGTCTTCTTGTGCGTTTTCTCTAGTTCCCCAGAATCTTTGCGATGATCGGAGGTAAGCGGCGAGGAAACCACCCGTAAGACCCAAAAAGCAGCAGAGACGCAGAGTAGCGTCACGGCCACCTGGTGGGTATTTGCCTGGGACGATTCTCTCTATAATATGCCATTGTAAGCCACGAACGCTCGAACAGAGTGCATAGAACGGTGGTCCTTCATACCCCAAAGCAAAATCGCACCGGGGAAAGCCGTATATCCACCAACAATGAAAGCGTAGTCGGAGGGACGCATGTATCCGACAACACGCTTGAAATGGGGGTCGGTGTCAATGACCGGATAGGGGGTTTTGAACGGTTTTGCTGCCACAGACATTGCGATGAATAAAGTCGAGCGTTCTGTCGGTTCTGTCCGTTCGACTGTTCTGAGTGTAACTGGTCAAGGTGGGGGACAGCGGCAGGCAGTTGCATGGAAAGTTACGGCAGATACATGGTTCACCTTTCAGGTTCGTTTTCGATTGGTTATTTGGTGTCTTTCATGTTTTGCGGAACTTTCGACATTCTAACTGTAATTAACAAGTCGATCGCAAGTCGCGTCTTCCTCGGTGAACTGCTGAACGCTCCCACAGAAGGCGATCTATCATAACGGCCATGGCTTCCTCAACTCAGTTGAACGACCTCTTCGACGAAGATAACGATGCTGTTCATTTTGCCTCCACCGCTCCTGCTCGCCGTTCACCAGTTTTCGACGATGTTGAATTTGACGAGCCTTTGGATTCCTACGATGTAGTACGGCCTGCATCGAGGCCAGTATTACGCGACGATGATTTGCCGCCAGAGATTGATACAGATTTGCGAATTCCAGCAAACGCCCTGAACGACAGTACTGCGGCTTTTAGTAGTCACCACAGGAGTAGTGGTGAGGGGTTGGGTTTGGATGAGGAAGTCGTCATAAAACCGCGAAAGGAAAGAGTGAAGTTGAACGAGGAAAGGTAGGAGTTGAGGGGTTTGACATTGTGGATGTAATACTGATGATGTACGTTCAGACTTCTTGGCCCAATGGGCTTGCCAAAGCTGAGAAAGGATGCGCCAATGAAATTGAAGTTCAAAGGCAAGGGACATGAGGTTAGTCGCAATGCACCGCTGATGGGATGCTGAATCTAACTTCCGATTGAGTTCCGGGATCTATCGAACCTTCTCAACTTCTACCAGTTATGGGCACACGGAGTGTACCCCAAAGCGTCGTTCAGAGACTTTCTTACAATGACAGAGAAGCTTGGCCACTCCAAACGGATGAGAGTTGCACGCGCTGAGTGGATTGAAACTGAAAGACGGAAAGATACCGCCCAGCTGCAGGAGGAGGACAAACCCGAAGAGTTAAATCCCTTCGCACCTGGCACCAAGGCCGATACGCAACCACCATTCGATGCTGCTGATGGATTCCCGAGTGACGATGAAGGCTTGGAGCCAATGGAAGTCAATATGCCAGCGGAATCCGCACTGGTGAAGCTTGAAACTTCCCACTTACAGGACGACGACGAAGACGCACTTGCAGCGATGGCAGAATTTGACAGTGAGGTACCGTGGTGAATTGTTTGAGACATCCTGGAGCTCGGTGTTACAGGCGTTATTTTGCATTGAAGTCATATACCCCATGGATAAATCGAAGGATTCAACCTTCTCTCTCCTCCCCTTCCCGTGTACCGCACGTCATAGTGCTTCAACTGCAGCTTCACGTGCCTCCAAGTACGACCAGCCAAACTCAAAAATCAATTGAAGAGCCTTCTCGAATAAACCTGCCATGTCGCTGTACGATATTGCCAAGGAAGCTCGAAACCTACGACCACAGACAACCGATGAGTTGGTTGCGGAACTGGAGCGGGCTTTCCTGACGCCTGAATGCGAGTTCTCCGAAGAATGGCTGAACAAGCTGCAAGAGTAAGGGTGACTCGAGGGATCCATCAAATGACTTGCTGACATCCATTTTTCAGGCGTAACGCTCGAAAGCTAGATTATGACTCGCTATATGCCCTTCCCACAACGGTTTCGCGGACGTCTATACGTTTCACCCGTGAAGGGTTAGAAGGTCGAATCACAGGTTACGAGGAAGTCACTATACCATCAACAGACATCAATGCAAAGAACTCGACGTCTATTCTACGGAAGCCTGCTGCTCGTACGGACTTCGTCCGCGGAAGGTCTGGCTTCGTGCCATTTCTGCCAGGTGGTTTGGAGGATGGCGCTATAGATGGCGAGGAAAAGCATGACGAGGTGTCACCAAATGGGCTGCTTCAAGTCGCACCAGGGCTGAGCCGCGGTCTTCGAGCGACGGAGCATGATGATACAAACGAAGTTGACGAAATGAGCGAGACTAACCCAGATGTGTGGAAACTGGGTGAAGTGAAGCCAATACGAAGGGAGATTGCTTCAGTCGAAAAGGCCAAAAAGCAGAACCCCAGCATCTCTGAGGAGGCCGACGGGCTCGATGATCTCTTGCCGACCGACTTTCCCCTACTGGCATCAACAGTGGACTCAGCACATTCCTCCACTGGTCGGCCAAAAGGCCGTGAGTGGGCACATGTCGTGGACGTTAACCAGGAACTTACTAATTTTCATGATCTGGTCCCGGATATGGCAAAGAAGTATCCCTTCGAGTTGGATACTTTTCAGAAGGAGGCTGTCTACCACTTGGAGCAGGGCGATTCGGTATTCGTGGCCGCGCATACAAGTGCTGGTAAGACAGTGGTTGCAGAATATGCAATTGCTCTCGCTGCCAAGCACATGACAAGAGCCATTTACACATCTCCGATCAAGGCTTTGAGTAATCAGAAGTTTCGAGACTTCAAGAACACCTTTGAAGATGTTGGTATCCTTACTGGTGATGTTCAGATCAACCCAGAAGCCAGTTGCTTGATTATGACGACGGAAATTCTTCGCAGTATGTTGTACAGAGGTGCCGATATCATTCGAGATGTCGAATACGTCATCTTCGACGAAGTGCATTATGTAAATGACCTCGAGCGTGGAGTGGTTTGGGAAGAGGTTATAATCATGTTGCCAGAGCATGTCAGTCTGATCCTTCTGTCTGCGACAGTACCCAATACAAAGGAGTTCGCAAGTTGGGTAGGCCGAACGAAGAAGAAGGACATCTATGTCATTTCAACACCCAAACGACCCGTCCCTCTGGAACACTTTTTGTGGGCCAACAAGGGCTTGCACAAGATCGTGGACGCAAACAAGAATTTTTTGATGCAGGGATGGAAGGATGCGAACGCTGCCTTAACTAAGACGAAGGAGCCCAAGCCTACTGCGCCTGGCCAGACACCGGCCCAGCGAGGAGGCAGGGGAGCTGCTCGAGGTGGAGGTCAAATTCAGAGGGGCGCCAGCAATTTCTCACGTGGGAGAGGAGGCATGAGAACCATGGAGCGACAAGACACGAACATCTTCATGCACCTTGTCAACTACCTCAAAAAGGAGAAGCTTTTGCCTGTTGTCGTTTTCGTCTTCTCCAAGCGTCGCTGTGAGGATAACGCTAACTCCATTCGCAATGTGGATCTCTGCACTGCAAGCGAGAAGAGTGAAATCCATGTAACGATCGAAAAGTCCATCGCCCGACTGAAAGCTGAGGATCGGGTGTTGCCTCAAATTAGGCGTATGCGAGACTTGTTATCGAGGGGTATTGCAGTCCATCATGGGGGTTTGCTACCGATCGTTAAGGAAATTGTCGAGCTTCTGTTTGCCCGGGGATTAGTGAAGGTTCTTTTTGCTACGGAGACCTTCGCTATGGGAGTGAACATGCCCGCCAAGTGCGTCGTATTCTCCGGCATCCGCAAACACGATGGACGTAGCTTCCGCGACCTTTTGCCCGGTGAGTATACGCAGATGGCTGGTCGTGCTGGTCGCCGTGGGCTCGACACCACCGGTACAGTCATCATTATCGCACAGTCCGATGACGTTCCAGACACGGCAACATTGTCGAAGATGATCAACGGTGCAGCGACCAAGTTAACCAGTCAGTTCCGTCTGACCTACAACATGATTCTTAATCTGCTGCGAGTCGAAGCACTTAGGATCGAGGAGATGATTAAACGCAGTTTCAGTGAGAATGCATCACAAGTGTTGTTGCCAGAACACCAAAAGAAGGTATTGGCGACCGAGGAGGACTTGAAGAAACTTGTGCGCGTCGAGTGCGACATCTGTCGGGACGGATTAAGGAAATGTCATGAAGCTGCAATGGATTATCGTCAGCTCACACGTATCATGTTGGATAAGGCGATGGTGAATGCTGCTGGTCGTCGTATATTGTCAACCGGGCGCTTGGTTGTTATCCAAGATAAGGTAAGGATCGCAAGAAGTGCTAGGGTTTTGGAAATTCGTGTTAACCGTCTATGCAGGAGACTACGCGTATGCCAGCTATCTTGATCTCTGAAGTGGCTGCTACATCGGATGTCACGAAGACCTACTATATCCTTCGACCAAGGGTGGAAGATACACAGAAACAGCCGGCTGATCTTCTTCCGTTCCTGCCCGTGTTCAAGGATTTTATGAAGGAGAACTTTGTGGTGATAGGTCCCTTGAAATTGGCCGCTGTGCCTGCGACTGCTATTGAATTCGTTACCGGAACGACAATCAAAGTCGATTCTAACCTAGCACGCAGACAAGACAAGACCACGTTGCAATGTGCAGCGGATGAGCTCTCGAATGTTGCGCTAGATGTTTTCAGTCCAGCGTATGAAGAAGCAGATTGGAGCAAGGTCAAAGATCTTCCATTCGTCGACATTCAGAATTCTAGGCATGTGTCTGCAATAGCAGCACAACAGCAAGCATGTCTGGACTGTCCGGAGTTCTTGAAGCACTACGCTATGGAACACCAAGAATATCTCTTGCGCAGCAACATCACGCAATTGAAGCAGCTGATCTCCGACCAAAACCTTGAGCTTCTGCCGGATTACGAACAGAGAATAGCGGTTTTGAAGGAACTGCATTTCATCGATGAGGATTTGACGGTGCAACTAAAGGGCCGAGTTGCGTGCGAAGTCAACTCTACGAATGCACTCATTCTGACGGAGCTCGTGCTGGAGAACACGCTCGCAGAATTTGAGCCAGAAGAAATTGTGGCATTACTGTCATCATTCGTGTTCCAAGAGCGCAGTGATGCTGAGCCTAAGGTCACTCCTCATCTCGAGAAGGGTAAAGAAATTATTATGTCCCTTGCGGCGAGGGTGAATGCAGTGCAGGAAAAGCATCAGGTGTTGCTTGCAGGTGAAGACAGTGAGTTTACTGACAAGAAGTTTGGTTTAATGGAGGTTGTTTACGAGTGGGCTCGTGGAATGGTATGTTACGTTCACTCCTGTGACTTTCATTCGTCACTAACTGTCTGTAGTCATTCAACACCATCACTGAGTTGACAGACGTTCTTGAGGGTACCATTGTTCGAGCGATCACTCGCCTAGATGAAACCTGTCGGGAAGTAAAGAACGCCGCGCGCTTGATCGGTGATGCCGCACTGTTCACTCGCATGGAAGAATGTCAGGAGCTTATCAAGCGAGACATTATCTTTGCCCCGTCACTCTATATGTAGACGGTCTGATAAGAAGAACTGTTTTGCGTGATAAAGCTAGGCAGAACAACAGAGAAGCAAATGCACACAACGCCATAAACCAAGATAAAGATGGGAAAACTGTCCGTCAGGAGACCAGCTGCCGTTCCGCTGTTCCGCTTACACCGTAGTCCAGTTCCACCTCAGATCACCCTTGATCTGGGTTTCCTTCTCCACAGGCCGCCCCTTCCAGAATCTCACACCCCATGCATGACCGTGATGGATTCGTCGCTGGGCATAACGTTAGTAGAGAAGTGATTGTGAACATCGATGTCACTTACGGGTTTCAGTTCAGCCCTCGTAACCAAATAATAGCAATCCTTGAGGCCCTTGTCCACCCACTGAAGAGGTGCCTAGCAGCTCTTGGGTTAGCATTGCTAGACGTGAAGTAGAAGTCGATATGACGTACCACTTTCACACCCTTTCCAAGTTCTGGGAAGCGCTTCAATACTTCGTAGAGGTTTGATTTCCGTCCTATGGGCTGACGGAGAGGGGTCGTTGCAGCGAACTCTTCGATCAAGGCTCTGAATGCTGGTGAACCCTTCATGACTGGCTGTTTGATTCGGTATTGGTAACTTTGACTTGTACACTTTTACACCGCGGTGCCGTTCAAGTTGAAATGTGCGGGGGTGCAGGAGAAAGGGGCAGCTCATACTTTTTCGAAGAGAGCAAGGAAAACACCAACTTAGAAGGCTCAGCATTGCGATCTGAGCTCTATAGAGCTGCAAAATGGATGTGAATGAACTCTTCTCGGCGACTTTGAATCCCGACCCCAATGTCAGAAAGCATGCCGAGTTGCAGTTGAGGCAGGCCGAGCGAACTCCGGGCTTCATGGCTGCTGTCCTCGAAGCCGCTGCTTCCTCTCAGCAGAATCTTGCAGTTCAACAAGCCGCCGCAGTTTACTTCAAGAACAGGGTTTCTCGCTCTTGGGAAGATGACTCCTCAATTCCGGTTCAGATCGCCCTTGCGGCCGACGAGAAGGAGATGATCAAGCAGAGGGTTGTCCCTATCCTTGTGTCGGCACCTGTCAGCGTTCGACCTCAATGGACCACGGTGCTCAACAAGATTCTCGCGCAAGAATTCCCTGAAAAATGGCCGGGATTCATGGAAACCACCATCCAGCTCTTGCGGAATCAAGGAGACCTGCAATCAACCTACGCGGGATTGGTCTGTCTGTTGGAAATCACTAGGGTGTACCGCTGGAAATCCGGGGACAAACGCGTTGAATTGGATCAGATTATCCGGGAAACCTTCCCTGTGTTGCTTGAGATTGGAAAAGGCTTGGTTGGTCAGGAGAGCGTTGAAGCTGGTGAGATGTTGAGGCTGGTCCTCAAGATTTACAAGTCTTCTATTGGTCTGGAGTTGTCGAGAGAGCTTCAGGCTCCTGGATCTATCGTGCCTTGGGGATCTCTCTTCTTGCAGGTTGTCGGAAAGCCTCTGCCTGAAGATGATAACGGCGAACGTGATGTGACCGCATGGTGGAAGGCGAAGAAATGGGCGTACTACAGCTTGAACAGACTCTTTGAGCGATACGGCAACCCGTCAACGCTTTCAGGCGCCGCTGTGGAACAGTACGACGATTTTGCACAGGGTTTTGTGGAGCAATTTGCCCCTGAGATCTTGAAGGCATACTTGCAGCAGGTTGAGCTCTGGATCCAACGCAAGATCTGGCTTTCTAAGCGCTGCTTGCAGTACACTATTCACTATCTCGAGGCTTGTATCAAACCAAAATCAACGTGGGTTCTTCTTAAACCTCATGTGGAGAATTTGGTCTCTCACTTCATCTTCCCTCAGATCTGCCTTACTGATGAAGACCTTGAAAGTTGGGAGGATGATCCTGCAGAGTATATCCACCGCAAGTTGGACTTCTTTGAAGACTTTTCTTCCACTGACTTTGCGGCCATCGAGTTTCTTGTGGCGCTTGCTCAAAAGCGCAAGAAGCACACTTTCATGGGCATCCTAGGTTTCGTCAACTCGACATTGACTGCACAACAAGCTGCCGGTGGTGCGGCTAACCCAAGGGAGAAAGAAGGTGCGTTGAGGATGGTTGGTGCCTTGGCTCATATCATTCTTGCAAAGAACAGTCCCGTGTCTGGTATGATGGAGGGTTTCTTTGTCTCGCACGTTCTCCCCGAATTCCAGAGTCCTCATGGCTTCTTGCGTGCACGCGCTTGTGAAATGATGAACAGGTTTGCCGACCTTCAGTTCCAGGACAAAAACAACCTGGGTATCGCTTACACCAGTATCATCAACTGCATGGGTGACAAGGAGATCCCTGTTCGCGTGGAGGCCGCGTTGGCGTTGCAACCTATGATCCAACATCCTGAAATCAAGAATGCTATGGTATCAAGGATTCCGCAGATTATGGAGCAGCTGCTCAAGCTCAGTAACGAGATTGACGTCGATGCCCTTGCCAATGTTATGGAGCAGTTCGTTGAGGTATTCTCAGAGGAGTTGACGCCTTTCGCTGTTCAGTTGACGGAGTCCTTGAGGAACACTTTCCTTCGTATCATGCAAGAATCTGTCGACCAACAGAAGAAGTTCAATCCGAACGACGACTTTGATGCATCCGAATATGTTGATGACAAGTCTCTTGCTGCTCTTGGTGTCCTCAACACAATCGGAACCCTCATCCTTTCTCTGGAAAACACACCAGAGGTTCTTCTCCAGCTTGAGAACATTCTCCTGCCTGTCATCCAGTTGATTTTGGGCAATGAGGTTGTCGATTTGTACGGTGAAATCTTTGAAATCATCGACAGTTGCACGTTCTCGTCAAAGATGATCTCGCCTACGATGTGGCAAATCTTCGAGCTCCTTCACAAGTGTTTCAAGGATTCCGGCATGGACTTCATTGACGAAATGTTGCCATGTCTTGATAACTTTGTGTCTTACGGAGCGGACTCTCTGAGGCAGAACCCTACTTACCTTGCCGCAATCATCGACATCATCCAAACCGTTTTCTCGTCGGATCGTTTAGGTGCTCAGGATCGTATTTGTGGTTGTAAGTTGGCGGAAGCAGTCTTATTGAACCTCCGTGGTGCTGCTGATCAATATCTGCAATTCTTTGCGGATCAGGCTATGGTCAGGTTGACGACTCCGGGTGAGGTTAAGACTGCCGATTATCGCATCTATCTACTTGAGCTCGTCATCAACTGCATATACTACAACCCAGCAGCTACTCTGGCGGTTCTGGAACAGCGCGGTTATGTCCAGTCCTTCTTCAATCTCTGGTTCACCAACATTGGTTCATTTAGCCGCGTGCACGACAAGAAGCTTTCTATCTGTGCCATCACAGCTCTCTTTAGCATGCCTCAAGAGCAAGTGCCTGCGAGTATCCAGGCGGGCTGGCCGCAGTTGATGCAGGGCCTCCTCACCTTGTTCGAGGGTCTTCCTCAAGCGATGAAGAATCGTGAGGAAATGGAAAAGGAAATCGGCAATGAGGATGATTTTGGAGACTTTGGCGACACCTGGGGTGAGGACGAGTGGGATGAGGCAGCTGAGGAGGATGAGGACGTGAAGGATAAAGACAACGAATATCTGGATTTCCTTTCTCGCGAAGCTGATAAGCTCCACAGCGGGACAGTTACTTTGGGAGATGAAGAGGAGGAGTTTGGAGTGGACGACCTCGAGGAGGAGCCGTTGTTTGAGACGCCGCTGGACAAGATCGACGCGTACGTTCTATTCCGGGATCTGTTCTCCACTCTTCAACAAAGTCAGCCTCAGCTGTACAGCGGTTTGACCGGTAGACTTTCGGACCGGGAACAAGCTTTGTTCCAAAGTATTGTGAACCAAGCGCAAGTGAATGCGTCAAAATGAGCTTGTCTCCTCTTTCGGCGGCAAAGTAGTCGATTGCAGCCGCGATGAGAATAGAACATTCAACGAAAACCGAATACAAGTTATAAAGCAAAGAACCCCATAAGACACATACCAAACGCCCCAAACCAAATATCCTTCATTGTAACTCTGCGTTCGTCTCGTATCTCTCACGCGCCTTGCGCAGCAGCTCTTCCTGCATTGCTTGCAGCTCTTCTGGAGTTTTTCCCGACTGGTCGAACTTGGATTGTTTCTTCTCTCGCGACTGAGTAACGTAATGAGCATCGTCACGTACTTGCTCTGAGCCATCTCCTTACCTTTTGTTGTTCTTTATGTTCTTGTGCCACCTTCTGAATCTCCTCCACGTACTCACCGAAACCCAGCTGCTCCAGAGCCGACACGACATGCTCAGCAGCAATTGTCTTCTTCGCTTCCTTCTCACATATCTCGTTTGCTTCTGATGAGATTAAATGAATGAATTCAACGCAGCATTCGATAAGGAGATCGCGGGTTTCCTTCGCAAATGCGAGATCCTTCGGTAGGATTTCAGAGATGACCTTTTGAACAGTTGCTGTAGAGGCGCGTCAGCGGGCGCTCATGAACGCTGGACGGGGCTTACAAACCCTTCGGCAAAGAAAGTTCGTCATCCATAGAATCGGCCATATTTTCGGTTCACGTTGCGTTTTGCCGTCAACCGTTGTCCGTCGCCTTCCTGTATCGATACGAGTTAGGCAGTGTGGCTGGTGTAGCTGGACGTTGTACCGGTACTGGGGAGTACGGATACCTAAGCTTTGCGACAAAGGCCAATCTCTCGCCAGCGAGAGCGAGGAGAACGAATGACCTCCAGCACTCTGGTTCTCGATAATGGCGCATATTCAATCAAGGCCGGGTTTGCTGGAGAAAGCTGCCGTTCAATCCCTAATTGCTTAGCTCGGCCGAGGAATGACAAGAGGGTATACGTTGCCGATGAATTGGAGTCTTGCAGGGATACATCGGCATTGGCTTTTAGACGACCTTTTGAAAGGGTAGCTATCTACGTGCGTGCTCCTAGAATGCAGCTGTTTACACATCATGTCAGGGCTACTTGACGAGCTGGGAGGTTGAGAAACCAATATGGGATAGAGTTTTCTCCGCTGAGTGTCTTTCGGTTGGCTTCCTGTCCGCTCCTTTTCGTGCTTGTGTTAACCAACTGTTTTATAAAGGTCGACCCGAGTCAGACTTCCCTTATCTTCACTGAGCCACTGCAAAACCTGCCGAGTATTCAAACTGCATGCGATCAGATCATCTTCGAGGAGTACGAGTTCGCATCATATTACCGTACCACGGGCGCGTCGCTTGTACCCTGGAATAGCACGCAAGACGACAGACGGGGTGCACCTGCGGAAGTGGTCTTGATTGTGGACTCTGGCTTCAGTTTCACACACGTGGTGCCGGTCATCAAAGGGGAAGTTGAGTGGAAGGGTGTCAGAAGAATCAATGTAGGAGGAAGGCAGATCACCAATCTTCTGAAAGAGACGATTTCATACAGGCACTACAACATGATGGATGAGACACACTTGATTAACCAAGTCAAGGAATCATGCTGTTATGTGTCACAAGACTTCGCAACCGATTTACGGATGTGCCACAAGAATAACCAGAACGATATTACCGTGAGTTATGTTCTACCAGACTTCAATACAAACCGGCCAGGTTACCTCGTTGACCGGTCGAAGTCTCGTCCAGATTCCAGTGAACAGGCAGTTACTTTAGGAAACGAGCGCTTCACCGCACCCGAGCTCTTATTCAAACCCGGTGATATCGGCTTAAAGCAGGCAGGTATTGCAGAAACTATCATGCAATCAATAGAGGATATGCCTCAGGAGTTGCAAGCCCTGCTGCTTGCGAATGTGGTTTTGGTCGGTGGTAGCTGCAAGATATCTGGATTCAAGGAACGAATAGAGACGGAGTTGCGTGCAGTAGCTCCTACTGAATTCATAGTGAGAATTACGAAGCCAGATGAGTGAGTTCCGGGCCGTCTACTTCGAAGCTGAAAGAATACTGACAGACCCGTCTTTAGTCCTTCGACATACATCTGGGAAGGCGGCGCGAATCTAGCAGACAGCGATGAGGCCCTACAAGCAAAGTCCGTTACAAGAGCAGAATATCTCGAATATGGTACGTCCATCATGGAACGAAAATGGGGGAGACATGGCAAAGCAGTGAAAGCCTTTGACCATCAATATTCTTATGAGAGCATTGAGGAAGAAACAGACGACGAAGAAGAAGAAGACGAGGACATGGATGATGCAAACTGAATAAATTGAGGAAATGGAAAGAAATCAAACGCCGCCCAACCCAACACCAGCATATATCAAGCAAGACAAAGATCCGCACTTTTCTCACGCTTAGTTAGCAGCACCTAGACGAGTCGGGTGCTTCTCTAGGATAGACATCTGCAGAAATCTGCACACTGTTCTGTCTCCTGTTATACAAGGCTTCCCTCTCGCGCTCTATCTCTTCGCGGCGCTCTACAAGATTGCGTGTGACAGCATTAAATAGCTCTTCGACCCCTTGATCGTCTTTGCTGCTGATTTCATGGCAGGCGCCTTCGACTAGTGCATAGTTTGGTATATCGTTTGCTCCCGATTTCGCCGTTGCGATATGCGACATTTGACCAAAGGCGTCGGCATGTTTCGTAGCAAATGCGACACATTCATCAAACTGAACCTCTCGTTTAGACGGATCCGCAACGACCAAATCCGCCTTGGTGCCCACCACGTGTATGATCATGTGGTGACTCGTGTTCTTCCTCAGCTCGCTCAACCAAGTTTCGACGGCGTGGAAAGACGCTCGTGAAGTAATGTCATAACACAATATCGCTGCCTGCGAGCCGCGGTAGTACATTGGCGTCATCCTGGAATCGTTATCATTAGCATTCATGAACCTCAAAAGAGAAATGCATACATACGAACGAAACCGCTCTTGTCCAGCTGTGTCCCAAAGCTGCAGCCTTACTTCGCATTCATCCACCTGAACTTTCTTGGTAAGAAAGGAGGCACCAATTGTCGAAGCGGACTGCGCAGTCCATCCTCCGTGTATGTACCGCACGCACAATGCGGTCTTGCCCACACCTATATGCAGACGAAGGTTAACAACCCCTGAATCGAGCAAAAGTACGAGGGTGAACACACCTTGAGCGCCGAGTATCACGACCTTTGCCTCTACTCGGTCGATACTCATCGTTGCCTACAGACGATAACCTCACGGCTTGCCTGTTAATAGAGCAGCAGCGTTGTTGTCACCAGCAGTCCAGCTGAAGGGGCATTGACTGGCAAGTGGTTGCTTACGGACGCAGCTGCCAGCGCGGGAACCGGTGAGTACGTGAATGCAGGAAGCCGATCCGGTGCAGCGACAGCGACAAACACTGCCCCACTGCCTACTTGAAGTATGATCAATCTTATTCGTTTTGAATTGGCATTCTGCTGGCTTTCGATTTGAACGATGAGAAGAGCACACGGCGCCGGTTGGCGGTGACGTCGCGGATGTCGCACGCAGCTGATGTTGTGTACTACATCTGCTGCCTTAGTTACTCGTACCTCCACGGTTGTCAATTCACTCACGCACATAAACAGATCCTTCAATCATGTCTTGGCAAGGTTCTTATGTCGTTTTAAAGTTGTTTTGTCTTGCTCTAACGTCTCATCGTAGCTTACGTCGATTCCTCCCTCCTCGGCACCGGAAAGTTGGACCATGCCGCCATCTACTCCAGAGCAGGAGACTCTGCATGGGCCCAGTCTGCAGGCTTTCAGGTGAGTTAAAACGCCTTCTTTCTATCTTATGCTCCAGCATTGAACAACTATTGTAGCTTTCGGCTGCTGAAGCCCAGTTCATTGCTAAGGGCTTCGACGACACCCCTGCCGTACAAGGTAGTGGAGTGAAGCTTGGAGGAAGCAAGTACATTACTCTGCAAGCCAACGACCGGAGTATCTATTGCCGTAAGGTACTATACCCTTGTTGCCCCAGCACGAGCGACGATGCTGACGAATCTATGCGTTCAGGGTCAGGAGGGCCTTGTCTGTGTCAGAACCAAGCAGGCAATCCTTATCGCGCACTACCCAGACACCACCCAGCCAGGCGAGGCTACAAAGATCGTGGAACAGGTATGCACCCTCTTCATCATGCGCTTCTCTCAACGAATACTGACATTGTGCGCCCAGCTCGGAGACTACTTGATCAGTGTTGGATACTGAGCATCAACAGCAGCGTTTGTGTGAGGAGTATACTGTTTCATTTGTTCTATCTTTGGTGTAATTGCAACGCCGCATCTATATACCTGAATCTACATTTTCTTGTCCCGCATGTCTTGACACCCGCGGCCGCTGCTTGCAACTGCAGCTGACGTAGGTTTCCCTGCCGAATTCCAAATGTAACGACGATACGTATACCCGGCAGTACCAGACAAAAATATGGAAAAAGGCGGTAACCCTGGTGCGGTCATGTCTTCGCTCGAAGCATTCCTCTCATCGCTCGAGCGCATGAGAACGACTTTGGCCGAAGGTGCGGAGCTTGTCTATAACCAATCTTTACCAGAGTTCGCCTGCTGACGTTGTCGACGATTAGCTCGAGAACAGCAATCTACAACGGAGACGTATGGTCGTGGGATATATTTCGATGATTCCGCGTCTTCTGATGAATTCAACGACGATGAGGCTTTTGATGTTGCCACGGACAAGGAAGACGACTCCTGGACTGATCAAGAAGACGACCACCACCGGACCAACGAGAATTCATATGATCTGTTCCATCTTATGCAGCAATGTACTAAGTACGTGTCGGAGCGTGGGTCTTCATTGGACCCTTCTGAACTTTGTGACAATTTGACCATGCTCATTACATCGGATACCGAGACTGAGGAGCTCCAAAGTGCCTTGGTAGATGTCCTTGGCTACGAGGATCTTGACTGGATTTCAGAAATTGTTCTACATAAAGCAGAGTTTGCTGCTTCCTTGGGAAACTCGGACAACTCACATACTCCTGCGTCCAGAAAGAAGCGTAATAAGTCTCAAAAAGAGGCAGGCGCTTCTGATGGGGATCTGTACGATCGTCTCCTTTCAAAGCAAGACATCGCTCGCCAACTTGATGAAAATAGTCGTCGGCCGCTCACGAGTGGTACGAGACTAATCGGCGCTGCTGAACAATACCCTCACATTTATCAGACCCATGCTGCGGGTAACACTCTCAATGCTTATGGTTCGAAGTACGCTCTTCCCTCGGGTTCGACGCGTGAAGAGTTCAAGGAATATGAGGAAATTACAGTACCAGCTTCCAGAAGTACGAAGAGATTCCCTGGGGAGAAGCCTGTTCTGATCTCTGAGCTGGACAACCTCTGCCAGCCTACGTTTCCCGGTTACACCTCGCTCAACCGAATGCAGTCTTTCGTGTATCCTGTGGCTTACAAGACCAATGAAAACATGCTGATCTGTGCGCCTACCGGTGCGGTATGTAACCATAATTCAAAGGAATTGCCTAAGCTAAACGTGTGGTAGGGTAAAACGGATGTTGCAATGCTCACGGTTTTGCAGACTATCGCACACCACAGTTCGCCATCCCCCCTTGAAGCGCCGAGAGCCGAGCGGTATGATATTGCTCGAGATGATTTCAAAATTGTTTACGTCGCCCCTATGAAGGCCTTGGCAGCCGAAATCGTACAGAAGCTCGGCAAGAGGTTGGCGTGGCTAGGTATTGAGGTTCGCGAATTGACTGGGGACATGCAGTTGACAAAAGCTGAGATTCAAAGAACTCAAATCATTGTAACGACACCTGAGAAGTGGGATGTTGTTACCCGAAAGAGCACAGGTGACACTGGTCTGGCGCAAAAGGTTAGGCTGTTGATTATCGACGAAGTTCACTTGCTTCATGATGATCGTGGAGGTGTTATCGAAACAATCGTGGCCAGGACGCAAAGACAGGTCGAAGCCAGTCAGTCCATGATTCGAATAGTCGGTTTATCTGCAACACTTCCGAACTATGTTGATGTAGCAGAATTCTTGAAAGTCAATCCTTACCAAGGACTCTTCTACTTCGATCAATCTTTCAGACCGGTTCCGCTCGAGCAGCATTTCCTTGGTGTCAAAGGCAAAGCTGGCTCTCGGCTGTCCCAAGGCCACATCGAGCGTGCGACTTATGAGAAGGTCATTGAACTCGTCCAGCAGGACAAGCAAGTTATGGTTTTTGTTCACGCCAGGAAAGAGACTGTCAAAACTGGACAAATGCTGAGGGAAATGGCCATGGCAGATGGCTATACTGACCTTTTCGACATCTCACAACATCCACGATACGATTTAGCTCGTCGGGACATCTCAAAGTCTAAAAATCGCGAGATGAAGGAGCTGTTCGGCTATGGTATTGGCATTCATCATGCGGGTATGTTGCGTTCCGATCGCAACATCTCTGAACGGCTTTTTGGCGAGGGCATGATCAAGGTTCTCTGCTGTACAGCTACTCTCGCGTGGGGTGTGAATTTGCCGGCCGCCGCGGTTGTCATCAAGGGCACGCAATTGTATGACCCGAAGAAAGGAGGCTTTACGGATCTTGGAATCTTGGATGTCCTTCAGATCTTTGGTCGCGCCGGTCGCCCTCAGTTCGAGCAAGAGGGCAAAGGTTATATCGTGACCAGTCAAGATAAACTCTCTCACTACGTCTCGGCAATCACTCAACAGCATCCGATTGAATCACGTTTGACGGAAAAGCTTGTCGATAACCTCAATGCGGAGATTTCTTTGGGCACAGTCACCAACATTGATGAAGCCGTTTCTTGGCTGAGTTACACGTACTTATACGTGCGTATGAAGAAAAATCCCCTTGTATACGGCATGTCACGCGAAGAAGTGGCAGATGATCCGCTGCTTGGATCTAAACGGCGCGAGTTGATCATATGGGCTGCTCGCAAGCTTCACAAAACGCAAATGATCATATTTGATGAACATACAGGGATACTTATTCCAAAGGATCTGGGACGAGTCGCCAGTAACTACTATATCCTGCATACGAGCATCGAGACATTTAATCAGCTTATGAAGCCTAACATGACTGAGGCTGATGTTTTGGCAATGTTAAGTATGAGTGATGAATTTGCTCAAATGAAATCAAGGGACACCGAAAGCAAGGAACTTACGCAGCTGGTAGAGTCGGCTGCACCATGCGATGTTAAAGGCACACCAGACACAACGTACGGAAAGGCGAACATCCTTTTGCAATCTTATATATCTCGAGCGAATGTGGAAGATTTCGCCTTAGTCAGTGACACCAATTACGTCTCACAAAACGCTGGCAGAATCGCTCGGGCTCTTTTTGAGATTGCTTTGAACAGGCGTTGGGGCCCTGCAGCAGATGTTCTGCTCTCCGTTTGCAAGAGTATCGAAAAACGCACGTGGTCCTTTCAACATCCGCTTTCCCAGTTCAACCTGCCGGCGGCCCTTGTACATAAACTTGAGGCGAGGAGTGCGGCCAGCGCGATTGAAGAGATGAAGTTGATGGATGCTGACGAACTAGGAGACCTTGTTCATCACAATCGTATGGGTAAAACCATTGCCAACTACCTGAACAGGCTGCCTATGGTGACGTTGGATGTGCAAATAGCACCCTTGACTCGCAATGTCCTACGTGTCCATTTAGAGATTACGCCGGATTTCAGATGGGACAACCAAACGCACGGCTCTGTCGAACCGTTCTGGTTGTGGGTTGAAGAATCTGACAGCACTGAGATCCTGTATTCAGATTACCTCCTCCTTTCAAAGAGGAAAATTCATGAAGCGCATAAACTTGATTTCACCATTCCTATCTCGGACCCGCTGCCCTCGCAAATATATGTGAGAGCCGTATCAGACAGGTGGCTTGGGGCTGAGTCTGTGGTGCCGGTTTCGTTTCAGCATCTAATTTTACCAGAGATGAACCCTCCGCAGACTGACTTGCTCGATCTTCAACCACTTCCAATCACGGCGTTGCATGACGATGCTTTGGAATCGATCTGTGCGAAGAGATTCACGCATTTCAATCCTGTGCAGACACAAATTTTTCATACACTATATAACACTGACAACAATGTTTTCGTTGGTGCTCCTACGGGATCTGGAAAGACAATCGCTGCCGAATTGTCCATGTGGTATGTAAAACATATACTGATAAACCTTATGCTGACCTAGTTTGCAGGCGTGCCTTCAGAGAGCGTCCCAATTCAAAGGTTGTCTACATCGCCCCCATGAAGGCTCTCGTTCGTGAACGTGTTAAGGATTGGTCTACGAGATTGATGAAGCCCATGAACCGAAAGTTAGTTGAACTTACTGGTGATAATACTCCCGACATTCGCACTATGCGAAACGCTGATGTCATCATCACCACACCGGAGAAGTGGGATGGAATCAGTCGAAGCTGGCAGAGTCGTGATTATGTTAAACAGGTTTCGTTGGTCATCATTGATGAAATCCACCTCCTTGGAAGCGATCGTGGTCCCATTCTGGAGATCATCGTGTCTCGTATGAAATACATTGCAGCACAAAGAGATTTGTCGGTGCGTGTTGTTGGTCTCTCAACGGCAGTTGCAAACGCGCAAGACCTTGCGGATTGGCTAGGTATCCGAGGGGAGGGGTTGTTCAACTTTCGTCATAGTGTAAGACGTCCTGTCTAAAGCTTTACCACGCGTTAACCTTTTTTTCCAGGTTCGTCCAGTGCCTCTGGAAATCTACATCGACGGATTTCCTGGACGGAATTATTGCCCAAGAATGGCTTCAATGAACAAACCCACTTTTAACGCGATCAAAACGCATTCGCCTACACAGCCTGTCATTGTCTTCGTTTCGTCGCGAAGACAAACTCGCTTGACCGCTCAGGATTTAATCGCGTTTTGCGGGTCCGAAGATAATCCCAGGCGTTTCCTCCATATGCCTGACGACGAAATGGACCCCTTGCTCCAGAACGTGCAAGACTCGAGTCTAAAATTGTCTTTGAGCTTCGGTATCGGCCTGCATCACGCCGGTTTACCAGAGAAGGATCGTCGTCTGGTCGAGGAACTTTTCGTCAATAACAAGATCCAAGTACTTGTTGCAACTAGCACCCTTGCTTGGGGTGTAAATTTTCCTGCACATCTGGTGATCGTTAAGGGAACCGAATACTATGATTCGAAGATAGAGGGGTACAAGGATATGGACCTGACTGATGTGTTGCAAATGCTTGGGCGTGCTGGACGCCCTCAGTTCGATACTTCCGGAGTGGCTCGCATCTTTGTGCAGGACACAAAGAAGTCGTTCTACAAGCACTTCCTCCACAGTGGGTTCCCCGTGGAGTCTTCATTGCACAAAGTCCTGGATGACCATCTTGGTGCGGAAATAGCAAGTGGCACCATTGCATCTGCACAGGATGCATTGGATTATCTGACCTGGACCTACCTTTTCCGACGCGTGCATCAGAATCCAACGTATTACGGCGTGGAAGATGTAAGCGAGGAGGGGGTTTCCCGCTTCTTGACAGAGCGCATAGAGGATTCCTTGCAGGCATTGGAGACGTCTGGCTGCATTAACCGGGAACCCGATGGTTCAATCACAAGTACGTCGCTGGGTAAAATCCAGTCCTGGTATTACATTAGCCACAAAACTGTGCGTCATATCGTATCACAAGTGACAGAGAATGCTTCGTTTGAGGACTGCCTAAAGCTACTTTGCGGTGCCACTGAATACGATGAGCTTCCAGTACGTCACAACGAAGATTTGGTCAACAAGGAGCTGTCTCAAAATCTACCGTTCAAAGCAGAAAAGATGAACCTGCCTATGTGGTACGTCTTCCTTCTTTGGCCGTTCTTTGAAGCAGACATCGGAGCTAACTTCGTGTCCTAGGGATCCTCACGTCAAAGCATTCTTGCTACTACAGGCACATATGTCACGGGTGGATCTCCCCATCACAGACTACCTAACAGGTAAGCTGTCCGCGCTTTCCTCACTTAACCGCTGCGTTTGCTTACGGCTTGGTCAGATACTATATCCGTCCTTGATCAATCCATTCGCGTGATACAGGCCTGTATCGACATTGTGGCCGAGTTAGGCTGTTTATCCACAACTTTGATGTTCACGAAGGTTTTGCAAAGCATCAAGCAAGCAAGGTGGCCGGAAGATGGTGCCTTTGCCTTCCTTCCGGGGATGCGTCCGGATTGCGATACCGACTTCACAAGACTAACGCCAGCAGTACGTTCCCTGAAGGAACTCGCGGATTTGCCAGTATCGAAGCTTCAGAAAATTGCTCAGTCTTTAAGGCTACCAAGGAACACACAACTCGACGTGAGTATCATACGTGTTTTCGGCTTGTGTTCATGTGCTGACCATGTTGCCCCTCCTAGTTCGTCAAAGTATCGTCATCGTTGCCAATACTAAGTGTACAAGTCGGAGCGGAGTTAGACACCCTTCGCATTACTTTGACTCGGCAAACACCGCTCTACCATCCGAAGCAGCAAGCCTACACCCCTAAGTTTCCTAAAATTCAAACCGAGGGAGTTTTTATCATCTGCGGTGATCCGAATCGCGATGAGCTATACTCCTTGAAAAGAGTTAGCATGCTGTCGAAGGAGAAAGGTCCATCACGCATGACGCAAGCAAAGTTGAGCATACCTGCGGAGTGTAGGGGCCTCCATTCAACCGTTTATGTGATATCGGATGCATATCCAGGTGTTGATTCGGAGGTAAGTATTGAACTTGGGCAGCCAGCGATCAAAACGATTGAGGTAGTCGGTGATGACATGAAGAAGGACGCTATGAGAAGGTTGATGTAGTGGAGTCTTAATCCCGGTAGAGAAGATCCCGGCCGTGAAAGCGTTTCCTTTGCCTCGGAGGGGGTTAGGATTCGGCGTGTAAAAGCTGGATTTCTATCTGCTTCTAATATTTGCCTATGGTAGCCGAGAACTGCATAGAGTACACTACGAGTAACACACTCCGCTTCTTGCACGCGTGCTTTCGTGTCATTTGCCTCGGCTGTTTTGTCACTGTCAACAAGTGCCTACCGTAGGTGTATTATACCTACGTATACACTCCTTAACCTTGTCGACCGGAGGCCATAATTGATACTAGTAACCAGCACGCAGTTCCGCAAGCTACCGTATCCTTCCCTTAGCTAGTTACTAGAGCGCACAAATTTTGTCAACATCAATTGCAAGACCAAAGGCATCTAGGGCTGCAAGTGCAAGATATCAGGTTATCCCAAGGTTTCGCACGTCAAAGACTTAGATATACATGTGGATTTGTGCAAAATATATAGTGCCACATGTACATATTCTACTAATGTCATCCCGGACAAAAGTATCAAGGATAAACCAAATTTTGTAACCCAAGATTCTCGCAATCACAGCTGCAGGGCAGCAGAGTCAGCGCAAACGGATATTTTGTTTCGACTGGCTATGGTCAATTAGATTGTGTTATTCGTAGTTGCATCTGCAGCTGCTTTCTCGTCATTTGAAAGCTGTATGTGTGTATTGCAGAAAGTGGCCTGGAGAGCACGAGGACTTCTCCCTGCAAAGTGAAAAATCATAGATTAAACACGATTTCTCTTAAGCGAGTAAGTAAACCACGTCAAAATAGTGAATTAGTCTGGAATTACACATGGAGTATGCACTTCATTGTGGATTACAACCCTTGGCATCATCCTGGATTAAACCCAATAAAAATGTTATGAATTGCAATCCTAAATAAAATCATGGATCACTGCCAGAGAAAAAGCCACAGCAAAATACCTCGGAATTGCCTGATAACACCCATATGCCTTGCGATATTGTAGGCCTGCTACACATCACTGTTCTCGTGTCTTTAACCCAGAGGGGCAACCTGCTATATATGGACATATGTCCCTATGGCCATTAGCAACAAAGATCAAGGCAAGGTATGGATAGAGATTGCTTGTACATCATTGAGCTTTAGCTGACATCCTGAGTTATAGGACCACAGTTCTTGTTACTATACCTCTATGGCTATTAAATAATTTATAACACAATATTTTTACCTGATAATCTCACTTTTTCCAATTCATACTGGATTTTTCCGCCATTTTTTTCAAAATCGATGATACCATCATGCATTAAATGGGTTCTGTAATCCATGGTTGCTGCGAACGTAAGGTCACGCAGACATCGCCTTGAATTTGAGCAATGCATGCCCTCCAGCTGTGAGCGGACTATCACTAGTTACCGTGGCCCAAAAAAGTCGGCCGTAACCACCCTACGAAGTGTCTGCTCATGTAAATTCCACGACCACCTCTTAAGCTCGTGTAAATTACACAAGGCGCTCGTGTAATCGTCGTGTAATTGCATCCACGAGGATCTGCTCGTGTAATCCAATGAAGTGGCGCTCGTGTAATTAATGCTTGTGTAATCTGCGCTCGTGTAAATTACATGAAATGAAAAGCCAAGAGCGCCATTGCTCGGGTAAATTACACGATATTAAAATCCACGAGGTCCGGTTCCACGAGCAAAAGCGCTTGTGGAATGCTCTCTTATGTAAATTACACGAGCAGATGGCTCGTGGAATTCTCAGTCGTGTAAATACTGGACGCATCATGCTCGTGTAATCCTTGCTTGACCAAATTCCGTGAGCAAGAGTGCTTGTGTAAGTGTGCCAACCTAGGATCGACGAGGAGCGTCGAGGATCAGAGAGGAGCGTGGAGGAGGGGCAGGTGGCAGGAGTGAATCGTGATATCACTGGCCATGCCTGTTACATGTCGGCAATCAACTTGGCCGCACTATTCCAAGCGAATGTCTGCCTGTCAATGATCCATGCCAGCTTTCTTCCTCGACCTTGCTGACTGGCCAGCTCCTTCGTCGTCATGGTACCAACAAGGCGTTCAATCGCACCGAGGTGTACCCATTCATGAAGGTTGCCTGGAGGCTTCGTGTCAACGATGTAAAAGCGACCTCTGCAAAGCTGGGCGTTCCCATAACAGCGAACATAGGCCAGTGGATGGGAATAGCCATTGAACGTTGGACAAGCGAAGCAGTCAATCTCTCCAAAGAAAACCTCATGTGCACCACCCTCGACGACTTGCTGAATGTAAAGAATGATGTTAGACGCTCGTGTGGTGTCGCTTTTGTGTTGGCTCAAGCGAGAGCCCAGCATATCCCTCCCATTCGATAACTGGAACCGCTTGTAAACCGCCAGTTCTTTTGGCACTGTGTCCCCGTTCGCTGGAAGGGTACGTGCGGTGCCTGTGATTGTGGAATGGAAGTACTCCACGAGATCCCGGTGAACCTTTGCTGAGAGCCTGAAGCGATTGCCCGGTGCGATTAACCATCCATGCTCAGTCTCATGCGGATCAAAGAGTCTCGATGGATCAGGCGGTTTGAGGAACGCGGCGAAAGCAGGAGAAGTGCGGCGAACAAACTGAAAGTGACGCAGTTGCTCACCCAGGAGTACAGCGCCTGCTAAGCTGGCGTTCAAGTTGGACTTTGAACGAGCTTGAGGGGCAAGGATATTGCAAACTCGTTCCATTGCGAAAGCCCAAAACACCCAGGCTGGTCCGAGATGCTCGATGCAATCAGCAATATGCAGCAGCATGTGCAGGCTCGACGGGCAGAGGTTCAATCGGTTGTATTGTCCTTTGAAGTACAGTTGCTCGTGATCTCTGACGAAGCGTTTGAACAATTCACGCACTCTGGCAATATCTGATTGAGGTAGTTCAAGCTCGATCGAGAGGACATAGGCTTCGCAAAGTGTTTCCCAATTGTCAACGTACTTTTCTGGAAGTCTCCCATGCAGAAGAGGCACGGAGTAGAGGGACATCCACAATGACCACTCAGTGGCCTTGAATCTGGCCGAGTTCTTAGCAACGTTGCGAGGAGCTCTCCCCAAGGCGCCCGGCACGTTCCGTCGACAGTTGCGCATGTCTTCTCCCAACTCCGCCATCGTTCGCTTCGAAAGAACATAGGCATCGTCAGCACGGAGCTTTTTCGGCTTGGGTGCATGCACCGGCTTCGCACTCTTCTTCTTCGTCTTATTCTTTTTTGGCTTTCGTTGCCTTGGATCCGCAGCATCCTCTTCTGTCTCGGATTCGGAAATGTCGGTCTGATCTGGCTGATCTGCATCTCGATCATCTGGATCTTCTTCATCTTCGTGACCGTCCGCAGATCCACACGGCACGCGCCCGTCCCATAAATTGAACATGAGTGCGGAGATGTTCTCGCAAACCAGATGCATAAGGTCTATGCCAAAGCTCCATGGCCAAGAGAGCGTGGGTAACCGGTGGAGGATTGAGTACCCTGAAAGTCCAGTAGCAGTCCGCAACTTCTCGTCATTTGCACGAGCCATTGCAACATGTCCCGCTTCATGTTCTTGCGGAGAGGTAGGTTATCCATGTCCCAGTTTCGATTCTCCCAGGCTTCGGCTTTGCGGGGCATATTACGACATGAGACGTGCGGGTAGTAGTTGTGCTTCGCTCGATCAAGACGCGTTCCAGAGAACTGACAGAAATGGCAGGGGTAGCGTCCATTGTGTCCCACGGTCTGCATCATCTTCTTGATCGCAGGTCTGTCTCCGGCAACGGCGCATATGTAGGCTCGCATCGTGAACGATCTATCGTTCACCTGGGCTGAATTACTCTCAGTTGCAATATAGTTTGTGGATGCCGGTCCCACCACGGTGCTGAAGGTAACCACCAAACCGTAAAATCCAACAACCTCACCATTCAAGCAGTCCAGGGATGGGATACAGGGGTCAAGAGCTACCTATGAGTGTCCGTCAGAGGATGCGAAGTGCTATTCGCGATGGTACCAAGCATGCCGTCATTGCGGAGGATAATGGTGTTCACCGCAATACCGTCGGTAACATGAAGAGACTCTTACACGAACAGGGAAACGTCAAACCGCGTCGCAATCAACAGAGGGGACGTGTACCGAAGATTTCTGGCGAATGTCTGGAGGTTTGACGCTTTTTGTGAGTCGTTATTCGCTACTTACGCTGAAAACAGACCCTTCGAAAAATGTACGATGATGCGCCCGATACGTACCAAGACGAAGCAGCCGAAGCGCTCGTGAAGCTCTATGGCTTTAAACTCGACAAATGGGATGTCTGCCGCGCCCTCAAACGACTCAGGTACACCTACCATAAGGTCAGCACGCTGACACTCCATCCATGGATGTACTGGAGAGGCTGACAGCCTACTAGTTGAAAGAAACTGCCGCCCAGCGCAACGAGGAACTACGTGCGCATCATACTATGCTCATGTCACACTATTCTGCGGAACAGTTCATGTATCTCGACGAGTCCGGTGTCAACGAATCCAATGCTCGGCGGACCCATGGATTTGCTCCCAAGGGCAGAAAAGCCAGGGTATCGAGAGTCCTCAAACGTACACCCGGATGGTCCATCCTCCCAGGTCTTACAGTCGATGGATTCGTGGCCCTGCACATCTACCAAGGTGCTTACAATGCGGACCTATTTTACGACTTCGTCGAGAAAGAGGTCCTCCCAAACACAACACCCTTCCCAGGGCCTCGATCTGTGATTGTAATGGACAATGTGCGCTTTCACCATGATCCCAGAATTGCAGAAATCCTCTCGTACCATGGTCGGAAATGCATCTATTTACCGCCGTATTCGCCAGATCTGAACCCCATTGAGGGATGCTTCGGTATAATGAAGCAGTATATGCGCAAACATAGCAAGGATTCGACTGAGATCATCACAAATCCCTACTACTTTTACTGGGAAACCGCGAAATCCTCGAATACGCCCGAGATAGCAAGGTCCATGTTCCAGCATGCTGGGATCTCTGCAGAAGTCACACACAGCTTCTTTTAGGTCTTATCAATCGATAGCTTAAGTTTCAGCTCAGAATACAATCTTACCCTTGAGTTCTTGGCCGTTGTTCTTGTACGCTGAATGACCATGAAAAGGCAGCCGTGGGATGTGGGGTGCATAACTGCGCCACAGCTAACGCCACACGCTGGAAAAAGGGTTGTGAGAGCTGACATCCTAATGGTGGAAAGAGTGCGTTTTGCGCTTTCAGACAAGCCCTTTTCGACTTCGTTGCGACCATTTTTGCGGGGGTTATAAGCTCATGAAAAGCGTGGGATTCCCGTATGCAGGAGTTTAAGGCCGCATTAGCTCGCATGGTCATGCATACGGAGAACTTCGAGGCCGTTGATTGAAGAGAAAACGAATAACTATATGAATTTACATCTCCCAGAGCTGAGAGTGGTACCATATTGATCACCGAGGTCGACTCTATCATCCTACTCGCTGCTGGGCTTCCACTTCCTGCGGCAGTGCAGCAAGCGGTCGTAGTTCCCTCGAGTGATTCCCATGGATTTTGCGCCTTCCCATGACAGATGTTTGAGCATTTTGACGTCATAGTCAGCTTCAGTGAGCCTATTAAAGTGTTCCTCAACACAGAAGGCGCGCGCTTCAGACTTCTCCTTGACGTATTCCAAGAAATCCCTGAGCAACGACCCTTCAGCATCCTCCTCGATTGGTGGACTTGAACGGGGGTCTGCTGGAGACGGCTGACGCTGAACAGTGTGCTGCATCATAGGCGCCATCGGCCACATGGGTGGGAGCATTGGGTAAGGGTAAGGGAGCCCAGGAGATTGGGGCATGAAGGTAAACGGCGAAGGGCTGGAGTTATTTGTGCGGGGCGTTTCCGCGCCGGGATTGTCCGCATTGAAGTATTTGTCGAAGCGCGAACCTCTGGGAGGGTTGTGGAGGGTTGCAATGGGTGTCCCTCCTACCATACCCGCTGCCCAAGCCGCAATGTCCTCCTCCATCAATCTCATATGCTTCCCATTGCGCACAAAGCACTGCCGATCGCACTGAAGGCAAAAGTACGTGTCTTTTAACCTCATAATCATCTCTCGATGAGTTGCGGTATCCGTGGGGAGCTGGGCTACCATTTGCGCATTGACGGTTCTGCGGCCCTGCTGCGAAGAGGGAGGTGCACCTATCAGACACGTTAAATTACGCGTTTCCTCGACATAGGATGATAAAACAAACTTACTTGAGTCACTTGACGCGCCTTTCTGTGTCCCTATCAAGAACAATTCGACATACTTGCGGGCACCGCGAATTGACCCACAGCGAGATTGAAGCTGATTCCAGTCGGATTCTGTGGCGAGATTCACCTCCCCCTCCTTCGAACGGGTTGGCCCAAGCTTCATATCATAGGTCCAGGTGAATAATATGGCGTCATCTTCACTGAGACGCAAAGCTTGGAACCCTAACTCCCTCAACTGAACTCGAGCCATATCCCAGACCTGGGCGATCTCGAAATCAATAACCGACACCGGATTCAACTTCCCCTGGGTTCTTACAGCAACCTTGGTCTGCGGGATCGGCGATAGGTCGACTGGTGGAGCTGCTGGTGGAGGAGAGAGGTCCTCTTGGACGGTACGAGACCTTCGAGGCAGGGGTAGCTCAGGCTCAGGGGCATCCTCGGGAGCCGGACGACGGGATGGGATTGAAGGGGAGGGTGAAAAACGCGTGTGCTCACCCCTCCCGCTACGCCTGGGCCTCTGGATAGATGACATTGTGGATGAAACGGTCATTTTTTTGCGATTTGGAATACAGGGCGTGCGCAGGGGCGCATGCATAAACTATAGTGCAACTGAGAGTAGAATTTCTACGATGGCCATCGTAGAAATTCTAATTTGCCAAAATTGAAGGAGATAGACCAAGAGGAACTCAATAGGATATAAACGACGATGTCGCAACTACTCTACTTACTCTCAGCCTGATCTGACTTGACCTGACTTGATCTGACTACTTGGTGATGTCATATCTGGGTATAAGGTAGCACCGTGTTCTCAAACTCCCACACCCAACATGCCGGAGCTCAACATGGAAGACATCCCATACAGCGAGCTTTCGCATGAAGAGAGACCATACCGTTGTGCTCAGATTGTGGCCCTCACCAAAGCCGAAATCCCAAAGGAGAAGATTGAGTAGCAGTGTCTTGTCAAAAGAAGGACATTGGAGGATATCACTAACCGTTGGTGGAAGACAGCCTCCTACCGCGACAGCCCTCGTTCTGGACGCCCTCAGATCCTTTCCAAACGCGATAAGGACGAGCTCGCTTGCGGTGTTCGCACAGGGAAGTACAACAACGCCATGAAAGCTGCTGCTGCCTTCAATCATGGTCCCCAAAGGGATGTTTCAGCGGAGACAGTACACTTGTTACTGCTCAAAAGCGGAGCAAATTGTGTTACACAGACGTCAGACGTACCACTGGCTGGGGTAAATCTCTATGAGAGGATCTCAGAAACTGTGATATACTCGAAGAGAAGGTTGTATTGGATGAGTATCCTAAGGTGGCATAAGGCCTGGCTTATATAGTTTTCCATGTACGTCCAAATGTACGTCCAAGTGTACGTCCAAGTGTACGTCATGATGAGTCATGACGCCGGTGCCGTGCCATAACTAAATGACTCACGCAATCTAAGTAAGACGAGGTGTTACACCAGCTCATCAAACTCATGCGCAGTAATCAAACCATATGCCAACTAATCTAACTCTGCTAAACGAGATGTCCTCACACGTATGACAACAGAGGAGGAAACCGTTTCTGTTGCCTGCGGCTCGGGAAAGGCGTTACCAATGGGCAAAGGAGCATTTGCACTGGAGGAAGGAGGACTGGATGCGGATCATCTACACCGACGAATCGAAATTCCAGCGTTCTGGGCCAAGACATGTTGCAAAGGTCTATGTGTGGCCTGGGGATCCTCCTAGGGAGAATGAATTCATTCCTCGGATGCATTCTGTTGGTGGGAGTATTTTCGTGTTTGGTGGAATGTGCTGGTGGGGGGCCACAAAACTCGCTCGTTCGCAGGTCCCAACGGTCGACAAGTTCGTGATGCACGACTTTGTTGAAGACTTTCTACTTCCCAAGCTTCGGGAGTTCAGAGAAGCCGACATCAATCTCACAATCCAACATGACAACGACGCCAAGTTGCACGCGCCCAACTGGGAAGAATTCTACGAAAGGGAGGGATATAGAGTCCTACCCTGGCCGGCATACTCACCTGATATGAACCCCATTGAGGACTCGTGATGCCTGATCTCCAAACGCCTGGAAAAGCAAGCTGCGGTTGCAAAAGACCTCGATGAACTATGGGAGTGGACGTTGGGGGAATGGGAAAAGATTCCGTTCGAATACCTCCGGAAGCTCATTGAATTGATGCCCCAGAGGATGAAGGACCTGTACGATGTAAAGGGGGGTCATACAAGGCATTGAGGTTTACTTGCGAGGGTGAGGAGGAGGGTATTGGATGGAGCCGGTCGGGCACTCAGGCAGGACCCCCGCGAATACTTTAGTTAAGGAGTTGTCCTCTTAAAGACGTGTTTATCTTGCACATATGGATCATTATGGAATGTGAAATCTCGGTGTGGAAACGAGTATGGAAACGAGTATGGGTTGGAGTCCTAGGTTCCATACCTGGTCAGGCATGGGATTTCCATACATTTTGGTATGGGATTTCCACATTGTGATTCCATAGCGGCCGACTTCCTAGGGATTTGCCCCCACTTTGTAGCAATTTTCTTTATTTTTCAAGAATTTTATATGATAGAATCATGGATTAAACTCAAAGAAATCATGGATTATGCCTGATTATTAAGCAATGGGTGTGCGAAAGCCTGAGAAAATCACGCATAATCCATGACAAAAAAACCAAGGATCAATTCCACGTTTTTTGTCCATGATTGGTTTTGACATAGGAAAAGCTACGAAGTCTGCTATCAGGTTTTGAGATCATGGATTTTTCCAAGGATAATCTTCCCTGTCGAGGGAATATCCATGACACATGCAAGGGAACGTGAGACTTTTGCATGGAAATTCCACGGGATATCTGTCAGGGATTTTTCGTGAAACAGGCGCGCAGCCGGGAAGTAGAATCTCTGTCAAAAAGTACATGAAGGCTATAGCAGTGTCATGATCGTATCACACTGCAGAGCTAGATAGCAGGTACATTACAGACATGATCAGACTCAAGCATACCAAACTTCTCAGGTCTATAGCTACGCTTCAGGGCGGATTATAGGCTGCTGTTAGAGCTATGTTCTTTATCCTTATACCGTACCATAGTAGTCGTAATACTGCTGTATAATTGTCCTTGTGTAATGTCCGTGGTGCACCACGTGCGGGGTACTTCTCCGGCGAAAGCTGTAAAATCATTCAACCAAGCATCTCAACCGTACTGACAATTGTCGGCGAGCTATCGGATACAGCCCTACGAAGTCAAAAGTTCTGGGATACAAACTATGGGAACCCCACGACGGAAGTATGGGAATCCCATAATAAAGTTCTGGAACGTGACCATCTATCTTATGGGAATCCTAGAACGAAACCCAGAACGAATCCCAGAAATTGAAATAGAATTCGATTATAGACTATAGGGCCATGTTTACAAGTAAAATAGCTATTAGAACACTCAAAGTACCTTATTTTACCTGATAATCTCGCTCTTTGCGTCTAATACTACTAGGAATTTCTCCCTACACTCTTTTGCGTTCTTGCATAATTCTTTCTGGGATTAAGCCTGCTCTCATTGTGGATTATCGGGAATCAAATCATGAATTGAGCTAATTCAAATCGTGGTTTGGGTCCCGATATAGAATACAATCGTGGATTTTCCATGATGGAGAAACCATGGATTAAAGGGGTTTTCGTCATCCATGATTTTTACGAACGCAGCGGTCTCATGGATATTCCTTGACACTACGGTCGTGAGGATCATGGATTACAAAATCCCGTTTGGTCCACGATTTTATTCTGCTTAATACAAAAAAGATTATCGTCAACCCGAAATCTGGAGAGGAAATTTCGGAAAAATATCGGAAATTGATGACCTTTGGGATCATCCATAACTTCCAATATCAAGGGTTCTGTGTCATCCATTTTTGACACCGTATGGGACTTCTGCAGAGTGGATCGTAATATACCACTAATACCAGCCCTACCCTCGCAAGAAGCATGGATCACTATACCCAGGTTCGGTTTAGATATATGATTTTTTAACCGTGGGAAAAACTCGATAACATTCTGGACAATGGGACCCAAACCACAATTTGGATGACTGAATTCATGATATGGTTTGCATAATCCAGATGATTCCGATCGTATGGGTCTTGCCTGAAGCTTATTTCACATATGTGTCAGTGGTAATCCTTGTTTACCGGTATAGATGCTTCGCAAATTTCTGACAAAGGTATATGCATATGTATGAATTACGGGCTGCCACAAATCTTGCTTGGTATTGAATCCCCATCGCCATCGCAGGACTGACTTAATTAAACCTAGGTAAAGGAGGCCCATCCCACATACATTTGCGCCAATAGATCCGGGTTTGTGGCCTGTCTGATCAACTCCTGTACTTGCCCCGCGACAGATAGCGGCAGCACTTCCGTACCGATATACCCCTCCAGTTTCCGCCTGATATTCTCCAATGCACGATGACCCTCCTCGTTCTCGAGAGCATATTGGTTGGCTCTCTAATCCAAGGTCAGCAGATGCGTGAGTGAGTTAACGGTCCTTGATAAAACTTACCTTTCGTCTATTCCATTCCACAAGAGGATCATGCAAGAACGTTTCGAGGACACTCATAAGTGAGTCTTTGTTGCCCCTCAGAATACGGACAGTAACTTCACATGATTTGCGGAATGTGCCGTCACAGCCAGTGACTCCAAACGCATCCACCATGTTGTGTGTTAAACGAAAGGGCACCTTTTCCGGCTTCTCAAAGGTCAATCCCTTTTCGAAAAGACAATTAAAGTCAACATGCACAGCGTCTCCGTTCGTTTCGTCAAACAAAATGTTCTCGCCGTGGCGGTCTCCAAGACCAAGTACATAGCCAACCATGGACATCACTGCCAGCGTGCGAGCGTAGGATTGCCTACTTGCTAGCCAATCCGTTGGTTCCGAAAATGTCTCAATGAACCATTCGTGAAAAACGGGAGGGAACTTTGGAAGCAGCTTCGTATTGAAGATCTCGCCAGGCATGTTGCTAGCACAAGCCTGATCCAAGATTGACCTGATTTCAGTGTAGTTGATCACGACACCCTTCTGCCGGTAGATTTTCATCAAAATGTCTCGGAAGGGTCTTGTGTTATTCACCCATTCAAGGAGACCGCATTCCTCGTTCAACACCACAACTGCGTAAGTGCGAATGCCCAAACGTCTTCTGCTAGCCTCAGCATCTTTTCGGAGGAACTTGTTGATCATTCCATTAAATTCCATTAACCTAGCATCCTTGCGCAAATCATCCTTTGGCTTGCAGAGGAAATGGTACCGTCGACCATTACTTCCCCGAATCGTGATTTTTCTAGGTTTCTGCAAGGAGTTCATGATGTCAACTTCATCCTGAAAAGATTCGATTGTGATTAGATCTCCAGGAAACGGATGATGATATTTCAAGGTGACTGGTGACGAGGGGAGTGTAAGCGTGAGTGCGGATTGCAGAGGAACCACCAGGCTCGATGGCGCAACCGAGTGCTGAAAACGCATGTGTTTTGACAGGCTCAGTGTAGTCTGACGTCCGGAAATTTCGAAATTGCATAGCTGCAAAAGTTGATCTGTCATCTTTTTCGCCTGGTTAACGAGGTCGCGGATCTGAGGATGCCCTTTCTTCTTTGAATCTTTAACTCTCGCAAGAATGGCATTCCCACGCTCAGCGCGTAATTTTCCAGTTGATTTGCAGGCTGCCATCAGGGACCAGAGCGCTTGCTGAGGATAGTTGCTGATGACAGACACAATGACCCACTCAAGGATAGCATACACAGATGCGTTCGAATGCCCGATGCGTGAAATAATCTGAGGAAATGCCGTAAGGAATATATAGGGCGGCAGGCGTTTTGCATAGCGAGTGACTTGCTCATTCAGAACTTTCAGCTTGTTCTGCCGTGAAGCAATGGTGTGAGCTCGATAATCAGGGCTACCAGCATCTTCAGCTATCTTTCCCACGTTTGCACCGAAATCGAGCCATAGTGTAAGGAATCGCGGCATTGTCTGAAAGACGTACTTAACTCCATAATGGAGCGCACGACCAAAATTCACAACAATTAGACGGGTGAGCTCGCCTGTCAATAAATTGTCGCCTTGCTTCTTGACTGGCAACTTCTCCTCGTTTTCATACAGCTTCAAATAGTATCGACCAAGATAATAATGACACTTTTCCCACCTGTCATATGCTCTTGCCGCCTCGATATACTCGTGAAGTACGTTGTGCATTCCACTCTGCTCCGAAGATTCCATCCATTTTGCTAGCAACAACTTGGCCTTCGCTAGCAGTTGGTTTTTAGGCCTGGACCGGGTCGTAGCGTCCGTGGTGATAGCTGAGCTATATTTATCAGGAATCGATTCCGAATGATCAAATGTCCCAGCTTTTAGAGCGCTTTCGAGACTTTGAATAGCTCTGTGCTGCTCGCCCTCATGCCACAACCAGCGTGCTCTTTCAACAGCTGCTAAGGGTGCACCAGCTTCAGAGGCCTTCAGTATTGCATTGTAGGACCGCTGCGATTGGCCAGCCTTTCTCGCAAGCTTTGCAATATCTAACCATATCGCGGAGACTTCTGCGCGAGAGGACACCGGCGCGGCAAGTTCGAAAGCAGTTCGGCGCAAGGCTAAGACAAACTGGCGAGATTCAGTTGAGGGAGCTAGAAGGTCTAGCCGCCGCTCGAGATTCGTTATGACAGAAACCAGGCCACCGCTGTCCAACAAACATGCCTCTGATATCATCGAAAATTCCTGTACTCCGTGTAACTTTACCAGCACATCGTAACATTGGCGTGAGTCCTTGACGCCAGATGCCACTAGATCATGAGTTAAGATGTCGTAAATTTGCTGAAGATGTGCTTTAAGATTCCGCGTATCCTTTTCCCTCAAAGAAAGGATTGCTCTTCCCAGTACGACCTCGAAGGAGCCCTCCTCTTCCGCAGCTCCTAAATGGCGTTCCAGGGCTTTCCAATCTCCTACAAGCCAGGCGCTCTCGACCGCGTGCTTAGCAAGAGGCCGAGAAAGCTGCGGTGTCTTCATTACCCATGAATCAACTTGATTTAGCGATGTCTCATAATGACCTGAAAGATTCAGACAACGCAACAATCCCACCTGAAGCTCAAGTTTTTCTGGTTGCTGTTGAAGGCATAGCTCATAACACGTTTGTGCTGACGTCCATTTACCAGTGACTTCATGCTCAAGAATTTGCTGGCCCAGATTGATAACCGAGAACTTCGCAGAGATAGCTTCAATCTCGTCGGGTTCGTCAATTTTCGAATAAATGTGTTGCAATGTCCGGTACAACGGCTCCAGCTCGGATTCGGACAAAGCTTGACGCTGTTTGCGGATGTACTGTTCCCAATGAAATAGTCCTCGTGCAAAGGAGCCGCAGTTATACGAGGCGCGGGCCATCATATCCTCTGGAATAACAGCAAGTACAACCTCAACTCGTCTGATAAAACTATCGTCCTCAGTGCCTTCATCAGGCGCAAGATATCTGTTGGCCTTCTTCGCCGTTGCAGCAAACTGATCATATAGAAATTTTCGCCTCTTGCGCAACCACTTATTGAGATAGTCGATCAAGCGAAATACCGTCTCGCCGGCTAAACGGAACTTCTCGGCTGCGAATGCAGTAGTTTCTGAAGAGATATCGTTTTGAAGTACAGCGAGGAGCTCGACAGCAATTTCATCACGTTGTTCGTCAGTCCCGCCAACTATCACATTCAGCGCTACGTATGGCAGCAGGAATGAACTGATGGCGACATCCTGGTCTTTGACGATACGGAGCGAAACTGCGAATATCTTCTTTGCATTGTCACCCGTAACCTTCGTCATAAGGCTTAATACAAATGCCTGAAGCCATGACCGATAATTCGTGTGAGAGGAGAACGTCGGATACTGTTCTGGTTCAGGTAGAGCACTTGCAGTCACAAAATACTTGGACGCCAGGAGAGGTGTCAAAGTCTCTTTCGAAGCTGCGGACAAACCAGACCATCGCTCGATGATTGTACCAGATCCGTCGAACATGGCGTTGTTCAATATCTGCGTTGTGAAACCACAAAACTTTAGCAGCTCTTGCATAGCATAAGCCAAAAATCCTTGTGATTTTGTGTCCGTTGAGGCACGGAAAGCGGGAACGAGTTGCTCTTCAATTAACCCCAAGACAAATGATATGCTTTCATCGGCATCTTCGAAGTTATGAACGACTATGATGTCCTGAACATCTCGGGCTGCATTGACACGGTTTGGATCCACTGCACCGACGATGCCCAAGCACTCCGCGCACAATCTCTCTATCTCGCGGTGCTCATTGTGGTATTTGGAACATATGTCGAGCAAAGATCTGATGAGATCTTCAATCAATTGATCAGGCTGGTCGCGGAGAGTGAGTGAATGAAGAAGTTCATTGTTCGCAACGAGGAAGCCTCTCAGTTCCAGAAGCGCCTGGTGGCACATGTAGATGTTCTCATGATTGCAACGCCGAATGAGATTCCTCAACTTCACAGAAGGCTTCAGTACTGCCCGCTGTTCGGAGAGCTTCGCCTCAAATTGAGCTAACTCGGGTATAAGGGAAAGGTCAGGAATCATGGGAAGCTCATCCACTACAGAATCCATGTGTACTTCAAAGATATGATCGCATATGGCAAGCATCTGCTGTCGTTCATCCTCTTTCGAGATAGGCCAGAATTGCATGATGGTAGACAACGTATAGCCAAGTAATGCCCCAATATAGGGTGGTTGCACAGACCCCATTAGGGTGGTCCAAGCCATCAAAACAGGCTCGCGCAACATCTCATCCGCCAACGCCGATTGGAGGCAAGCAGTAATCTGGGGGAGCGCAGTTTCAAGAGATGCGCGTGCCATGTCGATCATCTTCTCTATACCGACGATACAGGACAGCTTCTCAGCTGAAGTTTGACGACCTCTCACGTCGTTGATGGTGTCGGTGAAGTTAGCCATTATACCGAGGATGTGCCTTTTAAAAAATGCGGCCAGATAATCCACCCTCGAAACAGCGTCCTTGCCAGAAGTCCCTTGTGACTTCATCACAATAGACGCGACCATTTGTAGTGCCTTGAAAATTCTTGAGGACTTCGCCTCATTTGAGCCGGAAAACATTTTCAGTAACTCAACAGCAATGAAGATAGGATCTGATCGAACTAAACTCGCTAAGTCAAGCTTCTCAAACTCAGACGAGGCTAGCGAAAGCAAAAGCATGATGCTGTCTTCCGCGCCATGTCCTTCTTGAGTCAACAGGGCAGCAAGGATATGTGGCATGTTGTCGAAGCAAAGTCTAGCCACATCTCTCTGCAGCGCTTTTGCAATGAGAATGACTATGTCTTGACGTTTGGTAAGAATGAGATGAGGTATCGTGCGATTCTGAGTGCGATTCAAAAAGTCGGCAACGGTGATACCTAAGAGATCCGATACCAACTGAATGACTTGGGGTCTTGACTTCATCCGTCGAACGATATTGATACTGACAGTAGGCCAAAAAGGTGAAAGCAGGCGCCAAGTTGTCTGATCTCGGGCTTCAGCTATGCCCTGGATCTCGTTGTATGCAACAGCACGTAGGTATGTATTCCCGTGACCAAGAAACTCCACCAGATGCAAGAGGATGATGTTGAGTTCCTGTTCAGGTGCGTCACGGCCAATATAACCCCAAGACAACAAACAACTTTCAAGATACTTCGCATCCTCGCGCTCACTGACTTTTCTCAGTGTCTCTAACACCACTCGCCTGTTCGCACCAACGATATCCTGGAAGTCTTGTCCGGCACGTACAGAGCAATAACCAGCAAGGGTCCGCCCAGCAGCAATACGCAACCGGCGTACAGAACTCTGTACAGTTTGCAAGGCCCATTTGCCAAGCGAAGTTTGCGTCAAACGTAACTCCTCGGGCAATACTGTATGACGGACGACTCTCTCGAGGGCGTGCATTACAGCAAGGCGCAGCTTCCCAGATGCCTGGCATGGCATGACCTGATGAACAATCTGCAACAAGGATAACAAACCATCGAATCCAACGTCGCGTGCCCAATCATGCCCGACGTATGGATACATACGCGCATCCCCCAAGGCATCGCATTCCCGACATGTGAACGATGCAGATGAATGGTAGGCTGAAAGGCCTGCGCGTGTTAGAGCATCACGCAAGGCGCACGCCATGTAGCCAATGTGAACACTGATGACCAGAGCGTTGTCTGGGTTTATAAATGAAGGTTCCTTTAGCAGCTCTTCCAGCTTACCAAGAGAGATAGGGCTCTCGCACGGAATCTTCAGGGTTGCAAGCAGTGAGGCAATGACAGTGTCCACCTTGACAGGAACAACAGCGCATGGCAGTTCAAGCCTGATACGTTTTGGCGGCCGTTCACTTGATAAGTCAGTCCCAGTCTCGACAGGCTTTGAATTATCGTGACGTGGAACCGTTGTTTCTTGCACACGTAAACCGATCGACGTGCGGTGCCTTTGGAAATTTTCTTGAAGGATCATGGTCATAGCACGGACACGCCCGGAACATATGTCCCCTAAACGTGCATCGCCACCGAGTCGTTGTAGAAGTTCCCACAGTCCACCAAAAGCCGAGTTGGGCACTGTAGCATCCTCTGACAGTCTTCCAAAAGCACCAAAGAGTAACGTCAAGTCTTGTTCACTTTGTGCGGAGCGATCATGTAGCATAATCTTTGCCCATGAGACACTAAGACGCAAAACCATATGCCTCTCGGAAATACCTCCACAACTCGTGGAAAGCAGAAAAGCCAAAGCTCGTGTAGTACGAGAAAGCACATGGTGGCGAATGTCGTGTAGATGCCGTGTATCGAACTGAGTTGCCTGCCAGGATACCATCAGGGTGACTGCCGAGTCGTACCATAGGCACATGTCAGGCAGGCCGGCGCTTTTGAAATAGCCAGGGTTAACAGCATATAAGGACGCGTAGAGCTGAAATATTGTCGCCATGAGCAATGCGCCTTCGAGTAGTGCCATCGCATGGTCTGCCCGGCCTGAATAACCATAACCATCTATGTCAGATGAAAGTCTCGAGACGACTGCCAGACTCTTCTGCATACGTGCCTGTATTCCGACGACGAAATCTTTCGCCACCGGACCGGCTTCTGTTGCATGAAGCAATGTTTTGAAGATATCTTCCAACGTTTGAATGATATCCTCATGTAAGTCCGTCAGCTTGGGATGGCCAAGTAGCTTTGTAACGTAGGGAAGGAGCCAAAGCGCAAGGATCACTTTTTCTGGTGATGTTGCTTGTGCCAACGCCTGATACAAGACTTTCGGTGTGCGCTGCATTGTTATCCGAATAACAAGAAGCGTGTTATGAGCTTGTTGGATGTCGAGCTCGCCTACATGCACACAGTCAGGATGACATCTGCGGAATATGAGAAGAGGAAGGACAGACCTGGTGATTCATTATCCGCGAGAGGAGCCAGGCCAACATTCGTGACAACTTGGATGAGTTGATAATTTGTATCCAACTCGACGTCAAATGCTGATGCGTCAGGTCCATCATTGTTGCTAGTCGGCAAACGTAGAACCTCGTTGATCAGTTGCCTGAAGACGTTTTGATCGGTGATATCGGCTTGTGAAGCAAGAATAGACCCGTGAGGAGGAAGCCTTTGTGAAGGTAGCGCACGTTGCGCACCTGCCGCACTCGCCATTGAAAGATGCTTCTGAGGCGGGCCCATAGACCGCAGTGGCATTGTTGTGTGGCAAGGAAGGTCACCTAGCAGAGCTTGACGAAGCCTATCCTAGCATACAAGCAAGAGGCAACACCCTCGCCTCACCCTATTGTAATGGTACCGTAGCCGTGTTCTGGTGGAGCCGAGGAGAGCGACGTACCGTAGCAGCCTGGTCGACGCGTCTGTACGTGATGTAACGTAGATGCTGCCGGATCGGGACTAGGCAGGGCACCGCCAAAATTACACCTTCTCGAGGAGTGCCGGGCAATGGAAGCATTTCAACCAGACATCAACAAGGTCAAATGGCTGTTACCTTGACTGCTCCGCCCGCTACATGGGATGCGGCGAATCACTTTGTGGCCGCTGGTTCCCTCTCGGCTCCTACTAACATGCTGATCGAGCCTGTCGGTCCTCACTTCCTCGCACACGCTCGTAGGTTGCGTCACAACCGCACCTTCTCCGAGGATGACAAGATTCAGGCTGAGGCTAACGCCAAGAACGTCGAGGCTGTTGAGGAAGAGGAGGAGGAGGAGCCCGAAGATCCTGCTATGTTGAAGAGCGATCCCAAGGACTGGAAGAACCAAGACCATTACGCCGTCTTGGGATTGTCCAAGTACCGCTACAAGGCCGACAACGAGATGATCAAGCGTGCTCACCGCAGAAAGGTCTTGAAGCACCATCCCGACAAGAAGGCCGCCAGCGGCAACTTCAATGACGACGCTTTCTTCAAGTGTATCCAGAAGGCTCACGAAGTCCTTTCCGACCCTGTCAGACGTCGTCAATACGACTCTGTCGATGAGAGCGCCAACGTTGAGCCCCCTGTGAAGAAGGCTAAGGGTGACTTCCCTTACAAGTCTTGGAACCGTGTTTTTGCTGCTGAAGGTCGATTCTCAAACAAGCACCCTGTGCCTTCGTTTGGTAATGAGGATTCCTCTCGTCAGGAGGTTGAGGCTTTCTATGACTTCTTCTACCACTTCGACTCGTGGAGGACCTTTGAATACCTTGACAAGGATATTCCTGACGATTCGGACAACCGTGATCAGAAGCGTTACCAAGAGAAGAAGAACAAGGCCGACCGTGCCAAGCGCAAGACGGAAGACACTGCTCGTCTTCGCAAGCTTGTTGACGACGTCCTTGCGCAGGACCCCCGTATCAAGATGTTCAAGCAGGCTGAAAAGGAGGCAAAGGAGAAGGCCAAGTGGGAGCGTGAACGTGGTGCTCGTGAGGCTGCTGAGGCAGCCAAGCGTGCTGAGGAGGAAGAGGCTGCTCGCAAACAGAAGGAGGAGGATGAGGCTAAACTCGCCGCCGTTGATAAGAAGGCGCAGAAGGAGAAGGCAAAGAAGGAGTCGAAGAAGAACAAGAAGACCATCAAGAACGCTTTGAAGGAGGCGAACTACTTTTCCGCCGAGGGAGCAGCCTCTGCTGCGCAGGTCGACAGCTGTCTGGATGATTACGAGAAGGTCAGCGCTCAGCTTGAGGCTGAGGATATTGCGGATTTGGCCAAGAAGCTTGAGGGCTTGAAGGTCTCTGCTGACATCCACGCCGTTTTCAAGGAGGCTGCGGGCAGTTTGGTTGCTGCTGGGAAGCTTAAGGCGGAGGAGTTGAAGGTTATGGCTTAAAGTTTGACTGAAGTTATACCAACATAGAGTCTAATGAATGAAAGTAGGTTAGACCTTCATGTTAAATCCGATGTTAAGTCTTAAGTAGATTTGGTCCATCGACAATATTATGCGTACGTGTAGATGTTTCCCTGCACAGTTAAGCAACACAATCTGGGAACAGGTTACACGCGGCCCTACACGAGCGTATAACGTCAACATCACCTGGTGACTTCAGAATAATAATTGAGAAGCATTACGTTGCGAACAGTGGATGAACTTTCCCGCGGTATCCGGTTCTTTGTAGGATGTATGCAGGCAAGCAACTGTAATGCTAAGCTTGCAATTGAGAGGGACCGCGTCTAATCGTTCTTTGCAATTGGGAATATAACATAATGCAAAATTAACAAAGCCTAGCCAAAATCGACAAACCCCAGCCACACATGATTGGGCCTCAATTGTAAGAGAGCCAGTCTCTTTTGTGAAAACAAATCAAGATGCACAAACCTTACGTCCTTTACTTGGACTCAGGCTTACGGCAGATGTAGAGCTGCATGGGAGTGAAAAGGTTCTTCCTTCCACCCTCAACCAGAGCATCGGCAGCGGTAGCCAAAGCATCACCAACTTTCTGGGATCCCTTAGGAGCCAAACCGACCTTCTCCAACACGCCGACAAACTTGTGAGCCACAGACCTTCCCACCTTAGTCATACGTCCAACGGTGACCAAATCGCCCAAGCTTCTAACATGCTTCAACTCACCAGCAATGGGGTAATACCATGGGATCTCATCACCCTTGTTGGCAAGGTCCTCATCGTGGAGAATCTCGAAACCAACAGACTTAAGAGCCTCCACAGCATCGGAAGCCTTGACCATCTGGGGAATACCGTCCCCAAGCTCGATACCGTAAGCGATCTGACGGTGCTCTGGGTTGGAAGCATCGTAGTCGTTGGTCATCACCCACTCGTACACACCAAAGACACCTCCGGGCTTCAAGACACGGAAGATCTCACCATAGACACCAGCCAATGTAGGAGCGTGGACAGTAGCCTCAATGGCGTAAACGGCATCAAAGGTCTCGTCCTTGAACTGCATGTTCATGAAGTCACCCTTGACAAAGTTGAGCTTATGGGAAAGACCACGCTTGGCGGAGTAGTTGGTCGCACGGGCGATCTGGTAGTCGTTGTTGTTGAGACCGGTGATGTTGGCTCCACTGAAAGAGCAGATCTCACGAGCGGGTCCACCGACACCACATCCAACGTCGAGGACCTTGTCACCCTCCTTCAAACCCATCTTCAAGGCGAGGTAGTGCTCGTGACGAGCAATAGCCTGGTAGAAAGGCTCACCCTTGTAGTATCGCGAAAAGTGGAAAGAAGAACCCCATCCGTACTCGTAGAAGTCGGTGGCCAAGTTGTAGTACGCGTTAGTGAGGGTGGTGTAACGGTCCAGACGATCCTTCTTGTCCTGCTCGGTCTCGACACCAGGAGTCTTGTTGTCCCAGAAGTCGAAGTAATTGCTAACCTCAGCCTCGGTCGCGCGTTTGTCCTTGCCGAGAATTGCCTGAAGACATGATCAGACACGGAACATGATTGTTCGAAAAGGAGTACATACCGCGAAACCGCGCTTGTCGGTAGCATCGCTGCCGTGCAAGGCCTTGGAGAAGGCGGCGTCGCGAGTAGGGTTAGACTCAGCGGGAACGAAGGAGGCCATTGAAGAGAGTGTATTGGAAAGGGAGGCCGAGGAGGTGTTCGACTTTATGTTGACCGCGGCGTATTTGGGCCAGTTGACTGGAAACGCGCTACTGAGGACGTTCGTGTGCGTGAAGTGCCGAAATACGAGGTGTGTGTTCTAACCTTTGGGTTCTGTTAAGGATGTTTGTAGTAGTTCAAAAAGGCTTCCTGTTCTCGTTTGAACTGCTCCAGTGTATTCCGAAGACTGCTCTGCACCGTCCAGCAGCGCTTTGCAGAAGGTCGCATACCCGTATATACACCCCGTATACTTCCACTTTACTTTGTAGGACAGATAGCATACAGCCCACCACCAGTTCCATTGCTACACCCAGCATGCCACCGAAAGCCGATATCAACAAGTCTGGCTGGGAGTCAAGTGAATTCCCTGCCGTCTGTGAGACCTGCTTAGGTTTGTTCCTCCTCCCTCGCCTCACGACCCACCATGCTGATTCGCCGTCATCCAGGACCCAATCCATACGTGCGCATGACAAAAGACAAATTCGGAAAAGAGTGCAAGATATGTACGAGACCATTTACCGTGTTCCGCTGGTCTCCCGGGACTGGCGAGCGCTACAAGAAGACCGATATATGCATGACCTGCGCTCGGTACGTTGTTGCACTTCATTGTATCCTTCAAGAACGACTACTAACATGGTACTTGCAGACTAAAGAACTGCTGCCAGTCCTGTCTACTTGATCTGCAGTTCGGTCTACCTATTCAGATCCGCGATGCCGCCTTGAAGCTTGTCGCGCAAGGTCCTTCGAGCGACATCAATAAGCAATACTACGCGCAGAATAACGAAGGAAAGCTCAAGGATGGAGATACACCCGTGAACTACCAGAATGCAGATACAGCAGCTCGTGATCTGCTACGCAAATTGGCAAGGAGTGAACCATATTTCAAGCGCGGCAAGGCATATCCTTGTACAGCATTCGCTCAAGGACACTGTTCACGTGGCGCATCTTGCACATTATCGCACGATCCGGCGGACTTGAATCCTGATGTAGAGGGAGGCAGCAGTTCAAAATCTGTTTTACGAATCGGTGGTCAGGTGGATATGAGGCCACCCAACGACCCCAAGATTGTGAGTTTCTACGCTACGTTGACGGTTCCATTCGTGAATGCTAACCTATTCATTAAGACATCTCTGTTCTTGACTGGAGTTGAAGACGATCTACCAGAACACGCAATCCGCACGTTCTTCTCCGCTTTCGGCCCTATCAAGTCTGTCGTCTGCGTGCATCGCGCGAGATCGGCTTTCGTAAACTTTGCTACTCGTGCCGGGGCAGAGGCGGCTGCAGAGACTACGCGCGGGCAAGCAGTTATCAAGGGATGCCTACTAAAGGTAACTTGGGGAAGAAGGACAAATGGTCCCCTGGGTGGACGAAGAGAAGGAGAAAACGCGAGAGCTGTCTTGATAGAACAAGAAGTTACTGCAAAAAGTGAAGCTGCGGCCAGAGCTCCAACGGCTCCCGGGAGAATGTTGGAGAGGAGACTCGAAGATGTAGCGCCGGAAGAGATCGAACTTGCACCACCGCCAGGCGCGCATGCTGGTGTCACCTACAAGAACCAATCGGAGGAGTAGAATAGTCATAATTTTTGATTGACAGACCGCGGTCTGCGTGGGAATCAGTTTCTAAGGCCAAAACAACTCAACTCCAAACGGGTTCGTCCAGGGAACCCCTCCTCATCGTTTGTAAGTAGCATATATGTGGGTTAATAAAGCAAATTTAAAGGTAAAGAGCCTTCCTGGCGGCACGGCAGACAACATCGACATCAGGGAAAGCAAAGGCCTCGAGGGTCCTAGCGTAAGGAGTAGGAACCTCGGAACCAGTGACACGCTCAACAGGGGCATCCAAGTAGTCGAATGCCTCACTCTCCATAACCTGAGCAGCAATCTCCGATCCTACACCGAAACCAGGGAAACCACCCTCGACCGTCACGAGGCGGTTAGTCTTCTTCACGGACTTGATGATGGCATCAATGTCAAGCGGCTTGATGGATCGGAGGTTGATGACCTCAGCCTTGATACCTTCCTCCTTCTCCAACTTCTCAGCAGCGTCCAGACAGTCTTGCACACACTTGGAGTGAGCAACGAAGGTGATATCGGTACCCTCACGCTCGACCTTGGCAAGACCGATAGGAAGAACGAAGTCGTCCTTCTGAGCCTCAGCAGAGAGAGGGAAAGAAATACCGTACATCAACTCGTTCTCCAAAACAACGACCGGGTTAGGGTCGCGGATAGCAGCCTTCATCAAGCCCTTGCAGTCCTCAGCAGAAAAAGGAGAAACAACCTTCAATCCTGGGATAGATCCGTACCAAGCAGCATAGTCCTGAGAGTGCTGAGCACCGACACCAGCAGCAGCACCGTTAGGACCACGGAAAGTGATGTTACAAGGCTGGATACCACCAGACATGTAATGGGTCTTGGCGGCAGAGTTGACGATGTGGTCGATAGCCTGCATGGCGAAGTTGAAGGTCATGAACTCACAGACGGGCTTCAAACCAGCAAGAGCGGCACCGGTACAGAGACCAGCGAAACCCATCTCAGTAATTGGGGTGTCGATAACACGCTTCTCTCCGAATTTGTCCAAAAGACCCTTTGTGACCTTGTATGCACCGTTGTACTGAGCAACCTCCTCACCCATGATGAACACATCAGGATCTCTCAACATCTCCTCCACCATAGCAGCGTTCAAAGCATCACGAACGGTAACCTATAGTCCATCGTTGGTTAGCTTACCGTACGAATCAAGATCAGTCGCCGAGATCATGCGCACCTTAACCTCACCGTTACCAGTCGATGCCTGTCTCTGCTGACCGACAAGTCCTGATGAACCGACCATCCTCAAAGCAGCCTGAGCACCGGCACGCTGAACAGCGGTCTGGGGCATCAGAACTTTCGATGCCATCGTTCGTGCAGCAGGCATAGTGGACTTGATAACGTTCTTGGCCGCGGTGGACCTGGCGAGACGAGGAAGGACCATGATGATTCTGAATATATGCGGTGGTTAGAAGGGCAACGGTGTAGAATGAGGGTATGGTGCTCCTTACAAGGCTCTGCTGTTCAGATGATGAACGAACGTACGGTTGGGGGTCCCAGCTAGAAATCCGCGCCGCACGATCCCGAACGTCGGCGAGATGCAGGTGCAGCACCAACCAGCACCAACCAGCATCAACAAACAACAACAATGGCAGAACAACCTCAGTCGGCTTTCTCAGGGAGCGAATTCTTTGAGAAGGAGCGTGCTCGTCTCGTTGGAGAGATTGGCCAGGTCAGTTTGCCTCTCTGTGCTACTGTGGTATCGGGCTGACGTTGGACTGCACGCAGAGCATGGAGCAGATCATTACCAACTTGAACCTCCTGAATCGCAATCTCGAGGGTGTCGTCGCTGTTGGAAAGGAGTTTGAGAGCGTGTCAACGCTATGGCGCATTGCAAGTGACTCCACAAGGTCCACAGCCAAGGAGCCGACCGAGGGGTAGTAAGGGGAGCTGTGCGCAGGCTTCGACACCATACATTCCCTGACCCTTGCCACGGCAGAGCTATAGAGGCGACGGAGGACCACGGAGGATGTAGACGAATCTCTGAACTGATTCGACAACGATGGAGGGGGTGGAGCGTTCAGAACGGTTTTCTGCACGATAGAATGGGAATTCGAGATTGGGAGTTCAGGAGTTATCTATAATGTTTTGTATTACGATGAGAGTTATGATTGATACCCCGCCGCCTGCGGTCCAGAGTCCATGATGAAAAACCTATTGTATACCCATTTTCACAGTCCCTACGCTTACGACCTCTCGCTGGCAGTAGCAGCCTCTGGCACACTACGTCCGGAAAGCAAGTCCAAAATGTTGTGCATAGGTTTCCACCAGGCCTGCCTGGGCCTTCTCGCAGCAATATCGGTCTCCGTCTCCTCCAAAACGTCGATAGGTGTGAAGATGATACCAGCTCCACGGATACCAATAACAGCGGCGGTCTCGGACGCGGCACGCTCCTCCAAAGACTTGAAAGCGTGCTGCTCCAACCACTGAACGGACTTGACAGCAAGACGAGCGGCACGGACACGGTCAAGAGGAGAGGGGATACCACCCTGCTGGACGTGCCCAGGAACAGCGGAACGAGCCTCAAACTTCTTGTTAGCCTCCTCACGGATGATGTTAGCCAACACCTCAGTAGTGTAAGTGTTAGAAGCACGCTCGTTCCTCAGAACCAAGCGCCCAGCGCGGTTCTCTCCCTGGTCGTGAGCGTAAGACCTCTTCAAGTGCTCCACGTCCTCCTGCAACATCTTAAGGTTGATACCCTCCTCAGGGGTGTAGACGGCCATGGCACCGATAACGAGACCGGCAACTGTAGCAACGTAGCCAGACTTACCACCTTGCACCTCGACAACGAAGACCCTACGACGGGTAGCGCTGGCAGACTGCTTGATAACGTCACAGTACTCCATAAGGGCGTTCAAACAAGTGTCGCTACCAAGAGAGAACTCGGTACCGGGAACGTTGTTGGAGATGGTAGCGGGCAAGCAGACCATGGGAATGCGGAAGGCAGGGTAGGAGGCACGAGCGCGGCGAAGCTGACCGAGAGCGGTGAAAGCCTCGAAGCCACCGATGATCAAGAGACCATCGAAGCGGTGCTTTTGGAAAGCCCAAGCTGCAAGACCGAGGTCGATGTCGGGGGTGGAACGGTTAGTACCGATCTCAGATCCACCACGAATCTCCCAGCCATCGACATCGATCCAGGAAAGCTCGCGGACAGAGTCGTGCCGAAGAAGTCCAGGGAAACCGTTGTGGACAGCAAGGGGAACGTGGCCCTGGTTCAAACAGAAACGAGCAGCAGCACGGGTAGCCGCGTTCATACCACCAGCAGGGGCACCGATGTGGATGATGGCGATACGAAGGCTCTTGTCCTTGGGAGTAGACTTGGCCTCGTCGTTGACAATGGTAGTGTGAACGTAAGTATCGTAGAAGTCGGCGAACTCAGGGTCACGGAGCTCCATCGCCTTGCGGAAGTCCTTCTGCCCGATGGCCTCAGCGACCGAGTGGGTAAGCTTGACAGCCTCCATGAGGGGCTTGCGGGTAATCTTGTTCTCGTTGATGGCGATGACGGGGGAAGGAGTTTCAGGGGTGGAGTCCAAGACAGCCTCAACAGCCTCAACACCCTGAAGAGTGGCAAGCATACGGTCGTAGGCGCAAGGAGTACCACCACGCTGAGTGTGGCCGAGGGTGGTGACACGAGTATCAAGACCGAGACGGTTGACGCAAATGTCCTTGAGGTAGTTGGGGGTGATGGGCTTCAACTCACGGTCGATAGCACCCTCAGCGACGATGATGATGGTCTTTCGCTTACCCATGTCACGGTGCTTCTGCAAGACCTTGCACATGTCGCTCTCCCAGTCTTCGCCCTCCGGAGGCCTCTCGGGGGTGAAGACAAAGTCCGCACCCGTAGAGACGGCAGCCATGACGGCCAACCAACCACAGTGCCTACCCATGACCTCAACAATGAAAGCGCGAGAGTGAGACAAAGCAGTGGAACCGATAGAGTCGACGGCCTCACAAATGCGGTGGAGGGAAGAGAAGGCACCGATGGTGGCATCGGTAGAAGACATGTCGTTGTCAATGGAACCGACAAGACCGACGATGTTCAAGTGACGGTAGGGGGCGACCTGCTCCTCGGTCATGACCTCGGTGTCGATCAACTCCTGGACAAGGCTGGGCCATTCAGAACGGAAGAGGTCAGCACCAGTCAATGAACCGTCACCACCACAGACGACCAAGGCGTCAATACCGGCCTCGATCAAGTGCTTAGCACCGGTCAAACGACCCTTACGCTCCTTGAAAGCCATGCAACGAGCGGTACCGATCAAGGTACCACCCTCGGAAAGCCAACCACGGACGTCGGACCAAGCCATCTTCTTGATAAGATCACCACCCTGAACAAGACCCTCGTAACCTTCGTAGATCGCGTAAGCATCGCAGCCACGAGCGATGGTCATACGAACGACGGCACGAACAGCAGCATTCATACCGGGTGCGTCACCACCAGAGGTCATGACACCGATACGCTTCTTCTTGCCATCTGGTGGCACTGGCTGGCTAACCAATGGAGTCTCGATCGGAGCCTGTACAGGGGTCCGTGAAGGTGCAGGAGCAGCGGTGGCGAAAGGGTTGCGCTTAGAGGTGAATCCGACAAGGGTGCCGACTGGGTCGTAGGTGTAGATCTCCGTGGGAGTTCCGGTCTCGGGTCGGGCCTGGAATGACTGTTTGCGCGATTTGATGTATTCAAGGGCAGAGTTGAGGTTGCCGGTGTACATGACGAAAGCCGCCTTCTTCGCTCTCCACTCACCCTCCGCTTCAGCCTTAGCATCCACTGGGGATCCAGGGACCAAGCGGATCTTCAAGGTGACATCCTCGCCGTTGCCGGCATCAGCAAAAGCATGCAACCACGTTTCCTTGGCACTGTCGGAAGAGTGCTCTGCCGTCTTTTGTGAATCGGGACCTCTCTCGAAAACAGAGGTTTCGCGGAAGCCGAGAGCGCCGTAGAATGCGACGGTGTCGTAGAAAGCGTCCTCGGTGGTTGCGACGATGGAGAAGAACGAAACACCCTGGACAATTGGGGCAGGGAGTTCGACGTCGGGCATTGTATATAGATCAGAGGTATAGAGCAGCAGCAGCAGCAGGGAGAGGGAGTGCTCAGCTTATCTACGATCTGAACGGTCCTACGAGCCAAATTTTGGGTTCTGCACGTGCATGACGGTTCCGCTCCGCGCGCGCTGCAAACTAAACCACCGGTATTCTGTCATTGGTGCGCCTAGGAGTCCTTCTCGGGTTGCGATTGAAAGGGTAATTGCTGACTGGAACTTGGCGGGAAGACCATTCGGTTTGAACGAGATTCGAGGTGCTGTTCGGCTGTGTGGACGCGGGGATGTTCAACGTCTTCTTGCGACGTCTACGTCGACCGGTCGCCCACTGCCGCTGGCTGGACAACAAGGCGCACGGATTCTGGATGGCCTCAGATCTACAATGGCCATGACAAGAAAGGAACTTGAGGAGATGTTGAACGAGATTCGAGGTCAGCGCTCTGACATTCCCCCGCAATGCTACCCGCATCACGCGGCGGCTGCCGAGCGCAGTCGTTCCCCTCCGCCGTCTTGCCGATCCCTGTGACCGAACCATCGACCGCCAGCATACACCCCGTACCCCTATATAAACCAACGGGACCCGCGATCCAGCATGCAGCATACAACCTGACAAAACTACTGCTACTCTATATCCAACATGGGATTCGGAACCTGGATCATCAAGGGTACTTGCTTCCTCTACTCTCCGTCTATGGACGTGTAACTTACTCTACTCGGCAGACACCCTCGCTGGCAACACCGACCGTCCTCGCTCAAGCTCAGTAGTCTCTGACGCAACCGAAGTGGACAACGTCTCCACCTTTGGCACCTCTCCAGTCCAGACTCGCTCCTACTCAGTTTCCACCGCCACCGAGCAACCTTGGGTAAACGCTACTTATGCCAACCACCGCGGCTCCTTCGGCGCAGACCAGTGCGGTGTCGAGAACAACACCCTTCAAAAGTGCTATACCAAGTCTGGTGACTGGGCAAAGTGTGAGCAGGAGGTTATGAAGTTCAAGAACTGCTGGAAGAGCGTGAAGTGAACTTGCCGCGGCCGAGGAGAGCATCCTGTGTGCACAGAAGCATCAACAGAAAGGAGAGTGTACGATTATTGAGGGACATGGTTTGGGTGGGTCTGGGTTGATCCTACGGTTACAGGCGTACATTGGTGTTTGCGATACTTCTCTTCGTTTTTCGTCCTGCTGTCGTACGCGTACGTGTACGGCCGAGCTTTAGCATCGATGCGATAGCAATTCTATATTTTACGATTTACTGCGCACGGGTCTTGCGGGAACCCGACCGTCGGACTTCTCGAACCCAATTCCGGGTGGCTACCGGCAGGCCGTGCGGGGCAGCGCCGTTCCATCCCGTTTGCCAACCCGACTATCGCCGAGACACGGCGGTCGACATTGACCGACAATCCCTGGGAGTTTCAGAAATGGTGCTCTGCCATGAGCTGATCATGAAGCAGCTACAGCAGCTGCTTCATGATCGCGATGACCAGGCAACAAGTCCAATAAGATATTAGGTATATTACTGTGGTATTGCACCAGCTTCGTCACCACAAGATTATACTCATACAACGTGCCTCTCCATGCTTTTCACTTTCACCACTTAGTGGTCACCGTCTCGTCCATCCTGAGCAGCCCCAGCCGCCTCAGGATCATGCCTAGCCTTCTCCCTCTCAACCTCCGCCTCACTCGAAGCATCCTGTCCAGCAACAACAGACTTGTAATCAAGCCACTTGACAAACTTATAAAACCCAGTCGCCAACAATGATCCCAAAAAGGGACCAACCCAGTAGATCCAGTGGTATCCGACAAAGGACCTACCAGCAACAGCGGGGCCGAACGAACGAGCGGGGTTGAGGGAGCCACCGGTGTAATAGACACCCCAGAGTTCGGCGACGAACAAGGCCAATCCGATACCGATGGGAGCGATGAAGGTGGATTTGTTCTTCTCTGCGGCCAACATCAAGATAACGAAAACCAACTGGGCAGTCAAGAACATCTCGAGGAACAGCCCGCGGCTGATGCTCATACCGGGGACAAGGGTGGTAGTGACGGCCAACCCTCCAGGCGTGAGTACGTCGACAATGGCAGCAGCGACTATGCCACCGAGGATCTGGGCGATGGTAAGAGTGATCATGCGAATGGGAGGAATGGCACCGGCGAGAGCGAGGGCGAGGGAGACGGCGGGGTTGAAGAGTCCACCAGAGATACGGAAGAATGCCCAGACGTTAATGGCCAAGCTGAATCCGAATGACAAGGAGATATAGATCAACTTGCCGGCGTCAGCGGTAGCATTGACGCTGCTGCTGTTTCCACTAGACGTCGAATTACTGCTGGTGTTCAAGTTGGCGATATTGCACCCTGTTTCAATCGTCAACACTCAATTCTAGGCAGTCTATTGGGGATGTATGCACCTCCAAAGGCAAACATCAAGAACATCGTGGTCCCAACGAATTCACCGCAAGCAGCAACGAACTCATTCTTCCATTGAAAGATGCTCTTCTGATATGGATCGTTTGGGTTGACTTCGTGACGGCGGAGAGGGATCTTCATAACAAGTGAAGTGAAGTGGATCGCTGTTGTCTAAGCTTACGAGGAGGGCGACTCCGGAGAGGGGAGCAGTACTTCTTATGGGCAATCCCAATTAAGGTGTGGCGAGATGGAGAATTGGCGATTGACCTTGGCATGAAAGAATGAAGGAAGGTATACTGCCTGACATAAGCGGCGCTTTCTCTCGTTTCGCTTCCCATTTGGAGCGTGCAAGCTTATTCCTGCTGAGCACTAGTTGCCCCCCGATCGTAAATGCTGTCATAGCCGCGGTCGCCGTTGCTAGGAGTGCCTGCAGAGACTTGCCGCACAACAAACAACACGCCCGGGAAGACGACAGCATACACTCCCAATCCAATGGCAGAACAACCATCCAGTGCTGCTGCTGAGAGCACCATTGCTTTGGTCGAAGGGCCTCGCGTTCAACGTCTGCGTCAAGTACTCGATCGATGTCTGACACAGACCGTCAAAACATGCAGGTTTGTCGAAGTCAGACGTGTTCTACGGGCATACATACTGACAGAAGGGCCGCCAGCTATGAAAGAATGGCCCAATGCTTCCCAACACTGGCCATGGAAGGCCCTGAGCAACTCCGGAGCGCACACGGCCAAGTAACAACTTTTCTGCGATCACAAGTCGAGCGCGAGTTTGAGGAGATCCTGAAGGAGCGAGGGACTGCTCAGAAGCTCAATGACCTTGATAAGTTCATCGAGAAAGCAAAAGAGAGGAAAACCTCCGGTGACGCAGAGTCTGTACTGTGTGTAGCATACACCCCCTTGACTCCGACAAAAGCTGACCGCATTCACAGACCCACATCCCTACCACCTGACAACATCCTCCGAGCACATGTACTACCCGTCAAGAAACAAGAACTAGCCTTCCTCAAAGCCAAACTTGCAAGAATACAAGCATCGAATGACAACCTAGCCACAGAAGTCGACAAGCAACAAACAGGGATCACTGAAACGACCCAACGCATGCGTAAAGCATTTGAAGAACTCGATCAAGCCGTACAGACATCGCTTCAGATTCCCGTCCAAGAGATGCAGGCACATATGGAGGAGATCGTGCAAGAGAAGATCGAGGCGTGATGTCGTGGATGTCTTTTTGGGGATATGGGCGGGTAAAGGAAGTCTTTCGGGGAGTCAGTCTGTTTCATCTGGGTAACATTTGGTATATTGTTTAATGGTATCGCACAACTCTGTTCTTCGTCAAGGGGATGTCGGGTATTCGGGATCATACTCCCTCGTGTCCACACCTTCATCATCAGTCTCGTCCTCATCCACGGGTTTGACCTGGAATCGACCGTCTGTCGAACTTGATGACGATTCCGGTCTTGAAGGCCGAAACACGGGCTTGAAACCTGACGAGCTCCCGCTCTCAGCCGGCGCCCCAAACGCCTTCTTAAACCCTCCAGCCTTCTTGGCCATACCCGCGGCCGATGGTGCATCCTCCGAGATGACCCGCATTCCCGATTCTCTCTGTTCCCTCTCTCTCCGTCTCGCAATATCATTTGGATCTTTTTGTAGCGCTCGCATTTCTCGGAAGCGTGCGCGGTGTCCGTGGTCGTAGGATGATAGATGTGCTTCGTATTCGGATATTCTGTCCCTTGATTAGCGACATCACTATGAGAAGAGGTTAACATGCATACCTTGAGTAGCCTTTGTCACATAGCTCGCAGTAGAATGCTTTGGCAGCTGCCTTTGCTGCTTCTGTCTACTGAGCGTTTCAGGATACTGTTCCTCCAACATGATCGGATCTCTTACCTTTGCAGCGGGGAGTGGTGCTGAGCGGGCTGGTGGCATGGTCAAGTGCTGGACTGGACGATCGCTGTTATTTGAGTTGCGTGCTGCTGTTAACTTAAGGTTGGCCGAACATGCACGTTCATGTCGTATACCACCTCAGACTGCAGTTGACCGGCGTGTCGTTTGGACATTGTACAAAATTACAATTACAACAGATGTTTCAAAAGTATCATGTTCAGTAGCCAGTAGCCAATCCGCCACTCCTAATTCACCGCCGATGCCTCAGATATCGTACCGTACACACTCACCCACGCAACGCCCTCAACCTCTCCCCTAAATCATCCTCCACGTCCGGCTTCACTGCGATCTTCGTCTTCACCGGCGCAGCTCCATCCAACTCCTGGTTCAATTCCAACCCCGCTTCATCCGCCACCTGCTGCATCAACAGGTCCACACCTTCCTGTGGCGTTGCAGTCGCCGTAGTTGAACCCATAGCATTCTCGAGATAGGAAGATTGAACATCAAGGTCTTCCAATTGAGATTCGAATTTTTCCATGACCATTGAGATCTGAAGAGGAGGAGTTAGCCAGATGTATCGATAAGTGCCTGAATCCGGACTCACCTTCTCCAAGTTCATCGATTCCATCGCACGATCCATTCCCTTGACCACCCCGGCCATGTTTCCAGTGACCTAGCATAGCTGTTAGCTTGGTCTTATGGTATCCTACAATTAAGACGTACGTTTCTCATTGTAACAGCTGTCTGTACCCTACTTGCCACCGCATCAATCCGTGACGCAAGCCGCAGCAGATTCAAGCTCTCTTGTTGCTTTCGTACAGCATTTGAAGCGTAAATTCGTGCGATATCATGATTGCCTGCCTGGATGGCCTGTAGGACGAAGTCAGATATATTGCGCACACCATGCCAAGACCTCATTGTGACGAACCTTTTTAACCTTCGCCTTCTCCGACTTTTCGTCTTTAGTAGCCTTCAGGGCCTGTTTGTTGAGTTGCTTTGCTGTGAACTGTGAAGATTATTGTCGGTCAGTGATGCGAGGAGGATAGATGGATCAGAAGCACCTTGAGCTGGAAGAGTGATTCTGGACAGAGTTAACAAACGACGCACAAAGAAAGGGACAAGACGCTCACTGTCTAATCCTGACGACATGGCAATGGCTCCAGATGGTGCTGCTGGTACGAGGAAGAATGTTGATCAGGACTTTTGTTCTTTCGGGGAGGAGTTGTGCGGTGCCAGACCCTGCAGACTGCGAAACGTCATACATAGGACTCGATAAGGACGATACGGTAACACCAAAGAGCAATGAAAACCAAGAAACTTGATTATGAAGCGAATAGAAGAATCGAATTAAACTCCACTAAATCAGAAATGTGTCCAAAGAGCATGTTCAAAACGTCCGAAAACTCCACGAGCATGGGTAGCTCAGAATGTCTATAAGCCATCACAATCATTGCATCGTCCAATCTCACGGTTCAAGCCTTACATCGTTAATCAATGGTAGACACCTTCGGAGAAGCTGTTACTCCTGTGTCTCTTATGACCCAGAACCGGCAAGGAGCGCATCGGCTCCGTGTTGCTATCACAAGGTCCGTATCGACCTGGGTTCACGTAATGCGGGGTTTCTTGCACGGGCGGGAGAGGGTGTGGAAGGGTATGGTTCCGCTCGAAAGAAATTCCCAACCCCGAAGATGACGTAGGAGCCTCCTGATACACCGACTGCGACGGAGGATGCTGCGGGTAACGAACCTCCTGATGTTCCTGTTTCAAAGTGGAGGTATGGAGAGGAGCCAATGGCGCATGGCCGCTTGCTGTCCAAGTAGCCGATGGTGGTCCAGTCGAGTGTTGCTGTTGCATATAGGGAGAGTGCTGATGATATCCAATTGGTGTGGATGGACCCTCAAACGAGTGGTTCGACTGCATGTACGGACTGGGCTCAGACCAAGATCGCTCAGACCAGGAGCGCGGAATATCCGGCGAATACGACGTGTGGGGTGAGTATCCGCACGGAGCACGCCGGACAGGCGAAGAAGATTCACCACCATGATACCCAGGCCCATCATAGAACGCCGATGTCTGACTCATAGGGGTATCCTGACCAGAGGAGTACGATGAAGGTGCAGAAGAATGGTGATTTTGCATCAAGGAAGGCGAGGACATGGATGAAACGGGTGGACGATGAGGATACGGCCTGGACCATCTTTGAGGATCCCTCTGACTTTGTTGACTTTGACTTGCAGGACCCAAGGGCAAAACGAACTCAGGCTGGGGGACTTCCCGAGTCGGCCTGAAGACATCTTCGGGAATCTGAGGCGACCGGCGTCGACCATGAGGTTCATTGCTGGACGAAGGAACGCTCAGATTCGGAGATCGGTTCATATTGAGCATGGGAATAGCCCTCGATTGTGAAATACGATTGGCGTCCTCAGGAGAGATGCGCTTGAGCTTCGCCCTCCTGTTCTGGAACCACACTTGGATCTTCCTCGCATTCATCCCCGCCACACACTTGGCCAGCTCTTCGCGACGCTCTGCAGTCGGTCTCGGATCGCTGGCGAACTCGCTCAACAAGAAACGCGTTTCAGCATGCGATAGACGGTGTCTCTTTTGCTTCTTCTTTGCGTTGGCCGCCGAACGGGCACGTCTAAGGACATCGTGAACTCCATCAACGACTTTCCGCTTGGCAGCTTGCGAACCGTCGTATTCCTCGTCATCATCTCCATCATCAGGAATAACGACGTCCGGGTAGTCCGGGTATTCACCCTCGTCTGTGTCGTCTGAGCTTCGGTCGCCCGTGTCATTCCCGTGAGACGAGTTCATGTGATGTGACATTTGGATTCCAGAGGATTCTCCGTCAGAGGCGTAGTCGTCCACGTCGTTCCCAGAGTAAGGCGACGAGCCACTGATCCGAATGGTCAGTTGGCTGGGAGAGACCCAGGGTTGAGGGACGTTTTGGTAGGTAGGGCTTTCAAACTCGTGGACGGCGGGCGGGATCCGAATAGTATGGGGCTTGACGTCGAGTTGCCTCCCTCGCTGGGGTGACCCGAAGGGCGTGTCAGGGGATGACGGTCCGTATCGTTCTGTACCGAAGGTCACTCCTGAGGAGGACATCCTAACCTGAGGATGAACAGAACAAATATCCGTAATTCAGAGGACGGGCCTGAAGAGCAGCTGGCCAAGATTTAGTTATGGAGCGGGGAGATAAGGCTCATCGTCAAATACCTTCGATTTTCCCAGTTCGCCAATATCGTCCAGAGTGTATGCCAGCAACGAGATAGACAACCTATGAAGGTATATGGAAGACGAAAGCTGTCTTGCCTTTACAGCACGAGCAGATCAGTGTTGAGGACGGCATTGGTTGACCTCCTTATTTGTAACGGGCTGGGAGGAGAGTGCGCTCGGGCCCTCGCTGTTGGACTGGCATGGGTGTGTATCATTGCTGCAACCCCCGGCGAAACTCAACCGTCCAGGCAAGACATGTACGCCATCGACTTTAAGGGAAGTTTGAAGATCCCCGTAGCCGATTGATCATATTTATTTAAAAAGAGAAGAGTATTGCGGAAGGCAGAGTCTCTATTCACAATGATCAGCTGTGGGATACGAATCTCCGCGCTTTCGGTCGTGAGCGACCCGAACGACGTCCCCGCAGCCGCATGTAGCCAACCAGGCAGCCGCCTACACGCACCCGCAAACAAGATCAAGCCTGCCGAGGTTGGATTTCCGGATCCTGTATTTCCACCTCCTACTTCATCCTTCGTTTCATCATGCCTGATTTCGTTTCGTCTTCTTGCCGTCCAATTTTGCACGCTTCTGATCCTTCAATGGTGCATCCCGCTCCTGCTTCCGCTTCCGCTTTGCCTTTGCCTTTTCCTTCTTTCTCTTTTTTCCCGCTACCCGAGCTTTAATGTCCGCTGCCTTTTGCTCAACAGCTCTCAACTTTCGCTCCCATATTGAGCGGTCGTTGTAGGGATGCTTGAATTCGCTGCCGTCTGGGGGATGAAACCTGACAATATCGGTTAGCACACAGATGAACACAAGTAACGAAAACGGGATCCTACCAGTAGTTAAAAGCCATATGAACAGTCCCGTTCTTCGACGAAGAACTAGTGACCTCATGGAACCAACTCGCCGGGAGGTAGAGCATCTCGCCCTCCTCCAAATGCCCAACCAGAGCATTTGCCGTCTTAAGTAGCGGAAAATCTTTCACATTGCCCTTGGGAGCCTTCGAGATCGTCGGAAGATCCAGATGATTATGGAGATACGACACTGGGATGGTAGAGAACGACACCGGATCCTCGTCTTCCGGTATATCGAATCCAAGGCCTTCCTCTTCTTCACTATCATGGTCATCGTCGCCATTGAACTCGCCAAACGTAGGACCGTCCTCCTCATCGGAAGATTCTTCTTCATGAACATCGTTGGGCTTTGCCGCCTTTGATCCCAGTGTTTCCCAGTCACCATCACTCTCGCTCTCCTCAAAGTCATCACCGCCGTCACCAAGTTCCAGATCCTCTTCATCATCTTCATCACCCAACATAGCAAGCTCACCCATTGCATCCTCAAAAGCCTCTTCAGCCGCCGCAATAGCTTCTTCATCTGCACCTTCTTCGAGCTTATGCCAACGCTCTTCCAGCGCGTCCACCTTCTCCTGCGCTGCCTCCCTCTCCGTCAATCCGTCAGCTCGTGATGGTCGGTTTGTGTAAGAGATCAACCCATTCTGATGTACGGTATCCAGCTCTCCGTAGGTGTACATAGAAGGGTGGGCTGATGGCGGGTAGAGCACGAAGCGCTTCTTCCCTCTCAAGAGACAGTAGATGTTGTCGTGAAAGTCATGGTGCAACCCGGACGACGTCCCCTCTGATGAGTTCCCGATCCATAGATTCGTCTGCTGCAGGACAAGGTTGCCGGTGATCTTGGGATGCAAAGGAAAGTCTGTAGCGAGGTGATCCATCGGAGGTGGGAGCACACTCGGTTCACCATCTTCATCGTACTGTGTGGTGAGGTAGTATTTGTCCGGTGTGCTGGTAAGTTTGTCGATGAACTCGGAGAATGGCATCTTTAGCTTCTCCGCAGCGGTTCCGAAAGTTTTGACATCCGGATCAATAGGTTCGATCTTTACGGAAGCCGAGCCGGCGGTCTCCTTGAGGTAACCGAGATCCGTCTGTATTATGCGTCAGTCCCTGCAAACCACAGTACTGCTCCAAGGAGACGCACCCATTTCGCCGCCTTGAAGTCTTCATCCTGAATAAGACCCTCGATGATTACCGGCTGTCTCTTAGCGATGTACCGCTTGTGGAATTCCTTTGGATCGACCGTGGCCTTGACTCGGTCTATCTTCGCTCCTTCCGCAGGAACATAGCCTTCGTGAGGTTAGCTGAAGGCCCGATAGACGATGTAACGACTTCCCACCTTTGTATTTGACAGCGTCAGGTTGCTTCTTCGCCATTTCGCTGCGTGTGAGCGAGGTGTAGGAGTACCGACGAAAAGTCAACGAACCGAGTGTGGGGTGCATGGGCTGCACACGATACAGCTGGTTGCAAAATGCTTGTCGTAACTTTCCCATGTGCGCGCGAATCGCAAACTCCATATGACAAAAACCCCTAAAACAACATAGATAAAGGCCTCGGAGGTCGAGTAAGGGTTCAAACTGATCATACCTATCCTTAGCAATCACGTGGTGCCACCGGTTTTGGGCCATAAGGCCTCCCTCAGTCGCTTCATGCTGAAAAGGTGATTTCAGGTTTAAGAAAGAAACGGACCCTGGAAGCCACTAAGGATGCAGCTCCGGGTTCCATGAGATAGAGGGAGCTTGGATGAGCAAGCTCTACGTGTGGTTTCTTTGATTCTAACAGTTTTTGAGGTTTGTGGGTCCAGAGAGTGTTTTCGTTGCTTTCATGCATGCTCATGCAACATCATGCACCTATGCCGAAACCTTTCTTAATGTCACAACTCTATGAGAGACTGTACTACACGCGTTTTGAGGACATCTATCGATTCCTTAGAGTCTGATCTATCAATGTCTCCCCTGAAATCGCCCTCCCAAGCCTTGTCTATGAAGATGGGGGGGTTCATGAAACTATCCCCGCGCAGATAGGCGGTAAAATGCGCCGCGTCAAGCATTTTGCAACCAGCAGTACAGGCATGGTGCGAACATACATCGCCAGTGGTCAATGTATACGTATATGAAGATCCGATGGCCAATATCTAATCAATCTCCATCTTCGCTTTCTTGTGCGTCTCGTCGTCCTGATTTTCGTCCAAACTCCGCTTCACCCCGTGCACGTCGCTCTCCACTCCTCCCATCGCTTGAGCGTCCGGTTTTTCGGATAATGACTGCACAACACTCGTGGCAGACTCAGTCGAAGTGTTTTCTCCCGCGATAACCTCCGCCTTGACTTCCAACATAGCTGTATCAGCCTTCTCGTCCTCAACCTTTTTCTTAGCTTCTTCTCCTGCTCCTCCATCCTTAGCAGGCTCATCAAGCTCAGCTTGCTTTTTTATCGCCTCCTCAATCATCTCAACATTCCCCTCCCCAATCTTATCGAAATACTGCAACTTTGTCTTTGCCGCGATACGCAGCGCTCTCCAGTTCTTACTTGCCTTTGCTTCCAATAACTGCATCTTCTCCTCATCCTGCGTCGCCATCTCCGACTCGAACTTGTCCATCTCGATGCCCTTGATGAATGATTCGGCTTCTGGGACTGTATGTCTCTTGGGTTGGCTGAGGTCTTCGAGGGTGAAGCCACTACCAGTCTTCCACAGCTTCGTAAGTGTCGGAGTGCCCAGGGAATGCATATACGGCCGCAACCCCTCAGTAGATTTCTTGAGCTTAGTTGAAGCATCTGCGATGGTTTCCGAAGGTATAGGGGATTCGCCAAAAGCATAACAGCTGTCAAGCTTCCAATTGAGCCAATTCTTGTCGCGGTCCATGATGCCCTCCAAATCAGCCAGAAATCCTTCGCCATTTGGAGATGATCTTTTGATAATATCTGCGGCTTCTTTACGCATGTCCTTCATCCATGCCAGTTCCTCTTCCGATGGAGTAAAGGTCGGAAGAACTGACTTGTTCGGGGTCTTCAGAGCCGTCAGTTTCGCTTTGGCTTCTGGTGAGAGACTGAGGAAGTGGTCGAGGAGTATCAGGGTCTGTACGAGGATATGCCGTCTGAACGAGGAATCTTCCAGCTGGGTAAAGCATATGAGTTTCAAAAGCTTCGAGGTCTCGGTAGTCTTGACTTACCTCCAGTTTCAACAACTTTCGACTGCTCAAGAACTTCGGATTGAACATGCCTCCTTCACTGCGCTCTGAAGAACCAGAATCCTTCCTGTCACTCTTCGTCCCGGTGTCTCCCCTGAGCTTGCGCTGTGCATCCTCGATCTCCCGTAGTTTCGCGAGTGTTCTTCCTAGAGACACTTCGAATGCAGCAAGGTCCTCACTCTTGTATAACGATGGGGGGTTGGAGAATCGTTCTTGTAGAGACCAGAAGATGGGATAAAACTCGTCTGGACAACCTCGTTAGAACGGAATCACGATTAGGATAAACAATACATACCAAGCACTTTTCGTTCTTCTTCAGACCCATCCTCCACGGCTGGCACATCCGGCTTCGCATCATCAATGTTCATGGCTGCCTCACGTTCGTTGTCGTTGTCAATGAGCGTGACATTGCCGACATTGTAGTCTCCACGCAAGTTCACACCACTTCGATCCACCAGCGGGAATACTCTTGCCAGAAAGATAGTAACACGACCACAGAAAACGGTATCCTCTGCTTTCGAGAGCCGACGCAGGAGCTCGTTGCTGAATCGAAGCAGGATCATGCCAGCTCCTCTGTTACCAGTCAGGTCCTTTGCCAACCGCTCCTTCCGCGACTCCAGATAATCAAAGATCTTCGAACATCCTTCGATCGTTTGAGAATCCACCAGCTCCTCAATCAGGCCGAAAGCTGTATCCCTGCCGCAGAGGTCTTTCTCTGAGCACACCAACGTGATGTCCAGAATAGTGTATATAGCACCGAGCGCGGCATCGATATTGTCGACTTGCGCGACAGCTGAATAGATAGCGAAGCTTGCAACCGTGCTTATCACAGCCCTGTTATCCTTCGCTGCAATCGCTTCCTTCCAGGCATCAATGTCGCTTCCGATGTCGGCTACCGTCAACGGCTGTCGTTCCGGCTGAGCGCGGCCGGCAATGGAGATCACCAGGCTGTCAAAAGCTTGCTGATATCTCAAGGCCATTCCTTCAGCTCCAATCGCAAATCGCAAGTCCGTCTGTCTTGGTGGTGTATGTGCTTCACGTGACGATGTCGAAACGTTGCATGAGCTCAGGGCAGCGACGCGACCCCGGGGAATACGTGAAGGAAGGTGCGACGGAGTTCAGCATTCATCCGTTCCAACAAGCGATCGGCCATTGGCATACAGTCCGGTTATGGCCCAGTCCGCAGCAAGGCCGACAATTGACGAGGTTACCGGCAGTGTATTCGCCCAGATCGCCTCGAGGACCTGGAACACCTCGAAGAGTCGCAAGTTCAATGCTGCGGCCGTCGAAGAAATCTACTCGGAACTGACTGCAACAGCGTTTGCGCCCAAGTCCTTCTATATCCTCGACCAACTGTCTTGTCTGGAGAAGTTCTTGTGGCCGAACTTCAGCGATGATGCATCTGACAAGCATGCTATTGTCACTGCAGCACTGATAGCGATCAGAGCTACCGAATGCCTGGATGTGTGGAAGCAGATCCTTGAGGATGCGGATCAGTTCAGCATCTTCTTCAGACGAGTCACCTCGTTAATGATGCCAACTTCAAGCGACTTCAAGAGTCGGTACTGGTTGTTGACGTTCGTGATTGCTGCCTTCAGATCTCTCGACAACGCTACTATCCGCAAGTCATGCGCACCACTTGTGTCGGTATCTGTCCTGCAACTCCTATCATCGTCAGAGAAACGAGACGCACACTTCGCAAAATACCCACAGCATGCCAAGGCATGGAGAACAGCGAAGAAGAAACTTGATTCTGCAGATGTGGCAGGAAAGGCGCAGTTGCATTTTGAGAGAAGCTGGTTGATCAGCGTATTATTTGAGTTCTTGCAGCTACTGCAGCAGGGGGACGCGGAGACAGATGTCGCCCTGTACTGCGAGCGCTTTGTGGAGTTCCTGGTGGAGCTGGCATCCGTCTTACCAACACGACGTTACCTTAATGTGGTCTTGGCCGATGTCCACCTGCTTGTAGCCATCAAAACATCTCCACACTACAAATCTGGTGGGCTGAGCAAGGATCTGATATCTCTGCTTGATTACTATGTGCACTTTCCAATTGATGACAATACCGGCATTGCCCTAACAGCACAAGAGCAGGAGTCTTTGCGTCACGGTAAGCTTCAGGCTCTTCAGCGTGTAGCGTTTCAGAAGTATCCGGAGTCGCTGAAACTGCTTTCACTTGCGAACTTTGGAGCGCTAAATACGGAGTCCGAGATCCTCGAGCACTTCGAGGGTTTGAGTCACGACGATACCGTTGAACTCTGCTCATCATTAGGTTTCCGGACACAGTACCCGGCAAATGTAAAAATCAACGTCGACCGTAAGTTTCTGATGGAGGTATTGGTGAACCAGTACAAGATGCGGAAGAGCTTGGAAGAGCGGGTTATGGATATGCCAGTCATGCCGACGGAGAAATCCTTGTTCGATCATGATATTGTGCAGGACGAGATGCGCAGTGTTTCTCTTCCGCGCCTTGGACTACAATATCTTACTATCAAAGATTTCTTATGGCGGTGCTTCCGGCTTTCTCGCGCTGAGGGAATGCTCGGTTTCCGCAAACACATCGACGCCGCTGTTCGCCGACTGGAGCCATATGGTCACGGTGCTGAAGTGAAGTTCAACGGCTCATCGAAATGGGCAACTCCCATTGCTAAGCCCGCGATTCTTGAGGTAGTCCCTCCGGCTGTTGGCGAAGATGCGCCGTCCTCTGTCAAGGCTGAGATCCGTATCGATCTTGGGCGGATGTCGGACGCCGCTCGTGATGGCTGGGAATCATTGCAGGTAGGAGGCCTGGTCTTTCTTCTCGTTGTAAAGAGCGGCCGGAAAGGCCGAGATCCTTCTGTGCAGTATGTGCGAACTGCGGAGGTGATGGAAATCACCGACCAACAGGGCCGACCCATCCGTGAATCTGGCGTTCAAAAACCTTCGATCCGCTTGCTTCTAGATACGAAACAGTTCAAACATGATCACGACGATGGTGATGAGGCTGTGTACGATGCAATCAATGTTGTTGTTCGTGGAAAAACATCCTCGAGCACCTTCAAGCCAGTACTGGAGAATATCAAGGCTCTGATACAAGGGGAGGACCCCATTCCGGACTGGCTTGCGAATGTGTTCCTTGGCTACGGTGACCCGAACAGCGCTCACTACAGAAATCTTGACGGGCGACCAGAAGCATTGAACGTTCATGACACTTTCCTAGACTGGAATCACATCGTGGAGTCATTCCAGGGCAAGAAGGTTATACCTGCTGCGGGTACAGAAGAGGGAGCTTCAAGACCGTACATCATTCGTGAGAAGCTTCCGTCTCCAGCTGTTACGAAGACTTCTAAGAAGCGTTCCCGTGCTGAAGCTGAAGGACAGGCGGAGGCAACTGAGGCAACCATTGAGGTTGAGTCGTACAAACTGGAGAGTCGCGGTCCCTTTCCTACCGAGCAGCGTCGTTTCAACAGCAGACAACACTCGCCAGCTCAAGTCGAAGCGATCACCTCGGGTACGAATCCGGGCCTGACGGTTGTCAGCTGCCCACCCGGCACAGGTGATGCTCATGTCGCAGCGCAAGTTGCCAGCAACATCTATCAGGCTTTCCCTCAAGAACGCACGGTGATAGTCGCCAAGAACAAGGGGGTGCTTAACCGTATCTTTGAGAACCTGGCTGCCCTGGATATCGCCAACCGCCATCTGCTCCGATTTGACAGTGACGATGCGGATGTGGCGCCAGGCAAGGTTGGGCGGGTGGAGTACCTCGCCGAAAGACGGATGCAGTTGCTTTCAGAAGTTCAACGTCTTGCGTACGCAATGAACGCTCCGGGAGCGCACGGAAATTCCTGCGAAACAGCCAGTTACTTTGCCGATGTTTACGTCAAACCCGCTTGGCGAAAATTCAAGAACCAGATTTCGGCCGCCAGTGATGCAGCAGCCGTATCAGCAGCGTTTCCCTTCCATGCATTCTTCGCATATGCTCCTCAGCCGTTGTTCTCTGATGCGTCCATTAAGGAGAATATTTCGGTCGCTGAGGATTGCTACAAGCACATGCAGAACCTCTTCGAAGAGCTTGGAGGCCTTAGGCCACTTGAACTTTTGAAGAGGCGGAAGGACAAATTGGATTACCTTTTGACCAAGGAAGCCCGCATCATAGCTCTGACTTCAGAGCAGGCTATTACCAAATGCAAGGAGTTCATTGAAATGGGCTTCCGTTATGACAGTGTCATCATCCCAGACTGTGCCTACATGTCAGAACTGGAAGCGTTTAGTACGCTCGCCCTGCAGTCTCAGAGCAACGGTGTCAATCAAATTAAGAGATTGATCTTGCTCGGAGACGACAAACGTGCCGTGTCTGTCGTGCAAGATCTTCCTACCCAGGTGAACTTCAACCAAAGTCTCTTCAGCCGCCTGATGAGACTTGGTGTTCCCGTGGTACACCTGGACAAGCAGAGTCGTACAAGGTTCCCAGAATTGTTTTCTTGGAGATACCATGGCATTGAGGACAGTTCGACCATCAAAGAATCACCCGAATTTTCTACAGCAAATGCCGGTTTCCGCTACGACTATCAGCTTGTCCATGTTGCAGACTACAAGGAAGAAGGCGAGGTCGAATCAACTCCCGGCTCCTTCCAAAACCTTGGAGAAGCCGAATATGCAGTCGCTATCTTCCAATATATGCGTCTGCTTGGATACCCAGCGCAGAAGATCACCATCTTGTCTGCGTATACCGGGCAGCAGGCACTTATCAACGGCGTCCTCGATCAGCGTTGCACTAGGAATCCACTATACGGTGTACCCGCTAGAGTAGCAACGATTGATGAACTCCACGGAGAACACAACGACTATGTCATCTTCTCTTCCGTGCGCACCAAGGAAGTCGACATGCTTCGCGATGCTCGCCGTATGACTGCAGTAATGTCATCCGCAAGGCTGGGCCTGTATGTACTGGGTCGTCAGGAACTCTTCCAGTTATGCCGTGATATCAAGCCCACGACTGATCTGCTGCTGGCGCGGCCAACTAAGCTCCAGCTTGTTACTGGAGAGATGTACCCTACGAAGCGCGAGGTCGGTGCTGAGGCAAGCGCAGTGGAGATGGAGGGTGTGGAGCATCTGGGAGCATTTGTGTACGAAATGAGCAAGAAGGTAGTTGAGCAGTTAAAGGCCGAGCGCATGGCGTAGTAGAATAGAAGGCATCTAGGTTCAGGATTTCTCTATACGTAGCAACGATCTCTGGTACCTCAATCCTTTTTCCGATTTCGCGAGATGAACGCCTTTATACTTGCGTTTCCAGCATCTGACACATAGAATGAACGTTTTGTGGCATTTTCCCATAGCACAACACCCAGATCCTTCGCGTACTTAAGCACGAACTCATAATCATTTGTTGAAGCAAAGTCATGCCACAACCACCCTTCATTTGCTCGTATACGGTTCTTGTCCAGCTCCCATAATCGAATCTGGTCAACAACAGTAGGTGGTATTAGAGGTTGTTGTCTTCTCATCTGAGAATGCGCGTGTGTAGTTAGATACTGAATGATTTGGTCCGCATTAATCCCATTCTTTAAAGCCTCAAGGACAGATTCTCGTGTGATAATACCCGTGACCATGTTAGGAAAGCGTGCTTTCAGGCTTGCAAAAAGGCGAAGGACAGCGATCTGGAGCGGCGAGTTTGTATACGCGTATACCTTGTAGTTTGTCTCCAGTACAATGAATCCGCTCTGGGAACCTGGATCCAGTTTTGCTGATAGCGCCCCTTGGAGGCCTGCGGCGGGACGTTTCCATTGACCGGCATGTGCTGTCAGAGTTGTTGCTAACCGAGTCGGATAGAATCTCCGAGATGTGCTCTTTCGTTGGTAGACAACACCATAATCTCGGAGATCCTCCAGCATGATTCTTTGTGTCGGAGTCAGAAAATCCGTTGAATAGTCTTGACCAAGCTCCAGTGATCCAAGCATAAAGAGGAAATGCAGCACCTCAACCGGATCCATCTCCAACTCCTCTGCAACAGTCAAATACTGCAGTAACAGCGCCCATATCTGCGCATTCACGTCCTGTAACAGGAACTGGAAACCCGCATTTGTGATACTCATCGTCTCTCTCCTCTGTGGATTCCCTTCCATCAGCCCACTTTTCTGCAGTAGGCGTACCACACCATCTCCAGGCATTCTATCCATAAGAGTGTTGACCATGAAGTGCAAAATCATCTCCCACTGCTCTGTCGCATGGCTATCAAGAAAGCCAACCGTCACCGCATTCTTGTCAGCTGTGCTGCATGGTACTCCAAACGACTTGTGGTCACCTCCTCCAGTCAATGCAATGCGGAAGTTTGTTCGAAATGCTGGGTTCATTGTTACTTCTCCTTTATACTCCTTGTATATCTGCATCCTTTTCAGCTTGTCCATCGCACTGTTCTGCCGTCCCTTGCTTCCTGGTTCCACCCAAGCATCAAAACTTGCGGCTTCTACTGGTGCATCATTGTAGAGTGTGCTCATGACGAACTGCTTTGCAAGGCTTGGTAGGAGACGGAATATGGCGAGACATGTTGCGGGTTTCTGATATAACCGGGAGAACACCGGCGCAGGCAGACCTTCCAGGTAGTCATTCTGCCACCAAGGCAGTCAGCATATATCCAGAACAATGGCGGGAGCAGAGCCATACGATGCTGGTCTTGAAGTCTGTGGACGTGCTTGCCATCCAGGCCTAGCTGTGAGCGTCTTGTTGTTGGGTCGCATTTTGACGTACGAACGGGCTGCAGCGGAGCATGCCGGTGCTTCCCCGCGCTCCGAACTCCGAACTCTAAAGTGAACAAAACGGCTACCAACTGATCCTCGACCCTTTTCGACTCGATCCGTTGACGAAACGACACGATGGCATCTGCTAAATGTTTGGACTTCACCAAGGCCGTTTGGCGCTCCTTCATTGACCATGGCGGTCTTGACGCGAAGGTGTTGGCAAACGTGAGTCTTTATCCGGCAATCCGCATTGCAATACACCGAGCATCGATTGCTGACCTTGGCGAAGATGTCCATCATCAGCGCAACACCAGGAAAGCTCAAGTGTCAAATGCAGATAGAGAAGCATCACGTAAATGTGCGTCCATTGATGATTCCCGGCTCAAGGTGAATCGATCACTAACAACCCCTTAAGCGCTACAACACACTCCACGGTGGCACAATCGCAACGATGGTAGATCTTGGAGGTACTTTAGCTGTGGCGACTCGGGGCTTGTGGACCACGGGTGTCAGCACGGATATCAACATCACATATATCAGCTCTGGTGGAACCATCGGTGACACGATTACAATGGTGTGCAAGGTCGTTTGTGCCGACGTTCGTTTCAGATGACTAACGGCCTGCACAGGAGGGAGAAGTTGTCAGACTAGGTAAAACCCTGGCTTTCACCAGCGTTTTCTTCATGAACGCGAAAGGGGAGATGTTCGCAAAGGGTAATCACACCAAGGTAAGCTCGCTCTCCCCTCCTAAATGTAGGGTATCTCACAAGGTCAATAGTTCGTAGCGAAGTGCTGGACAGATGAGAGAAACAAGGGTACATCATTGGACTGGCTTCCTTGTTCTGGCTTTGCTAATGAATGCCTTCCAGTGGAGGAACTACACGCTGAAGAGGAACCCGCCGGTAAGACCGTTGTGTGATATACCAGAGACGAAAGAGAGATCACTATACCCATACTCATAGGAAGTAACATTTCAAAGTTGTAACTCCGACCAGAATCACATTACATTTCGCTGTGCAACTTGGGCAGCCAGGGGGCCCGAGCACGCTACTGTACTGCGGTGCCGACACCAAGAACCCGACCCGCTGAACGTCGAGGTAGCAGGTAGCAGGTCGCATACACCCTGGACGAAGGATTGAAGGAAGAGAAGGCGTGCAATACATCTGTGAACAAGCAGCGTAGCCGGAGAAACCCACTCTTTACTCCTGCCATCAATTGATGGTGAACGGCCTTTGCGCATCATGAGCGCCATGCAACCTCTCCCAGACGTCTTGCTCCCAAAGCTATTCTCCGACCTCAAGAGCAAGAACGAGGATGCGCGTCAACGATCAGCCGGAGAACTACGAGACTATGTCGCCGCGACATCTCGCGAACTTTCCGGAGAAGCGCTCACAAGGTTCAACAATGACATTAACCGCCGGATCTTTGAATTGATCCATTCGAATGATGTGAATGAGAAAATTGGAGGTATTTTGGCGATTGACAGACTTATTGACTATGAGGGGGAGGAGAACACTACGAAGATTACGAGGTTTGCGAATTACCTTCGAATCGTCTTGCCAGGGAATGACACGCAGGCGATGATCCTGGCCAGTAAGGCGCTTGGAAGACTTGCAGTACCAGGTGGAACACTAACCGCCGAGTTCGTGGAATTTGAAGTCAAGAAGGCATTGGAATGGCTGCAGGGAGACAGGCATGAAGCTAGACGACACGCAGCCGTTCTCGTCCTCCGCGAATTGGCTATCAACTCGCCTACGCTCATCTACTCCTACGTCCCGCAAATCCTCGACTTGATCTGGGTTGCTCTCCGCGATCCGAAAGTCATCATCCGTGACTCAGCGGCCGACGCCCTGTCAGCTTGTCTGGAGATCATCTACCAGCGTGAAAGTCAACTTCGTCTGCAGTGGTATACCAAGATCCTCGAAGAAGCGCAGCACGGTTTGCGACTTAATACTGCCGATACCATCCATGCATCGCTTCTGACATATAGGGAACTCCTTCTCCGTGCAGGTATGTTCATGCACGAACGCTACCGGGAGGTTTGTGAAATTGTGCTACGGTACAAGGACCACAGAGACGCACTCATTAGACGAAGTGTCATTTCTCTCATTCCTACTCTGGCCGCGTACAACCCTAATGAGTTCGTGGCGAGTTACCTGCACAAGTGCATGCTTCACCTCTTAGGACTCCTGAAAAAGGAAAAGGACCGGACGGCGCCTTTCGATGCCGTTGGTCGTGTTGCTATCGCTGTGGGAAGTAGTATGGGACCATACCTCGATGCGATTTTGGCGAGCATTAAGGAGGGTTTGGCGATGAAGGGAAAGACGAGGGCAACGCAGGAAGCACCAATCTTTCAGTGTATCAGTATGTTGGCCACGGCCGTCGGACAAGCACTCACGAAGCACATCCACGAACTGTTGGACCTCATGTTTGCGTGCGGCTTGAGTGAGCCTCTACGACAAGCTCTTGTCGATCTGGCGCATTACATCCCGCCGTTGCTTCCGACGATTCAGGAAAGGCTGTTGAACATGCTTAGCATGATCCTGAGTGGTAAGCCATTCAAGCAGCCCGGCAGTCCAGCGCATATTCAGACAGTTATCGCTCCTGCCGTCGCACGCGAGATTCGTGAATCGCAGGCCTCTGAAGGAAGAGATAGGGAGCTCATCACGCTCGCTTTGAACACTCTTGGCACTTTCGATTTCAGCGGCCATGTCCTGAATGAATTCGTGAAGGATTGTGCGATCTCGTATGTCGAGGATGACAATGCTGAGGTGCGGAAGGCTGCTGCGTTGACTTGTTGTCAACTATTCGTTCGGGATCCGATTTGTTACCAGACTAGTAACCATGCCATTCAGGTGGTAGGTGAAGTGCTGGAACGGTTGTTGACCGTAGGAATTGCCGACCCGGATCCTGTTATCCGACAAATCGTGCTCAGCTCCCTGGACGAGCGGTTTGACCGTCATCTCGCACAGGCAGAGAATGTTCGTTCGTTGTTTATTGCGCTGAATGATGAGGTCTTTGCCATTCGTGAGCTTGCGATTACAATTATCGGTCGTTTGACGTTTCACAACCCTGCATACGTTATGCCTTCTCTGCGCAAGACCCTCATTTCGTTATTGACGGAGCTCGAGTACTCCAGCGTGAGTCGTAACAAGGAAGAGGCTGCCAGGTTGCTCAGTCTCCTTGTCGCGGCGTCGCAGAAGCTCATTAAGCCGTATGTTGAGCCTATGCTGAAGGTGCTTTTGCCTAAGGCTCGTGACGCGAGTTCGGGTGTGGCTTCGAGCGTGTTGTCCGCTCTGGGTGAGTTGGCGAATGTCGGAGGCGAGGACTTGCTGGTGTATATTAAGGACCTTATGCCTCTCATTATCGACACACTGCACGACCAAAGTTCGTCGGTGAAGAGAGACGCAGCGCTCAAGGCCCTCGGTCAACTTGCCAGTTCGTCAGGTTATGTTATCGATCCTTACCTCGAATACCCTCAGCTTCTAAATATCTTGATTGGTATCTTGAAGACTGAGCAATCTAGCGATATCCGTCGAGAAACTGTTAAGCTTATGGGTATCTTGGGTGCACTGGATCCTTACAGGCATCAGATCATTGAGCGGGGTACCGAGGAGCATACGTTGGAGCAAAAGTCTGTCTCTACTGATGTGAGCCTGTTGATGGTTGGTATGACACCGTCTTCAGAAGAGTATTATCCTACCGTGGTTATCAGTTCATTGATGAATATTCTGAAGGATCCTTCTCTTGGAGCGCACCATACCGCTGTTATCCAGGCGATCATGTACATCTTCAAGACCATGGGGTTGAAGTGCGTGCCCTTCCTGTCACAAATTATTCCGGGATTCTTGCATGTCATGAGAACATGCTCGCCGACCATCCTGGAATTCTACTTCCAGCAGCTTGGTATCCTGGTCTCCATTGTCAAGCAGCATATCCGAAATTTTCTCGAGGATATTTTCAAGGTTATCCAGGAGTTCTGGAATCCCAGCTCGAACCTCCAGATTACCATTCTTGCTTTGGTTGAGTCGATTGCGAGGGCATTGGAGGGTGAGTTCAAGGTATACTTGCCTATTCTCTTGCCCTTGATGCTTCAGATCTTCGACGTGGATGTCACTCCGAGTCGCCAACCTACACAGAAAGTTCTGCATGCATTCATTGTTTTCGGTCAAAATATCGAGGAATACATGCACCTTATTTTGCCCGTGGTCGTCAAGATGTTTGAGAAAGTCGACGCTCCAGTTACACTTCGCAAGGCAGCCATTCAAACCGTTGCTCAGCTGTCTCGCAAGGTTAACTTCTCCGACCACGCCTCGCGCATCATTCACCCCCTATCTCGTGTTTTGAGCACTGCCAACCACGAACTCAAGATGGCATCAATGGACACCCTTTGTGCAATGATATTCCAGCTTGGGTTTGATTACGCTATCTTCATCCCCATGATCAACAAGGTTATCGTTACGAACAAGATCCAGCACCCTACGTACGAGCTCTTGGTATCAAAACTCTTGAAGGGCGATGCCCTGCCACAGGATTTGAGTCCTGAGGAGCGCTACGGTGACGCTCGTACCGATGAAGTGTCATCAGCAGATATCAGCGCGAAGAAGTTGCCTGTTAACCAACAGCATCTCAAGAGTGCCTGGGAAGCCTCACAGAGATCAACCCGAGACGATTGGCAAGAATGGATCCGTCGCCTCAGTGTTGAGCTACTGAAGGAATCACCATCACACGCATTGCGAGCTTGTGCCGGTTTAGCGGGTGTGTACTATCCACTGGCGCGTGAGCTCTTCAATGCTGCCTTTGTATCTTGTTGGACGGAGTTGTATGACCAGTATCAAGATGAGCTTGTTCGTGCGATTGAGACAGCTTTGATCTCCCCTAATATCCCCCCGGAAATCCTACAAACTCTGCTCAACTTGGCCGAGTTCATGGAGCACGATGACAAGGCTCTGCCTATTGATATTCGTACACTTGGTTTGTACGCCTCGAAATGTCACGCCTTCGCGAAAGCGCTACACTACAAGGAATTAGAGTTCATCTCCGAGCCTTCGACAGACACGATCGAAGCCCTCATCAGTATCAACAATCAGTTACAACAACCTGATGCAGCTATCGGTATTCTGAGCCACGCACAACACCACCACGATCTTGAGCTGAAAGAAACATGGTACGAAAAACTTCAGCGTTGGGAAGATGCATTGTCTGCATACGAGCGACGCGAGGACCAGAACTCCTTTGACGTTACCATGGGTAAAATGAGATGTTTGCATGCATTGGGTGAATGGGACCTCCTTTCCCAACTCGCACAAGACAAGTGGATTCATGCCGGACATGACATGCGCCGTGCTATTGCTCCTCTCGCTGCTGCCGCTGCATGGGGTATGGGTCAGTGGGAGTTAATGGACGACTACATCTCCGTCATGAAGCATGAATCACCAGATCGTGCATTCTTCCGTGCCATCATCTCCCTGCACAGAAACCAATTCACCGACGCAGCGCTTCACATCACTAAGGCTAGGGACCTTCTCGACACTGAGCTCACTGCTCTTGTCGGAGAAAGTTACAACCGTGCTTACAGTGTCGCTGTGCGCGTCCAGATGCTGGCAGAGCTTGAGGAAATAATCTCGTACAAGCAAAACGGGGACATGCCTGAGAAGCAAGCAACCCAGAGGAAGACTTGGATGAAGCGTCTGAAGGGATGTCAACGGAACGTCGAGGTTTGGCAACGTATGCTCAAGGTCCGTGCCCTTGTCATCTCTCCAAAGGAAAACATGGAGATGTGGATCAAGTTCGCCAACCTGTGCCGTAAATCTGGTCGTCTTGGTCTTGCCGAGAAGTCTTTGAACTCTCTGTTAGACGAAGAGGAGAGCATCTCTGATATGTCTTCCGCTATCAGGGCCCCTCCGTCGGTTGTATATGCGCACCTCAAGTTCACTTGGGCTACCGGTGGTCGCCGTGAGGCTTTGCACAATCTAAGAGAGTTCACCGCTAAGATGTCGCACGACCTTGGCTTGAACGCAAGTGAATCTTACCCTAAGGCTCTAACTCATGATCAAGCTGGCCAAAACATCGAGAGCTACACTCGTCTATTGGCTAGGTGTTACTTGAAGCAGGGTGAATGGCAAGTGGCCCTTCAGGACAGATGGAACGAACAGACGATTCCTGATATCCTGCGATCATACCTCCTCGCTACTCACTTCGATCCTGACTGGTACAAGGCTTGGCACGCGTGGGCTTTGGCAAACTTTGAGGTGATCAACCACCATGAGCTCAAGGAGAATGCCATCACGAACGATATTATCACCGCTCACATCATACCTGCTGTGCGCGGTTTCTTCAGATCAATTGCCTTGAGTAAGGGTAACTCGCTGCAGGACACCCTTCGTCTCCTCACCTTGTGGTTCAAGTTCGGCAACAATCAGGACATCAACAATGCCATTACGGAAGGTTTCACATCCGTACGCATCGACACCTGGTTGGAGGTTATCCCGCAATTGATTGCCCGTATTCACGTTACCGGACCACTTGTTCGACGCTTGATTCACCAGCTTCTTTCCGACGTTGGCCGTGCACACCCACAGGCACTGGTGTACCCAGTTACTGTCGCATCGAAATCGCAGAGTGTATCCCGTCAGCGTGCCGCCTTGGCGATCATGGACAACATGCGCAACCACAGCGCGATTTTAGTCGAGCAGGCGTTGCTTGTAAGTAAAGAACTCATCCGTGTTGCCATCCTTTGGCACGAGCAGTGGCACGAGGGTCTTGAGGAAGCATCTCGTTTGTACTTCGGTGATCACAACATCCAGGCAATGTTTGCTACCCTTGAGCCATTGCACGAGATGCTGGAACGCGGTCCCGAGACTTTGCGTGAGATTTCTTTCCACCAGGCTTTCGGACGAGATCTGCAAGAAGCTCGCGACTGGTGTAGTAAGTACAAGCGATCCGGTGAACCCACTGACCTCAACCAGGCATGGGATCTCTACTACCAGGTCTTCAGGAAGATCTCGAAGCAGCTTCCTCAACTTACTACTCTGGAGCTCCAATACGTCTCGCCGCAGTTGCTTGCTGCTCGTGATCTCGACCTTGCTGTTCCTGGTACGTACCAGAGTGGGAAACCAATTGTCAAGATTTCCAGCTTCGCACCGACATTTACTGTCATTACGTCCAAGCAGCGCCCTCGACGTTTGACGATGAAGGGGAGCGATGGTAAGGATTACCAATACGCCCTTAAGGGTCATGAAGATATCCGTCAGGACGAACGTGTCATGCAGCTCTTCGGACTTGTTAACACATTGTTGTCCATCGACTCAGAGTCGTTCAAGAGGCACCTCAACATCCAACGTTACCCCGTTATCCCTCTATCGCCTAACTCCGGTCTGCTTGGATGGGTGCCTGACAGTGATACATTGCACGTGCTTATTCGCGATTACCGTGAGAGCCGCAAGATCTTGCTCAACATCGAACACCGTCTCATGCTTCAGATGGCGCCGGATTACGACAATTTGATGTTGATGCAGAAGGTTGAGGTTTTCGAGTACGCTCTCGACAACACAACCGGACAGGATCTATACAGGGTTCTCTGGCTCAAGTCCCGAAGCTCCGAGGCATGGCTCGACAGACGAACGAACTACACCCGCTCCTTGGCTGTCATGTCAATGGTCGGCTACATCCTCGGTCTCGGTGATCGTCACCCCTCCAACCTCATGCTCGACCGCTTCACCGGCAAAGTCATCCACATCGATTTCGGAGACTGTTTCGAAGTCGCCATGCACCGCGAGAAGTTCCCCGAGAAGATTCCGTTCCGTCTTACCCGTATGTTGGTTAACGCGATGGAGGTCAGTGGTATCGAGGGTAGTTTCAGGATTACTTGTGAGCATGTTATGCGCGTATTGCGTGATAACAAGGAGTCGCTCATGGCTGTGCTTGAGGCTTTCGTCTACGATCCGCTTATCAACTGGCGTTTGATGACGAACGTGAGCCCGCCGGAGTCGCAAGTCGGCGAGAAACAAAAGCTGGATAACCCGGAAGACCCGAGTAGGGCACCGGCCAGGCGAAGTAAGGCAGATGAGAGCGAACTCGTCTCGCAGCAGCAGAACAAGCCTGAGGTTCTCAACCAACGTGCTGTCAGTGTTCTGAACAGAGTCTCGAACAAGTTGACTGGTCGCGACTTTAAGCCGAACCAGGAGTTGGACGTCAGGGAACAGGTTGAGAGGTTGATTCAGCAGGCTACGAGCTTGGAGAATCTGTGTCAGTTGTATATTGGATGGTGTGCATTCTGGTAGGCAATCATTTACGTGATATCGATCGAGAGCATATGTTTGGTTCATTTTGGGCGTTTAGGGTTTCCTTTTCACTTTTGGGCTTGCAATTGGGAGTAGCTATAGGTCTATGTAGCATATATCCAGCATCTTATTGGATGACATACTTGCATTGGACCACGCTGAAGGTATCATGGTATATTGTATCATACAGTGTATAGAAAGCCCTCTCTACTCATCTACAACGGTGAAAGCTTCGAGCACCTCGAACTTATCGTGCAGCGTCAAAGCCCCAATCTTGAGACTCAAGAACTGTCCAGTTTCCTTACCACTCTCGTCGAGCGCTTCCAAAGAGAAAGCCGTGGGTGTATGCTTCTTGACCTGTAGCATATTGTCAGTACTTGAAATGGACCATGGACCACCAGGCATGCCACCTTAATCTTATAGGTTTTACCCTCAATACTAGCAGTAGCTTCCTTTCCATCATCGGTCTTCAGCAAGTCACCGTCAGAGATGACGAACTTTGACCGCTGGCCCTCCTCGGCGGCGTGAGAACCGGTCTGTTTTGAGGGGATGATCGCGTTATCCTTCTCGACGAGGAACTCGCCTGTGTGTGCACGGATGTATGCTGTTGACATTGTGATTCGTGTTGTTGAATGGTGTTTTGGTCTTCCTCGGTAATAAATGCTCAAGCTGCTGAAGGCTATCTCGGCACACACGGCAGGCAGGCGCGGTGACGTATAATCTCTCGACTTGCCGGCGTGAGTGCTCGGAGCACTTGGCGGTCTGAAAAGCTCCAAAGAAGAATATAACCCTTCTCTTCAACCAGCATTCACCTCCATTAGCGATACGGTGATTACTCGCGATAGCACATGATCGTGCACCGGTAATGCGCCGAGGCTGCACATGTGTTCTCCGCAAGGAAACTCACCGCCATAATCTCCACGTTGAGCATTTACTCCATCTGAACAGTCAAGACCCTTTCATTATGCTTCTCACCATCCTCGCTACCTTGGTCTGGTGGGTAAGCCTCTGGAAACACATAGTGACCTTGCTTATCTCTTTTCGCACAGCCATGTCGCATCCTTCTTGTTCCCCATCTTCGCCTCGTACAAAGCCTTGAAGACGAACGATCCCAAGCAACTCACACCCTTGTTGATGTACTGGGTCGTTATCGGGCTCGTCACCGTCGCCGAGTCCTGGACTTACTGGTTCATCTTCTGGTACGCTCATCCCCTCGCGCTCACGTTTCCGTGCGAAATCTAACAACAATACCCCATAGGTTCCCGTTCTACCACACCATTAAGGCACTCTTCATGCTCTGGTTAGTTTTGCCGCAGACGCAGGGAGCAACCTACCTTTACATTACCTACGTTCATCCGCTCCTTCTGGAGTATGAGGGTGAGATTGATAATGGTTTGGCGACGATGCATGAACAGGTTAAGTCGCACGCCGGCATATACCTTCGGCGTGCGTTCCAACTGTTGAAAGAAGCCCTCTTAACTGCCGTCGGAGAAAAACTGGGCTCACCTCCGGGGAGTCCCACGCGCACCGAAAACCCGGGGGTCGAACAATCCTACGGGCAATCCCTCCTCGCCCGCTTCTCCCTCGCCCAATCCAGGGCCGAAGGCCGCAGTCCTCCGGCACCCATCGAAAGGAAATTGTCTCCACTCGACGCCTTTTCACCGGTTGTGGTGCCGGACCACCTTACCAATCCCGAGGATAAAAAAGAATACCTCACAACCCAGCGTGAGAAGCTCTCCGACATGCTCAAACTCCTCGACCTCGCCGTCGATGCCTACAAGGACGCCAAAACAGACCATGGCCTCGCTGCTCACAGTAACGAAAAGGCGCCGTCCGAGGCGTTTGAGGAGATAGAGAAGGCGGATGTGGAGATGATCACGCCGGCCGCTGCTCAGCCCGAGCCGCAGGCTGTTCGTTCGGGGCTTCTCGGGTGGTTTTGGGGTGGCAAGGCTGGTACGCAGCAGCAGCAGCACAAGAAGACCGAGTAGAGCGGGGCTCACACACACGGTTAAAATCATGGGCGTTACATTATTCAAGATCAGGCGGTTGTAGGGCTTTCTTTAGTGTGAATGGAGATCGTATAGTTTCGCCTACGCTCATTTTATGAATAGCGTACAAATTCATCACGAAAACGTCCTTCACTTCTGATTATCATACTCTTCCACGTTCCTCCCCAACTGCACACATCCCTCACCGCTGCTTTAGAAGTTGCGAGACGGCACGTAGGGATACTGCCAGTCATCACCCTTCAACTTCCACATCTTCTTCTTCTTCTTGGTCATCTGATGCTCCACAAACTGCTCGTCAGCATACTCCTTCTTGAACTTCCTTATGAAACGCGGGTCCCACAACTCGGACGCGATACCCAAATCTTTACAACACCTCATCAAGGCATTAGACTTGCAGCCCTCAGTCGCAGTAGCAATACCAGAAGGATCGAAGTAATCCTGCTCACCACGTGCAACGGACACGAGACGTCCGTGACAGACGAGGGCATACTCCCTACTCACAGCCCTACTCGTAACACTCGTCTCCCCCCTTGGCGCAAGACCCCACCCACCAGGTCCAAACGCCCTATTCAAGATTCTTCTATACTTGATCTCAGGCAGATAAAGAATTCCGTCAGGCTTGATCTCTATGTCTTCGGGGTCGAGGGGGGCCATGAGAACGTCGGCGACTTCCTTTGGGAAGGGCTCGACAGAGAGACCGTGGAAGGAGCGGGACCAGTCGACGCGGCCTGCGTCGCCTTCAACCAACTCTAATGCTGGGGCGTCGGAGGGGAAGGGATTCGCAGAGGGAGCAGAGGCGGGCTCAGAAGAGGAGGCAGATCGGGCCTCACCCATGTATGGCTCGCTTTCGGCCTCGTACTCGGGTTGTTGTTTCTCTTGTGCGGGAGGTGGTCTACGGTAGCTGTTAGCACCGCTGGAGCCACCACCGCTCCTGTAGTTACTGGCGTTGTTGCTGTAGCCGCCGTTGTTGCTGTAGCCATTGTTGTAAGCGGAACGAAGGGCGGTGGTGGACAGAGGACGAGCAAGCACAGCCTTGGAGGCTGTTTGCAGTGCGTAGCGACGGATCATGGATGTCATGTTGGGTTTTGGTGAATTCGAGAATTGGAGTTCAGTTCAAATTGGACGTCGGTGAGGCGAATTCGAATGAACATCCGACATCGATGATTATGTAGCGTGCGGCAGGCCTCTGAGTGAAAGTTGACATCAGATACAGGAAGAATTAACAAAAGAAAAAAAGTATCACCAGTCCTATCCATTCACGTTATCGTGCTTAACCGCGCATAGTTGATATCGATGTGGGCACATGTACCGGTACATCATCGAGTCGAGCGCGGGGTCCCCAACCAACCATCCAAAAACCAAGTACGTCCAGCCTCGACATCACCCCGAGGATAGCCGAAGATAGATGTGCATCCTGCTACTGTCTACCGTCCATCCTGACTACCACCTCATCCTCCTCTCCAACCGCGACGAATTCCTCGATCGTCCCACGGCCTCCCTAGACTGGTGGACCCACCCGCCAACAAACACCAAAGTGCTCTCTGCTCGAGACTTACTACGACCAGAACAAGGCACCTGGCTGGGAGTAAACGAGCATGGAAAACTAGGCGTGTTGACCAACTTCCGGGAAGAGGATGTACAGAAGATATCGGGTGATCGGAGTCGGGGGCAGATGGTGAAGGATTATCTGACGTCGAGATATGGGACAGTTGAGGAGTTTGTGGAGGCGATGATTGAGGAGGGGAGTCAAAAGGGTGTTGGTGGATTCTCGTTGGTTTGTGGAGATCTAAGAGTACGTAGTGGAGAAGAGGGAGTCGGGAGGATGGCTATCGTCTCGAACCGCATTGGCAAATCAGCAGCAAATGACAAGGCAGGACCGGACTGGATATTGGAGAAAGGCAGTGTCGAGACCGAAGGATTGAGTAACTCGGTGTTCCTCGAGCCATGGCCAAAGGTGAACGAAGGAACGAAGTATCTGGAAGAGGTGCTGCGTGATTCCCAGAAAGCAGGCAGATCACAAGAAGAACTGGTCGAGAGTCTGTTCGAAATTCTAAGCCGGGACAACCTCCCACCAGAACCAACCATCCAAGACCTCCGCGACTCCATCTTTGTCAGAATATTTCCAGTACCATGGACTGTGCCAGCAGACACAACAGCATCAGGCTGCGCAGACGACGAAACACTAAGAAAGCCAGCGGAGACGCCGATAAGACTGTACGGAACGCGGCAACAGAGTGTGATACTGGTAGACAAGCAAGGGCAGATCACGTTCATAGAGCGGACATTATGGGACGAGTACGGAAACGCATTACCGAAAGACCAGAGAGACCGGACATTCCAACTGGCATTCTAACAACAGTAAGTCATGCGTAATGGTATATTTGATGGACCAAATAGGCCCCTATATACAATGATCATCAAGATCCAAGGACTACACCCATCTTACACTTCCTCTTGCTCTCCATGCCCAGCTTAATGCTTCTTCGCCAACCCCTCATTGATCTGCAAGTACTTTGTCGCATTCCTCATGAACCAGTCTCCATACCGTCTTCCAGTCTTCGCCTCCGCAATATGGATAATATCACCCTCAAGCGAGAAATCCAACTCCGACGTTGACACAACCTCACCATTCAACAACGCACCCTCAGTGCGACGGAACTGTCTCGAGTTCTGCTTGTACACCAACAACTGGCTCCTCAACTCCTCCTCATCGATCTCCAAGAACGCAGCGAGTTTCTCAAGTTTCATGGTGGTGTAGAGCTTCATGTATGAGCGGAGGGTCGCGGCCCACATTTGTCCCTTGACGCCTTCCATGAAGATTTTTTGGTGGTGCTGGAGGGGTTCGGCGACGTTTTCGGGGTCGGCCGGGGGGACGGGGTTGATGAACTTCGGCGCAGCAAAGGTGAAGAGTTCCTCGAAGATGGGGAGAGCTTCCGGGCCACCGCGGGACATGCGGGCGAGTTGCTCGCCGAACTTTTCGCGGAGGGCGGAGTGGGTGTTTTCGTCCAAACGGGTAGGGCAGAGCGCGACACAGATGGCCAACAGAGCGTGAACTTGATCGGCCTTCTTGTTAACCTGCTCGTACTGCGCGGAGCGGTTGTGGTATTGCTTCGTACGGGAGATGAAAACGAGGATGTGGATGAAGGACTCGATTGCGTCGGCGTAGCGGTGGAGCATCATGTACGCGAAACCCTGGTAATAGTAGGTCTGGAAATGACAATTAGGCACACGCGCGAACGGGCTCTTCTTGATATCGACGTTATCGAGCATCTTGAGCGCGAGGGTAAAGTCACCCAACAAGGTGTGAACGCGGAGCAAGCCGATCAAGGAGCAGTATCCGAGTTGACGGTAGAGAGGGAGGACACCGTACTCGCCAGCGACGTCATTAGGGTTCTCGCCCTTCTTGATGGCGGCAAGCTGTTCGTTGATGCGGGACTTCTGGATGAGGGAGTAGAGAACGTTGAGGACGGAGTAACACGACCAGATCTGGGGGTTCTCGCGCAAGATGGTAATATCCTCCTCGGACTTCTTGGACAAACGCGCACGGTACTGGGCGAAGCTCGAAAACTGCCAGACGAACTCGTCGACGATGGAGTCGCAGTATTGGTTGGGCAAGTCGAGGTTGACAGGTCCGTCAGAGTTGAGGATAAAGTTGAACAAGTCACAGTAGTTGTCGTAAGACCTGAAACGCTGCTCGAGCGTAGGCTGGCCCTTGGCGTAGATGTTGCGGAAGTACAACTCGCGGTAGATGGTCAAGAAGTTCTGGTCATCATTGACGAGGGGGGCGACGATCTCAGCCTCAGGGAACTGGAACTTCTCCGTCAGGCGGTAAAAGTGGCTGATACATCCCTGAATCGCATCGGTGTTCTGGTTCAAGATAGCCTGGTGGAGGTAGACAATCAAGCTTCGGACCTCGGGCGCGATGGACGCGAGTTCCTGCTGTTGCTGCTGCTGGAGCTGCTGGGTATAATAGGACTGAGCGAGCTGATCCTCGGAGTAGTCGGTGGATTCAAGGGCGCCGACAACGAGGTCAACGGCACCATCGACGTCCACGTCGGCTTCAAAGTCGTTCTGAGCGTAGGAAGCCATTGTTGTACTTCTCTACTTTTCTTCCCTTCAAGGTTTGGAGTAGTAGTTATGCCTCGAGCCGCCTGAAATCTTGCACGCGCTAACTGCAACTGGCAGAAACATTTGCAAGTCGGATGTAACGTAGACAGACAACACAAGCGACGACTCTGCAATCCTTCACGCTGTCTCGGCCATCGCTTTTCGCTTCTATTGCCTTTCTACGCTCGCCGACAAGTGCCCGCTCTGTCTCTTTCGCAAAGTTGCCACATAGGTCGTTCATGTCCTCCGCAGTAGCAATGGACGGTCCCAAGCCCGGAGAATGGGAGTCTGGACGACGAATCGAAGTCTCTGACTTCAAAGACATCGACACATCCGAGTTCTACCCCACAAAATTCATGACTGGTCGGCAATTCTTCGAACATCTCGGCAAACCCCGGCGAATCGTCGCCCCCATGGTCGACATGTCTGAGCTCGCATGGCGAGTTCTCTCACGTCGACATGGAGCTGATCTTTGTTACACTCCAATGTTTCACGCGAGACTCTTCGCGGAGCCACCAGAGGTGAGCGCGGAAAAGTACAGGAATGGAGTTTGGTCTACTTTACCCGAAGGCGAAGGTCCATTGATTGTCCAGTTCTGTGCGAATAACCCCGACGAGTTGTTGCGGGCAGCAAAGCTAGTGGTTGGAAAATGCGACGCCGTCGACATCAACTTCGGTTGTCCTCAAGGAATCGCAAAGAAAGGCAAATACGGGGCTTTCTTGATGGAAGAATGGGAATTAGTCTACAGCCTTATCAACATCCTACACACCCGCCTCGCCATCCCCGTCACCGCAAAAATACGTATCTTTCCCGACCCAGCAAAAACCTTAGCATACGCCAAGATGGTCCTCTCAGCAGGTGCGACATTCCTCGGTGTTCACGGACGTACAAGGGATCAGAAGGGTATCCTTACGGGCGTGGCGGATTGGACACAGATCAAGATGCTCCGGGATAATCTCCCACCCGAGACTGTCATCTTCGCAAATGGAAACATTCTCCATCCAGGGGATATCCCACGCTGTCTCGACGCAACCGGCGCTGACGCCGTCATGTCCGCGGAAGGAAACCTTTATAACCCCGCTATCTTTCATGACCCATCAGAGCCTCTTGACGTTACGCATCCTCGTGTCGATATGATGGCGCGGGAATACCTGAAGATCGTTGCCGAGCTGAACGACAAATCCAGCTGGAGTAGCACAAAGGCACACCTCTTCAAGCTCCTCCGCCCCGCCTTCCTCATCCACACCCAACCTCGAAACACCCTCGGAAAAACCCGGGGTAACAGCATCGAGGAATTAAACGCCATTATCGACGCCGTCTCTGTCGAAATCGACAAAGCCATCGCAGCCGGCGATGGTACAGGATTGACAGGCAACGAGCTCGACGAACATGGTTTCGTGGAGTTGCCGTGGTGGCGGTGCCAACCGTGTCTCCGCCCAGAAGCGCCTGAAGGTGCAGGGAAGAAGCAGAAAAAGAAGAAGGCGGAAATAGGCGAGCAGAAGGAGAAGTTTGCGGGTGCTGCGGCTGCGTTGGCACTTGATGCTAAGCTGGCTGAGAAGAAGGAGGAGGCGGTCGCAAACGGTGATGTGAAGAAAGCCAGGGAGATTCCCGCGAGTGCCGAGGAGCTCGAGGTTGCCATGAATGGAAACAAGAGGGCTGGGAGTCCCAGTCTGAAAACGCCCGAAGATGTGAAGGTTCAGAGGGTGTGAACATAGATGAGAACGACTTATCTGAGTTTGAATTAAGCATTGGGTTGAACCTTATTTGACAGCTGCGCAGTGACGTTGCGCGTCCGAGTCGACCAGACGTCTGCCGCAACACCACCAACACAACACCAATTGATCCACCACCTAGAACACTTCCGATCAAATCACAGTAGAACAGTCATGCCGTCCAAAGACCCAAAAGTTGCCCTAATCCAACTCTACCCAGAACCTCTCGCCCTGGAAGCGAACTTTGAGTGTGCGAAAGCGTATATCACGGAAGCTGCCAAGGAAGGCTGCGACATTGCTGTGTTGCCCGAGTATGCCCTTAGTTTGCCGATTCCGGAGAAGGCGGAGGAGTGGGTTGATGCTGGGAAGGTTTGGGTGGGGAAGTATCAGGTTACTTCCTTTTTGTCCTCTGCGCTCCACGGCGCACAAGCTGACGGGATTTGGAAGTAACAGGAGTTGGCTAAGGAGTTGAAGATCAACATTGTCCCCGGTACCATCGTGGAGAAGCATGGGGAGGGCACGGGGAGCGAATCGCTGTACAACGTCGCATACTTCATTGGGAGGGACGGGGAAATCAAGGGCGATTACCACAAGAAGAATTTGTGGCACCCGGAACGAGACGTAAGCGAAAAATGACTACGTTCGAGTTGACACGGCTGAACTTTTCTTCTTACAGTACCTCTCAAAAGGCGAGGGTCAACACCAAGTTATCGACACAGAATTCGGTAAAGTTGGCCTCCTCATCTGCTGGGACCTTGCATTCCCAGAAGCTTTCCGTGCTCTCGTGAAACAGGGTGTCAAGCTGATCATTGCGCCGACATGCTGGACGTACAATGATGCCGGCACGAATGGCTTACAGAGAAATCCGGATAGCGAGGCGGTGTTCTTGGATTCTATGCTCACAACCCGTGCGTTCGAGAATGGTGTTGCTGTGGTGTTTGTGAATGCTGCTGTATGTAATGGAAGTCATTGATGAATGATGGTCTGGTTAACGATAGCGTACAGGGTCCAAAAGCAGATGGCTGGCTAGGTCATTCGCGGGTAACACTGCCGTTCATCGGTCCATTAGTCAAAACGGAAGACAACGAGGAGTGTATGTTGACGGTTGAGATTCCAATGGAGGTGCTTGACGAGGCGGAGGAGGTGTACAAGGTTCGGAAGGATCTGGCTGACCCGGACTTCCATTACGGAGCGAAATGTTAGTGAGGCACGTATGGAAATGATTTCGAATTTATCCTAGATAGCCAAAAGAAACGCCTATTATACCCAACACGAACGAAAATTGAAAGATTTTCAAATGCTTACTCGTCATCGCTGTCCATCATGACCCTCCTACCCTTCGGCTTCGCTGCCCTCTCAGTCGAGGTGGGTTCGTCATCGTCACTGTCGTCTGGTACGGGTAGAGTGGTGGCTGTAGGCTTTCTCGCATATGTCCTCACGCTCGCCGGGCTCTTTGCCGGTGAAGATCTCGATATGTTGCTCGCGGCATCCTCGTCAAGGTCCATCTCATCCGCACTGGATGACGATGAGCTCCTTGAACTCTCACCATCCGACTCGCTATTTAAATCCTCCTTTGCGTTCGCCTTTGCAAGTGCTTTCGCAATGGTCGCCCTAGCCCTTTCAATAGCATCATCCGCCGCCGCCTTACTCTTCTTAACGTTCGGCTGGAGTTGCTGATGCACGATCGCCGCCGTGGCAGCGTTCGCAGTCTTCTCCCGCAACGCAGCCTCACGCGCAAAGAACTCGGCATCATCCATGTCTTCGTCAGAGTCCTCCACGTAGAGCGCGGATTTGACGGCGGCTATTTTCTCGTCTTCTGCCTTCCGCTTTTTGACGCGGCGTTCTTCGAGTTCTTCGTCGTCGAGTTCCTTGTGTTCGCGTTTGCGGGAGACAAGCTTCTTTTTCTTCGGCTTTGCTGCCTTCTCCTTCTCTGCCAAGGGAAAGCCCATAGCGTCAACTCCTTCGGCTTCCGGGTCATCAGACTCCTCGACACTCTCTTCGGAATCGTTACCCTGTTCAACACGCTTGCTCTTATAACGGATGAAATCCTTCGCAGTTTTCCCGTCGTCGAAAGTGGGTGGGTTGTCTGTATACTCCCTCAACAAAGTCAAATCACTCTCGAGGGCCTCACTCGTCACGGCACTGGGAATCACCCACTCAGCATTGACATCACCGCTCATCCCCAACCTTTCGCAGCCAATCAAGCCCATCAACAAGTGCAGCTTACCATCTTTGAACAACAGCTTCTTGACTTGACTTTCTTCGTCAACGCTAAGAGTGATGATGGGTGCTTCAGGTAATGACGCATGCAACTCTTCCCCTCTCTCGGCGTCCTCCAGTTCTCTTCTCATGATCGCCTCAGCTTCCCACGCCTGCCTCTCCGACGCAGCGCTTTTCAACGAAGACTTGCACCAGTCCAAGGCTTCACCTTTCTCCTCATCCAATAACGCCGCAACAAGCACGGAAATATCCTTGGCATGATCGAATCCAGGACGAACTTCGAGCTCTGCCGGTGCGCGTGGGGCGCGCACGACGGGTGCCAATTCCTCGCCATGATCGAGGTAGTACAGCTGTTTCGGGATCTTGGTAAACAACAACTCAACATACAGCGACGGGCGTTCCGCAAGTTTCCTTGTCAACTTCTTGGTGTAGTACTTGACGAACTGCTCAAGCTCCTTTCTCGCCGGATCTTTCTCGTCAAGCGCGACCTTGTCTTCAACAATCCTGTTGAAGAGCTCACACAAGTCCAATCGGAACATCAAGGACTCTTGCTGCCGCTTCACGAAGATTCTGTGGAAGAAAGCAACGGCCCTCTTGATTTGGTCAGGCTTCAACTCGGCGTACTCGTTAAGTAGGGCCTTAAATGTGTTGATGCAATCTTCATTCGCAAACTTACCCTCGAAGCGAGCGAATTCGAATGCGCGCTCACTGTACGTCTTCTTGTAGTCCACCTCGTTCTCTTCCTCGGAATCATCCGCCGCCTCAGTCGTAGTATTCTGGGCCTTCTTCTGCTTCTTCTTCCACGATCGAACGTAGATATGCGCCTTCGACTTGGAATACCGTTCCAGCATCTTCAACATCGTACTCGCCAACCCCGTCGCAGTATCCATATACCCGAATGATTGGTTTGTATAGTTCTTCAAGATGTGTACCACGAGGTCCATAGTACTCTCTTCGTAGAAGATGTTGCTTTGCATGTTATCTGCTATTTCCTGGTATTCCATACTAGGCGAATAAGCCATATTCTGAATCGTCAGTAAGATCTGTTGAAAAGAGTCCATAGCGGCATGCAAGCCCGTCCATTGTCGGAGATCAGAAGACTCACGCATGAGCTTGTTGATCATGATCAAACCAAGCTGATCCAGTACTCCGGCGACGAGGCCATAATCAACCTCCGGCGCATCCCTGCCTCCAGCTGCTTCCACCGCGGCAGTACCACGCCATCGAAGAGCCTCAAGGAAGTAGGCGATGAGATATGGAAAGTGGATCCGGTGAACTTCGAGCACTCTCTGCTTCTCCCTCTCCATCGCACGACGAACGCTCGTAAACAATGGATTGAACCCCGAATCCAGGATCTCCTCCACGAACCTCCTCAGCACCGCCCGAGCTTCCCGCATGATGGTCACAGGCTTGTCTATGTCCTCATCCACAATCCTCCTGAACGCGGTCTTCTTCCACTTCTTGGCCGTGTCGAGCTTCTTGAGACCCCTCTCTGTCGTGCCATGAACTGCGTCCTGCGAAGCCACGGTAAGGCGCTTGTTGTCTGCGGTAACTACACTGACGAGTGTTCCGAAACGATTGTGTCGTGTTGGTGCACGTCGCTTCTGTGTCTTCTTCATTACATCCTCCTTCTTCAGTAGATCCGCCAACGCATTCGATGATTTCGCCGTTACCTCCTTGTCGGCCGCGAAAAGAACCTCAGCCGGGACTCCCTGAACGAGGTAGTATATACACTCCATCACGGCAACATCCTGATCCTCAAACTCTTCGCCCATTCCACTTGCTAATGCAACCAATAGATCAAGCACGTTAGCTTTCTCGAATGCCATGATCAACCCACTTCGTCCCTCTGAGTCTCCATGGTCGATTTGTGCCAGGTTTCGTAGCAGGTGCAACACCAATAGAATCACTGTCTCGTCTCTTGGTGTACGTTCACGACGAGAGATCGCCATAGCGGGCAGGGCAACCCGTACAATAGACCGGAGAACGGCTACCCCATGTGTTGGGTGCGAGAGGATTGTACGTTTGTAGGAGGATTGTGCGAGCTGAATGTCGGGCGCGTTTTCGAGTTGGTCGGCGCGTAGGCTTTGCGATGATAAGGTTAATGGCCATGTCAGCAGCGTTAATGGCTCGACTGTGAACAAGTCAACATCAGTCGTCAAAAGAGGATGGAGTAGGGCGTACCGCAAGCCAAACCATACCGCGCCTTGGCCTTGTTCTCCACCTCCTCATCCGTCCATGCCGCCAAAATCTCACACAAATCCCCATTAACCACATTCGTATCCGTCAAAATCCTCGCACACGTCCAACTCTCATCCTGCCTCAACAGCTTCTTCAAATCTTTCAGACATCCAAGTGCGTCGTCTCCGAGGATATACCGCCGCTGTGGGTCCGCTTGGTCGATACCACCGAGGGCGGTGACGATGGAGGAGACGTAGGCATGGAGACGTTTCAGATCATGGTCTTCATTCTCCCTGTCTTCTGCCATGGCGAGTATATTTGTGTAACAGCGACTGTGCTCTGGAGGAAGACGCGTTCTCCACGCATTGTCGCGCGGTAACGATCGTATTAGGTTTCCCAATTGGGCAAGTGAGTCAACGTTACACCTCTGACAACGCAACGCAGCAACAACATCAAATGGCTGCAAAGACCGTATTAATCACAGGCTGTTCCAAGGGCGGGATTGGCTATGCTCTCGCAAAGGCTTTCAATGCCCAAGGATGCAAAGTCTACGCAACAGCTCGCAGGCTTGAATCCATGAACGGTCTCTCCGATCTAGGGATTGGGACTCTGAAACTCGACGTCAACTCCGCCGAATCCGTCGACAAGCTCAAGTCTATCATCGAAGAGAAGACTGGCGGCACCCTCGATTTCCTGGTTAACAATGCAGGAATTGGATACACCACTCCACTCGCCGACGTCGACATCGACCAAGCTCGCAATTTGTTCGAGACGAATTTGATCTCTGTCATGCAAATGGTCAAGTCATTCCACAAACTTCTCATCGCATCCAAAGGAACGATCATCAACATCGGCTCCATCGGCGCATTCCTCCCCTCGCCTTTTGGTGGAGTCTACAATGCCTCGAAAGCCGCTCTCCTCTCCTACGGTGACGCCCTCAGAATCGAGATGGAGCCCTTCGACGTACATGTCCAGACAATCATCACGGGTGCAATCAAGTCCAATATCGCGAACAACGCCGCAGCACGCTACTCCCTGCCCTCGGACTCTATCTTTGCACCCATCACCTCCTTCGTCGAAGCCCGCCTCAACGCATCCCAGACAAACGGACCCCTCGATACCGACGTCTACGCCCGTGACGTTGTTCGTCAAGCCCTGTTTCCCCCGAGATCTCTGTGGGCACTCGGAGGAAGGGTTCGGAGGCCGTATTACTGGAGAGGTGGGTTGAGTGATATCACGAGGTTTATCAGGAGATTTTTGCCGATGAATTTTTGGGATTTTATTTTGGCGTATAAGTTTGGGTTGAATGTATTGAACAGGAAGTTGAGGGATGGGAAGAAGGATCTCTGAGTTGACAAAGTCCTTGAATATTCAGCATCACCGGTATGTATACCTTCAAGGCCATACACCGCTCGTTATCGGGGATGTTGCTGTGTGAAAACAAAATTCAAACATTGCCTGATGACATAAAACGAGAGCGAGGTAATCAATATCACCAGAAAGCGTGTGAAAAACTACGGCACTACTTAATAATACATGTTTCGGAAATTTCCCTGCTGCTCCCCCTTCTCCTCCAGTTACAAGTTTGGGCACACCCACGCGTATATAACAAGTGCCTGCTAAACAAAACGCTGGAGGAGCTCAGGTTTCAACCGCCGAAGCTCGTCGACGTCGGAAACGGCACTGTGGCGTACCAGGTCTCAGTCGGCCAGAATACTTGAAGCTGGGTACAGGAGGTTAGGTCATCGGTTAAGAACGCGGTCGTGATCACAGGACCATGAGCGCGGAGAGAGGAGAGGGTACATACAGTCATTCATTCAGGATTGTGAAGACCAGGTTGTCCGTTCCTGTCGCCGTGCCTAAGTCGGTAGCATCCGAATCGCAGTAGTTTACCCAAGCGGTGATAACCGCGGTCTGCGTTCCGGATCCGCTTTGACACAAGCAGGGCGTGATGCACATAAGAATTCCCAGGACGAACGCAAAGAGAAACGAACACTGCTTGATTGGGCCGAGCAACGCCGGCAAGCTCACAGCGTCAAGGGCTGCTTTCCCGCAGGACTTATTAATAGGTCCTCTCCCTTGGACGTATGTCATGAGATGGCGCAGGTGAGGCGAGCGTGCAGCTTGTTTTTGTAGTACGAATGTTACGTGTACCTATTGTTACCCCGTATTGTGCAAGATGGCAGTCGAAGGAGAGATTTGTTGTTAAGTATTATGAAATATATGCTATTGGTGGTACTCGCCCGGGTATATGCTAAGCTTTGGCATGGCAATGTGATTCTGCGGGAAGTGACCCCATCCATCCCATTAAACCATTCCCATCACCCCTATCACCCCTATAAAAACGCTCAACGCAATCACGCACAATGATACTTTCACCGTCGACCCCGCCCCAATCCCACACGTTGGACACAAATTCCCCGTCGTCGGCGCAGCCTCATACGCCTGCCCAGAATACATCCCAAACCTGTACACCCCATAATTATACAAATACCCCGCACTCGGCGCCGCTGTCGGATTCGAGTCTGCATCGAAGATATTGAGTGTGTACGAAGCTTGAAGGAGAGGATCGGCGGAGGGGTTCTCGGAGGAGTCCCAGATTATGGAGGTAGAGGTATAGGAGATATTTGTTGCGATGGGGTAGTAGTAGCTGTGAATCGCATGTAAGCTTATGCTTAGAGAGCATCTTGTTGAGCAGTGGGTCACCTGTTGACGGAGCAATATGCCTCGACATTCACTGCCCTCGGCGTTACCAACACCCCAGTATAGTTCCACGCCAACGTCACGTAATCTCCAATCATGTAGTATTGCGGACCATCGGTAGGGGCTGGAATCAGCATAGCCGCCGAACCTGGTGCGAAGCGTGGGTCGATGGAGATGGAGCCGGTGGAGTCGGCAGTGGTGGTGGTGTCTGTGTGTTTCACGGTTGACTTGGAGATTGGGCCGGTGCGGGTTGTTGTGGCATCGTTGGATGCTGGTGTTGATTGGGAGACATCTGAGGTTGGGCTATCGGAGGTGAATGCTGCAGAATTGGAGACACCGGAGGATGCTCTTGCTGAACTTCCTGACTCCGCACTACCGCTTCCAGTCGTAGTTGACGTTGGCTCCGGAAAGAGTTGAGCGGATACGTGGAGGAAGGCGAGACAAACGAGGAGAAAGGTGAGGGTGAGCGGCCTTCGCAGAATCATGGTGCCGTGACTGGAGAGGAAGAACGTGAGAAAGAGGACGACGAGAAGGAGGAGCAGTCATCGGCTCACCAGTAAGAAGAGCTCAACAACGAATGACAACTAAATGCCAACTGAACTGCTCGTCAAAAACCACCCTTCATCCTGTCATATATTACATGCAAGCGGCCGTGTCTCACCTCGACTCTCCTCCGAACCCTCCGAGCCCGATAGCACGCGCAGCCCGCACTCCAAAAATAGCAACACCAGGAAAAGGAGTTGGGGAAGGAGAAGAGACGGTTTCCATATGTTGGATGGTTTCGTTTTCAGGTATCGAAGATTCAGGGTCGTTCGAGTTCTACCTAGCTATAAATTATTAGAGTATAGAGGTATAGAGATGCATGCAAAAACACCGCGCTATGAACCCATCCATAATCAATCTTCCACTGTGGTAGTCATACACGTACATCATTCATCCCCCCTTGTAGTCGTACACAACATGTCCCGATCAACGGAACTCCTCCTTCAAAACCCACGCCCCCTCCCTAAACTCCGCAATACTCTTCAACATCTTCCTAAACTCCACAACCTGCTGCTGTCCCGAAACCTTGATCTTGAAGTTCCTCACAATCTCGCCAGACGTGGCTTTCCCGCCTGCTTCGAGGATGAATTCTTGGAGGCGCTTGATGAGGTGGAGACGACCTTCGTCGGAGAGTTTGTCGAGTTCTTCTCCACCGCCGTTTGCATCTTCGTTTTCGAGGTCTTGGCGTTGGCGGAGGCCGGCGAGGAGGTTTTGGGAGTTTGCGGGTGGGGTAGCCGCAGCCCGCACGCCGTTCGCAGCAGCACCGAACCGCCCTTCACCATTAGGAGCCGCCGCTGGCCCAAACCTCGCCCCACCCCCACCACTCGCCGCACCAAACCTGGGAGTATTGGGTGTGTTCGCACCTGACCCGCGGGTGAAACCTCCGGACCTCCCAGTCCATGTCGGTGTGCCGAGCTCCGCTCTCTGTGCCTGACGACGAGACTCCCGCAATGCGCGTGCGGCAGCTTCGGCGACTCGCGTAGCCTCACGATCTACGAGGACAGCTTCGGGTCTTGCTGCGTCCATGATCTTTTCATGGTGGAGGGCGGACTGTACGCCGGCTCCAGCGAGGAGGCCTTCGAGTGTTCGGGAATCGTCGTCGCCCTTCTCTGCATCCCTTTCTTCTTCGTTCTGGTATTGTTCCAGTCCGGCAACATCATCCAGCTTTTTGAGTTCCTCGGCCTCCCTATCCCTCTTCTTCTTCTTCGTTCGCTTCAACTGCACCTCAGTACCAGCAAACAAGTCGCCCGTCTCGGTGGTCTTCTCCTCCGCCGATCCCAACGAAAACAGATCATGCAAGTCATTAGATTTGAAGAACCGTCGCTGTTTTGGGTCACGTAGAATCTTGTTTGTCAAGAACTGCTTGAAGATCTGACGATGATAGATTTTCTCCTCGATCGTACCGGAGGTCATGAGGCGGAAGATGATGACTTCACGTTTTTGTCCGAGACGCCATGCACGTTCACGGGCTTGAGCATCGGTGGAGGGATTCCAGTCCGGATCGTAGATAATGACACGGTTGGCACCAGTCAGGTTGATACCCAGACCACCTACCTTAGTCGTCAACAAGAACACATCAATGTTTGGGTTCTCGTTGTACTGATCGACAAGCGCCTGTCTCCTCTGCACGGGAGTGTTACCATCCATCCGAAGATAGTTGATCCCATCCAACTTCTTGACAAACTTCTCCAGGATGTCCAACATCTGCCGAGTCTGCGAAAACAGCAAAGTCCGGTGACCCTGCGACCTGAACAGCTCCAATGTAGCCTTGACAACCTGCATCTTTCCAGATTTCTTAGGATCACCGTAGTCATACCCCGGTTTATGTTCGAGCGTATCACGAGAAGCTAAATCGGGATGATTACAAATCTTCCGAAGAATGTCGACACCGTAGAGAACCTGCCTCCTACCCTGAAAGATCGATTCCATGTCGTTTCCGCCGATGAATTCTTCGTAAGCCGTACGCTGTGAAGCCGTAAGTTTGCAGAACAGGACCTGTAGAGCTACGTCAGCCATCGTTGTACGCTGCAAGTTGACAGTCGTTCTACCTGCTCCGTTCGCTTTGGTAAATCGGCAGCGACGTCAACCTTCATTCTCCGCAAGAGATATGGGTTGATGAGGTCCCTCAACACGCAGGCACATTTGTACGCAGTCTGAACTTGCACGTTCGTCGCATTTGCATAGCCACCCATATTGATGGGAATAGCGAATTGTTGCTGAAACACCGGGAGAGTCTGTCAGCAGGATGTTAGCATGCATTCCAAGAGATCATGGACATTCCTCTGACCCCTAGCCGCCCTGGAAAGACAAAGTCAAACAAACTCCACAACTCATTCAAGCTATTCTGGATCGGCGTTCCGGAGAGAATGATTCGGTGGACGGTCTTCACCTGCTTACACGCCAAGGAAATCTCTGCATCAGGGTTTCTGATTTTGTGACCCTCATCTAGGACACAGTAATCCCACTCCTCACCAAGCAGCAAGTCACCATACGAATGAAGACCAGCATACGTGGTAATGATTACATGCCCAGACGCAAAAACACGTCGAACCATGTTCCTCGCACCAGCCTTCAGCTTCGCGCCTGGTCCACCCTTTCTCGGATGTTCCTTCTCGAGCGCTTTCTCCATCGTTTCCTCCTCCCGTACATTCAACATCCCACTTCCACTCCCATGAAGGATACAAACTCGTAGAGGCGGCCACCACCGACGAAACTCGTTACACCACATTTTCATCACGGTTGCTGGACATACCACCAGGATAGGTTTATTCAGCTTCCCGGAGTAATGTAAACCTGCGAGGAAGGAGATCATTTGCACGGTCTTGCCGAGACCCATTTCGTCGCCGATGATGCCGCCTGCACCTTGAGTGTGCAATTCCCAAAGCCACTGAACGCAAGTCTTCTGGTAATCGAACAGGGAAGGGTAGATGTCGCCTGGTAATCTGTACCCACCATTCAATGTGAAGTCGGGTATTTTCGGATGTGGAAGGTGCCACTCGTCCTCGCCCTCTGGTGGAGGTTCGTCTGGATGCGCCTTACGACGTGCTGATGAGCGTTTCCGAACCCAGCCTTCCAAGCGTTCTTGATAAGTAATTTCATTACCATCGTCGACGGTGCTCAAGTCCTCAGTCTTGGCAGGTTCCTTGTCTTTCGGCTTGCGCTTCCGGGACTTCGCTTCACGTCCCTCCTGATCACCATCAATGAATGCATCAATTTCGTCATCGTCCTCCACCGACCCCTCGAAATCAGAAGGCGCATACGCGTCCTCGTCGTCATCTCCGACATCGACATCCACGTCTTCAATACTCGCTTTCCGAATCAACCTTCGCTTCTTCCGTGGTGTTGCCCGTTCCATTAGAGACTCCACCTCACTGACATCGGCCGAATCGGTAGCGAACCCGGGCATGCGTAGGTTCTGGTGCGACATCGCTCCCGGGCCAACCTCACTTCGCTGCTGCTCCAACCCTGGAACGGCAGCAAACGGAGTGATTTTGCCGGTACGGATGAGGTACTCTCGTTCAGTTTCCGTCGAAAGTCGCTGATCCGCAGCATCGTCTTGCTTTGCATCACGCTCATCAATTCGTCCTCGAATATCCACCAGGTCCCGATCCAATGCTTCTATCTGCTCTTCGACCTCCCGTACCTGTATTCGAAGTTGTTGCTTTTGCGTAAGTGTCGCATTGTGTGCATTTATCCGGTCGTTTAACTGAGCAATCTTGTCTTGGAGCTTCGCCTTGTCCTTCTGAGTTTTCTCCAAACGTTTCTTGTCGGCCTCGTTCTCTCTCTTGGTAAGTTCTGCATCGGCTGCGATGGCGATATTATGCTCGAGGATATCTTGGTCGAGAATGTTCACGCCGAGAGCGTCTAGCGAAGCTTCACCGGTCGGATGAGCCATGGCGTGTGTCGTTTGCATGCTATCGTCAACGACAGCAATCCCAGCAGGCTGCTCCTTTTCGTCCATCTCCTTTACTGAATCTGCTGGTCCATCATTCTCCATGGCGGTTGTATGCTGTTGCTGTATGCTGCATTCCCAATTTCAGCACTCCCTGCGCGTACTGCCTGCTTCGTGATCGAATGACGCTGGGTGCGGGCCAGATGTCCCCTGCAGACGCGCGTGTCGTGCTGTCCCTATCAGCAACCTCCAACCACCAAGCAGGAGCCCAGCAATCGTCCAAGAGCATTCATCCAGGCCTCGACGAACTGCTCTGATTGACCGTCAGCGAGCGATTTGACTGCTCCATTGCAGGACGAGCACGTACAAGGTACATCCCTTATCGAGGCTGAGCGGTGAATCGCTTTGTTAGTCCCCAGCCCTGTCTCACGCTGCGCACCCGCACCCGCACCCTTGCCAAGGTGTTCCCGATTGCTAACCATTCCGTACTAGAGTTTCTTGGATCGCGACCTCTTTTTGTCGGCAATACAGTCTCGATACCTTCTGTGAAGGTCCGGCTGCGGTATACCCTCTTGGATTCCGCGCACCGATAAGTACCCATTGTCGGCATTCGGCCCGGCGATCCCCCCCGAATATATCAACGAAACAGCAACATGGAGCATTCAGACAACTTGTCACGTCAGTGGACTAATCCGCAGCAGCACGGCGGAGCACGGTATCCGCCACAAACGTCCCCGAACCACCGCGTTCACCATCCACCTCCCCCACAGTACCGTCCGCACAGAATGCAATCGGATCCGGCCATATATTCTCAAGCATACACCACCCGGCCACCCCCTCAACACCCAGTATCAGAGCATCACGTGCCTGGAGCAGGATTCAACGCGATGAATGCTGGAGCAAGTCCGACCAGGAGGGCTGACGTCCCCTATGACTACAACGACGGACCATACCAAGCTGCAGCAGAATACAACGCACGCCTGAACCACGGACCAAATACGCAATCACCACGAAAGGGAGCAGTCCCATCGCATCTTGACTTTAACTTCATGCATTCATCCGGCTCCGGGATGCCGAACTCGCCGGACAGAATGTCATTATCGCCTATGTCTCCTGGCACATCACCATACTACGCCCGCGACAAAGCAACATCAACGAGTCCTGGCTTCGCACCACCGCGGAGTCCAAGAGGACAGGGCTACGCTCCAAAATTGAGCTCTACCGAGCAGAGACGGAGCAACAGGATGACACCAGACAGGGACGTCTTCACCCCCCTGACACCAATCGCCAGAACAGAAGGACCGCCTCGTTTCAAGAGAGTCAGCGAAGAAGGACTACGTCCCATCAAAGGCCGCGGCGTAGGTCGACGTGCCCGCCCCGAAGGAGGGTTGGTTAGCCCGCTCCAGGCGCTGACGATGCACCTTACCACCACATACGGAATTTGCAACCCCGGTTTCTCGTACGAAAATTCGAAGAACCCAAGGAGGGTGTTGACGAAGCCGAGTAAGGGAGTAAAGAACGATGGGGCGGACAATGAGGATTCGGATTACATCCTTTATGTGAACGACATTTTGGGAGCCGATGATCATGCGAAGTACGTTTATCGTGGGTAGATATGGATTTTTGATGCATACTAACAGCTCACGTACAGTCGCTACCTCATCCTTGACATTCTCGGGCAGGGTACTTTCGGCCAAGTCGTCAAATGCCAAAATATGCGCACACAAGAACTCGTCGCCGTCAAGGTGGTCAAGAACAAGCCAGCTTACTTCAACCAGTCCATGATGGAAGTCACTATCCTGGAGCTCCTCAACAACAAGCTTGACCCCGCGGACGAACACCATATCCTCCGAATGAAAGACACGTTCATCCATAAGCAGCACTTGTGTCTCGTCTTTGAGCTGCTGAGCGTCAACCTGTACGAATTGATCAAGCAGAATCAATTCCGAGGTCTGAGCACGAATCTCGTGAGGATGTTTGCGGGGCAGTTATTGGATGCCATGACGGTCCTGAATGAGGCGAAGTTAATACATTGTGATCTGAAACCAGAGAATATTCTGTTGAACAGGTACGCAAGCGACCCCTCCTTGTGGAGAGTAAGCTAACTTGGTATACAGTTTGGAGTCGCCTACGATCAAGGTCATTGATTTCGGATCGGCGTGTCACGAGAAGCAGACGGTGTATACGTACATCCAGTCGCGGTTTTACCGAAGTCCGGAGGTGTTACTCGGGTTACCGTATGTCACTCCTCAAACGCTATAATTGAGATGTATTGACTGGTGTGGCAGTTATTCTTCCTCGATAGATATGTGGTCGCTCGGCTGTATCATGGTTGAGTTATTCTTGGGACTCCCATTGTTCCCTGGTAGCTCGGAGTATAACCAGGTTACACGAATAGTTGAAATGCTGGGGTAAGAAATCTCCGGATCAATTTAGCACGGCTATGGATGACTAATCTTGCTTACAGTCTCCCACCGCCATGGATGCTCGAAATGGGCAAGCAGTCCGGCGAGTTCTTCGAACGCGTGATAGACAATTACGGTAACAAATCTTACCGGTTGAAGAGCTTGGAACAGTATTCGGCGGAACACAGTACGCAGGAGCAGCCAAGTAAGAAGTACTTTTCGGCGACAACGTTGCCGGATATTATCAAGACGTATCCGATGCAGAGGAAGGGTGCGAGTCAGGCGGAAATTGATAAAGGTACGAAGACTGGTGTGCACCTATCTGATGAGATATGCTGACTTTCATCGTACAGAAATGCAGAACAGGCTAAGTTTTGTCGATTTCGTTTCGGGATTGCTCAACATCAATCCTCACGAACGTTGGTCGCCTCAGCAGGCGAAGATGCACCCGTTCATCACGGGAGCTAGGTTCACGGGAAGGTTCACACCGCCTATGAATGTACGATACCCCACACAGCCAGCAACCACAAGGCAGCATCCGGTGAGTCAGTTACCTCCGCCGCCTACACAACAGCAGATGCAGAAATTCCAGGAGCAGCAGTATCTTGCTCATCAACAACACACGTACGGAGGTGCCGCAACCGCCCTCCCAACTGCGAACGGGTTCAGTTCGCCATATCAGGGCCAGGTGCCTGTGTTACACGCTTCGCCTGACAGGCACGCATACGGCCAGAAGCCGTCTTACACCACCTCCGGGACCTCCTCAGCGATGGCGTACACACCGCACCATACGTCTCCTGGTTACAACAACGCATTTACTCCCGCCGATATTGTGGCGAACCACAAGCCACGACATCACGCATCGAATCGTGCACGTGCACAGACGATTGTGGACAATGTACCGCCGCAGATTCAGCGCGTCATGGGACAGTTGAACCCAGGGCAGGCTATCCCGCCTAGTCCGGCGTACTTCCCTACGCACGAGGTGTCCAGTACTGGAGTTAGGCAGAGGCAGAGTCAGTATGGGATGCAGGAGTATCCGGAGGAAGCGGGAGAGGGGATCTTGCCTCAGTTTTGGCGGTCGTAGTTGAGGAGATTGCAGGAACGTGTTTATGTACGATTACTGAAACGAGAGAAGGACGCCGTGTCCGCTGCTTAACACGCAGTATCTATACCCAAGGGCATATTGAGCAGATGTTGACGAGGAGATATGCGCGTTTGGAGGCGAAGGATCATGAGAGGTAACGAGTTCTGTAGCATACCGGTCGTTTTCTTGGGTTGAACTTAATAACGACGGTTTATTTGGCTGCATATGTACATCTTCTAAAGTCTATCTACACGAAGGTACCCAGACTTCGCGCCAACTCCACACCCTACTCTTGATATTAGATTTGCGCCCACGCTCACACCAAAAAACCATGATCAGCGGTGTCATGTTCGTCGAAGGCACCTTCCACATACTGAACAGCTTGAGCATGACCTCTAAGGATCTGGTTTACCCACGGTACCGCGGCATGTTCCTCCTGCTTCTCGTTGTTGTCAGGCTCGACTACCTCGCGATCGCTGTTACTAGTATCATGAGGTCCGTCTGAGGTCCCGCTGTGCATTGCCGGCGCAGGTGTATAGAGCGGAAGCGCGGCGCTTTCATCGTCACCGTCGTTGAAACTCAAGTCCGAATCGGAATAACGCATCTGACGCTTCAACTCCTCCACCTTCTGGCGCATATTGGCCATCTGGAAGTCGAGCCATCCGGCTCTGGCGCGGACCCTTCCCAGATCGTAATCCGTCTTGTCCTGGACATGACAGACGGACATTAGAAAGACGATCAGAAGAAGCACGGCAAGAATGACTATTTACACTAACGTTAGCAAAGGTGGATAGGAGAGCGAGCGACGGACATACGAGTGACAAAGAGCATCCAGAAGGCGTTAAGTTGCGCGTGCTGGCTGATGATTTTATTCTCAAGGATAGCCAAAGCCTCGTTCATGACCTCGAGTGTAAGAACTTGGGATACATCCCTATCTCTGGGCTGGATGTAGGGGCGGTGCTTTCCCGAAGGATCAATAACGACGATTCCCGGGATTCCCATATTGACGAAGTTGATAGTTGTAAAGATACGTTGGTTGTTGTAAAGGTGCCGACAAGAAAAATGGGAGAGCCGTCATTTTTATAGCCTGGCGGCTGACTGTTGCTCTTGTGACGTCCTGCCCAGAATCCGCAATGGGCAACGCGCTAGCGCACATCTCTGAAGCTAGTATTTCCGTTTGCGGCATTCTGAGGACGACTCGTTCAAGATCCGTAGATACCACTAACCATAGTGATCGATGTTACCGTCATCACTTTCGATGCCTGGAGAATGATAAAAAGAACTGTGACGCCCATCCCTCGTCAACTATCACTTTGACTATTCTCCACCTACACCAACACCTCCACACCTTATCGCGGCGTATTGCCCGTACTACTCCCTTGACCCAAAAAAGAACGACCACTACAAGTATCAAGATGGTTGCCCTTCCTCTTGTCGTCATTGACCCTTCCGGACACCACCGCCCGTGGGTCCAAGCTTCCGCCGCTTCCGCCGGTTCCCTTTCCGTCCTCTTGAACGGCACGCGAACCGGTTCTGCGGCGACCAGTACTCCCTCACTCCAGAACCCAGATGCAAGCATGTCTGCTTTTCCTGATTTCGACAAAATCGCCCTTTACACCATGGGAGGCATCTTAGGGTTCATCCTAATTCTCGTCATCCTGGTATTGTACCACTTGTGGGGTTGGGCGAGCTCGCAGTACGACTTCACCCTTCATTTGAAGAAACGAGTGGAAGACCTTGAGTCCAAAGCAGCTGTCTTCGTTGCCGCCTTGAATGTTGGCAATGAGGTTACCGAAAGCGTGCAGCCGCCTGAGTACGCTGCAAGGCCTGGTGCAGAGGAGGTGAATATTTCGGTTGACACAATCCAAATGGTTCTGGCCGATCAAGTTACGAACAGCGCAGCTCAGGAAGTTATGAGCGCTTTGAGCCCGGCTGAGGTTGATATCTCTACGCAAGCGGTTGACCACTCAACTGAAGCCGTTGACGTCACCGCTGATTCTCAAATAGAAGGGTTTGAGGTAGAGCAGGACATCGAAGACAAAGACGACGACTGTGATGAATTGGAGAAGGTGCAAGATGGTACGGAACTTGCCTTTGTTGCTTCTCGACACGGTGAGGCGCATCTTGTTGACGAGTGTGTCCATGAACACTACGCGGGCGTGATGAGTGGTAGGGGCGGAACGGACGATTTTGGTGATGCTGGCAAGTGCGATATGTAAGCCTGGTGGAGCATGAGATGTTTCGATGTGCTCTTTGCGTCTCTTTAGTGTTTCACTGTCCTTTCCCTGTCCCGGCAGGAAAGGACTAGATTCGGTTGGTCAGCATCAGTTTTTTCGCGTAATAATAAATTAAATGAATCGAAAAACTGGTGGTAATAAGTGGTTCGATGATAAAGATTATGGTTGCTTCAGCGGTAACCCGACCTCTGACTTTCAACGCTATGGTATGCGCAGCCTAATGAAAAAAACGGCGAGCAACCTTGAACTATGTTGGTGCTTTGAAGTTCGAACCCTGGTACGTTGCCTGTCACAAAGACTTGCAAAATACAAGAGGAAGGTGTTAAGCTAGGTCCAGTGGACCTCTAAATTGACCATCCAGTGTGAGATAAACTCCAAGTCAATCATTGCTGTGTCGTGATAGAATCACGAACATGTCGCTCCATTGCAGTGGCACCTCGCTCGGGTTGGCGTATGCTACAGACCTTGCCATCACAAGAGACTGTAAAGCTACGTATCCCTAATGGCTACGGTCTGCCCCGACTGTATAACTCACTTATCAGTTAAATACGCACGATTTTCCTACGCCTGCGTGACATAGCAAACTTCCTCGACACGGGATGTTAGTCAACCGTAGCAGCTTTGAAAATATAACTTCCATCTTCACCTCCAGTGGTAGTATTTGTAAATCGGATATTGTATCAGACGTCCCTACCCACTCGACCCGCGACCGCGCGTGTTAAATGATGTAACGTAGACATGGGTACGCTTTACCACCTTCGGCATCTCCAACCTCACAACCCCCGCTTTCGGGCCGACGAAACGCCGATGCCCTTAAAACGGGTCGACTTCGAAGAGTCCTTAAAAAATCGAACGTCTCCATAAAGGCAGGAGCTATTCGGACCTGCTACTTTCTCAACGACGGGTACGATGTCCGCCATGCGCACCTGGGTCCTCCTTCCCCTCGCCTATCACTTTACCTTCCGCCGTCTCCTTCATCTTCCAATCGACAATGTGGGAATCTTCCTCCTTACCGTCATCTCCTTCGTTATCTACAATATCTTCATCTACCCCAACTTCATCTCCCCTCTCCGCAAAGTACCTGGTCCACCCGGCCACTGGTTCTGGGGTCAATTCAAAGAGATTACAAAAGCCGATCCTGGCGTGCCGCATCTCGAATGGGTCACGAAATACGGAAAGACCATCCGATATCGCTGGTTGTTTGGAGATCAGAGGTTCTTGACGGTTGACGCAAAGAGTTTGGCTTATATCTTGAACAACGCCTACGATTTTCCCAAACCGCAGCAGACCATCAGGTTCCTGGGAAGGTTTTTGGGGTTTGGGTTGTTAACTGCTGAAGGTGAATTGCATAAACGTCAAAGGAAAGTATTGCAGCCGGCGTTTGCCCATGCACACGTCAAGGCTCTCGTACCGGAGTTCTGGAAAAAGACAGAGGAAGTGGTGCAGTGTTGGAACAAGGAGATTAATGCGGCCGAGAGGCCCGAAAAGGGAGTAGTAGTTGACGTTCTTTCATGGCTTTCACGCACGACGTTGGACATCATCGGCACCGCAGGCTTCGGCTACGATTTCGATGCCCTACACACCACGTCGAACCCTCTCGCCGAGGCCTACAAACTCATGTTCAAATTCGACAAAATTGGTCGCATCGTCGGAGTCTTGTCGGTTTACCTACCGTTCCTCCGCTCACTCCCCTTCAAACGAAACCGTGAGTTGAAATCTGCCGTGGCTACTGTCAACAAGATCAGCGAGGGTCTCGTACGTGATAGGATTAGCGAGTCCAAGGCCGCGACAGAGACAAGCACGAAGGGAAAGGATATCCTCAGTCTGATCGTCGAGGAAGCGCTTAGGTCCGAACGAGAGGGAGAAAGTTCGATCACCCCCGAGGAAATGAAGGATCAATGTATGACTTTCCTTGCTGCCGGTCACGAAACGACATCCACCTCCACGACCTGGGCATGCTGGCTCCTCGCCTCCCACCCCATTGTTCAATCACGTCTGCGTACCGAGATTCAATCCATCATCCCCGAAGAGAGCGGAGCTCCGACGTACGAACAAGTTGAAGGATGCAAATATCTCAACAACGTCTGTCGTGAGATCTTGCGGCATATCCCTCCCGTTCCATTCACCTTCCGCGTTTCCACAAAGGATGAGATAATTGACGGCTACTTCGTTCCAGCCGGAACACACATCACAATCCCTCAGGCGGCAATGTGTCACGCTCCCCATCTCTGGGGTCCCACTGCCCACTTATTCGACCCTGATCGCTGGGATAACCTCCCTGAAACCGCGTCCGCCATCGCTTATCTTCCCTTCTTGGCAGGCCCGAGAAGTTGTATTGGACGTAAGTTCGCAGAGGTTGAGATGAAGGTTTTGATTGTGGGCATTGTTGGACGGTTTGAGCTGGAGAAGAGCAAAGAGGACCAGAAGGTTGAGATGAAAAGTAACATTACGACAAGGCCGGTTGGTGGAATGCCATTGAGGATTATGAGGGTTTAGGTTGAAGATTTGGGCAGGTTTTGAGATACCCTATATCTATCGTCTTTTCTTGCCTTCTCCATGTACAGCTACAGTCGGTTCCCCGTGTGCCGTGCAGGGTCACCCCGATAGCTATTATTGAAACGCGTTGTTTTCTGAAGTCTTGTTACATTGTTCGTCGAAGCCTCCAGAACGGTTTGACCATTAATGGTTCATTCCGCTAAGGCCGACAAATAAGGTTGTGACATGTGCACTCGGCACGGCACGCGTACGGGAGGCCCGCGGCCGGGGCTTGGGCTGAACCTTATGTAAACTGGCACTTGGCACGACCGAGAGAGAATCTTGATTGGATGAAAAACTTCAATTTGCCTGTATGAATCGAATGTAATTCTACCTCAACCCTGTCTATCCAAGAAGATTAAACGCCTCATTACCCATAACCGTTTCCCATTTCCCATTTCCCATATCCCACGGACCATTAACGCCAATACCAAAAATGAAACACATCTACTCCACCTGATATCTCTTCGCCGTTGTTGCCCAAATCAAATGTCCCTTTACGAACCCGACCAAGCAGTTGGCCATATCCTGCACGCCCTCGGTGACATCTCCATTCATCAACCCATGCCATTCCCTGACGACGCGTTCAACGGTTCCGTTGTGTTCGTGGACCGTGCCGTCGACATCCTCGTTCAACTGTGCGACGGTGTCTACATTCTTGCGGTGGCGGACGAAAAGAAGGTTCATGCCTTCCTTCGTCTCGACGTCCTTTTCGAGACCAACGAGATCGTTTTGAAAACCCACTAGCGTGGTGAGGAAGCGGCGCAGTCCCGCCAACTTGTCAACGTCCGACTGTTCGACCACACCATATCCCGCCTCGAGCATAGCAAAGAAGGGCGCAACGCCGATTGTGCGAGCACGGATCTCAGTGTATTCCATCACGGTCCTCCACTCGTTTTTCATGTTCCTGAAGTCGTTCTCAAGGGTGAACCCCTCGAATACATGACGAAGTGCCTGGAACACACGAGGAAGACAAGTCTCAGGAAGAAGATCCTCGAGGTGTCGCTTCATCTGGTTCAAGATGTGCAAGACGCGGGGCAATATCGTGCCATCAACCTCGCTAGCCTCACTCTCCGCATATGCAGACATATCCATCGAAGACGACCTCGACATAGGCGGCGAAAAGATCGAGCTTGCTCCCGACATAGTAGAAGCGTTGCTCTCCGCCCTCGCCCTCGGAGCCAGGAAGACTAATTCTTGCATCGCCTCAGCGAGCGCCTCCTCCAAGCTTTTTTCGACCTTCAACACCTCGAGACTCGCTCTTACGATCTCACCAACATCAACGACCTCCTCATCCGTCTCCAACAAGTCATCGACCTTGCAGAGTACGAAAAGCCATGCGGCACAAGCGAGAACGGTGTTATCATCTGGAATGGCAGGGAAAGCCAACTGGATTGCACCGAGGTGTGCTTTGCAGGATTTACACTCCGTAGCAGGTTTAGCCGCATCGTGGGTGAAATCAGATGCGGCAACGTACGCGTGGTGCTTCTCCAACATGTGCGGCGCGGTGTATTTTCTCGGTGCGACATTTACCACGCCCGCCCGAGGAAGCAGAAAATCGAGCGTAATATCCGCAGAGCGATATTTCACACTCTTCCTCTCCGTCTTCAGAAATTGGCAAACTCTCCTCTCAGAGTACGCCTTGGTCGGTGACGTAGGCGGGGTGATCTCGCCGGCAGCGCCGTGCGAGAGGCTTAACCTCGGCAGCAGTTGCCGAAGGTGTCGGTCTTTTGAGGGCGACGCGGGAGGCGTGAGCGGCAGAGAATAAAGTTCTGGTACGGCGATCGTGGCTAGGACGTTGATTGGGGTAAGCACAGGGCGATCATTGGTGATGGTCGTCGTCATGATGATGGTGCGCTATGTGGGTGGTGCTATATTCGGATCTGATCTGAGGTGCTTTGGGGGTTGAGGAATGGAAAGACAGGAGGTTGTGTCGTGTTCTGCGAATGCTTCCATGCCAGACGGGGCGGGTGGCCCAAGGCTTTTATGGAGGGGGCCCGGGTTCGAACCAACCCTTCCTCCTTCCCTCCAATGGCACCTCCTCTCGGAAATCTTTGATCCTTCCAGTTCCAGGTTCCGCCTTCCGGGAGGCGCTCACCTCGCAAGCTTCTACGCACCCTCCAAAGAGCTCCACCCTCAGCAGCTATAACCATCGTCATCCGACCCAATTCATTTTGATCGAGGCTATACCTGACTTCGCCGTTATCAGGAGTTGCGTTGGACTCGCAGCAAGCAATTACGACAGTGACCTTGCATGTCAACTGCAGGTATCGCACGCTTATCGCATGTCGTACAAAAGAATGTCGACTGCTATGCGAACTGGAATGTGTTGCAATTTGGGCTGGCGGGGTAAAATTAGCCGTCATTCGATGGAGTCTACATTGCGGCTGCTGGCGGATGCTCATTGCCGAGGCGTTGCGGTGTGTGTGGTGTCATGGGTCAGGCCATGTTTGCGTTGGTGTGGCGCGAAGAAGCTTCTCGCTGTCACCGTCGTCATCCGTGTTATCTTGCAACTGCGGTGTAGCAGCTGTGACTGAGTAGACGTTCTCGACGTTATCCTCAGTCATTCCGAGCACACCCCTCCTCAACCCTCCTCTACGATCCACTCAACTCAATGGCAATCAACAACCACGCTCTGACCCCATATCATAGCTCCCGTCTCGCCGCTCTCGAATGAATTAATTTTACAAGTTACATACATCGACCTCGCGTTACTCAGGCTTAGGGGGACGAACGGGCGCGGGCGTACGCGTTGCCATGCTCGACACACATCACACTAGACAGCCCGTGCGTGCGCACGTAAACTTAGCCTCCTGTGTCACATTCTTCCTGAGATTCCCTAACATAAGAGGACGACGGGAATGCATGTTTTTTATAACTCCGTCTGTTGAGAGAGCTACGGGGGGGGGGGGGGGGAGGAGTGGCGGGC